ACCTGGCGAATGATGTTTCCAGTACCGTCTGGACTCCCCAGGGAGGAGATCGGGCACCACATCGCCAGATCTGCGGTATTCGCTGATGCGAGGCAGACTTCGATCGCGATCATGCTTCGGGATCTCGGTCGTCACTTCTCCATCAGCTGGCTTGAACCATTCTTCCGGTCTACGTTGCTTCCAATAGCCCCGCGGTTCTCCAGACTGGAAATCCGAGGGCACTTCGGCGTCAGAACGGCTGAAGTTGTCCGACCGATGTAGACTTAAGACCTTGGCGGCAGATTTCGCATGCAGATCCTATGTAGTACCGCGTAGATCAGTCTGTCCACTTACTCGATCTACCGGGTTCTTGTTCACGAATGCATAGATGCAGTACCTAGAACGCTCGGCTCGTACCGGAATCCAACCCGGCGAGCGTCCTAGTTTAACATCTTCTCGGCGATCGCTGGCAACATGCCAGCGTGCTTCACCGGGTTGAACCATTGACGGATCTGGTTGTAGAATTCCTCCATCGGACACTTGCCCATTTCGTGTAGTTCACCACATCCACGGCACACAAACAGGCAGCGATCCGCCGGATGACCTCTCTTGCCACGCTTCTCGCACGTCAAACGTCTCCAACAATCGAGATCGGTGTGTTTCCGCGATCCACAGAGTGAGCAGCGGCTTGATCGCTCCGATCCGTCAGGTGAAGATCGCGATCGTGGATCCGATCGAGGCGAGTCATGGTTGATTTGCGCTTGGTTGCTTCGATCCGGCTTCGTCGCGTCGGCCCCCAGCGTTGCGAGACTGGTCCTCGGCCGACGCTAGGTAAACGCGACGTAGATCACCCTCCGAGTCCAATCCGTCTGATCCCGTGTCCGATCCAGATACCTGGCTCGCGATCTGCACTGCACGCACTGCCCGCTTAGTTGCAGCAGCTGGTGCTGAGGTTGGAACCTTCTGACGATACTTCGATCCAAAGACAGATCGCTTCTGTCTGCTCTTCGCGCGCTCTCGAGCGCGCAGGACTTCCTCCAGATCTGCTGCGTCCGCAAGCCGGAGTAGAGTGAGCCGATCGGCCAGTTCCGGATCGCCCAGCGTCTCGATAAAGTGTTCGACATGTTCTCGGCGGGCCTTGGAATCTCCGTCCTTGATCTTCAATCTCGCACGCAGAGCCGCCAAATTCAGTCGATAGAGGTACTCCAACGGCGATTCATCTGATCTCTTGCGAGAATGGTAATACTGTCAAGCGACCGATACTCCCAGGCCACAATACTGGATCTGGAAACTCCGGAGTAGATCGCTCCACTTATTCCGCGTCGATCGGCCCAGCTGGCGGTGCCAGTTCTTCGCCGGGCCCGTCTGTTGATGAGCGAAGGTCAGGCACTTCTCTCCGTCCGTAGCCTGATCTCGCAGGAACGTCGACTTCACCTTGCTGATCCACGATCGGGCGCGGTCTTCGTCCTGATCCTTGCCACTGAACTCGTTAAGATCGGACATCGCCGAAATCCGCACACGCTGGATCAACGAGGACCCAGCGGATCCTGAGGCAGCGGTGGCGACCGCAGCAGGGGCCAAACTCGGTAGATCAATGTCGTCCGGATCGTATTCCCACTGAGAGAGATCTTGATCCAACGATCCGGCTGATCCCATCTCCACGTCCCGCGATCCAACGTTGTCGTCGACCACTAGAGTAGGTGTTACCACCGTGGCCTGTTGTTCCTTCAGAAATCGAGCCATCGCAGCTTGAAAGTAAGACTCCAGTCTGCCATTCGACTCATCTGATCCGGTAGCACTGGTGGTCCGATCGGTCGACTTGGGTTTCTGCTTCCGGGGTCCTGATCCCATGCGTTCCTGACGTTGACTCCGTGATCGTGCGTCCAACATCATAGATCCTGAGGGGCCGAGGGACATCCGTTGAGGTTCAGACGACGTATCCGATACATGTTCCGCTGCGGAGATAGAAGGAGACGACGATCGGTACCCAGTGTACTCCATCCGCGGCGACGACGCGGGAGCTGGCGATACTAGATCTGGCACCTTCGGGTCCGGACTGTCCGCGATCACGTCGACCAAGGTCTCAACTTGTCGACCAATGTCTGGATCGCTGTCTGGATTACATCGAGATCTTGATCGAAAAGATCGTTCGCTTCAAAGGCGCCAGCCACGAAGCCGGCTTCCTTCAACAGCCCGAGCAGGTTCTTCACCGCCATCCGCTTGTTGTCCGTCACTCGAGGGGCCGAGATCGGGCCCTTCGGGTCGTCGATCTGCTCTGGCCGCAAGATCACCATGACAGGATCTTGACGCAAGAAGTCTCGCAGTTACTTCAAGTGATACTGACGATCCAGGTCAGCCTCGGACCAGTCGAGAGCCGACGGTCTGGGGTCTTCGTCGTCTAAGCCTGGCGCTGTCAGCTTCTTCCTCACGATCTGGGCCTTGTCCGCGATCGCGTCCAGGTAGTTCCGATCGAGCCTGATCGGCGAGTCAGCGAACGCGTATCGATCCGATCCCGCCTTAGTTTGTTTTGTTAGTGAATCTCGGTTCGCACCAAGATCCACCGGGGTCCCCGAAGCGACCTGGGGAGGATGTTGAGGTTTGGCTTCTAGATCTGTCTCCAGATCGCCCTAGGATCCGTCGACAGAAGTCCTCCGAGCACTCTGTCGATCCGCAGATCTCGTTTTGTTCAGCAGCTTCTCCGTCGATCCGACATCCGACGACGCCTCTTCCCCTGGTTCTTTCTTCACTTGCGCATCTTCTACGGACTCACGGTGAAATCCGGAGTCCCCAAGAGATCCGGGCACGCGCACCAATGTGGTGTAGCGGGATTGGCCAAAATCTGTTTAAGGCCTGATCGAGCTTCCCACCAGCGCCCAGACACCGACTAACGGAGGGGGTCCCCCAACGATCCGTGATCGGCTGAACTTGTTCTCACCTTGTGTACCCGTCGGCGGGCTGGATCCGCTCTCTCGGGGCGCCGAAGATGCAGCACGTGGTGAAGATCGAGTGTCTTGGCGTGACGCGGAGATAGTTTGTGGGGCAGCGCGGTAACCTTCGCTCTGTGTCCGAGTATTCGCTCCGATCGAGGGTTCTCCGCTTCGATCGGTCGGCCTGGAGTAGATCCAAGGCCGGTAGTTGCCTTTCCGGGTGTGTTCCTTCCTTTCCTGAGTTGCTTGCCGCTTCCTATAGCGGGATCGAGGTTGATCGAGAGGAGAAACGATCGCCGGCCAAGCACTAATATCCGGTCGATTGAGGACTTGCACACAAAAGATAGATAGCTAGAGTAGGTCAAGCTGGCCAATGTATTAATCCAGTCTTAACCGTACCACTAGTTCACTGTCCAAAGTGTCGATGCTTGCCGAGGCCAATGTGGTTCCTGGGACTTGACGACTTGAGGGGACTTGTGTTCTTCGGTGCAAATTCTGCTCTGATTTATGTTTAGCTGGTATCTCTCTACCGCTACTATCTCATCTACCATCCTACAACTAAACAACCACTGGATTCTTGTCCTGACTTCGTCCTCCATGTGCATCCCATCGCGGTCGATCCCCGATCCACGATCATCCCACAATCGGCTCCCGATCCACGATCGACTCCCGATCTGCGATCGACTCCCGATCTGTGATCGATCCCGATCGGCGATCGGCGATCACCTCTCGATCGACGACTTGTGCCGGTTGCCGTACGCCGCCGATCCATCATCTTCCGTCCTCGGCCGTCCTAGATCTGCGAGATCTGTCGTCGATCGGGACTTGGGTCGGCCTCGAATCACGCCACGGTTCGAACGCGATCATCCACAATCTAGCTTGCCACATGTCCTGCCTTACGCGCCGGCGTCATCGGGCCACTTGAGATCTCCCGAAGAACTCCCTCTGATCCATAGATCCTCGCTGCCTGTCTCTCGATCGCTGACCCCCCATACTTCCAGTCGATCGGCCCTGCCGCCTTTCTCGGAGATCAATTCTTATTCAGCACTTCTCCACAGATCTCACGAGTTGACCCTGAATTCGCGCTCGCACTTCGGGCTGAAACTCTGGGTTCGTCCGTGATTTCCTGGAAACGCGCGTGAATTTCAGGGTCTTCATCCGACTCAGAGTCAGAGACATCGCCTCTAGTCACGTACGCATGTCCTGCACTCTTAGACTTGAAACGATCCTGAGGAATGTTGTCGGCACGAAAGTCACGAACTCTGGGTGGCGGAGCATCATGGTCACTGCGACTCCAGACATCTTCGTCCTGCTCCAAAGCATACTCCAGATCAGCGATACTTCTGAATCTCTGACCTTGCAGCGACGTCTTGAGGCGCGTGTCCCTGAGTTTCGTGATGAATATCCGGATATGCTTCTCCAGACGCTTCGAAGACTTGCGAAAGTCAATGTCAGCCTTCCCAGCGGCGGAATTCAGACGATAGAAGAAATACAGGGCGCGCTCTGAGTTCTTCATCTCCATCGTGAGGTAGCGTTCAGAGTACGACGAGCGCGCTTTGCAGTACTTCTTCCTGAATGCAGACGCCAACTCCTTCCAGTCACGCTGAGTGTGCTTGGGCAACTGGTTGAACCAGTCACGCGCAGCTCCCGAGAGTTTCAACTTGAGCTCCTGAATTCGCATCTTCGTAGACCAGCCTCCCTGAGCCGCCATGTTCGCAAAACGCTCCCACCAATAAACGCGTTCTCTGAGTGACGCCTTAGTGTCGAACTCACCCAGAGTATTCGAGTTGATGTACGGTCGGAACGTCAGGAGCGTAGTGCCAGCTTGAGCCGTAGAGGCCGTCGTCAGGTTAACCCCAGGGTTCTCGTCCGAACTGTCGTCCGAACTTCAGAGGACGAGTCATCATCGCTGGAATCGGAGCTTGGGTCTGAGTCCGAGGGTGGATTGACATCCTGACGCTTCTTCTTCTGCTGCTGGCGTTTCTTGGGCGCAGAGCGCTTGGAGTCTGTTTAAGAGTCCTGCGAGGCCTTAGAGGCCGCTATTCTCCTGGGATCCGACGTCTTCCCCAGAGATACAGACTCGAGCTTGACATCCTACGTCACCTTGGTCTCCGAAGCGCCATGTCCCCGCTTGACGCGCGTGATTCTGCCGGAAGTGTCGGCGGAAGTCAGCGCGAGGGTCGCTCTTAGCTGGGAGTCGGCGACTTCGGAAGTGTTCTTCGGATCAGCTGTCTCCCGTCTCTGGCCTGCGACACTTGCGTTTCCGTTGATTACGCCACTGGATTCTTGGGGTTGGGTTGCAACTTCAGAGTTCTGAGTCACTGACGACCTCACATTTGTTGCCAAATGAGGGGCAGCGGTTGCACGACGCGCTTGAACTTGGGCCAATGTTGCACGAAGGTCGCGCACTTGGCCAGCGTGGAAACGCTGGATATTCCCGCAAGACTCCCGCTCTCGCTCTCTCCCCGCCTCAAGCGCTTGAACCTTCTGCTCCATAGTCGACATTTGTTCCTTCCAGCCCGCGTAGGTCTTGGAAACCCAGCGCGCGCGCTCCGAGTCGGCTTCGGCTTCGCGCTGTTGCCGGCGCTCGGCGTAGGGGGCATCCAGGCGCTCACGCTCGAGACGTACAGCTTCCGTGATACTCTGGGTCATCCCCTGAGTTTCAGTGGAACTCTGGGTCTGGCGAGCTTCCACGTCCTGTGCACGCCATTCCGCTTCTCCTCGGCCGATCTCAGCGTGGACCAAGCGATCCGTGAGTTCCTGGATCTGGCGACGCGCATCCAGGTCGCGTTGTTTCCTGAGGCGCTCGCGCTCCAAGGCATCCAGGCGTTCTCTGGCGAGAAACTCGCGTTGCTCCTGCTCCATGCGGGCCTGCCACTCCTGCTGTTGTCGTAAGACATTCAGCTCGATTTGGGCGGGCCCAGACCTCGCGGACGCGGACGAAGCTGACCCAAGATTCCTGGATCACTTGAGCGGCTCGACGCAGCTGATTTTCTGATTAGTCGGGGGCCTGCTCTGTGTGGCTGTCTGTCGATGTCAAAGTCGGCGGCTGGCTGCTGTGCGGCGGGCTCTATCATGGCGATTGGTTTGGGTCCTCCTCGTGGGTAACTGGATCATGAGCCCACTTTTTAAACCCATTCTTAAATACTGAATATACTGTGGGGACGAAAGTCTCTGCTTTTAACTAGATAGCAAGTTTCAGCAGTGGATGTCTAGGCTCGCACATCGATGAAGAACGCTGCGATACGTAATGCTAATTGCAGGATTGACTTCGTCGAGCGTCGAGAGCGCACCTCGCTCTTAGAGCTCTGGTGTTGACTCCGCTCATCGGCGCTGACATCCGTTGGACCACCAATCGGGGTAGCGACCCTGAATTTCGGCTCGGCAGTCGTCGCTGAAATCCTGGGGAGACCGGTCTTCCTGGGTGCGATCTCTGGGTTAAAGTGCACCGACGATGTCATCTCAACGTCATCTTGGTCGACTGACACGAGACGCGGCGGGATGACTGTCCGGGTGACCTGAAATCCAAGATCACCGGCAGCTGCGGAGCCACTGGCACTCTGGGCCGCAAGCGCTAGAGCTCCAACTCGTTGTCCAAGCGACATCATCGACGAAGACGAAGAGCTACCATAAAACGTTTGAACACCCGAGGCAGTACTCTCATCCGAAGCGCGCGAAGTACCGATGACGCTTGGCAGCGCACCTGGAGCAGCATCCTTGGCTTCCGCCTCCAGAGGATCATGACCATTGGACATGGAATTCAGGGGAGTGGAATTCTGGAGCGAAGCACTAGCCGAGGACTTGTACGCTGGAAGAGAAGACAGCGACGGTGTAGCCAGCGCGGATGGCGTCGACGGGGCTTGCGGGCGAGGCGGTCCATGCTGTGTGCGCTTGGATTGCGGCTCACCATCACTTGACCCTCGCGGGCTCCGTAAAATCCTGAGTCCAGTGACCCTGAATCTCAGGACAAACTGTCGGCCCAGTAGATCCGCATCGTAGTCCGTCATCAATAGATCACCGTCTCCATCTTCCCTGTGGTAATCCAGTCTCGGCGCCTGATCTTGAATGCTTGGTGCAAGTTGGTCTTCAGAGTTCACCTTGAAAGGCACACCAGCGATCACCAGTCTTCGCTCAACCAGCTCAACCGCGATGAAATTCTGAGTGTCCTCCATGTCCGAGCGTACCAGGCTTTCTGGAATCCTGGAAGTACGCGTTGTAGACCAGCCAGGAATCAAGTTGACAAACTCGAAACCAGCTTCGAAGAACAGAGTCTGCAGAATGGCGACGCACTCGCGTGCGGACATGATATTCAGGGGAATCGTGGTCGCCATGAGATCCTGGGCAGTTCCGACGCCCCACTGGGCGAGGTGAAACTCAGAGATCCAGGCATCATCTTGGTTCGCCAGAGCCAAACGCCACTTGAAATAGTCTCCCGTTGCGTATGCGGCCGCGAAGTACGAGTTAGCGTCCGGTTTCGGAGTCGGCCACTCATAGACGACACTCGGGGGCGTCACCTTCCCAGGATTCACCTCTTCCCAGCGTCGAACTTCACGTCGGACGTACAGCGCCATGCTCTCAGTGTCCAACACCGCTGCTCCCAATTCCGGAGCAGGCGCAGCAGCTTCCCGGATGTCGCTTTCAGGCGTCTTCCTGGGTGCCGTTTGCGAACTTGGCGCTGAAACTCTGGGTTCAGGTGGTGCGAACCCAGAATTCACCTTGGAACTCTGAGTCTTCGCCTCCCCCTTCACTCGCACGGGCTCCGGCTTCACTTCCACAACAGACTCGCCCGAAGATGAGACCAAGTCAATCACCTCCGGGCGCTCAACCGCATTGGCGCCTCCCTCAGACGCCTGAGCACCACCCTCGCGGGTGTGCTCCTCTGGGACTTCAAGGATTCGCGACCCAGGATTCGTCTCCGTCGAACCTTGGCACTCAGGGGAAACCTCTTTCTCCTGAGTTTGCGATCCAGCAGCAGGCTGATCTTGAACTGCAGACGCCTTGACGTCCCCACCTTGCACTGTCTCGCTCTCGCGAGCAGCCTTCTCCGCCTTCCGAGCGTCGCGGACGACTGTTTCCAGGTCCTTGTGCTCCTCAGGCTCCATACCTTGAACACGACGCGACTGACGTGACGCCTCACCGCGTCCTCCGTCACCGCGTCCACTCTTCTTCGCCCCTCGTCCTCCAGAGATCTTGGCAGCTTGAAGTTGACGGGCACTCAACACTTCTTCAACACTTGATTCCGGCGAAATCCTCGACAATCGAATCCGGGCACGCGCACCAGCTGAGGCGAGACCGATGAAACCTTTATCGCCCAGGGGGGTTCGTATAGCGCAGCCCAATGCTGTTCCCCAGGGTGTAGACTCAGAGAATCGACTTGAGAGTCAACAGCAAGAAGATAGACCCAGAGATTCGTAGCCACAAAGTTTTAAACCCTGAAAATCACATTCCCTGGTTGGCGTGGGTACCTTGTGTAATCCCTGTCGGCTCGTTTGTCTTCGACGGAACGGCACTCCACCGGTAGTTAATGTAGCCTCGAAGAAGTGCGGGAGTGCACGTCTACTTCAGAACGCACCCCCACAACAAAGGCAAACCCAGAGAATCAGATCCCTCGAAACCCAGAATATCACGAATTCAGGGTCCAGGATTTCAGTCAACTCCGGGACTTGGAACTCAGAAGACACCTTACCCAAATGCCGTCCTAGCTCGATAAAACCAACAAATACAGAGTATACAAACACTTCAACTAGCCGTCACTTATTCTTTTGGACCCTTGGACGGTGGGTCACACACACACTAGGTCTGAAATTCAGGGGCCTAGCTCCCCTGAGACTCACACAAACGCGCACCACCTCCAATAAAGGAGGAAAATACAATCACTATCAGTTACCTTCCCTTCACACAAGCAGTCAATACAAAATTCTGGAGGCGACTACCTAGCACCCCAGAATACCCTCCGGAATAATATGAAATGGGCTACCACGAGCACAGCAAGTGACCCAACTAGGATATGGAATAGATGGATCACTCCAGGAAGCTCAAGGCCGTCGCTGGTCCCCACCTAACTGGGACTTGAGTTGATGGAGTCCACACAGACGGCTGTCCTTCGCCGTTGATGTGCCCTTAGTGTCCCGCGGTCGTAGTCTCGGGTCCTCCGGATTTCCGTCGGCAAGCTTGGCCGAAGTCACTTGCGCAGTACAGGGAAAATTGAACTCTGTTTGTCTTTTATCAGCTACTTCTCTCTCTCGCTCTCTTACTTCTTCGGGTAAATATCTTCTGTTCACTATGCTTGGGGTCAAATGTCTTGTCTTGAGTATACCTTGGGTTCAGCGGTCCAAACTTGCGACCGGCTTGCGAATCCATTGTCGCACGGCGTCGAAAGTGCCAATTATGGGTCCTTAGACTTGATTTAGTATGGTGCAGGACTCCCTCTCGACTCCTCGAAGGTATCCAGTCTGCGCATCGACAACGGTTCTTCAAGGTCACGCATCACTTTGATTGCAGACTGGCTTCGAACTGACTCGAATCCCTGAAAATCAGGTGACACTCAGGGTCATCTTCTGAAATCCTGGGAATTCTGAGGAATCTTGGGGAACTGTGGGGATTCTTGGGTGTTGGCTTGGGAGACACTTCAGTTCAGTATAGAGAGTCTGGATTTATGGTCCAAACCCAGAGAATCATCTTGGAACTCTGGGTCACCTGCACTCAGGGAGGTGAACTCTGGGTCATCGTGCGGCACTCTGGGTAACAAGTCTGCTACATTGCAGGCTCGCGTGTATCTCCACAAAGCCACACTTTTAGCGGGTTTAGCGGCCTCCTGTGCATGATCATGGTGGTAGTGGGTTGATTCTCAGGGTAATTTGATCCTCTGGGGCACTCTGAGCCACAGCAAGATGAGGTGTACTCTGGGATACATTCGCCGGAGACACTTTCCGCCAGACTTTAGGCACTCATCGTAAGGGAAAGTCGGCGGCTGGACTGAGTGTTCTCTGAAAGCCTGGGCGTGCACTCCCAGGATTCACACTTCCAGCCAGTTGGGTCAGGCGCTGGATTCATCCTGAGAAATCACTTCTCTCCCACAGTCGCCATCCATGTCACCCGGGTACAGCCGCGCCGTATCCAAGTCATCCACCAATCAGCATCCGATACAAACTCCAAATCACAGAGGTGACGGCACATCGTCGGCAATTTTCTGGGGACCGCCTCGTGTCATCTTCGTCGTCAACAGAACCTGATTGCAGAAATGCAAACTAAGTGTCCGAAAGTTGACAGTACGCGATGGCTGTTCATGTATAATGTAGCAGATTGGATGTGCAAGAATGGATTTAAGGTGAGCGGGTATCTAACGGAAAAAGAATCGACTTGCGCTCCAAACATTGTGGGGTGGGGTTTTATGTACGCGCTACGTGAAGTGGCCCGTGAAGCTAATGCTGTCTTCGTGTCGTTACAAGAAATGTTGACATTGGTTAAGCAGCAAGAAGACTGCTTTGCAGGATGTGTACAGACACTACTCGACATGAGTGGAGCGCGGGAGCCTCTCTCTGAGGACGCTATAAAAGAACTTGACTTTAACGAACACGAGATCAACGGGAGCTTTGAGATTTCGCACGCGGCCGCGACAACATGCGTGACCAATCTGGACTTGTGGGTTTGCCCAAGCCTGAAAGCACTAGAGGTAGCGCAAACGAACACCGTGGTCATCGCAGTTGCAATACCGCACGTCTTAGGACTGGCTCAAACTCACACTCTGACGCAAACCAATGGGTGTGCGCCACCGGTGACACCCAAATAACTTGTTACGAGCACGATAGTAGAGCTTGCGGTAACGATCGAAGGCCAGCACGACCGACTTCTTCAATACTTTGGCGAGAAAAATATTAACAAGATTGGCCGGGAGTTTAAAAGTCTTAGCAGAGAGTACACCAGCAACAAGCCCAACCACGCAGCGATTGAATGCTTCGACCACCGCCTAGCCATCTTCCAGGAGATGTGGCAGCTTTAGGAAGCTGTATCGAAGTTCCCGACACTAGCGCGTTTCTGTGGAGGTATAGCTACCGTGTCCCCCAACACCGCCACGGTAGAGTCCGATTTCCCACTTATCGGATGCGAGAAAAATGGACCGGCAGATGTCGCTAACAGATCTAGCCCATGACGGCGTCCTGCATGGTAAACAATTGCAGTGTGTTTATGCTCCAGATTCGTAGAAGACAAGCAATACCTCGGCAGACAGCGAACTCCATATTATTTCCATATTTTCACTTCAAATGAGGTCATATTTTCTAATAAATCTGGGAAACTTGACCATTCCCGTATTGGTAGAGGTCTGCTCATGTGCCTTTTGGATAACGTGATAAATGCACATCAGACATTTGAACTGCGGGAGTGTACCAATACGGCCTAACGGTTGTATTACGCTTGGTCGGGATATTCCATGGGAATTGAACAACTAGCTTTACCCTATAAGGCATGTAAATGATCGTTTCGGTACACGTTGGGAAGATGCATTGATGTCTTAAACGTATTCGGAAACAATGAATAGATCCACCAAATGGAACCCACGGGACCAATCAGACATGCTAACAAGAAAACCTGGGCCCTATGACCTTACTGTACACAGTACCTTTCCGTAACTTGTGCCTCGTAGCAGCGTGCTGCATATGCGTAGAGTGCTTGGTGGGCTGGCCGGTGACACCACGGGAGTCGCAATCTCTTCTTCCTCCAAAAACTTCTCCGACTCTCCATCTACTCACGCCTCCCTTATCGGCAGGGCGAAGATTTGCATCCTTTGACTGTGTTTTTATTTCTATTTCTATTACTAATTTGAGCTGGAGCGGATCCTGAATTGGACGGCTGAGGGTTATCTAAGTTTAGAATCTCCCCCTCGCAGAGCCAACAAAGAACTAACCTCCGGCGCAAGTTCCTGTCCAAACGACGCTCGTCGGTGCTGTTGCCACCGACACTGCTTCTGTACGCATCTTATTACCCCCCCCCCCCCCCGTCGTTTGTCCATATAGTTCCCCTGATGTCTGAGGCTTGGCTAGAGGACGGTGTTAGAGGACTACAAGTAGCTCACCAGACTTCATACCGCGCAGATACTGAAGTGCGTGAGAAAGGAGCACGGTGCCATTCATCTCTTCGTGCATCACAGGGGCAGCAAGCATCAATCGCTAGGTTCGTTAGACTCGTCTAGATGTTCCATACGGGACGTTACTCCCACGATTGCATTAGTATACATGCTACCTTTATTGTGAAAACCGCCAAAGATGTCCAGACCAGATTAGAATGATTAGGAGGGGTAGAAAATATATAAAACGGGGTACGCCAATTCCTAAATCGTAGCTTTGGTCGTAACCCGTCCATGTGCAAATCCCTATCAAATGCTAATGAGAGCCTAGCTTCCTGAGCTATATAAATGGCCGCAGAGGTGCGCTGCATCGTGCAGCGGGCTAGAGCAAGCGTATAAGCAGCCCCTCGTGCCAAATTTCAGCCCCGTGAATAGTTCAGACGCAGACGCATATTGCATGTACCCATCGGGTGTTTCATGTATACGGCAGCGTCGAGTTTGCCATCCACGTTGACATGGGGCACCGTTCATATAAACGAGCTACCCTCGTAATGCCCAGTGTCACGTGGGCATTCGACGTGATTTGATTATAAATCGACGGCAATCCGCGGTATATGAACAGGGCTGGGGAACGCCAAATCGGAGTAGCATCCTATTTATATATAACAAAACAAGGTCTCAGCCGCTTAATAAGCACCCAAATCGATCGATTTGCAAAAAAAATAGGACATAGTGTTCGGTTTTCACAATAAATCAAAGGGTACATATTGGTGACAGAGTACATTCTAACATAACAACATAGTTCGCACACAGGGTACATTGAGGGTACACGGTTGTGCGTATGAAGACAGTAGCCGTACATGTTTTTCAAAACACGATAGGCTTTCAATTTTACGCCAAAGATTACGCCTTCTGATTTGAACGGACCTTAAACCGAATTAGTTTTAAATTACGGACCCTAAACCCGATATAGTTAAGTACGAATGACTGGGTATAACGTTAGATTCGGCTGCAAGTTAACGAAATTGGTTAGATAAATCTTAAAAGCTAGGTGACTGCCACGACGCCCCGGTGTGTGCTACAGCAATGTACCGCGCAGCATTGTTGTTGGCTGATGTATTTATTTACGCCGCGATATGCATACTCATGCGGTGTCGACGGGACATGACTGTGGTCAGGACATAAATGGTCAGTGCCAAGTACCGGTATACAAGCGCAAGTCAATAACGAAAATGGGCACCCGACCATAGAACCAATAATATTGCTCGATACAAAGCTATTAAAAAGAGGGGGTTCTCCCCAACAATTTGAGCCCATTCACAATCGCGAGCGACTCATTCTGCACAAGCGCCGACCGCCAAAGGCAAGCCGATACAAAGCCTATTTGAGCCCACAATCCGTAGTTTAGCCAAGTGTGTTTTTCAGGTGACCACCAATCTGTCCACTAAATCTTGTCTGCGACGTGTGTACACTCAAGTAAATGCATGAGCCATTAGGTGACCATTTATACGTCCGGCGCGGATACACCTTGTATCATACATGGCGTCTATGAGATTTTATTACCGAGCATCATCTTGAGTAAATGTCTTAGTAATATTTCTATAAGTGCTCGACTTGAGTATAGATCTGCTAAATTTGCAGATTCGTTGCTTCAATCAACAGGTTTTTTGCGGTTACCGTCGATAGCGCTCGGGGCGAGCCAGCAGTGCTTCAATCAACAGCCATGCTCGGCGGAAGCTCGGTTCCCAACCATACCCGCGATTCGCGAATGGCGCTGGCAGCGAAGCAGCGCCGCGCTGCCGTATCTTCGGGCTTCCCATCTTGCATTGCATCCTGTCACGGATCCGTTATCTAATCCCACCGGAAAGCACGCTTCGCGGCACAGGACCTCGGGATGTCGGGGGTCCGCCAGCCAGCGGTTCACTTAGCACCTTACCACTCAGCTCACAAGTTACCACCGTTGTACAACAGCTTTCGCGCCACCAGCTGCCATGCTTGCTTGTCGCTACCTTCGCGGTGCATCCACTCGCTGGGGCCTCCGCCGTGCTACTCCACACATCCTACCCAATCGACTTCCTACGCCAGCAACCCCGCTCAACTTACGGCCTTTCTCCAAGATCGTGCACGAGTCGCCGCACCCGGATGTGAAGATCCTCAACAAGACGGTCTGTGACGTCGTCGGCGATCAGCTGAGCGTTAATGCGGACAAACCCGCCTTCATTGATGGCATCATGCATGAGCGCGTCACTTTCAATCAGCTCCATGAGCGGGCCAGGAAGTTGGCGGTTGCTCTAGCAAAGGACGGTGTGAAGAAGGGGGATGTACGTGGCAATTCCTGAAAACTCAGAACTGGTGCGTGCTGTGCCCTAAGCTGTTAATGCTGTTGCTGTTGCGCAGGCGGTCATCGTACACTCGTTCAACTGCTTGGACTACCCCACGGTGGTGCTCGGTAAAGTTGTTGCTATATTTCGATTGTAGTGTTAAATCAGAGGCAATGGTAGCTGACTTCGAGGCTGATATGTTGTGGTGGTGATGCAGCACTCATATCCTGAGGCGCGGTTTGTTCTCCTGCGTCACACATGTTCCTCCAGGGCGAGCTGGCAGTACAGATCAAGGCGGCGAAGGCCAGGTACATTATTACTCACAAGGAGCTGGAGACAACTGCCGTTGAGGCAGCCCAATTGTGCAGCTTGGAGATGAAGTTTATCTACACGATGGGTGGTGGGGAAGGCATCGGAAGAGGCCTCAAAAGCGTTGGGTAAGTGGTTTTTATGGTTTGAACAAATGCCCAGTAACGATCTTTCTGACAGAAGTGTGAATTGCTTTTAGCGAGCTGATTCAGCACGATGACGATTCGTTTCAGCTCGAGAAAATTGACCCGAGGAGCAATGTGCTGCTGCCATTTTCCAGCGGAACAACGGGTGTTCCCAAGGTAAACGCGACGTCGATAGAATTATCGGCTCGTTTCCCACCAAAATTGCTAAACGTTGTTGGCGTGATGCCCAGGGTGTTGCGCTGAGTGCGAGAAATACTCTATCTAACGCGCTCCAGATCAATCACGTGGAGGATCTAAGTGGAACGTCAGTTGGGCTGATGCCGTTCTTCCACAACTATGGTGTCATGTTGATGCATCTGTCGATATACCAGGGAGCTGCCAAGGTGATTTTGCCTCGGTTCGAGCCGGAGACATTCCTCAACACATTATCCACGTACAAGGTATCATAACTCGTCCTGGTGCATCACTAACGCAGTGCATGCAACAAAGACTAACAGTTTATCGTTTGTGTAGATCCGCGTGGCGCACATTGCTCCTCCACTAGCGTTGTTCCTTGCCCACCACCCCCTCGTTGACAAATACGACATCTCGGCAAAGTATTCCTGGTTTCAGCGGGCGCACCGATGGGTAAGGAAGATGAGAAGCTCGTCAAAGACCGGCTGGGAATTACTGTCAAGCAAACGTACGGCCAAAGCGAGACTTCGCATGGAGTCAACTATGCTGAAGATAACAACTGCAAGCCGGTGAGGAAGATTCATTCGAATGCTCAAGCGGCAAGCACTGCCTGCTAATATTGTCAAAATATTGCTATGAATACCAGGGAAGCGTTGCTCGCTTGCTGCCGAACACCCAGCTTCGCGTGAAATGCACCGCCACCGACAAGGATCTGGGAGTGGGCGAGCACGGGGAACTGCTGCACAAGGGCCCGCAAGTCATGCTGGGCTACTCGAACAACGCCGAGGCGAACGAGAGCGTGTTCGCCGAAGACGGATTCTTGCGCACTGGTGACATCGGCTTCATCGATGAGGACGGCTTCGTCTTCATCGTCGATCGATTGAAGGAGATGATCAAGTATAAAGGCCACCAGGTAGCCCCGGCTGAGCTGGAAGACGTGCTGCACCACCATCCGCAGATCTCTGATGCCTGCTGCATCCGAGGACAAAACTCCGTCGGCGAGGAGGTGCCAAAGGCCTACGTAGTGCTAAAGGACCCGATGAACGCGGCGGGGCTCACGGAAGAGGACGTGATGGACGTTGTTGCCTCCAAGGTCGCGCCCATCAAGAAGGTGCGGCAGGTGGAGTTCATCGACGCGATCCCCAAGAGCGCCACTGGCAAGACTCTGAGCAGTAAGCTCCAGGTTTACGAGAACCAGCAGCACCAACTGGCCAACACAGCCTAAGGCCCATTCTCAACCGGAATTTTTCGTCGCATGCGGCCTATTATACATCTTCCGGTGAAAATGCTTAGTGTAAAATGCTGTGAACTATCTTTGGTGTTTGCCTCCTATGTCCTGGTCAGCGTTCTCTTTGTCTGCCTGTTCCTCAGAGAGCGTAGATCAGCATGCACTAGAGTATCATGGCTTAATAACGAAAGCTATCAGCGCAAAACAGAGTCATAGCATACACTAGGCTTGACGGAGAACCGTGTGCGTGAGATATACTGGTATTGTAGGCGTATAGCGTGCGATTAAGACTAGCTAGCTCCAAGTACTTCTACCGACAACGGTTAATAGCACGTACATACAAAGCTACCGATGAGCAAAGCATTCGGTCGCATTATAATAGCTGCCGAGATGACTGTTGCTAGTAAAGCGATCTCCCGGTAGCATGTACCCATCTCATCAACCTGATTACGGGCCAAGTCAATCATTAGGGGGGGGGTCAGAATTGGCAAATGGTACCTGTCAAAAGCGAACCTCAATGTGCGTTCTAAAAGTTAGGGTTAGCTTCATGGCTAACTGATTAGATTCTAAAATTTAGTAAATAGGCTAAATCATCCGACTCAAAATATGTGCTCGGCGACGCACCCGTTGGCATATATTGTGCGATTATAGTCATTTGCCTTATGCTCGAGCTTCCTTGTATATTTGAATACCTTGTGGTGCGTTGATGCGAAGCATGACATGTTCTTTGGTCAATGCGCTTCATCCGGCTATGATTAGTGTGCTTGGCACAGCAGTTTAGCATCAAACATATGTCGATAATATGACTCGCTCATTGGTCAATACGGAAATTCGCTTAGGACAAGACTTCGCTTAGGACAGGGGCAAAAAATATCGCCACTTGAGAGCTCCCGAAATGATTAAACCATTTCCAAAATATCACCCCGGTCAGATATGAAATGACCGGTCATTTTTTGAATAGCTTATCTGCATGTAGAAATGCAAGGCTGCAGCTTGCTGCGCGCTCGGGCAGCAAGCTGCAGCCGATGGGCGCCTCTGCGACAGCAGCGCTGCGTAGAGGGCGCACGTAGGAACGTAGGAGCGTTAGCTGCCCGTTATCTGTCTGCCACGCATGGCCCAGAGGGCGAGGAAGGTGGTATGGCCCGTTGTGGTGCTGCGTGGCAGCAGGCTATGGCGCCATGCAGCACCACACAACACGCGCGTGAGCTTGCGCTAGTTCCAGGCCGCGATGTGCGCGGCGCAGGAGCGTCCAGAAGAGCGCCGCCGCTGCCGCCGCCGGCTCGCTCCGCGCGCTGGTGCATGGCGACGTGCTGGGCATTTGTGTAAATCGACGTGAATACATTTAGCAAGATAAACAGAGTGAAGGTCACCAGAAGTCGAAAATGGTCAACCATTTCGAATGTCTGACCACCATTTCGCGAAATGGATATGTCGGCTGACCATATTTTTAGAGACATGATCAGACTATTCTATTAACTTAATGTTACTTAAGTACAAGATGTCTGGTAAGTCCTAAGCCAGGATATCAGCGCCGGTGTCTGCAAAGAGCCCGGTGGCCTTACGTGGCTCACCACTTGCTGTGGTGTCTCATGAAGGGGCAGTCATACATATCTAGGCAGAGCAGTAGCCGTGTGCCCTGGACCATTGTGTGCGGTTTCCTCCGCTCTCGTTTAGCCAGCGCTCGTAAGTGTCGCCCTGCTGCTTGCCTGAATTCGCTTACGCTGTTTTCTTGTGAAACTCGTCCACCTTGGTGGACTACTCGGCTTCGCTGTATCCAAAGTGATGTTACGCAGATCGTGCACAGGATCCGTCACAAACGCTTCCACTCGCCTTCGTATGCCTCCGATTCATCTTCGAAGATGGTGGCTAACCTGGTTCGAATGCGTTGAGAAATCGGAGTTGCCGATCGTGACGCACAATAGCGCTCGAATGTCTGCACCTGCTCCGGACTCTGCACCTGACCTGTCCATCGCTGTGCCACTTCCTGCCAGCAAGCTTGGGCACATGGACATTGCCAGAATATGTGCTCTAACGTCTCATTTTGTCATTGGCATCGATCGAGTTTGCGCCAGCTATTGTTCTGCTGTCTTACATCAAAATACAGGTTTAACTGGCATGTTGCCAGCCTGTATGCAACCCATACCTGATACTCCGACAGCATATTGCCATGTGACCAGAGTGCTTTCGGTGTCTGTTGCATAACGTGATTTTGCCATCGATTTCGTGTTGCCCATTTGTCGAGGTGGTGAATGACTTGGCCTAAGGCGGTTTGTCTTCTCCCCCTTTGTAGCGGCGGTATGGTTGTTGCTTCAGCGCCTGGACGATATGTCTGTTCGCAATCGTGTCTGGAACCTCCCATGGGTATCTGTGTATCCACGGGTATGCCTGCATGACCAACCCACCTCTCCGCTGCGTGTTCTCGAGCTTCGTGACGTCAGCAGCTAAGCTGTGTGGTAGGGAATGGTGGTCTCTGAGTTCCCAGTGAATACCATCTTCGTGTTGGTGCAGCCGAAGGGAAGCGACTTTCCGTCGCTGGTCATCGAGGACGACTCCACTAACTGCTCCTTGTGCATTCACTGCCCAGAAATATTGATGTTGTAACTCCGGTTGATGCCGTAGATCCAGCTCCCGCTTGACCCGCATCTCCTCCGCAATCCCCAGTGGTGGTGATCCAAGAAGAACTGTCAAACCCCATCGGCCCAGCTTTGGTCGGGTGTGGTGCTTGGTTTCCCCTACTGGAGACGGGATAGCGATAGAGTATGATGCTACTCCAGTTCGCTGAATGTGTAGCTCGGCTAACGCGCACACTCGGATCCGATCATATTTCTTGTTGTAAGCACAGCTCCCCCTACTTCCCGTAGCCAAGGATTGTCACTCCACAAGAACGTAGGCCAAAACCTCTTGTCTACCTCCGCCAAGTCCACGTCTGCTCAAGTGTTGGTGAATTCAAATGATTTCGAGTGTGTTGCCATCCCGCCAACACGCCATTTCACTCAACAGCGCGGCCATGTGGCTTTCGCGATAAACCTGTATTTTCAGTTCGGTGGCCGCGTCGGGTGCGAGCCCTCCACCTATCACCGATCGCAGCCTCCTCCCTGGAAGGACCAATCCTCTGTTGTGCTGCTGCAGCAGAAGCTGTGGAGAGATTGACCCCACTTCAGTGTCATCCCCTCGGAATGCCCATGATCGCCACGCCCCATAGTAAATATCCAGTCGTTGGTTGAGCCACAAAAGTACATGTTTCATCCGCTGAGTTTTGATAGCCACGCCCACCGAACCAGCCCAATACCCCCGGCTCGCTTTGGCATATAAAGTAAGTCTGGGCTTACTTTGTGTCGGCTGGGGTCTGAGCTAGTGGAGTGTCTCCAGAGAAACTGTTTCTGAAGATTCCGGATTTCGCGATCCGCCCAGTGTGGCAGGTCATACACTGCTGCTGTAAATAAAATTGCCGGCATCATGATAACGTTCAACAGCGTCACCCGCATTTCAACGCTCGTTGCCAGTTGTGCTGCCGTCGCCAACCTGCGCCGTATATTCCTGATGCAAACCGCCCAATTGTAATCCGTCATTGGGCCCGTCCCGATATAATATCCCAAATATCGTACTGTATCACCATGTTGGAGTACCGGTATGCTGTGGAATTCCTCGAGGCTAATGTCCGTGTTTAGAAATATAAGCCTGCTCTTTGCGGGCTGGACTTGAAAACCAGAGAGGTCCCCGAATCGTTCGACGATCTGCATCACTCTGGGGATGTATCGAGCCTGGTTGACGAATACGGTCGAATCGTCGACGAATGCCGAAAACTTATGCACTGCGCCGGCTGTACCGGGTACTTGTAAGCCCTGGACGGTCGTATCTTGAGCTATCGCTAGCGCCAAGATTTCTGCAACCAGTAGAAATAACAAGGTGCGAGTGGACACCCTTGTCGGATGCCAGACCGCACTGTCGTTGGATCTGATAGTTCCCCATTGGCAAGTGTTGTTGTCTTGAGCGTAGTTGTAGTTGTAGACCGTCAGACGGAGGGCCAATTTGAAAGTGGGGCCGACTCCAGTTCTTCATCCGGTTGGGTTCTCTTTTCCTACAGCCCTAGTAAACTGGTGGAGCTCAGTAAATTCACTTATCCTTATTATACTTTACGAAAATCAAGTTCTTGTACTTCATGCATCTGTTTCTATCCGAGATTAGAAACTCCGATCGGTATGTCAAAAGTTGGTACTTATTCTAAACCACAACAACAAGGAATTGCGCCGTTGTATCCTGATGCATTTTCCTTAGTACCTCCACAAATGCCGAAGGAATAGAAACTCTCGCACAACTGTGTCATAGGCTTTTCGGAAGTCAAGTAACAGAATTGCTCTACTCAGCTCTGCTGCCAAATCCGGTTCACCTTTCGCAGTCGCTACAATCGCCATCATCATCATACCTGTTTTCGTCATCTGGCGTCCGTGGACAAACCCTTGTCCAATTACTTTCCCCAAGATTCGCTGCACTCTCATCGCCATTACTTTTGCAAAGATTTTGTAACCGGTTTGCAACAGCGAAATTGGTCGGTTGTCCATTGCGTGGCTGACCATATTTTTATGGTGACCATTTCGGCCAGTCGATGCTGATGCTCCGCCGCTTGGCCGACTGCCGTGCGATTACGCGCCACAAGAACACGCTGGCGAGGGCCATGAGCGAGGCCGCCCGGCCGCCGGTGCCGCCGTTCACGCGCGAGTCGGCGGCGCTGAAAGTGCGTGCGGCCGAGGACGCGTGGAACTCCCGGGACCCCGCCCGCGTCGCGCTCGCGTACACCGTCGACAGCGCGTGGCGCAACCGCTCCGAGTTCGTGACGGGGCGGCAGGAGATCGAGGCGTTCCTGACGCGCAAGTGGGCGCGCGAGACGCAGTACCGGCTCATCAAGGAGCTCTTCGCCTTCGACGGCAGCCGCATCGCCGTGCGCTTCGCCTACGAGTGGCTGGACGCCGAGCAGCAGCAATGGTACCGCGCGTACGGCAACGAGAACTGGGAGTTCGACGCGCGGGGCCTCATGGCCAAGCGCTTCGCCTGCATCAACGACGTGCCAATCGACGAGCAGGACCGCCGCTTCCACTGGCCGCAGGGCCGCCGGCCCGACGACCACCCGGGGCTCAGCGAGCTGGGGCTGTAGCTTGCTCAGCAGGTAGTGCTGGGTAATGCATGCAGCGCCACGTCCCCGGGGAGAAGGAATCTGATTTCGCTTCTATCTGAGACGTCCGAGTTGATTTCTGTTTGCGACACCAAACTTCTACGCATTTCTAAAAATACAGTTGTCTTTTCGAACCAATCCGCGCGGTCCGCGTTTGGCATTGGCTAAAATTAGTCCCGCCCGATTTGGCATTGGCTAAAAATACCTTCTCGAACTGAACCGCCGGTTCGCAGGCGCTCTCGAAACGCAACGCCGGCGGCCATAGCGCAAAAGCCCAAGAAGAGCAAGCAAGACCTGAGGCTTCTCTCTTCTCTCTGCGTCTTCCTCTTCCCTGCCAGCCCACCCAAGACGCAGCCATGGCCACGATATACAGCGGCGCGCCCTCCCCGTCGCGCTTCCCGTTCTCCGCGCACACGCACTACACGGCCAACGCGGACGCCGCCTCCGCGCAGATTCAGATGCAGCAGCTCCGGTACGGCGGCTACGCCATGGACAACCAGATGGAGGCCTCGTCGCCGCCGTCCTTAGCGCCCCCGGGCGCCACGCTCGGCCTCCTGAGCAAGCAGCACCTGTACGAGTCCAACGCCATGCGCCTCTCCTCGCCCGGGTACAGCAACCAGCAGCAGAACGTGTCGGCCGCCATGTACATGCAGTCCATGATGAGCAAGATGTACCAGCCGCAGCAGCCCCATCCGCCCCCGATGGACATGTCGCCCCAGCAGCAGCAGCAGCAGACCGACGCGCTGCTCGTGTCGCCAGGCGTCCCCGCGCCCGTAGAGCTGTCTATTTATGAGAACAAGCAGCCCACCGGCTTCCTGCACGTGACGGTGGGGAACCAGACCGTCGAGTTCTTCGACGGCGTCGCCAACATGCCGCAGAAGCGGTAGAGGCTTTTCTTTCTTCTCTCGCAAGATGAACGTGACAGCATCCCGCGACTAAAAGACGGGCCGTGTTCCCTCCTCTCTCCAACCTACAAGCCGCCAAGTACGTAACGATTGGACGCCCTCTGCTGATTCCCAGGACGACAGCGACCAGCCTCTTTATTGAAAAACAAGAAGAATCCCCAGAGCAAGCGTCGGAAAGCCAAGTGAACGAGGTGGCGGAGCGCTATAGAAACTCTTCTCGTCCGTGTCATCGTGGTGTATTGCGTCAAGTTTCGTGAGCCAAGCCAAGCCAGCCAGAGGCAGCTAGCTGCTAGCTTCTCTTTTGTGTGTATTTTATCGGCAGTCCCGAGTTCCTCCGCTGCCGTCGACGCCTGTACTTCTTCACTTTCATCGTATCTTTCTTCCTTTTCATTTTCACCAGCCATTTCAATTTAATCGCAAGAAGACAACGACCAGTTTTGCTTTCCACGCACGCATTGTACAGTGTATTTGTAGCTCTCAAGTCTACGGCGGTGCCACCAGAGGTACCGTGTCCACTGCAACAACGTCTTACTCTTGTTGCGTCGACTCCGATTCACGTGGAGCAGCCGCAACCTTAGGCTGAGGCGTGGGGACGGCGATACCGCGAGCCTTGAGGCGGCTGGCGATTGTACCATACTCAAACACCAGGCCGCCAACCTCGGCGTCGTCGTAAAAGATGAGGATGCCGTCGCTCTCGTCGGTCAGGCCGAGCTCCGCCTCGGAGCAGATCATGCCCTGCGAGACCTCTCCGCGCAGCTTGGACTTCTTGATCTTGAGCTTCTTCCTGCAAGCCACAATAACAAGCAACGGACATCTGTGTGAGAGACTACTGCAACAACTGCCAGTCTGCCATGTGGATACGGGTACTCAACGTACAGCTCTCCGGTCTCGGGCTCCTTGATGGCCAGCCTGGTGCCCACTTTGGCCACGGGCACGCGCGCGCCTTGACGCACGTTGGAGGCGCCGCAGATGATCTGCAGCAGGTTCTCCTTGTCCCCGACGTTGACGGCGCAGATGTTCAGTCGGTCGGCCTGCGGGTGCGGGTGGAACTCCACGATCTCGCCCACGACCAACGTGTTCCACGTCGTCTCCACCACCGGCTGCTGCTGCGGAGCCTTCTTCTTCTTCTCGGCTACCGCGGCCTCTTCTTGAACCGCAGAGCTGGCGGAGTCGCTGAAGGCGGCGAGCTGGCTGCGGACACCGCGCAGCAGCACAGCACGAGGCTGGCAGCGGAGCGACCGGAGCATCATAGCTGATGATGATGAGCGAGAGGCCGAGAATGACAGGCGTAACCCGATTTGTAACTGGGGTACACTGTCGGACACCGAGAAGTAACTGGTCAAGAAGTTGAAGTTTTGGCCGACGTTATCATTCTTGTCGTCTTGTGTATTAGAAAGCGCTGCACGAACGTGTACGACTGGTTAGCCTACAGCAAAAAAAAATCTTGGTTGGCACACGGGCGCCACCTTGGATCTCAATGGCTTCATCCTCTTTCTCTCGTCTAAGCGCGCGCGAAGGTTCGGCCCGTGATCGTCTTCTTCTGGGTCTTGGACTGGTCCTTCTCGGGACGCGCGCGGTTCAGCACTGATACAAGTAAACGCGGAATACAATGCACCGGTTAGTAAACACAGTAGTGAGCCCACGCACCACGAAGGGTACGAACCTTGCAGCAGCAGGTCCACGCGCTTCCGCATGCGGATGTGCAGGTACGTCTTGGACGCCTTGATGTGGTAGTGCAGGTAGTTGCGCAGACCCTGCACCAGCGTGGCCGCCTTGATACGCTTCTCGGTTGTGTCCACATGGGTCGGGAAGATGGCAATGCTCAGATAGCCGACCAGGTCCGGCGAGTTACGCAGGCCTGGGGCACCGCGCAGCTCAAGGGGCGGGTCCTTGCCGAACGCAACAGGGGGCGCGTTGTTTACAGTGCGACGGGTGTCCACAAACTCCTGCAGTACGAAAAGCGTGATGTCAACCGTCGATGTTAGTTACTCTCCTTCTTTAAACAAACTGGGACGACGAGGAAGAGCAGACGTACCTGCAGGAACACGCGTGCTATGGCCTGGTCCGTCTTGTCATCGAAGCAGACCGAGTACACGATGACGATGCGGTCGGCCTGAGGGAGCACGTAAATGGTCTCGTTGCGGCGGTACGGAATCTGCACGGGACCGAGGGAGCTCGCGTTTCCATTTTGCAGAGCCTCAAAGCACTGCTCGAACGGGGCGCCCAGAATGTTGCGCTTCAGCACCGAAATGCGATCAATGAACGACGCTGTAGGAGAAACACAATACACTCGAATTGTCAGAACCCATCTTCAACACGTCGCCATTTATCAAAATCAGCATTCCACACGTACAGGCATTGGCCGGGGTGATCAAGTCCACGTTGACCTGCAGCGAGAAGTCAAAGCCCGCCTTCGCGGCGACGAGCTGGCACTCCGGGTAGGTCGCGGCGAACATCTGCGTGACACCCAGTCTACCATTCAACCTCCTGTTAGCGCCAACTAACAAACCGAGAAAACAACTATACAACACAGCACCGCGTACCCTTCCAGCGTCTTGTAGGGCGGGTAGGCCATGGAGACCGTCAGCAGGTTGTCCGCGATCGACAGGTCATACTGCACATCTGCCCAGCGAATACCCCCGTCAACACGTCAGTATCCCCAACCTCCAAGGAGATCCACCCCCTTTTAAGCTACAGTAGCCTCCCTCGCTGCTCGCAATATCGTTTCCCCCCTCGACTGTAAACTCACCGTCAAAGTCGCACAGGCGGATCTCGAGCGGCGGCACGGGGCGAGGAGCTCTGCACACAAACAATCACACAACGAACAATTCAGCGCCAGAACGAAACCACCGAGACTCCCCCCTCACGCGTCAACAGAGCTGCGTCGCGTACTTCTCGCCCAGGCGGCCCTCCAGCACCTCCTTGATGATCTTGTTCTCCGACTCGAGGAACAGCATGTTCACTTCCTGACAACAGCCTTCCCAGATGCGAACTGGGAACAAGAGGGGATTGTCACAATCGCATCGGTTTCTTACCGGTCATGCTCCGGTACATCAATCTCATGTCACAGACAAATAATCACATCGGTTTCTTATCGGTACGTCAGCTTGAAACGGCTTCGTGGTGGGTGTATCATCGTCACATCCGGAGCAGCTCTTCCTCTCGCAGCATGACGTCGCGCCCACCGCTGCCGTCGACCACGTCGTCCATGAGCCTCGTCGCGGGTCCGAGCGAGCTCGAGTACGGCGTCTACGGCCGCGTGCTGTTCTGCGGCCAGCTGGAGAAGCGCCGCGACGGCGCCGTGCGCGGCGGCTGGGCCTCGCGGCTCTTCGTCCTCACGCCCGAGACGCTGCACTACTACCGCAAGGCCACGGAGTTCGAGCTGCTGGGAGAAGAGCGCGGACACGTGAGTCGGATGTAGAGCGGTTCTACCTTGACGTTCGTATACCCTACTGACGAGTGAGTGGTGATGTGTGCTGCAGATCGCGTTGTCCTCCATCACGAGGGTGCGCGCCATGCCCGAGGATGAAGCGCCCTACTCGTCGATCGAGCCGGGGGTAGAGCACTACTACCTCGAGATCTGCACGGTAGGTCAATGTTATAGCTGTGTAATTGCGGTGGGGGTGTGGGAGACGGCTGATAAGGTAGTTGTTGACAGGAAGATCGGCTGTACTTGATGCGCACGCCGATTCGCGAGGCGTCGACGTGCGAGAGCTGGTCGATCGCCATCGAGGAGCAGCGCAAGGTGCTACGATCTGGGAAGGCGAATCAACGTGAGTCCTCCTCAAACTCTGTCCCCTTTCCGGAGGCGTTGCCCAGCCCCACCCTGCTTGCACGCAACCATGAACTTTTCTCCCATTTCGTAAGTACAGGTCGTCTTACGGCGCCTTTGTGTGTCGTGCTTTCCGCCGTGTCGTGGATCTGTTTCACTAGAGTATAAAAGCGTCCTCCTGTTTGCGAACGAACAGGAAGCGTCGCCGCCGCGCGTGGCCATGGTCTCGGTCGTGCACGTGAGCGAGCGGGATGCGCGTCCTGCGGAGAAGGTGATCAAGCGGCGGACCGAGTGGGGCGAAAAGCTGGACCTCGGCGTGATCCCCCAGGGAGGGGCGTGCGTCATTTTGCTCCAAGATGGCGGCCTCGGCCGCATTGGCACTCAGGCGCTTATGAGCAGCTGGGACGCCGGACGCGTGTGCTGGATTGAAGTCACCGACGCCGAATTCCCCACGGAGATCGAAGTCTCGGTAACCTGCAAGGTGCTTTCTCAAGAGACCAAGTTGAAGTCGCCCAAGCCCCAAAGCGCCCAGGAGGGTCACCCGAAGTGGGTGGAGTGGGTGGACGAAGGCTCCAGCATTGGCTTCCTGCTCATGTGCCTGTTTGTTCACCTGCTGTACGGCGTGGACGGCTTCCACTGGTCGCACAAGTGCTGCCTCACGGTCGGTGCTGCACTCGCGATATCGACGATCCTCAACGGATCGACCAGAAACTCTCCGACGCCAGCGCCCACGCCTAGACACTCCAGCCCGACGAACTTCCTACCCAAGCTGCAGTTCACTCTCACCGTTCATCGCTGCCGGATAAAGATGGAGGGCACGGAGTACATTTACCCGCAAGCGAGCGGCGACAAGAAGTAGACTGCGCGTCTTCCGTAGTCATGGATAGAGCTATGAGCAAACGTGCGTCATACATGCGTGCACTCCAACTCGGATGTTTGATTGAGAAGCGAACGAAGCAAGTTCAATAAATTACTTATCCTACCGAGGCTCTTGAATACGTGTGCGTTGTTTTTTCTAGTGTATAGCTTTGTCAGCGATGATCAACCGACCACCCGCCCAGTGGCTCGGCGAGCCGTGTCCAGCAGTGCAATCACTGCCTGTCGGTCTGAGTCAGCGTAGCCCAGTTCGATGAGTCGCTGGCTGAATTCCTGTAGAGTGAGCGCGCCGCACGAGAGGCTGCTCATGCCCAGCATGACGTCCATGAGGATCTCGGGCCGCTTGATCTTGAGCAGAGCGCCGCGCTCGATGAGCCCCATCGACGGGAACGAAAGCTTCCACAGCTCGCGAAATTTGCGCTCAGCAACCTCAGGGTCCTCGACGACGGGGGGTGTCGTTGCAGGCGTCTCCACGTTAGTGTTGTCCATTTGGAAAGACCGCGTGCGAGGTGCGTCGGGATGACGACCATAAGTCTCGATCTGCTGCAGGGTATCGACGATTCCTTCAGATGAGCTGCGCTCACGGAAAATTCGCTCACGGGGCGACTGCAGGTCTCGTCGACATTGTTGACGTGTACGTTCCTGCTGCTGATGGCGCGTGTACGGCTGCCGGTGGTTGCTGTTGGCATATCTAGAGTTGGCAGGCGGTTGCTGCGGCTTCGTTCCTCGCTGGCTGTACTCCTGAATATTTCCCGCTTTTCCGACCGAGACAAACACCTCAGCTTCGTCCGGCAGCTCTGCAATCTCCTCCACAGTGCGAATCGGCTCGCCGTCTTCCCTCGAGATGTCAATAATCTGGTTCTCCTTGACGCCAAACCGAATCTTGAGCACGTCCATAATCACCTGCGCTTCCGTCCCTTCGAAATACGAGATGCACACCGTCCGACCGAAGGTGGACAAACTGTTCACGTTCAGGTGCTTGCAACGCTGCACGCGCGGCTGAAGCCCCTTGCGCGACCGCGGCAAATTAATCTGCCATAACCTGCTCACACACACCTGGCACACGCGTCGCGGCCGCTGTTCATCCACTTCGCCTTTGCTAGCTGCGGTCTTTTCGCGCTCGGGGTTGGCCAGTCGAGTGCTGGTGCACTTGCTGCAGAAAGCCTTACGGCAGTAGCTACACTTGTGTTTCCACTCCAGCAACGAGAACATCTTGCGGCAGCGCGAGCAGTTCTCCGTCTTGTTGGAGTGCACCTGCAGAGGAACCGGTCGATCGGGAATCAAGTTCTGCAGCATGTTGTCCACCTCGTCCGATGTGATGCTGTTGCCCTTGTAGAGCCGGAACTCCTCCACCATCAGAGACTTGATGAAACCTTGGTTCGGGTACACGACGCCGCGACTGGCCATCGCAAAATTCACGGCCGTGACGAGAGACCAGTTGTTGGCGCGCATTAAATACATGATGACGAGGGTGGCCGAGCGCGAGATGCCCTGTGTGCAGTGCACCAGGACGCGGCCGTGCTGCGTGCGCTTGGCGGACTCGATGAACCTGTACGCCGCGTCGAAGTACGAGCTGATGTCGGCCTCGGGGCGGTCCTTGATGGTGACGTTCAGGTACTTGACACCGTCGCTCTCGAAGGTGTTGCCCACGTCCAGGCTGGCGTTCACGACGTGCGTGATGCCCAGGTGCGAGACCACCTGCTTGGACTGCGCGTGCCACATATTGCCCAGGAAGAGGAAGCCCTCGAGGATCTCGTTCGGGTAGTTGAGGTTGTGCGTGCCGCTCTTGGTGCGCGTGAGCTGGCCCGAGATCTCGTCCAGCAGCGCCGACGTCGTGTAGAACGGGTAGCGGTACTTGAAGGTGAGGAAGCCGTCGGTGAGCAGCTTGACGCTCGTGACGAGGCCGTCCTCGATGAGGAGGCGCTCGAGCTTGCGCAGCCAGCTGCAGGGATTCTTGGCCACGCCGGCGTCGTCCGCCGAGCTCTTCTTGACGGCGTCCCCGAACAGCACGACGTCGCGCAGCTTGCGCTTCTTGCTCGAGAAGAGGTAGCGCTGCTCCTCGAGCAGGCCGCCCTCGACGTCGTCCAGCGAGCGGCAGCCCTGCATGGGCGGCACGGAGATGGCGGACGGGATTGAGTCCTCCTCGTACTCCTCGCGCGTGCGCGTGTCGATGAGGATCATGCCGCGCGACGCCTGCACCTGGTTGTACAGCCAGCGGCAGTTGACCTCGCCCGTGCGCACGAGGCGCTTGCGCGGCGGCGGGGAGGACGCCACGGGCTCGCTGCTGTCCTCCGTGGGGCACGCGCCGGCTGCGTCGGGCGCCTCGTCCTTGGCGACGTCCGACGCCGCGTTCTTGCTGCTGCTGGCGCTGTCGTCGCCCACGGACATGGCGGCGGTCGGGAGCTGCGGGACCAGAGTGGCGGGCGTGGGCGTGGGCGTTGGGTTGTGGCCGGCGAGGGAGTGGGCGGGCGCTGCTGGCATTCGCTGGCGCCTCGCGTGGCTGCTTCGGTAATCGGAGGCGGGCGAAATGCCGCCGGCAGAGCGTCGTCGAGGCAGCGGGTAGAGTGGAGAGATCCGGATCTGCCGTAGCGGTCTGGTTCATAACTGCTGGAGGTTGCTGCTGTCTGGTGGACTGTGCGTGTACCTTGGCAAAAAGAGGCCCAAGCAGCGAGAAAGGATGGGGGGCGTGTGGAGTCGTGAGAGTCGATGCCTCGGCAGTGGATTGAAACAGCTATTTACACCAAAACCGGTAGTAGGAGCTCTGAGGTAACTGATAAGATAAGGAAATACATAGTTTATAAATGCCTTGGATATATCCGTTTTCGCAGGTTGCCTTAGAAAAAGCAGCCACTCCAGCTCTTTCTGGCTCTCGGGGGAATACTGGGCGCAAGTGAAAATCGTCCGTGGCTTTTCTAGCGCGACGCTAAAGTCGAGGTAAACACAAAAACAGTAGGCTGACCGACGAGGCGCAAAACGTCAGTAGTACAGTATACAGCCGCAGTGTACAGCTGAGCTGCGTTGCTGTTCACCAGCTTGTAGCCACGGCGGAAATCATTTGCGGTTCGGTTAGTCAGACTGTACCTAAAATTCGTGGGGGTATTAACCATGACTCACTGGTGTATTCGAGAAGCTACTGTACAGTGCTGCTGTTGGCAGCCACAGTAGAATGAACTCGCCAGCAAAGATTACTGTAGTTTGCGGGGCCTAATTTCTATAGCGATGGCGCTAGAGCTGAAAACTTAAACTAAAGTCTGAAGACATACTTAGCTAATAAAAATGGGGAAAATAACAAGAGCATTACGTAAATTGTATGCCAACTCAAACGGGGGCGAAGCCACTCACTGTAGTTAGATAAAATTAGCATGTGCAATTGCCTCAAAGACACACAATTTTACTTAGCCACCCCTGACAGTTATCGAGATAATCTCGTTTGAAGATGACCAATCAAATTTCGTACCTAATCGGAAAAATAAATCTGAAAGGCGAGAAACAGTATTGCGTTTACTCGATCGTTCGGATAAAATTTCACCCCTCCAGCTTGAGAAGCGCTCGCGGCAATGTTGTCTTACTAAAGCCTCGTTTCTTTCACCACGTTCTCGATCAATTTCGTTGGCACGTTCGACCAGCAAGACCCGTTGCTAAGCTTTTCTATATTGCCCAGGTCAAAAAGGTCACTTGTGTTTGCGGTTTGCTTACACCGCGACCGAACAAAAATACAGAGCCGTCAAGTACAAATTGTAATTACAAGTACAAAGCTGCTCTCAGGGTCCTACTGGATCGTCTTCAGGCCGAACTCCAACAAGTGCCCTACTTAAAGCAGAGGCCAAAACCTCCCCACACACACACACATTGTTGTATGCACTGTATACTTCGCCTCCGGGGGGGTACAGACGATTGTGGCTGCTGCAATCAAAGGCGTGAACGATAAACTCAACAAGCACCGAGGAAAAAAAACAAGCAGGAGCAGGAGAACTCGAGCGAACCGACGCTGAACAGTGGGAAGAACACAATAATATACTACTACCGATCCACTATAACCGCAGCGAATTTGTAAAACGAATGCGTTGTACACACTACTCTACGAAATTTCGATAGTGGTTGAAGGACACCCTTCGATCAATGTGGGCGGTGAAACAACGAACATGTCGTTGGTGAGAGAGCTTCGCATATTAGGACCCAACGACCACTCTATGGGTGGTGAAAACGCGCAAGTTACTGTTTTTGGGTCTATCTCCGGCTCCACTTGAAAACGTGTTCATACAGTAAAGTGTCTCGATAAGGAACGCCTGATATGAATAGAAAGAAGAAGGTATATTCATGATTGAAGGTTTATCTCGTCACATCAAATTCCCCTATGTACTGATTTATCGGCACGTGATGAGTTGGAGCGTGGCGAAAGCACGAACATATCTTGCTACGCACACGGGAGGAAACCACTAGACCATGTGACATCGAGTCGATGTTCTTTCGCATGCCTGTGTGGACTCCGAATTGATCAGGCCGCCACCATGGCTAACCAAATAGTTAACGGGCAAGCGTCAAGCAAAAAGATGTGGAAGATGTGTGGCGTTAGCTGTCTAAAACAGTACATCAGACAGACAGTGGGTACAAAAGGGGGATGATGACTTCCTGCAGAGTATAAAATATAGCCCGTTCCTTATCGAGGCACTTTACTGTACTGGTGTTTAGGTTTTTATTGCACGTATTGATTTGGGTGTTTTGATTTCAATTTTTCATGTATTGATTTTGGGTAAACGGTGTTAAGTCGGTGTGACACCGTTGCTCCAACGTTCCTTGTAATTCTGAGCGTGGACGCGGCCAGGGACCAATGGCAATCACAACGATTGGAAGTGGTGACGGCGAGAACGAGAACATTGCGCAACTGAGGCGAGACCCAAGCGGCGTTTGGCAGGCATCTTCATCGTCAGACTCCATGCAAAGTGACTGTTGACTGTGTGCTGTTCAGTCAACGGATCAACGCGATGGGGGTAAAGCAATCACACATTTTAGTCTGTCCACTGTGGAAACGTCAATGTCTCCAGTTCATGTCGTCTTTTACATGCTTACTCCGCTCTCGATGTTGCCAACGCCAGCAGACACTTGAGCAGAGAGCACATGTCCTTTACCAGACGAATCTGATAACCACTTGCTCAGCAATGCAACGAAAGGCAAGGTGGTACATGGTTTAACGTATTGTGGAGATTCACGCTAGATTCGTTCTCTAGCGTTTATAATTCTACACGGTGTAGCCACATTGTGTGGGTGCATGCGACTAAGCTAAGTATCTTACAGCGGATCGATGTTGCGGTCACATAATGGAGCACTGGCCTTCCTTGGACACCGCGGGCAGCTCGAGCTGCGGAGACGTCCTGCGCTCGAGCCTTGCCGGGCGACTTGGCAAGCCGCCGCTAACCAGCAGGTCCAGCTCGTCCTCCGTGACGCTGCACTTGCCGTGGAACAGGCGACGCTCCTCTCGCATCAGCGCGCGCAGGAATCCTTCGTTCGGGACCACCACGCCGCGGCCCGAGCGCGTAAAGTTAAACGCTTGCGCCAGCGACCAATGGTACGCGCGCATAACGTACAAGATCACGAGCGTTGCCGAGCGCGAGATGCCCTGCGTGCAGTGCACCAGCACGCGGCAGGGCTTTCCGTCCTTCGTGGTCGAGCGCTCAGCCTTGGCGATGAACTCGAATGCGGCATCGAAGAACCGAGCGACGTTGGCCTCAGGTTTGTCCGGCAGCTTGACGTTGAAGTACTTGATCCCGTCCTGCTCGAAGACGTTGCCGATGTCCAGCGTGGCGTTCACCACATGAGTGATCCCCAAGTGCTGGACAACTTGCTGACATTGCGCCTGCCACATGTTCCCCAGAAACAATAAGTTGTCAATGATCTCGTTCGGGAACGAGACCTGGTGCTTGCCACTCTGCAGCACGCCGTCGCCGACGATGCCCTGCGTCGTGTAGAACGGGTAGCGTTTGTGGAACTTGGAGAAGCCCTCGCAGAGTCCCTTGATGGTCGCCGCGCGGCCGTCGTCGATGAGGAACTGCTCGAGTCGGAAGAACCACGACTGCGGGTTGCTCAGGTCTTCCGCGTCGGCGAAGAGCAAAATGTCGCGCAGGCCTCGCTTGAACGCCGAGAGTCCTTGGTTCTCCACGTACTCGGCGCAATCGCTGGTGTCGTCGTCCTCGGGCGGCGGCGGCACGTTGATGGCCCCAACCACCGTGTTGCTGATGAACTGCTCGCGCGAGCGGCAGTCGACGATGATCTCGCCCACGTGAATGTTGTTGAACAGCCAGCGACTGTCCACCACGCGCTTGCGCAGCGCCCGCTTCTTGCAGACCGCGCCGGTGGCTGCGCATTTGCAGGCGTCCCGGGCCGGAACCACTTGCACGAGCTGCGTCTCACCCATGGGGTGGCAGGGGACCGGGAGTCAATCAATGATGCCTGTCGCGAATCCAAAAGTGCCCCTGCGATCGCCGCCAGCAACTCGAGTGCCATCTTTTGTTGTGGCTCCATTTACTGAAATTTGATGCAGCGCTGTGATTGGCCCGTTGGGCTCAAGGAGCAGTCCAACTACCTGTGTCGCAGCATACCTCGGGAAAGTCGACGCATCGGATTGAACGGGTACGAGCCATTTTCTGTTATCGTCGACCTGTCAACTGGGCGGGCGCGTGTTTTTTAGTAGCCGGACTGAAGCGCCGGTAGAGTCGGATGGACGCGCTTCGTCTCTGGGGCGAGCTGCCCTTGCGCGGCGACTTTCTCAGCGAGTGCGATGGCGGTCTCAGTTGAAGGCCCTCGGCCGCAGCGCGCCGAGTCGGCGCGCTGCCCGCCGCTGCGAACCACTGGCGTGCGCAGCTCTTTGGCGGCGGGGAGGGAGATGGCTCCACCGGATCTCTACTTATGCGAAAAGCCGACGCAGAACCACTGCGCCACTGCCGCTTGCAGCGATACATCGTGCAATCCCGTCTCGTCTCGGAGGACAGCGCACCGCCGCCGGAGGCACCGCCGTGATCGCGCGGCGTCTATGAGCGCCACCCGCTCGCGCACGTGGCTTCACTCGCATCTGCAGTCCTTGAAGCACGCCGCGGCCACCACGCGCCGCTGTCGGCGGGGGCGCTTGCGTTTCGGCTGCACCAGAATGCCGGTGCTTTTGGCCACTCGAAGGCGGTCCGAGCTGGCCCAGAGCCAGAGTGCGGTCCGTCTACACATCTGCCGCGTCACATGCGCGCGTGCATAGACGACCAGCGGGATCCTGAGCTCATTTCGGGCCACAGCATGACGCGGTTATTCAGCACCAGCGCGTGACTTCGAGCTTGCCGAAGGCCTGCAGCAGCGGAGCGCCCAGGACGCTGTCCGCAGCCAGGATTGGGGGCTGGTTGTGTCTGTGCTGGGGAAGTTCGACGTCTTCCTGAAAAAGCGCACTCATCAGAGCAGCCCGACTACATGGAATGCACATGTACAACAAACTGTATCTGCTCCCGGAGCGTTTGTTTGTTTGCTTGCTTGCGGTTGTTGAACGGGCAAAACTTGCCCGTCGGCGAGCATGTGTATTGTGGTTTGAAGCTGAAGGCTGAATGAAGGGGAGCTTATTCGGCGAAAATCGTGGCGAGCAAGACTTTGGCCGCCAAGTTGGCGAGATTGCGTCGAGAATGTAATCTACCGTGGTTGAAAGAGGCTGCCGTGGTTGAAGAGGATGAAGGCCGACGTGGGAGTTCAATCACGCAAGGGGCAAGCGAAGATAACCTCTGGTAGATGATCTAGTAGATAGCGGTTGTCCGGGGCAGCTGCGACTACCAACTCAGCTTTCCTACGTCCCTCTGCATTGCAGACGAAGTCGCGCACAGCAAAAGGATCCTGTGTGCGTGTTCACTGACATGCTTTGATAAATTCGTCGGATGCGCCATGCTACTGTACCCGCTACCCTTCATCTCATGGGGATCACCTGCGGCCCGAAGCGGGATGACCTCAGCTCGATTCATCCCATAAGCTTAGTATGCTGGTGCCGAATCCGCACGCTACTCAATCCAGAAGATGAAGTTATGGTCGGTAATTGCACTCGTGGCGGCGGGATCGGCTAGTGTCCTCCGCTGTGACAAGAAGGTGCTCCGCAACTTCATCATCGACAGTGCCGATTCGATTGGGGGTGCAGCAATTGGATGCCAGTCAGCGAGTACGTGTTCCTGTACACTCGCTGAGGTACAAGTTTTATTTTTATTTGTTGCGGTTACCGCCGATAGCGCTGGGGGGCTGACCGGCCCCTCAGGTACCCGGTGGCTATGGCAATCGTCTCTACGTCTTCGTCTCCGTCCTATTTTCCTACAAGATGCATCCTAAATATGTATCTGATAGGCAACCCGGAGCGTTGCTCCGGGAGGGTACACAGGTCGGCGAATAGTTTCATGGACGATGATAACGGATAACAATTGAGTAAATCCCAAAGTTGTGTTGCTTTTAATCCTTTTAAGGATTTTAAAAGAGCACTACCAGCCGAACTCTCTAGTTGATTCTTATGTGGCCATAACACCCTGGTCAGCGTCCAATGGCTGCGTTGATGCCAGCAACGAGAGAGCTATTTCATTCAGTTTGCAGGTAAGGTATACTGTGCTCATTTAGTACTATGTTGTGTGCTAACGATCAGACGAGAGAGCTAGCAGAACGAAGGAGAGTTGCATGGTGCGCTGATCTTGACCTTTTAACTTGAGGGTAAAGTGCGGAATGAGAAATACGTTAATGTGCCAAGTCCTTGGAAGTGGGCGCTTCAACGCAGGTAAAGAAAGCCTAATTCAAACGAACGATGCTCGTGTCACTGTCGAGTTGAGCTGGTTGGTTTGGCGAGAGACACGAGGTTGGGCATCTTCGGCTAAGTGATTGAGTATTGAGCAAATTGACATGTAAAAAATGCAGCCTGTAGCTAGACAAGTCATATTGGTCATCTTCAGCTAAGCATGGCGCAAATTGATATTAATACGCCTTCAGCGAGGCCATGACGCTCTCATAGTGTCCTGGAGCGTCCGTAAGTGTTTGGACGCAGGTTTTGGTAAAGAAAGTACGATTAGTATCAACCTTTGGTAAATAATGTGCCTAAATCTTAGCATTTATCGACGGGTACCCGATTCCGGCAGATATTAGCTTAAACATTAAAATTAAGAAAGAGAGACCCGGTTTGGTACCCGGTTTCGGTAAGTTACATAATTTTTCTGCCGGCCAAGCACAGCTCTTCGACCTGTGAATTAGGACATTCTCGTACTTTTTGTGAAGAAGGCAGTGACTCTGGCTCCGCCCCAGCGTGCCTGACTATACAGTATACACCTGGGACACCCAAGGTTGCCTTTGGTTGTGAGTGTACGGGACGCGACTCCTTGAGCCCGTTGGCGTATAGTAGTTTGCAGCTAACACAGAGGGGGGGGGTTGGCACCTTCGAGGTTTCCCTCCTCAATCCCAAAGTTGTTCAGTGGGAAGCACGTGTGTTCCTAGCGTCGTCTTCCTGCTCACTAAGCTCTTCCTCCTACCAACACTCGCCTGCGCATCGTGACAGGTTATGAGCCCAACGCTCTGGGGCTTTGCGAGCAGTTCTCGTGTAGCTCGGAGACCAAGTGGACCGTCGTCTGGTGGTGGCACGCCAACTGTGGCTGCTGGCGGCCAAACTAGTGCTATTTCGTCTGGTTTTGCGGTGAGCGCAGTAGCTGGATCGATTGGAATCGCTCCTCCGGCGACTGTGATGACTCCTGCAGCTACCGGACCGAGTGTTGGGGTGAGTGTGACTACATCTGTCCCAAGTTTGATCTCTGCTGGCTCGAGTGGAACTGCTGGCACGCTGACTGGAGGGTTTACGTTCTTGGGGACAACTGGAGGTGGTTTTACGGGGGCGACTGGGGCTGGAGTGACAGCTGTAGCGCCTGCGCTTCGACTGCATCGAGCTTTGCGGCCTCGCCGTGGGGTACAGTCCCGTCGCTGCCGTCGCTGGGTTCGCCTGCATTTGCATCGTCTCTGGCGGGTGCTAGTGTACATGCAGCTCCTATGATGACTCCTCATTTCGCTAGTAGTGGCTGGTATGGAATGAAAATGGAGAATAAACCGCCTGTAATGTCGGGAAGTTTTGACTTGTATGCAGAGGAGCTGAAAACTTTCTTGACCAACATGGACATTTGGGGTGTTGTGGAGAATGCGTCAGCGGTTCGTGCAGCTGTTAGCGAGGAGCAAGTTCGTCGAATGAATAATTTGGCTCGTGGTGCAATCATGCGAGGCGTTCCTAAGGCCGATGCTGAGTTGATATGCCATCAGCAGAGCGCGCAAGATATGTGGACTGCATTTGTTGATAAGCAGACCAAACGCGAGTATGCAAATTAATCTTCGCTCGACAACGGTTGATTGCGAACGCGTACACGCCAGGGAGGAACATGAATGACTGGCTTCGTGAGATGCAGCTCTATCGTAATGAGCTACTGCACTATCGAAGAGGGGTTTCTGACGAGGAATTCGCCGAGATTCTCCTTGGTAACGTGGTGCAGACACATCGCGACGTTGTTCGACAGTTCTCCAAACACTTTGACCCTGGTTACCAGCGATCGACTCCGTCGTCGGCTCAAGTGATGAATGCATTGAGAGCAGAGTCGGAGCTCGACGCCAGGATGGATGATCCACAGCAAGGCCGTGATATCTCTTCCGCGCAGGCTGGCAAGAAGCAAGGCCAGCAGCCGCAAGGAAAAGGCAAGAAGCGTGGTCGAGGTAGATATAAGGCTAAGAGTGGTAATCCGAAGCAAGTTGGAAAGAAGCCTGGTGGTGAGGACAAACGTGAGTGCTGGAATTGCCATCAAGTTGGCCACATCCAGACAAATTGTCCGAATCCCAAACGCGATGACGATGAGTCTGATTCGCAGCTCCCAGAGCGGAAACGCTGGCAACATAAGAAGAAAGCTGGGAAAAACGGCGAGAAGCGTGATGTGAATATGCTTTCTCGTTGTGATGATAGTTCGGCGCCTACGGCAACGCAGAGTTCTCTCGATGGTGGAGTTGAGTGGATCTTGGACTCAGCGAGTGACTGCCACGTCTGTACCAATATACCGATCTACGCCAAGATGATGGACCTATGGTGTTTGATTGGGAAGGCAAGCCGTCCAAGAGCAGAGGGTTGATTGGAGAAGTAAATGTTCGAGTGAAGAACGAGAATCAGCCTGATATTCCTGTTTCGTTTTGTCTGGGTAATGTGCTCTACACAGCTAGCGGCACAAACAATTTACTGAGTCTGGATAAGCTTGAGAAGGACGGATGGGACTTCGTCAAGCTGAAGAAACAGAAGTGTGCGTGGCTTCGTAAGGGTAGAGTGCTGCTGAGACTGATGAAGACTCGCGGACGATATCGCTTGCAGTCGACGGTATGTCCTACAAAGCAAATAGAGGCAGTCGAGCAAAGCAAACCGGACAAGGAGCGAGCTTTGGTACGGTGGCACGCCCGTCTCGGCCATCTCAACTTTGCTGCTTTACAGCGAATGGTCCGAGAAGGCACTGTGGATGGCTTGGAGTTGAGTGGGAGTGTGCGCGCGCCCGAAGAGCAGTGCTGGACGTGTGTGCAAGCCAAGATGCGACGAATGTCGTACAAGCAGGTGACCACTGATAGAGCGCGGGAGCCGTATCAGAAGCTCATGTCTGATGAATGCTTCCTTTACGAGCCTACCTACAATGGTTATTTATATTTTCAGCTTGTGCTGGATGAAGCGACTCGTTACGTGTGGGACTTTCTTCTGAAGCGAAAGGAGGAAGCTGCCGATGTTGTGATGAAACATGTGGCTTGGATACTCGCACGAGGGCATCGAGTTGAAGCTTTTGGCTCGGACGGAGGAGGTGAACTAATCAGTAACCGGTTTAAGGCCTTCTTGAGAACGAATGGAATTGCGCTGGCAAAGACCAACTCATAGAGTCCGAAGGAAAATGGACTCGTTGAGCGCATGCATGGGGTGGTGCTGTCCCGTGTGCGGAGCTTGTTGACAACGGTGAATCTACCTAACCTGCTCTGGGGAGAAGCGTTTGATTTTGCGGTGGAGGTGCTCAATATTAGTCCAAGCGCTGCACTTGACGGAGAAACACCGTACACTCGGCGCTTCGGAGAGCGGCCGGACCTATCCAACCTGAGGACGTGGGGTTGTTTGGTCTACACCTTCACTGCAAAAGTCCTAAGGAAGAACAAATTAGAGAATCCTGGACAGCCTGGACTCTTCCTCGGGTACGGCAAGGAGTCGATGAGCTACCGTGTTCTTGATTTGAAGACTGGAAAGGTGAAAGAACTTAGGACAGTTGAATTTGCTGAGAACTGGACTGTGGAGTACAGTTATGTTGAAAAACTCCTGCTCAATCGATACAAGCGCGGCAAGTATCAGCTTCCGTCCCGAATTCCTTTTGTTCGGCTAGATGACTTGACGTCCCCCAGTCCAGCTCGAAGACCTCTCGGAGAGCCTGAAAGAGATCACAGTGATGAACATCGCGATAAACGGCGTTGCAGTGAGGACTTACGAGGGCAAGCCAGTACTGTAGTTGAAGCTCCGTTTGCTGTGGGTGGGCCGGCGTTGGCTAGCTCTCCTGCAGGCAGCACGTCGAGCGCGAATCTGACGGGTGCAGGTGAAACTGTAGCTCGGTCGTCACGTGCGCGTGGACTACGAGAAGTGGATCATGTGCCACAGCATGAGGACACTGATGGAGACGGCGGTGCAGAAGGTGGAGAGAACCTGCCTCATCGCAGTTGTTCTGCACCTTTTGAGGACGGTGGAGGGCTGTCTAACCGCAGTCGCTCTGCGTCTTCAAGAGACTCGCTAGCTCACAGTGACTCAGATGTTGTGGATAATGACCCAGACTGGAGTGACTCGGATGATGATCCTGTTGATGTTGTAATTGCGAACGGTGATCCGGTAGAAGAAATTCCTCGCTCAGTGGGAGCAGGAAGAGAGACTGATGACGAGGCAAATGAAGGAGTTGGTGCTTCGTTCCGACGGTCGACGCGCATCCGACGACCGAATGTCCGACTGAGCGACTATGATGTAGATATTCCGGCGTGCTTAGTGATTCAGGCAGTGAATGAATTGCTAGAGCCGACTTCAGTTGAAGAGGCTTTGTCTGCTCCTGATGCTAAGGAATGGATTAAAGCTCTGGACACGGAACATCAAGAGATGCTGCGCAACCATGTGTGGGAACTTGTGGATCGACCTGAAGGAGTAAAAGTCTTGAAGAACAAGTGGGTCTTCGTAAAGAAGAGGAACGCACAAGGAGAGGTAATGCGCTACCGAGCGCGACTTACGGTGAAAGGTTGTCAACAAGAGTTTGGGATTAACTTTTGGGAAACCTACGCTCCTGTCGCGAAGATTGAATCAGTGCGGTTCTTGCTTCTGCTGGCTCTGGAACTCGGACTGCTGTGCAGACAAGTTGACTTTGTCACTGCATTCCTTAATGGACCCATAGGAGAAGCAGACATATACATGGAGCAGCCAGACTATGTCAACGATGGTTCGGGCCGTGTCTGCAAGTTGCAGCAAAGTCTCTACGGTCTACGACAAGCACCGCGCATATGGTACCGGATGCTAGACAAGTATCTGCGCAAGTGCGGCTTCAAGCGTACCAAGATGGACGCTGGCGTGTATGGGAGGACCGTGGGAGCGAACAAGGTCTATGTGGCTGTGTATGTCGATGACCTGCTTATTGTTGGGAAAGAGCCTGACATTGAGATGGTGTTAGCTGAGCTGCGAAGCAAGTTTAAGATTAAGGACTTGGGTAACGGGAAGCACTTGCTGGGGATGGAGATAACGTACGTACCGGGGCGCATGTTGACGATCTCGCAGAAGGCGTACTGTGAGAAGATCTTGTCGAGATTCAAGATGCAGAAAAGTAAACCGGTACCTACCCCACAGGTGAAAGGGAACTTCCCGATGCCTGGCAATCCAGATGTGGAACCAGTGTGTGTTAATGATGACCCGGACATTGACTATCGGCAGATTGTGGGATCACTGCAGTATTTGGCACAGTGCACGCGGCCAGATATTGCAAACGCCGTCCGGACGCTGGGGAAATTCCTGAACTGCTTCACGCACGAGCACCACGTGCTTTCAAAGAGAGTGCTTCAGTACCTGAGAGGGACTACGGATTACGGTCTAGTGTGGACACGATCTGAGAAGCCCGACTTGCAATTTGCAGCCTACGTGGATGCATGGCGACCCTCAGTGAAAGATCTGAAAGTTGTAGCGTATGCAGACGCAGATTTGGGCAATGAGAAGGATGATCGGCGATCGGTCTCTGGTTTCGTGCTGCAGATGGAGGGATGCACCTACGCATACTCAAGCCACAAACCGCGACTCATTACAGATGACACATGCAGCTCGGAATTTGTTGCTGCAGCAGAGTGTGCAACTATGATACTGTGGACTCACAATCTCTGTAAGGAGCTTGGATTGCACCGCAAGAAGACGATTCTCTACGATGACAATCAAGCTGCTATCGCTGTAATAACGGCAAACACTGGGGACTACAAGGTCAAAGGAATTGATCTGAAGTACCACAAGATCCGTGACTACGTGGATAGAGATGAGTTTACTATCGAGTATTGCCCGTCTGAGGAGATGATTGCAGACATATTGACGAAGCCTCTTGGGCCCACGCAATTCAAGAAGCTGCGACCGAGCCTGAATGTGATGCCAGTGCCACCAGCGGGAGAAGCTCAAGTCAAGCGAGCTCGTGCTGATGAAGGCAATCCGGCATGAGCAGCAAGCAGCCATGGCCGTCACCAGTGCCACGAAGTGGGAGTGTGAAGAAGGTAGTGACTCTGGCTCCGCCCCAGCGTGCCTGACTATACAGTATACACCTGGGACACCCAAGGTTGCCTTTGGTTGTGAGTATATGGGACGCGACTCCTTGAGCCCGTTGGCGTATAGTAGTTTGCAGCTAACACAGAGGGGGGGGTTGGCACCTTCGAGGTTTCCCTCCTCAATCCCAAAGTTGTTCAGTGGGAAGCACGTGTGTTCCTAGCGTCGTCTTCCTGCTCACTAAGCTCTTCCTCCTACCAACACTCGCCTGCGCATCGTGCCACTTTTGTTTTCGCTCTAGCGTGGCGAGTCACGCATGAGCTTGCCCTTGCTCCTCCAATGTTGTCCCACGGGGATCGTGGTCCTACGCCTCTTGTCGTCTTCTCTGCCAGTTCCCATGCCACCGCTCGGCTCGCTCACGACGTACAGTACCGATATATGCTGAGCCAGAACGGTGTCAGGTACAAGTAATACCTCATCATCATCATCTCCATCTCCGCCCGAATCACATGCATGTATTTGTCTGCCCACCCCTTGGTCTTCGACGATCAGCCAGTGACGAGCCGTGAGGTTAGCAGCACCTGACGCGACCCCAGTGGCTGCAATCCTCGACTCGAGTCTCGAGATGATTTTTTGGGGTCCACTGAAAGGCCCATGACAAGGAAACGGGGTTTGTCCGGGGCCTCGTAGTTTTGCCTGACGCCCAGCTTCACCGTATCTTATGTGACTTCATTCCTTTGACGCACAACTCGATAGCATAGGAGCTCGCAGCACTACAATATATCGCTTCCATTCCCGCTCATACATGTATGCCGCTGCTTCGAAGCTTGACCACGCCAAGTTGAAGCAAATGTACCAGTCCACGACGGGTACAATATGCCATGACGCCGTTTTATGCCGTTTAACAAGCCGACACGGGTGGACCACACCACGGCACAATCGGGTACTCCGCAGGCGGAGCTTGACGCGGAGACCTTCCTCTTCCTGCCCAGGAAACCAACCTCCCAGTGCACTGCTCGGGGTCGGTGGACCGACCGCGCCGCTCCCCATGCCCCCCGCCGCCGCGCCCACGCCCGATGCGCCCACGCCCGATGCGCCGCGCGAGCCCTGCTGCATCTGCATGGAGGTGGACGACTACCAGGGGACGCTCCTCGTCCAGTGCGCGCGCTGCGCCATCCGCGTGCACGTCAAGTGCTACGGCCGCAGCATCGCGGGCGGCGACGCGTCCGCGTGGCTCTGCCAGGCCTGCGAGCACCTGAGCGCGTCCTCCTCTTCTTCCTCTTCTTCCGTGTCCTCGCGCGTGGCGCCGCAGTGCGCCGTGTGCCCCATCGCGGGCGGCGCGCTGCGGCTCACGGCCCAGCGCGACGTCTGGTGCCACGTGCTGTGCATCAACTGGATCCCGGAGCTGTACCACAGCCTGGCGGGCGCCATGGACGAGGCCGTGGACATCTCGCTGCTGGACCGCAGCCGCAGCTCGCTGCGCTGCATCCTGTGCGGCCTGCGCGGCGGCTGCATCCAGTGCGTGAGCGGGCGCTGCGCCAAGGCCTTCCACGTGCTGTGCGCCTTCCGCGCGCCCTCGAGCCTGCTCTTCACGGGCTACAACGCGGACAACCAGCAGGTCTACCACTGCAAGTCGCACCTCGCGGACGTGGCCACGACCCGCTTCGAGATGGTGGACAACTCGTGGCGCAAGCTGCCCGTGGCCAAGCAGTACCTGCTGGAGCACCCGGCCACGACGGAGCTCAAGTGCCGCTTCTGCACCAACAAGGTGAGCGCGCCCAACAAGGAGAGCCACGAGACGCAGTGTTTATTGGGCTGGCTGGCCAGACACGACTCGCTCATGCGCAAGCAGGAGCTGGACCGCCTCGGCGTCAAGCCCGCCGAGATCTCGTACAAAACGCAGGCCAAGTCCCCGTCCAAGAAGGGAGGCGGCGGCAAGACGCGCAGCAAGAGCAGCCCCAAGAAGAGCCGGGACAAGCGCCAGGCGCCGCCCATGCGCGCGTGCCCCGAGTGCGGCGAGTCCGTGCGCGAGACGCACATGATGGGCCACCTCAAGAACACGTGCCCCAAGAGTCGACACGCTATGAAGCGCAAGAACAACATGACGTCGCCGCGGACGTTCGCCGGCCTGGATGACACGGAGCCCGCGGACCTGACGGACGTCCTGTTCGCCTCGTGGCCTGGACAGAACAGCGGCGCGCCCATGGACTCGACGTACTTCTGGAAGCTCGTGGAGAACCACTTTTTCAGCAGCAGCGTGCTGGAGAAGAAGCGCATGGAGCAGCTCTCTAAAAGCTTGTGCGGCGTGAAACTCGAGGACATTGCCAAGGCGACGCGTCGGCGGCCCCTGCAAGCATCGGACATTCACTGTCGAGACACATTACGACTGGAACGAAGCGCGGACGACCCGAAGCAAGCTCTCGCGCTCAGGAAATTCGCCCACAAGTGCGATTTCCTCATGCGCGCGAGCCACTGCCGTTGCTTGAGCGACCCGTTCGCCAAGCCGATGATTGAGATTTGCCACAACCCCGAGTGCACACAGCCCGTCACCGAACAGCCCGCTGATTCTGTCTCAAAGAACGTCCCTGAAGGCACAGAAGCAGACATTCGCGTGCAGTTCAAGAATGGAGAGAACACAACAGTGAGCTGCAAGTACTCGCTGCGTGTTTCGCAGAATGGAGCCACCATGCACCAGCAAGCTGCAAATAACGGGACGTTCGCCAGTATTTTCCAGCATGATGCGATGTCCACATTGGTTGGATTCGACATGCAGACGAAGAAGGTTCCCTTGGACAAGGATGACCAGTTGCTGATATCTCTTGATGCCTGCGACCAAGTGAAGGAAGCCCCAGTGGAGAAATCTCCGGAGGCTAACGGGCTCAAATCTCCGATCTTGGCTCTCCCTGCCAATGCCGCACTCACGGATGAACTGACACCAGAAATTAACCTGCTGATGGAGTACCTGAAAGATACGACGGAGCAAAACCGCTATCGTATTCGCACATTGTACAAAAGACTTCAGGGCAGAGAGGGTGATGACAACAAGTTCCAGATTAAAGCGCAGACAACGGACATGTACTATCGCGAGTTTGCGGCGTGGAAGCGATTATGCTCAAGTTTATTGATCGGATACAGAAGTGGGGACGAGCCTGAAAAGGAAGTCAAGAAAACTGACACAGAAGAGCAAGAGGGGTCTACAGAGGACGAAGATGACGCAATTGACGATGGCACCTGCGTGGTATGCTTCGATGGACAATCTCCTGAGACGAATCCGATTATTTTCTGCGATCGATGCGAGCTAGCTGTCCATCAGCGCTGCTACGGAATGGACAAGGTGCCCAGCAATGAATTTATTTGCGACCGATGCCGCGCCACGCGGGAAGGACTCGACCCGGCTACCGATGTATTCTGCCAACTTTGCTCTTTGAGCGACGGCGCATTCAAACGTACCGTCGACGGAAAGTGGGTGCACGTCGTGTGTGCGTTGTGGTGCCCGAAAGTGTGGATTGGCAACCTGTTCGATCTTTCGGAGATCAGTTTGGTAGGAACCACGACTCAAGTACGGTTTGTAAACTCGGCAGAAGAGATCGACGCGCGCATTAACCAAGCATCAGGTGGGCAGAATGCCATCGTGAAAAATGATGAAACCCCGGAAGTTCCTGCCTTGGAGCTGGGCAGCCTGTGCGTGCACTGCAGAGTAGCTTGCGGACGCACCATTCAGTGCTGCCATCCTGGATGCTCTACATCCTTCCACCCTCTGTGCGGGTGGTATGAGGGTCTACCCATGACAATTTCTCTCGGCGATGGACGATACATGTATGCTGGTGGTGGTGCTGGATTAAACTTTCGGATGTACTGCCCAAGTCACTTGCCCGGACATTATCCAGCGTCCGAGCAGCTTGCCCAGAAACGGCGGCGAACTCGGTTCCGGATCGATTCATACTTTGTTATGCGGAACAAGGACAATTACAGCACTGGAAGCAAGCAAGCAGGTGGTGACGAGTCGTCCTTGCTGTCGGGATCAATCGTGCAAGCTGTGTTGTCAGCCGAGAGCAAGATAACTGCAACAGACGATGACCCAAATGCGACGGATTGGACCGACATGACAGTTTGCTCTGCGTGCTTCGAGTATTGCGCACCTATTACTGGGGAGCTCACGGACGTGAACATGCTCCATCGAAGGCAGTTTATGATACGATGCCAGTACTGCAACGTCTACATCCACCCGGAATGCTGCATATCCGACATTGGTTCATCCGCCTCAATATTTAGAAGCAATTGGATCTGCGAGCGGTGTACGCTAACGGGTGGTAAGGAATCGCCCGCGTGCGTCGTGTGCGCGAAGGCAACGGACTACCTGATGCCTTGTGTTGATCCGCCGGCTACAGCGATCCAGCCGACTGTCCAGACTCTGCTCGCTCCGAAGTCAACGAGTATGGCGATACGGCCGGCACCGGGCGGGGGCCAGCAACTTTGGTTACAAGGATATCAAAACATGCAGCGACAACAACAGGGCCAGACAATTTCGGAGAGCAAAACCTTGCAGCTACATCAGCAGATTCCTGAGAGTAATGGGGTGGCGGCAACTCCATCAACGTCGAACAGGTGGATTCACGTGTATTGCAGCAAGTGGCAGAAGACGCGGACGGTCAAGCGGCATCACATGCTGTGTGCGTATACTCCCACCCTGAAGTCGGATGGTATGTCGACGCGATGTGAGCTGTGCGACAAGAAAGAGGGGCTTCTAGCCAATTGCGCTCAGTGCTACCGTCGATTCCACCCGATCTGCGCGGCACAGAAGAAATTGTATTGCGCTCGATCTAATCGCACCGAGTGGAAGTTTTACTGTGAAGCGCACCCGCCACCGGATGCTGCTTTCGATGTAAACCGTCAGTCCTGGATCAACCAGGAGATTTTGGGCCAGCTGCAAGACTTGCGTCGCTCGCTAGAGCGCGGGCGAATGCTGCTGGAAATGTCTCGCCAGCGCGACCGTCAGCAGAAGCGTCTTCTGAATCTTTGCAAGTTGCCGCTCATGGAGGCATCGATCGAGGTAATCCTCAAGAAGCGCCCGTCCGCCCAGATGAAGGAGGTTTACCATGAGCTCACCGGAGAAACGCTAACGGACGTACCACATCGCCCTAAGCCGGCACCACCGTCGCCACACAATGCGCGAAATCGCGTCAGAAGCAGTCCGCGTGCGGCAGCTGCAAGTCGCCCCACCCGCTCATCTAAACGTTCGGCGCCCCAAACTGCAGCTACGCCCGAGAGAAGCCCCAAGCGTCGACGTGCCGATTCCGATGTATCGAGCAGCGGTGAGACTAATTCCCGCCGGAGTTCTCGTCGAAAGTCGTTGCGCTTCAATCAAGAGGAGGCTTCTGAGGATGAAGGCGCGGACGCGAGTGAGGACGATGACGAGCTGGAGGCTCAAAAGAAGTTGTGGACAAGCCTCGCAGTGCCCAAAGACCTTGGTGATTTTGACCTTGTCGTCGCTAAAGAGTTCCCTGAACTGGTGGTACGTGCAGATCGATGAAGCGGGAGCCGTTTGCGTGTTGTTGATTCTCATTCGTATTGTTTTCTGCTGCTACAGGATTAAACACGAGTTTCCTGAACGAGGCTTGTGGTAAAAACAGCGCTCGTGGCCACACGGCCGCATATTTTTAGAGTACATTGTGATATTTGCGGAAACATTGAAGTTCTTGAGGTGGAATGACGTGCTGGGTGATGTCATAGGAGCAGGCACGTGCTTCCGGTAGCACCATGAGCGAAACGAGTGAGGTGGAGGCAATCGCAGATGAAGGGGAGCTCACGGAGGAGATGGATTCGATTACCCGCGGTGGGTCGTCGGCTGCGGTTGACGGCACTCCGCCATCTACTGCTGCTTCGACAACGGAGACCATTGACAGCGGGGAAGAGGCTCACTACTGCGACGAGTGGGAGTTGTTTTCGGACGCGAAGTATGATGCTTCTGATGATGGAGATTCAGCAGATGGGCAAGGCGAGGAGGGAGAGGATCAACTTAGTAGCGCCTGCGAGCAAGCAACCACAGAACTCGCAATTGAATCTGTCGTTGCCACGACAAGATCTCAGCTGGACGATACCGATCGGCAAGAAGACCCTGTGGCACCTGAGCATGGTGTCGAATGCTATAATGCCGAGGATATTAACGGTGTCGTGTCGGGTTCTGTGGTCGATGAGCACAGACCAACTTCACAGGGCGGAGAGAATATGGATGCCAGTCTGCGTCGAAGAATCCAAGTTGTTGTGCGTGTCCGTCCTCTTTCCGAATCTGAAGGTAAGGTGGTCGTCACGGCGGGTGAGAAGCAGGGATCCAGCTTGTGTGTGCAAGCAACAACGGCCCAGGGAAGCATCAGTACAGTCACGGAGTGCGCGTTTGATCGAGTGTTCATGGGAGCTGCGACGCAAGAAGACGTGTTTTCTGCAGTAGAGCCAAGCGTACAGGCGTGCTTGGAAGGGTACAACGCCACTGTCTTCGCATACGGACAGACTGGAACGGGCAAAACGCACACTCTTTTTGGGCGTGACTTGGGTTCATCTCGAGACAACACCGCTTGCGATGGGGCTACAGCACCAGGAGTGGCTAGCGAGTCATTTCGAATGGTCAAGTCGTCTTGGGGAATTGTTCCCCGCACACTCAGCTATCTGCTCGACCGAGCAGCCATTTTGAAAGAGAAAAACTGCCAAGTCGAGCTGCATCTGAGCTTCCTGCAGATCTACAACGACCGGTTGTTTGATCTCCTCACTGATCGCATGCGCCAAAAGCCCCTGCTCATTCGCGAGCAGCCAACGCTGGAAGGTACGACGAGCGTCAGTGTTCAAGGACTGTCAAGCGAACGGATAACGTCGTTCTCACACGCCATGCAGATAATCCACCAAGGCCACACGAATCGGTGCGTGCGCGAGACGGAATCGAATGTGTCGAGCAGCAGGAGCCACGCTATCGTTCAGCTCCACGTGGCGACTCAATGCCCGGCGCCTAATGGTGACGGCCAGGTTCTCCGGAGAGCAAGATTAAACTTGGTGGACCTAGCGGGCTCTGAGAAATGGAATACGGACGTGGAAATGGAAGACGCGCACTCGCAAGAGCTCAAGAACATCAACACGAGTTTATCGGCGCTTGGCAATTGTATCGCGGCACTAACTGAAGCTGGAAGGAAGCACATTCCATACCGCGACTCAACTTTGACCCGCGTTCTGCAGGACTCTTTCGGCGGTAACACGCAGTCGTGTCTGATCGCTACTGTCAACGCAACGCAGCAGTCATGCGACGAGACGATCCGGACGCTGCACTTTGCAGATCGAGCGAGGTCGGTGATGCAGACCATTCGAGTGAATGAAGTGGCGGATGGATCGACGGAACTGCTGATGGCGAAGATACAGATTGTGAAGCTTCGTGAACGATTGGAGAGTGAGCAGCGAAGACGACACGAAACTCGGCTTAAGGAGCATCAGGCCTTGCAGCGAGACTTTCAGGAAAAACTGAAGGGGAAGGACAAGGAGATCTCAAAGCTCTCGAGGGATAACGCCGTCTTTCAGAGGTGGAGGGAGGAAGACGTGAAGAAGATCCGAGCACTCGAGAGTCGCGTGAAGGACCTGGAACAGCTTGTTGACTCGAATGGTGGCAAAAAATATGATGCACCTAAGGACCTTGGTACCAGCACCCCTGCTCAGGCTATGAAGCGCCAGGCTTCGATTTCTGTGTCGAATTCTACCATGACAAGGACCACTACCATGCAGAAAAGTCGATCACGACCCAGTCTCGCTCGAGCGGGAAGTGATAATGGTACTGCTGCTCGGGCATACAAGCAGGTGCTGGAGCGATACGCTCTCGGGTCAAGTAAAGAGCAACCGCAGAAAGCCACAGTGGGCAGCAAGGTGGCGTTTGAGCCGAACCCGATCATTGATCCGTCGTACGATGCAACAAATCAGCTCGAGGACGCAGAGGAATTGGACGCGAGCTCGTCAACGAACGAGATGCAACGGCTTCAGGCAGCAGTGGAACGTAGCCGAGCTGACGAATCACCGCTAGCATGGCGCCAAGCCTCTGGAGTGTGTGTATCCCCTGTCACCTGTCCTCCGGACGGGAACGACGTGACTGCGACACAGTATTCTAGCGCCATGAACTCCTGGAAGTATTCGAACCTTGCTGCCGCTACGAACAGCTTCAACCCCAATTGGCCCCCCTCGGCGATGTCCAAGTCAACTCCTGTACTTTTGACCCAACAGCAAGACAGAATCGGCAACAGTAGCGAGCTGTGGTCGTCGAATCCAGCCAGTGGTTGGAGTACCTCCGCTTCTAAGCAAGATCCCGTGACGCTATTCAAAAGTGCCAGCGTTGCTGGGTTCACTTACACCTCACTACCGCGTGCCCAAGCAACTGGCGCAATCGAGGCGTGTACCAAGCACAAACTCGCTGGGTGTATGCTGTGCTCGGTCAATGACAGTTTTCGGCAAACCCAAGCAGCTCCAACTCGTCAGACCGCGAAGGAGCCAGCACCAGTTGCCGTGGCTTCAAAGGTCACCGAAGTGGCTCGCAAGCTCCAGGACGGACCATGTGAACGGCATCAACTGCTCCGATGCTTCATTTGCATGAAGGGCAGCGTTAACACTACTCCGTCCAGTGCTGTGCAAACTCCATCGGCAGCAACAACTGTACCGACCAAGGCGCCCCCGATCTACAGCTACAGCAGTTCAGCCACTTTGCCGACTGGCAAACTTCCCACTTACCAGGCTCCTTCACCGCAAGCTGATGCCTCGTTGCAGTCGAAGTGTGCTCTCCACTCGCTCGCCAACTGCATTTTGTGTGCGGGGGTCAAGGCGATGACGCGAAAAGTGGCGGTTCCCACTCCTCAGGCCTCCCCTGCGAAGGCGGTTACCTCATTCGACTCGAGAAGTGGGCACTACGTTGAAGACCGCGCTGCTGCAGATCGATATCGGCGATACACTCTCGATGAACGGATACTCAACCACTCGAATCTAGCAAAAACTCAATGGTAATCTCTAAAATTGTAGCCATGTCCGTAACAGTCACGTACCGGCTATACACTAATACATTTTCCAAGATAACATGGAATCCTTTCATTGAAAAACTTTTCAATTCGCGTATCTGGCGACGCACTTGGCTCGGTGCGACCCGCTAGCACCAGCAAATGCGTCTGCTAGCACGCCAGCTTAGCGAAGCACTGTATAGCGCCGTCGGGGCCTCTGCGTCTCAAGCGCACGTTTAGAGTGCCGTGCCGCGTCTAATTATCTTAAACGCTTTCTTGCGTCCAATACATATTGAAGTTTAGTCCCCTAACCTCTTTATAACTTGGAATTTGTATACCGCCGGTAGAGTGTCAGGTACCAGCTGCGCACACTCACTCAACGGAGCAGCTCATTTGGCGATAAGCACTCGACGAGACAAGCGTATCCGCCTGCAAGCACCATGACCGACGCTGCCTGGGACTCGCTGTCGTATCTGCCGGGCTTCGGCAACGATTTCTGCTCGGAGGCGCTGCCCGACGCGCTGCCCAAGGGCCAGAACAATCCGCAAAAGGTTGGTGCCACACCCGTTTAGCACTAGCCTAATCGGGTTAGCACTAGCCTAAACTTTTCCGCCCTTTGGTGTCGTTGCAGTGTGCGTATGGACTGTACGCCGAGCAGCTCTCGGGCACGGCGTTCACTCTGCCGCGCCACAAGAACCAGCGCAGGTGCGTGCAACAGCTTATGTATCACTCCCGAAGAATTGCAATTGACAATTTTCTTGCTGTTGCAATTGGTAGCTGGCTGTACCGTATCCTTCCGCCAGTAGTGCACGAGAAGTACAAGGAGGTGGACCACCCGTTCGTCAAGGCGGACTTTGCCAAGGAGAAGCTCACGCCGCAGCAGATGCGGTGGAGGCCCATGCCATTCCCAGCCGACTCGGAGAAAGTGGATTTCATCGACGGGTTACGCACGATCGGTGAGTTTGTCAACTGGTGCAGAACCTTTTGTTTTAACTTTGGCCAGTTGTCTCTAACCTTTTTTTCTCTTATTTATTTGTTTTAGGTGGAGCGGGAGACCCGACGATGAAGGCGGGCTTAGCCATCCACATGTACGCCGCCAACACGTCGATGAAGGACACGTGCTTCTACAACTCGGACGGCGACTTTCTGATCGGTACGTGAATGGGTATTGGAAATTGGAAGTTACTAGTGGGAAAAAATGAAGGTTTGACTTTTTTTGCTTATTTGGTGCCATTCCAGTCCCTCAGACTGGTGACCTGAAGATCACGACGGAGTTTGGTCGTCTCAAGGTGTCGCCGCACGAGATCTGCGTCATCCAGGTACTTCTTTTGGGTGGATATGTGGATGTTAATTGTGCGTTAAATTGACCTGGTTGTGGGTGGTTTGATCTTTTCAGCGCGGCATTCGCTTCTCGGTTGACCTGGACGGACCTTCTCGCGGCTACATTCTGGAGGTGTACAACCGCCACTTCGTCCTGCCTGATCTTGGACCAATCGGAGCCAACGGACTCGCCAACCCGCGCGATTTTGAGCACCCGAGCGCTTTCTACGAAGATCGCGATGTCGAATACTTGGTCGTGAACAAGGTACGCTGCATTTACTGTCGATGAGATGAGATTCAAAGCTGAAAGTCTCACTCTTGTGTCTGTCCTACAGTTTGGTGGCCAAGTGTTTTCAGCTCGCATGGCCTTCTCACCGTTCAATGTCGTCGCGTGGCACGGTAACTACGTGCCGTACAAGTACAACCTCGACAAGTTCTGCACCATGAACTCCGTCAACTACGACCACCCGGTAAGATTATTTGCACTCACAACACGAATATCTTGAATTCACTTTTCACTAACCCACGCTTTGCCTTGATCTCTGATAGGACCCCTCTATCTACTGCGTACTGACGTGCCAAACGGAGGAGGCAGGCAACGCTGTCGCAGACTTCGTCATCTTCCCGCCCCGTTGGATGGTCCGTGTGCTTATCGAGTACTTTCACAACTCCTTTAACCGTGCTAACATATTTTACCATTCTAGGTCCAAGAGCACACGTTCCGTCCCCCGTACTTCCACCGTAACTGCATGAGCGAGTACATGGGAATGGTCTACGGCACCTACGACGCTAAGAAGGGCGGTGAGGACGGCTTCGCCCCTGGAGGCGCTTCCCTCCACAGCGTCGACACGCCACACGGACCTGATGCTGAAACGTTCCTTGCGGCTTCGAACGCGGAGCTCAAGCCGCACAAGTTCGACGGCGGGCTGGCGTTCATGTTCGAGTCGACGTACCTGGTCAAGCTCACGGACTATGCGCTGAAGTGCGAGCACAACGACGAAAACTACTGGAAGTGCTGGCAACAAATGCCCAAGCTGTTCAACCCCAAGCAGGCGTAAGGAAGTGGGGTGAACGAAACTTAACTGTTCTAGTTTCCTCTTAAAACAGAAGATAAAATTGCGTTTGTTATGATTTGAGCTAGGAATCCCGTTGCATGACAAGCGCCACGCCTGCCAATATCCACTTTGCCTTGGGGTTGATAGTGTTCAGCGTCGCAAGGAACACGTACGTTGGTCCTCGAAGTGTCGTCTGGTACACGGGACAATCGAAGACGTCTTTTCTGCGTCGGAAGTGCCCCACCGCAGTGGCTTCCCACTTGCTGTCGATCACAACAGCTCGGGCGTAGATTACAGGTGCGGCTGGTAGCAGTTCCTTGGGCATGGGGTCAACGAGATGGCCACCACAGGGAATCGAGTCGACCTCGTACGAGAACGGCGACGTCTTCTCGCCGTCTTTCATTGGGAACTCCCACCGCGCGCCTTCCATGAAGAGACCGTGGATGTACGCACCCATTTCAGGGTATGACTCGGCTCCCTCAGCTTCAGCGATAGGAGTCACGTGTGTCTCGATCGCCATGGAGTCGAGTGGAATACCGTGAGTTCGTGCAGTGCACTGCTTGATCGCTGTGAGGAACGCTGTGGGGTTGAAGAGACCCGATATCCACATGGAATACGGCAGTCGGAACTCACTGGTCCAGTTCAAGAGGAACTGGATGCGATCCAGCAAGTCCGCGAACCAGAGCGACAACGATTTGCGGGACCACCAGGCGTAGCGTTCCCATGAGCACATGTGCAACACATTGCGACCGGGCACCTGGTTGATCGACAGAGCCTCCATGAGGTCCTCCATGGGTTCCGTCATATTCAACGTTCCTTGGATCCCCTTTGTCAGCTCAATTAAACTGGACTGGATCTCGTGCAGCAGTGCGTGCATTCGCGTCGCTTCTTGAAGGGCGACTACTACATAAGGCGACTGATCTGTCGCCAGAAGGGGTTCCGCCTTGGCTTGTAAGTCTGCAAGGTCAATCTCCGGCGGAAGTTTGTCCAAAAGTTCCTCAATCACCGCGTACACTTGTGCGTTCTCCTTTGCCATCCCCGACGACGATGCACTCTTAGGAGCCGAACCATCTCCAGACGTTGATGGACCTGTTGAGGGCTGGAACTTGGCGATTGTGGCGAACAGATCATTGGACGCCTCGACCAGGTACCCCACCTCTGCGTTCGGATGCAGTCCATATACCGTCGGCGATTCGCTTGGCAATTGAGTTTCGATGTGATCCACGTACTTGGAATAGCTGAACGTGAACGGGTCCGGGCACTTGAATCCCGCAGTGAGCTCCTTGCCCTTCAGAATATCTTGCGTGAATACCTCATTCAAGTACGTATTGTTGGTGATTCGGTCCCAGTGGTCGGTGATGTGGCCTCCATACATGATCTCGCCGAAAATGTAGCGAAGATCGTCCCACGGCAAAGTTTTCGATCTGCTGGTCACTGCCGTGTCGAGATATCGTCGAAGCACATCGGAGCAGATCAACAGGTCGCCCGTGTTGAAGCTGTACGGGCGGCTCCAACCTTGACAGCCGAATCGCCGACGACCCAGAACAAGTGCGTGGAAGAAACACAGTGCGAACAGACAGCCCTGGTATTCGTTCGGTAGGGCACAGGCTTCCAGTTGCTTCATGGAGAAATTGGCCCAAGCTCGGCGTAAATTACTTTTCAGGTCCGTCGGAGCTTCGTTCGCAACCTTGATGCAACTTTGAAGTAGTGACTCTGGGAGGTTACTGAGTGAAGCCAACGCAGGACCCTCAGATGACAGGAAACAGCGGAAGCGTTGGTCTGCAGACACCGAACAAACCTCCAGCGTGCGCTCTAATCTGGGGAGCCAGGACTGCATCAGGTGAATATTCTGCAGGATTACCCAGTTGCCTTCTCTCGAGAACTTCATCAGAATGTTGTCAGCGTATTCTTCTTGGCCTTGACCCATGGAAATGTTGATAAGGTTTCCACGTTCATACGTGAAATCAAACTTTTTACCCAGAGTTTCGACCCACGACGTTGGGTCCACACCGGGAAATAGTACGAAGAACATCGGAGTTGACGCACTCGTCTCCTGGTACGCGGCTTCCATGTCAAACGGTGGTTGCTGTACCATTTGCTTCCCGATCGTATCACCCAGGTACGAACGCAATGCAAAAATCATCCGATCAGGACGCAACACCCGAATGATATGGAGGAGCTGGATAGGCGTGATCGAGGTCTTGTACTGGCCCGGCATGGGCTTTAACTCTGGTTTCTCAGCGTCGCACCACTCCCGCCACTCCTCACTATCGGACCGCATGAAGGTCGTGAGTTTCTGAAGGCTAGTGATGTTCTCCTCGAGTTTACGCACACGCAGCCAAACTGTCTCGGACATCCACTCACTGAGTAACCCCATGCCAGATCCCATATCACTCGCAGTTGCACAAGTCACCAGCTGACGGATATCCATCGCATCGAGTTTCTTTTCCGCTTGCAAGATGGAAAAGCACAACTGGGTCGCTAACGTCAACTTGTCCTTCTCAAAGAGACCGCGGCGGATGTAGTTGAACACCACGTCCGTGATGGAAGTCTTGAGTTGAGTACAGCGCGCTTCGATCTGAGCGGAGGACGGTTTTTCTTCCTGATCCGTTTCCTTCATCAGTTCGTCCAGATCCTGCTCACTATTGCTCTCCACCACCCGATCTGCAAGTAGTAAGTCTGCATTCCACTGGAAGCGTTGCGACACGATAACTTTCTTCGCTGCAGCTTTTAGGCGACCCAGCAGCCCACCACCACCGGATGATTGAGGTCTCCCTGGGTCCTTTTCCGGTTGAACGAGATCGATACCGCGCTGGAATATTACCACGTATGCATTCAGCGAATACACGTAGTACGAGTGCATGCGGTGTAAGCCGTCCATGATGAAGAACAGTAGCGCTCCTCGACTTGCTACGGACTGGTACTTGGCACTCAGCTCGTTGATTTGAGCTTCGTATTCGGTAGCTTTAGCCGCCTTCTTCGCAATCTCTTGAGCTGTGGCCTTAGTCGTTTCCAAGTCTGTTATCACCTGCACATTCTCCGTCACGTCTCCTTCAGCATCCGCTAAGCTCGATAGGATCCGATCCTCCAACGTTTGTATCCGGATTTTGAATTCATTCTGCTGGTGGATGAGTGCCGTGCGAACTTTCGCCATCTTGGGCCACTCTTTGCGTACGACAAGTGATAAAAGCTGGTCCTCTAGACCCTGCTGGGTCACTGCGAAGTTGATCATAGTGGTCTCAGCTTGTAGCTCTGGCGGGTAGTGAGGGTTTGACAGCTTCGTGTGCAGGTAGAGACGGAAATCGGGGTGTAACTCGACCATCTTGCCCCCCATTTTCAGCAGTGTTTTATGCCCACGCACAGAGGTTGATCGAGAAATTACTGGCCACAGACACACCTCGAGTTTCTCACCCATGTTCTCGACAATGACAGAGTAGCCGTGCTCCACAGCGGTCTCCAGTAAATTCGACAAATTGGGTTGGTCTTGACGCACCACTTGCAGTGAGCTGGGCGCCGTGCGTCTCGCATGCTTCTCCATCTCACGCAGCCAATATATTCCTTGCAGCTGAGGGTCAATAAGTAGTGGTGCGCGAGTACTATTCCGTACGATCGCGCCATTTTCAACAGACACTCGGTCACTCGGAAGCCCCCTTGTATTCCACTCAGCGATTTCAGACTGTGTAGCTAGAATCTGGAAGGGGATACCATCTTCTGACATGACGGTCGTTGTTGCAGTTGGTTTATCCTTGTCGGCTTTAGACGGCTTCTCAGTGAGCGACTTCCGAAGGAATGGCAACCACTTTTCATTGATGAGCAAGTCACGGAAGGGCTTCGTGAAGGCACCGACGTACGAGACAAAACTGGCTGCAATCACGACATCGCACACTAACATTTCAGCACTTGCACGAAGCTGTTCGAGTTCATGAGCCCATCGTTCACTTTCGCTACCCAGCGCTTTAGCCAATCTCCGAGCGAGTTCCATTCGTAAGCGACCTCTCTCCAGCAGAGCAACAGCGTCCTGAACCTCCTTGTTAATTTTGTCGAATTCTTCCGTCAAAGTCGCCAGCTTCTCTTCCAGTGCTGCAACCTTTTGATTCACAAGCTCCAGCCTCTCGTTTGCTACCCGTAATTTTTCGGTAGCTTCTTCTAGCGCACGTTTCTTAGGCTCGACGACAATAATTGCATCATAGTATGCAACGATATTGATCACCCACGCACAGAGCCCAGCGGCTGCAGAGTTTTTCTTTTCAATAATTTCCACGTTAAAGTGTTCGAGCTGCAAAAACGGCCGAATCTCTTTCCAATTGATTTCGGGAACCTGCTGGTTGTCGACAAGCGTTTTGAATCCTTTCAGCTCCTCCACCAGCGCATTGATGTTTCCCAACAAAGCCTTCTTCGTGGCTTCCCAAGACCGGTCTTTATCTTTCACTTTACCGTTCTTCTGCACGATAATGTTCGGATTCACACCAGCAAATAGCACCACGACAGCACCAAAAATGTCTCCGACTCCAGCTGGAGGCTTGGCCATGGTTTTGCAGTTTCCAAGATCTTTTTTGTTGAGTGTGTCCAAAGCAGCCATGGCAGCGTCCACCATCGGCTGAGCTTGAGCCAGATCAGCCTCTGTATCGGCCTTTTTGATGGAGACGTCCGCTTGGATCACTGCGCACTTTTCGCGCTCGACGTTTGCTCTGGCAGTCTCATTTTCCACGAGCTCTTTGTCTTTCTGAAGACGCGCAGCGAGTTCCTCCACGATAACTTTCTTTTTCTCTGCCTCTTCCAGCGTGCGTTGCAACTCTTCCTCCATCGTTGCAACAATCTCTCCGGTCGATTCCATTTTCTCGAGTCCGTTTTGAAGGCGTTGCATAGCCTTTTGGTGGCTTGAGTGTTTCTGGGCTAGCAGTCTGCGGTACAACGTCAGGCACTCCAAATACGACTTTGGGGTAGAGTACACGCGGCGCTTTTCAGCCGCAAAGAACTCTTTTGCCAAAGTGTTCGTGCTTTGGAACGCAAATGGCATGAAGTTTTGGATCGCCATCGCAACATTGTCGCCCGTATTGAGTTGAGGAACATTCTCAAACCATAAGAAGCGAGCAGCAACTGAGCGCAGCGCCTCCTTCGGCCATGGTTGAAACCAGTCGATCAATGAACAGTTTACGAGAGCCGGGAACTTGCGAGCTCGCATCCGGAAGTCAGGCGTCGCTGGTGAGAAACAGAGCACGACATGCAGGTTTCGCTTAATTTCTTGCATGAACCACCTCCAGGCCCTCTCTTTCTCAGACCCTTCGGACCCGAGGCCAATTGCACCATTCGAGTCTCCTGATGGATCCGCAGCGGCATTAGCTGCTAACGCTGCCATCATCTTTGGTTGGAATTGCTGGATCAAATTCGTCTGCTCATCAGAGCTGTATAGGTCCGGAATATTCCCACTCGACAATAAATCGTTCAAGTACACGAGCATGCGTTCGTTCTTGATCTGATTGTCATCAAACAGGAAAACAACGCCATCACCTTTGACTCCAGCCTTCATAAACATGTTCTGGAGATCCGACTTGAAGTCCAAAAGGGAATAGGCTTGAGAAATCGCGATCTCCACTAGCGCGTAACCACATATGAATGCGCTCAGGCGGGCCAGTGACTTGCGACCGCTTCCTCCAACACCCACGAGAAGTGCGTGGCCGGATGGATTCGAAATGATACGAACGATGCGAGCTATATGCTCCAGTGCGTCTTTGAACAGCACCAGGTCCATCTTCGTATTCAACTCATTGTGCTCTGCCAACGCTTCTTCCACAGTGGCGTGCAACACTTGGTACGAAACAACCTGATCGTATTCATTTGTCCTCAACCCATTTGCGAAATGGCAGAAGAGAATTGGGTCGGTCTGGAGCAGCGCAGATTCATTCGCACTTTCGTTGTTGGACGAGAGCGGAGCGAAATAGCGGGTAAAGTTGAGCGCAGGAAAGCATTTGCGGGCTTGCTGCTGTACGATGGAAGTGAACTTGGCTAAATCTTGAGTTGAGACCATGCGGTCTCCGTAGACGCGTGAGGTTTCGTGCACCCAAAGGAGCGCGAACTTCAGTGGATCTTCAAACGTTGGTGGTTTTGCCATGAGCAGGCCTTGGAAGACGTTCGCCACGTGTCGAATGTTGAACTCGTAGTGGAAGTTTGCAGCCGTCTTACGGAAGGTGCTGCATACTTGCACGTGGAGATTGAGAGCAGCTTTCATAATAGGCTGGGACATCTTCCGGATATCTTCGACAAAATCAGCCACATAGCCCTCGAGAAATGTTGTGTAGATCACTTGCAGACTTGCAGCACTTAGCTGAGGCAGCGCGAATGTTACGAAGTGCCGCTGGAGACGTGGGTTGATACTGAAGCTGCCAGCATTAGGGTTCATGCAGCTCACGATCTGCACGTTCACGATCTGTTTGATGGAAAATTTGGCGCGATCATACCAGTGGCCGTAATCCAAGTACTGACGAAGTAGAGCGATGGCACTTTGCGTTCCATACGCGTCGACTTGAGGGAGATTTAGATCGTCCAGGAAGTAAATCAATTGGTCTCCAACCGTAGGTCCAAATGTCGAGCCAACACGCTTTGACAGCTTTGATTCGAGGATTGCCTGGAGAGCATACGCGTTCGTGTAGTAGTTGAAGTTGATGTTCATACTAGCTGCTGGACCCTTTGCGGCTGCTGGGGCTGCTGTTGATGATGAGGTAGTACCAGCCGCAGCTCCTGACTTTGTCGAAGAAACTCGAACGTCAAAATTTTTTAGTAGCCCTTGAACAAGTTGCGTCTTGCCAGTGCCTGCGTTGCCACAAAGCATGAACGGACGCTCTTCACGGACCATTATACTCATCCAGCTTGTAATGGAAGCGGTCTCGGGGGTAGGAACGGTGACGGATGACATTGAAACCGATCCGTCGAAGTGGACAGCTTTAAAGTACGGTGATGCTCTCCATGTGTCGAAAGAAAGGGTATTCGGGTCAAGCCAATAGTCGAACACGGTATCACGAGCTGGGAATTTGATCTGCTTGAACTCGCTGCGCCACCACTCACTAAACAGTTTGCGATAATCTGTCCCGTCATCCGTGATTGTCAGGGCTGCTCCGAATGCCCACACGGATATAAACCCACTAAGGACATCCACTTTTTTCGAATCACGCAACGTTTCAGCATCCAGGACTGCGTCTAGAAAGTAGAGATACGTGTGCACCATTGTGATTTCTTGCATTGGCACGATGGTCTTGCAGCACTGCTTGATGAATGCAAGAATCGGATCGATGTACTTGTTCATAGCCTCACCCAAAGCAGTTCGCTGCGGTACGGTCGTTCCTTTAGTAGCTACCCAACTTGCTAAGAATGATCTCCACTGGAATCCATCGTCATCCGATATGTACAAAATACCCGCGCGTGATACGGTTGCAGGCGTGGCATACTTCAGATCGCGGATTTCAAATAGGAGCCGCATGTTGGGCTTCATTGGAATGCGTTCATTTGACGCCAGGGTCAGCATCTTGTTGTCGTCCATGACCGAGTTCATCGACTCGATCCAATTGGCATCCAGGTCTCCGTCCAGCACAATCCATTTCGGTCGAGGATCCGTCACTGAACTACTGGCAACATCACGCATTATCTTGGAGAGTAGACCATCTTTCCACTCTCGTGTCCCCAGCACCATGTACCCGTACAAGTCTTCGGTGGAAACGGCCTTGGGGTTGAGATCAACCACTTTGGTAGCATAATCCTCACCTTTTTTCTTCCTGGCAGCAATCAGCGTCTCGCAACATTCCGTCTTCCCACTACCTGGCGGTCCCATCACAAAAACGCAATGGCGGATGGCGAGTAATTCTTCAAGCTGAATTACTTTCAGGCGGAACTGTTCATGAGGCCATAGTCCGCGATCTTCACACGCAACATGGACGTACTTTTCCATTGACTCGTCGATTTTGCGTGGTAGATTCAGATTCGGGAAGAGGTCGCCGAGCAGTCCATTGAACACCAGAAGGTCTTGCTTCACGATCATGGGCAAGTTGAAATCTCGCAGCGATCGCATGAGAATTTCCTGCTCAGACAACTTGGGCTCAGCTCGCTTGAAAGATCCAGCGACGACCAGTACACTTTTCACAGCTCGCAGCCCCCAATCATAGTGATCTTGCTTAGAGAGAAGCTCTCTGAGCAGAGAATACAAGCTGAAGAACTTTGCAGCTAGCATCTTGGCTTCCCCGAATCCTTCTGCCATGAGCATATTTTCACAGATGAGTACGAGATCAGGCGCCATCACTGTAATCGGTCGGAACAGAGCTTTTAACCCTTCAGGAAGCTCTGACCGGCCGAGGTATCCAGGATTCATAGTGATAAATGTGCCACACGTGGGGTCGAGCGTTACCGAATCACCCTCTACGACCACATGACTGCTTTCACTCCGAATCCCATCGCAGACAGCTTTGAATTGGACCGAACAGACTGACAACACCTCTGGCGCGAGGCGATTAAACTCATCAAAGCACCCCCAAGCCCCCGCGCTTGCCAGACCCTTGAAAATATTTCCCAGATTTTTGTAATCCATCTCCGGCGAGCAATTGAACACGTAGCAAATCTTGCCTACCATATTCGCCAAGTCTTTAGTCGTTTCTGTTTTGCCCGTTCCTGCAGGACCAGCAGGAGCGCAACCCATTTGGATATGAAGTGCTTGTGTAGCGGTGACGTAAATTCTGTCGGTCAAAGGCGTGATCACGAGTCTCGGGCCATTCCCCAAGTACTCGAAGCCATAATCGAAAGTTGCGTCACAGATCTCCAAGTACATTTTGTTCAGCTGATCCGACCGTCGCTGTTTCAGCTGCGATTGCCAGAGGAACGAGCTTGGAGTCGTGATTTCCTCATAAAGAAGCTTCTGGACAATATCTCGAGAGTGCGCATCCATCGTGATCATGCACATTGTACGCTGACGATCAGCTTTGGGTAGATTCGTTTGGGTGAGCTTAATGAGATCGTTGAGCTGGATCACCACCTTCTCAAGAAGCTCCTTCATAGCAGTCGCGTGACCTTTTGACAGCAACTCGAACGAATGCTCAACACTTCGTGCGTATTCAATTCCAGCAACCAGCAGAGCAATCTGGGCTGCATCCATGTTGTCCTTGGAAACAGCCTCCTCGGTGATCGGTGGGACTTTCTGTAGAAGCCAATCCACGCGGTTTTGCTCCGGAAATCGATTGATCGAGCGCGTTACATGGTCCATCAGTGTACGCTGCATAGCCTCCAATATCGTTTGCATGTAAAGCTCCACTTTTCCGTCCAGCTGTACCTTGTTCTCAAACGAAATGGTCTCTTTCGCAGCATCGTTCGATATGAAGTGTGTGGCCAACATCGAGCTTGCTGCTCCAGCATTCTCTTTTTCCAAAAGCAGCGTATGCGTAGCCAAGAACACTTTCTCCAAGTGAATCATAATTTTCTGGGGGCTACTACCATTTGACAAGATATCGAGCAGATCAGCTTCGGAGATGAAGTAAAACCGCGGGAACATGCGGCGTTTGGAATCCAAGTACTCTTTCAACGCTTGCTGACACTTTTCGAGCCGCGTACGCAGATCATTGAGCAATGCCAGCAAACCAGGAAATTGACAAGCGAGCAAAACATTTCCTGGTGGTTCTTGCTCCCACATTTGCTGGAGGGTTTGCCGAACGAGCTCGTCAACGTCTTCGAACCTTGCAGCCTCGTCCGGGAGCTCGCGTTTTACTTCCTCTGATTGCATGAAGAGAGGCTCGAGGTATGACCACGATCGCTGAATGTCGAGTAGAGCCCCGACTGTTTCAGATACCAGCATGAGCTTCGACTTCCACAGCTGAGTTTGTTCTTGGAAAAAACTGTTGCGTCCCGACGCCATTCCCTGCACCAGCAATTGATCCGACTCCAGCATCTCCACGTCATCCTCCGTCATGGCAAGCAATGGCACAGCCGTTTCTTTATACGGGGTCATGGTTAAGCAAATGCTAGACCAGCGCGTTTCCAACTCTTGTAAGACGGATTCTTGCTTAGCTTCTTTTTGAGCACGATCCGTTATCTCCTCCACGTCGCGCTGGAATTCGTGCAGATTCAAAGCTAAGATGTCAGCAAACTTCATGGAAGGGTTGTCTTCGGGACATTCAAAGTCTTTCCCAGTCACCGCGATGAGATCCTGCCAATGGCGCCTACGCATGGATGGGTGCCGTAGTGCTTGAAACAGCGGACATGTAGATAGGAAGTCTTTCACGAGCCGCTCAAACTTCTTGAATGCATCGCAGTCTCGAACATCTTTGTGGGTAGCTTTCACAAGCGCTAGAAACGCCTTCGCTTCTTCTTCCAACACTATACCATCGATCATACTCCACGGAATATCTCTCGACAGATCAATTTTCCTCGTTACCTCCGATATTGCTTCCCACGTTTGGTGGCAATGAGTTAGCGTACGCTGAATAGCGGTCAGCACAGACGCACACGGCTCCATCAAATCCTCGCACTCTAATATCTCCGCAATGTGTTTCTTTTGCTGAAATTCCGTTTCATCCTTTCCTGCATTTGTCTGCTCTTCAGTGATCAACGCCAGCGCCGCACTCACACCAACAGAGAAACTCCAGAAGCTCTTCGACTTGAGTTGTGCTTCCTTTCCATGCAGCTCCTCCATATAGGCAGCGACCTCATCGCGGAACTTCAAACTCTGCGTAGCAATCAACGGCGCAATACGGTTACTTGCTGCCGGAACCTTCTTCAAGACCTCTGCCCAGGCCATTTCGATTGCCATCAAAATATCCAACTCCTTCGTAACCATAATCCCTGCATCTTTCAGGAAAGCGATTTCAGCCCGGAGTTCTTCGATCGATAGCGAAATCTGCTCCCCGCGTTTCTCGACCATGAACACGTGCTCTTTCAAGCCTATTAACGCAGCTGTAACCTGTTCAGGCGTCCATGTAGGGTCCGACAGAGGCTGTTCCAGGCCAATATTGCATTCTCGCGTTGATTGCTGGAGTGCTTGCAAGTCGTGCAAAACCTGGTCGAGAACGAGCTTGCCTGTCATCAAGTTCATTTCTCGCGTAACGATGTCATCGAACGTGGCCGTGTAAGGTGATCCGCGAATTGGTCCCGCATTGCCTCCAAATGTTCCCTGGAACTCAATCTTAACGTGATACTCGCCTGGGCTTGGAACTGTGTAGCTCACTAGATACTTGCCGTTAAGAAGGTCTTGTATCTGTAGACTCGGCAGGAAGATTGGATCCGACTCGTCGATGGACACTTCAACGATAAATTCATCACCACCACGTGTGCGCAAGTTACGTTGGGCATCTCTAGCCTGGATAATAAAGCACGTAGGTTCACCGCTTGCACCTCCTGAGAGCACACCAGGTCCATACGCAAAGCACAGGGGTGCATGCGTAACCGAAAAATAGCTGTAGGTCTGGAAAGTTGTTGTGAACGAGTCGCCCTGCAATGCCACTCGGACCTGGACATCTCCAGCAGGGAACGCGGTGAAGTCTGGCGTGACAACATTCAGCGTGTGATCATTAACGTATTCGCCCGGAACGTCTACAGATCCTTTCCGACACGAAAATCTGATGGTCACAGGCTTGTTGACAAAATCAATGCCTTCGATCACCAAAGATGTGCCACCAGTGATCGGTCCAAAGTCTGGGAAGATCCCCGTAATGCCGTACGGAGGGCCCACCACACAGCTAACATCGAGATAGAACATGTCGTTAAGCCATACGTTGGCCCAACCTCCAAAAACAATCAGTCGACTGCCCTTGTCGTCATAGGAAAGTGTCGTGTCACTTCGTCCGCAAGGTGGCGTGCCCTCGATCTCTGGGATGGTCCAGCTCATTTCACCCGTGTCAAGCACACTCAGGTCGTTCATGTAACCGCCCTGCGCGTTGTAGTTGTTCGCCTCCCCGACCACGCCACCAAACACAAAAACCTTGGCGTGTGGAATGGCGAGCACTGCACAACACGCGTGGTTCCATCTCGGCAGCGTCGTGGCCATGTGCGTGCCCTCTACAAGCGTCCACGAATTCACCGTCGAGTCGAAAATGTGCAGGTCGTTGAACTGCGCGACACTATTCCAGCCTCCACACACCAGCATCAGATCGTCCACGGCACACGCTTGGTGGCCTGCTCGTTTCTCCGGTGGTTTGCCCTTGCACGTGACTTTCGTCCAGCTGAGGTCGTCTGTGCGTAGCATATACAAGTCGTCAAAGTCCCTCCTGCCGTATCCCGTGCCTCCATAGCCTCCAAACACGTAGATGGATCGTCGAATAGCCACTGCGGTGTGCGCTCCTCTGGGTGCGGGCAGTGTCGGAGCCACGGTCTTGGCCACACTAGCACGATGCATGGCGTTGGCATTATTGCTATTGAGAGGTGAGGCCACCGCAGCGGCTGCGCCCTGCTGGCTCCAGTCCAGCGTGATGGGGTTGAAGACCCACAGGTCGTTGAACCGCGTGGAGCTGCTGTGGAAACCGCCGAAGACGTAGATCTTGTTGTCCACGACCGTGGCCGAGTGTTTCCACCTGGGAGGGGGCCACGCGCCGCCCATTGGCGAGCGCAGACGCTCCCACTCGCTGGGGGCGTTGGCGTTGATCTTGAGCGCGAACAGGTCGTTGGTGGGGCCTGGAGGCTCGGCGTAGTCGCAGCCGCCGAAGAGGTAGCCGCTGGAGCCCACGATGGACAGCGAGTGGCCCGAGCGGCGCGTCGGCGCCTCGCCGTTGCGTCTGGCCACCGTCTCCAGCTTGCTCCAGCGCAGCGTCGGCGCGGACCCCACGCCGCCATGAGCGTCCGCCGTCTCCGCGGGCATCACTGCGAAGTGCGCAATTAGGAGTGAAGGTCACTTGTCCAATGGACACCTTGACGTTGAACTTTTGGATTTGAGGGCGCGGATTGGCTGAAAGGTAGGAAGTTTACGCCAATGAAATGGGCGCGCGACGCTTCAAGATCCAAGATATCTTCTCGTGATGGCCAAGCGGTAGTGGCGAACAGGGCGAGAGCATGGCGTATCGGGACCTCACGAGCCGCTTCCAGGAGCGACGGGCGAACCTGCGCAAGCGCAACTTGCGCTTCCAGATGAGGCCGAGGCTGGACAACTCGCCTCTGCTGAGCGCGCTCTTCCTGTCCAAGCAGGTGGCGTGCACGGCCCATTGACAGGAGGCATTTGTGCTCATTGACCGGGCTAATGATAACTCATGGCGATGGTGCGATGCAGAGGAGCAAGTCGCACGCTATGGAGAAGGCGCTGCTGCAGGACGCGAACGAGTTCCCCGGGGGGGAGCATGGGGATATCCACAAGCCCGAGTGGACAAGGTTTGCAGACAGCGCAGACGAATCCATCCGCCTACTGCATGCCCAGCGTACGTTACCTGTGCAATATCGTCAAAATGCATGGTATAAACCTTCATCGGATAGCTGACTTCAACGCTGCTACTCTGTTGTCGTTTTTGATCGTTATTGACTGATTTAGTGGAGTACTTGCAGCTTTTGCACACGCGGAGACTCATGATCCGGTTTGACGACTCAGAGATTCAGCAAGAGCGTGAGATCAATTGCCTGACTGAGGAGATAACCGCGCTATTCCACAAGGCAGATCGCTCGCTCAAGAAGATCACCAGCGCTTTTGTCGGTGGTGAGCCAAGTCCATCGCCTGCGGATCGGCTTGTGCGATTGAATACGCAGCGTGCTATCGCAGGTCGCTTGCAGGAGATCTCCATTCAGTTTCGAACACGACAACGCGAGTATCTGCAGCGACTTCAGCTCCAGAAGTTCGGGAGCGAGATTTTTGACGTCGACGAGATGGAAAAGGGGGCGGGAAGGGCAGGCCACAGCTTTCGCCTCGGCAATAAGGCCACAGCGTACGCGATGGACCAAACCGAGTACGATATTCGTACTCGAGACATCGAAATCCAACGGATCGCCAAGTCTGTCGCAACGCTGGCGACCATGTTCAAGGAAGTCGCGGAGATGGTGATCGACCAAGGCACTCTCATCGACCGGATCGACTACAACATGGAGCAGGTGGCGCCACTGTCGATCTCCATAGTCGTTGCAACGCAAAACGCACTAATAATCACCCCTCCGACTGTTTTTCCTAGGTGGTGGAGAGGATGCGCGCCGGACTAAACCAGCTCGACCGCGCCGAGAGATATCAGCGCAACACGAGGCCCGAGCGCTGCATCTTCTTGCTGTTGTCGCTCATCACGCTGTGCTTCTTCATTCTCGTGATGAAGCACTCCTGATCGGCTGCAGTCTACCGACAATATGAATGAATGTATAGGGGGCATCGGGATCCCGGTCGCTAGACCCGGATCGCTCACTCGTTGTTTTCTCAAGGAGCGCGCCAAGTCCACCACGCCAAGTAACGAGTCGAAGGAAGCATAGCCCCCTCCGCCTCCTCACCCCACGCAGCGGACCCAGCTCGCTCTCAACTGACACGCATAAACAAGTTGTTCCTCGTCATCTGCCCAGCTCTCCCTTTCATCCACCCGCTTCCTACAGCTCAAAGCGCAAATACAAACTGCCCTCCCCATTGGGCAAAACCAAATTCCCCCTCTTCAATGACTTGTACCTCGCGACAATGCCAACTTCGTAAAAGAACACCCCAATCCCCCTCACTCACACACGTCGTCAACCTTACTTGATCATGGAGCCGCGTGCCCGCCGTCTCAGCAACATCCGCGAGCCGCCTCTGGGGCCGCTGGCGCCGTCCCAGCTGCCGGCCAAGAGCTTCGGCCGCGGCGCCAGCGGCCGCAGCAGCGTCTCCTCGTCGCGCTCGCTGTCCACGGCCGTGGTGCTGCGTCTGCTGCTGGGTATTCTGTGCGTGGGCATCGTCGTGCAGTGGGTCGTCTGGAGCTCCAGCGTCGTGGACTCGCAGCGCGGCGCGGCGGCGATTAACACCCCTAATAACGGGTGGATGAACCACCTGCGCCGCATCGAGCACGCGGCTGACACGCCCGAGCCGGCGCCCGCCGCCGTGGACGCGTTCGAGTTCGAGCCGCCGGCCAGCGACCCGACCCACGAGGAGGAGCAGCGCCGCCGCGCGCCCTACGACCCGGCGCTGCATAACGAGGACCAGAAACAGGTGGCGGACATGGTGCAGTGGGCCTGGAAGGGCTACTCCACGTACGCGTACGGCCACGACTCGCTCAACGTCAAGACGTACAAGGGCACGGGGCTGCCGGACCACGACATGGCGCTCACGCTCGTGGACGCGCTGGACACGCTGTACCTCGTGGGCATGTTCGACGAGTTCGACCGCGCGAGCGAGTGGGTGGCCAACAACATGGAGCAGCGGATCTTTCTGAGTGGGTTTATCAGCTTCTTCGAGACGACGATCCGTCTCATGGGAGGACTGCTGTCGTCCTACTACATGTCGGGCCATGTGCACTTGCTGACGATTGCGAACAAGCTGGGAAGCGCGCTGTCGCCCGCTTTTGAGGTGTATGAGCACGGCATCCCCCCGAAGGACTTTGATATCGTGGTATGTGGATCAGTTAGGGTATCTATGATTCTGGAGGTGGTGAAGCTGACGGCTGTTCTTTTCGGTGTTGTGGTGACGCATAGACTAAGCGGACACGAGCTGACCCGTCGTTGGCGGAAGTGGGCACGCTGCAGATAGAGTTCAAGTATCTCGCCCGGCTCACGGGGTACTCCAAGTACCAGGAGCAAGTGGATCGCATTTCCGACTCGGTAGGGCTTGCGAATTGTAATGGATTTACAGTCAGTGTGCTTACATGTTTCACTTTGTTGCGTAGTTGGCAAAGCAAGTGGAGGAAAAGTACACGAACGGCCTCTTGCCTGTTCAAATCAACCAACAGAGTGGAAAGATCATCACTTCGAAGGTCACATTGGGTGCCAACGGTGATAGCTACTACGAGTACCTGCTCAAACAGGTGCGAATGCAATGACATTGATGTCGGGAGCCATCAAAACTAACTTTACGCTTTACAGTGGCTGTTGTCGGGCAAGAAGGACGATAAGTTCAAGACGCAGTACATGACAGCGGTGGACGGAATCATGGACAAGCTCTTGGGCACATCAAAGCCCAAGGGACTTGTGTTTATTGGTGAGCTGGTCTATGGCAAGTTTGAGCCCAAGATGGACCACCTGGTGTGCTTTGTGCCGGGTATGCTGGCCCTTGGATACATGAACGGTATGCCGGAAGAGCACCTCACGCTCGCGAAACAGCTCATGGAGACTTGCTACCAAATGTATGCGCAAATGGAATCCAAGCTCGCCCCCGAAATCATGTACTTCAACATGATGGAGAACGTCGAGGAAGACCTTGCCGTCAGTGCGACTGATGCCTTTAACCTGCTGCGTCCTGAGACGGTGGAAAGCTTGATGGTGCTGTATCGCGTGACAAAGGACGAGAAATACCGCGAGTATGGCCGCGAAATCATGAAGGCGTTTGAAAAAAATTGCCGGTTAGAGCGCGGCGGATACGCAAGCATTGGCAATGTGGCCAAGGGCCCCATTCACATTGGTTTCCGCAACGAAATGGAGAGCTTCTTCATCGCCGAGACGCTCAAGTATCTATTCCTGCTCTTTTCGGACGACTCGGTGCTGGCGTTGGATGAGATCGTCTTCAACACGGAAGCACACCCGTTCCCGATAGACAAAACTGCTGCCTAGACAACTGAAGTATCCGTCTTCAATACGTGCCGTGCCTCAATTCGAGTGAACCACCACTGTACCCGCGTACGTTAACGATTGTTGTTTAACGGAGGTGATGGCTCTATTTTTTGCTTTGTATTTTGAGCCCACAGGTCTGCTCCTGCGAAACGGTTGCCGCGTCAAGGTGTCCGTAATAGTAGATGAAGTGAACCTCACCCGTAGGCGTGCTTCGCAGATGGGTGGCGCGGTATCTGTCCTCGGCGATTCAGCATCAAACTCGAACTACAGGTATGGTGAGTCCACGGACGCTCAGGGTGGCAAGGTCGAAGACGTGATGTCCTGGATTGGCACGAGGCTGGATATGCCGCCAAAACCCTTCAGTGTGGAGAACTACTTCGAGCTGCAGAATATCGTCGGTACGGGCATGCTGGGAAAGGTGCGTCTCGTTCGGCACAAGCGGTCAAGTCTTTACTACATTCTCAAGTCGATCAAAAAGAAGGATGTGATCGTAAAGAAGATGATCCCGCAACTTGAAGCCGAGCGCGACGCGATGCAGCAGATGACGGCGATTCGGCATCCGTTCAGTGTCCGGTTCTTCGGCAGTTTGGCCACTTCATCGCACGTGCACTTCCTGATGGAGTATGCGCCAGGTGGCGAGCTTTTCCATCGCCTACACAACGTCGGACGCCTATCCAACGACGAGGCCAAGTTTTACGCCACGGAGCTCGTCGTATTCATCGATGCGTGTCACTCCAATGGCTTCATGTATCGAGACGTCAAGCCTGAGAATATCTTGCTGGACGCTGGCGGGCACATCAAGGTGGTGGATTTCGGCTTTGCCAAGCAGATTCGCAGTCCCAACGATCGGACCTCGTCCAGTGTGGGGACGCCGCAGTATTTGGCGCCCGAGCAGCTCACGCTATCTCACAAGGCACGCAACTACTCGCGAATCGTGGACTGGTGGGCGTTCGCCTGTGTGGTGTACGAACTGGTGAGCGGCTCGCCGCCGTTCACGTCTCGACGCAACGAGTCCCACTTCGAGCTGTACAACCGCATTCTCTCGGGCAAGATCTACTGGCCGCGGTACATGCAGAGCGCGTTGAAGGACCTGCTGCGGAGCATGTTGCAGAGCGACCCTGCTAAGCGACTGAGCGACGTCAGCGCCATTAAGGAGCACGCGTGGTTCGAGAACGTGGACTGGGACGCCGTCCCGCTCCGCCAAGTCGTCGCGCCGCACATCCCGACATTGACTTGTCCCGGTGACACGTCCAACTTCGACGACTACCCGAGCTCGAGCGAGGAGACGCCGCCGCTAGACACCGATGCGTCTCGGCATGAGTTCCTCAATTTTTGACAAGCATCCGCCAGTGTCGACAGACATCCAGATACCGACCGACCGGATCGCATTCGCGTCAGCGGTGGTAATCAACCACAACGACAGCGAGAGAGCCGACTCTCCAAGCAGCGTTTTGATTGCCAGCCATGTACAGCGCGCAAAAGTTCCTCCAGAGCACCAAGAGCCGTAAAGCAGGCAGATGGAGTGCTGCGTTGTGAACTTTTTGCGTGAGGGCGTCGTTAACTACGCGTCACATGGTGCGACGGCTGAATTCTGCTGTCGCGAAAGTCGGCGGCAGTTGCCATGCGCTCGTCTACAGGCACTTCAACAACAGCATTGCATCATGCCCTCGTGCTGTTCTGTACCGTAGGCGAAACTTTGACGTGATTCAGTACTGGTAGGCGAAATTTTGACTTGACTCAGTGCTTGAGCCTTGGCGACGCCATCCGTAATGCGTGCACTGCTGTTTGCAGGCGAGAGCCGGGCTGCCTGCACTTCTTTCGCCTCCTGCTGGTGCCGGAGCACACGGTATGGATGGCGGCGCTGCAGGTCGGCGCTGCGAGGCAAAGTCTGCCGAAGCAGCTTGTTCCGGCCGCCAGCTTGCAGCGATCACCCTACAGCTTCTTGTCCATTTTGGCAGCAATCTCGATCTTTTAGCGTTTGCAATGGGTCGGGAAAGGCGGGACGGTCCACACAATCCGAAGTCCTCCACAGTGGTTTCTTCCTTCCTTCCTTCCTCCCTAGCGGCACCGACCGACCGACGCCTTTGTCGAGAGCTTCGTCACTTCATTTGGCAAAAGGGACTCGGTCGCCTAACGCGCTTCGCGATCGATTTGTGGCGCGCACGGCCGGGGAAAACCGAGGAAGAAGAGCAGGAAGGGCACGTGCAGAGACCGGCAGTGAGTGACTGTGTGTAGCTACGCTTTGTGCAGCAACCAACGACCAAAGAGACCCCGCCAGCCATGCCAGCATCGAAAGCGCCCCGTTCGCCGCGGCTGGACCCGCTTCACTCTCCAGGAAGCGACGTCCCAGCACAGCCGCCGCAGCTCCAGCCTCGCTCCCAGCAGCGAGCAGCTCCCTTAGTGCGCTTGACTCTCGGCCCAGAAGACGCCGGCCCGACCTTCCGACAGAACCGGGCGACAGCGGAGCCCATGGTCAAGCCCAAGAGACGCATGTTCTCGTCGCCCTTGCTGCGCCGCTCGGCCACGGCGTCGTCCGCGGCGGCAGCTTCGGCCGCCTCCAAGATCAAGTCGAACCTGTCGACCGTCACCAAGCTGCCCACGGCGTTGAAGCGATCCGCAACGACGCACTCCGCCGGGAATGGCGCGGCTCCGTCCAACGACGACGACAAGGCGAATGTCGACCGAGCTCCGACGATTGCGTCGCTGTCCGGCAGCAACTCCAGTCCCGAATCCGCCGCCAAGCAGCAGGAAGCGCCCAAGCAGCACAGCAACAAAATGTTCAGCATCCCGTCCATGATGCGCATCCGGACCGGGTCCAAGGAGGACAAGCCGCAGGAAACCAAGGACTCGACGCAGGACAAGAACGAGCAGAGCAACAACGACACTACCAGCACCAGCAGCGAGACGGAGGGCGATACCGATGTGGAGTCGACGTCGCAGCCTCAGATGTCGGCGATCAACAGCGCGTCGCGGTTCGTCATGGGCATGCCCACGTTGCTGAGACGCGCGGTCTCGAACAATGCGCCTGCGAGTGCTGCTGCTGCTGCCACCCAGAAGAAGTCGCCGGATACCAGCGCCAACTCCACCCCGCGAGGACAGTTCCCCGAGGACGACTTCGAGGAGAACGAGCGGCATTCGCTGCTCATGATGATGCAGGTGCCTGAATCTCGGAGGAACTCGCAGATTCCGCTCATGGCGGTCACTGAGGCTTGGTGAGCGACGCAGGTTGGACTGCTTCATTACCATATTGACTGCATAGCGCAGTATATCTATGCCTTGCCACGCCCCCCTCTAGCTACTGCCAAGTTTTGCGAAGGAAGCAAAACGCTGCTTGTACATCATTTGAGATCGTAGCCGCCAGTACCTGGCTGTAGTCTGCCTGGCACAGGCCACACTGGTTATCTAATTACCACTTTATCAAGACAGAAAAGGCTTTTGCATTGCCATCATTCCATTTCGTTCTTAGCAGCAGGGATCAAAGCTGCGTTGGTATTGAGATGATGATGAAAGGCTTTGGCGGTCCACCCTATCTTCAATTGTTCTTGTTGATCAATCAATACTTCACACCTTTAGTCCATGTGGGGGTGATCGTTCCCTTCTGCGCCAAAGTCGTTGATCACCTGCTCGCCGTCGACAACCACAGGGCGGGGATCGAACAGGTACCGACTACGGAGACACAAACACAGCCCAGTAGCGTAAGAACAACTAAACCCTCACGCAGGTTGTTTGCCAGCATGACACGTACATGATGCGAGGAGTTGCAAGCGGCCGCTGGGTCTTCCAGCCTCGGATGCTGGCAATCGTAGGGTACACGTCTGCAAATTCAATTCAACGCACAGAATTAGCAATGCACGACCAACCTATTGAGTAACAGTTGACTAAACCGCACCTTCCAGGAAATAGTAGATGTGCCCAACAATGATGCCAATCAAGTCCGTCGTGGCGCTGTTTCCGAGCAGAATCGAGAACGAGAACAGCACCCACGGCAAGTACGGGGCCGTGAACGGGAACAGTCCCAGGAAGCTCATCCGCACGTGCTCGTTGCGTCGCCCCCAGAGGTACACCATCATGAACGTCAGCGACGAGCCCAAAAAGTGAATGTTCACGAACGGCGCCACCAGCTACAGGCATCACACACACCACACACCGCAATAAAGCAGTTCAGCACCATGCAGTGCAGCCCGTATCAATCCTCGCCACGTGGACGTACGATCATCACCACAGCACCCAGCAGCAGCATGTACACGAAGTCCGCTGTCCGACCGCGGAAGGACCCCTCCTCGAGTAATCTGCAATAGCGGACGCTACTCGCAACACAACCAACAATCATAAGAGCACGCGTAAAGTTAGAGTCTGATGGCAATGTGCAACGCAGCAAGAGGGGCAGCAGCTAGGTGACGGACGTACACGAAGTACATGTGGAAGAGGAAGTCGAGGCTGAAGAGTCCGAAGAACATGAAGTTGGTCACGAGTCTCCAGACCTAGTGCGAATGCATGGACACATATAATAGCATCAGTATGTTGCCGCCCAGAAGCCTGTTGTTGCAGTGCCAGCGGAGCTGCCCACGCACTTGTCCCTTGAAGAAGATGAGGTTAAAGTTGAAATAGAGCGAGAAGGGCGACACCAGGTCCAGCGCGCAGGCCGTGGTGGTCAGGAACGAGCCCGTCAGGTACAGCCGCGACACCACGGGGATCTCGTAGTACCATTCCAGCGGGTCGATCATGCTCGTCGCCTCGTCCTCCTAATGATGCGGGGTTTGTGAAATGACGCCACTTGGCAATCGCCCACCTACAAGTACCTATAACCTACCTACAATTGTAGGTTGGGGTATAGGTTGCGCCCACTATAAGAGAGTCAGTCGTATCGAGTATAGCAATATCATCGGGTATGTGAGTTGTGGGCAAGATTTTACCAGGATTCCTGCCGAGTAACAATAATCCTCACTGATATTTCGGGCTCAACGCAGTTAGCCGCATCAGCCTTTCGCCGGAGTTTATATACTATTATATGCACCGGTATTCACATGTCATTGTTTTCAAAATGATGCTGACTAACTCAAAGTCACACGAATGACACCTACTTGTGTACGTGTCTTCTACCTAAGCAAGCCTCTGACGATCTCGCTCAAGCCTGAGGGTACACGTTAAAGTGCTTGAGCACGTATTATAATAACTGTGGGTATGTGCAACTAGTTATCTATCAATGAGTAATATCTCTCTCGAATGCTTAACAGCACCCACCAGCGTAATCTGCAGACTACAAGCACTTCTGTTGCCAATAGCTCTGCGTGTACGTGTTAGTCCGGCTTGGCGCGGTCGCGCATCCAGGCGAAGATGCCGGCGGTCGAGTTAAGGCACTACGCCACCATGTCCAGTTGTGGCTCTACATGTAGTACGACATGTATTGACCAGAGCTGTCGGCATACAAACTCGTGCTTGGCATGCCGTCTACCCAGCGCTCTCTGAAAGAGGCAGATGATGTCCCGAACGGGGGGATAATGGACAGTATGAATACGCTTTGGGTTCGAGATCCTATGGGTATTGACAACTTCGTGTGCAATCCGGAGAAATAAGATATTTGGATGCTGTCTGAGCATCCCGACCTTGATGAAAAGCTGCTACTCGACCTCCGCAAGGTGCAGACGCGGGTGTGGGGGCAAATGCGTCGCGAGAAAGAAGAGAAGGCCACGCAAACCTCGATCAAAAGCTTGTTTATAGCTTGCTAGACGCTATCAGGTTGGCCGAAATCTTGTATCGGATATCGCATTTGACAGATTTACTCCATATATTTGCGTACTACCAAGTCCGTGGATTGACTTCATATCGTATATTGCCGTTTGCAGATATTTTGGCCAACGCATGCTTATTATCTCGTCAATAATCTCGATTTTAATCCAGCCAGCTCTTAATTAAGACCTAGGTCTAATTTATATATCTCGCCAGTACGGTCGAACATCCAAGCTTGAGGCTCTGTTTTCCCGACCAAAACGCTTTTCTGCGGCTTAGAAACGCAGAAATGCCATTCTAGACAGGCCAAACCGAGTTTCTGGGCCTAAAAGCGGCCTCCACCAAAGCACAAAGCTAAAAGCAGCCCTCGCCTATCTCGTGTCCACTCGTATTAAGAGAATATTGGCAAAGTATTAATACTTGTATTGCTATGTCCGATTGTCTGTACAAATGTCTTCTATTCGGGTGTGAGGGCTTATGGGAAGTTGAAGTGAATGAAGCCATTTTGGGGGCACACGAAGCGATGAGTCGGCTGGTGCCGTACAGGACGAAGGTGTCGGAGGAGGTGGCGGCGCGCATCGAGCAGACGCTGAGCACCACCATGTATCTGGTGCAGACGACGGGGCCAACATCCTACATGGTGAGTGATCCAGCCTCGTTGAAGTGCTGTGTCTCTTTAGTAACCTTTTTTCGGAGTCTGATAGATTCAGGAGCAGAACTGCGAGAAGAAGCACAAGGTGCTGATCGGGTCGCTGCAGACCTGCAGCTGCGGAACAGCCGACATCTGCATCCACATCCTGTTCGTCATGCTCAAGGTCCTCCGCGTGCCAGCGACGACGCCCGTGGTGTGGCAGAAGTCGCTCATAGATTCCGAGGTGGGGAGTGTATGTCCGAGTTAGGCTTATATACCTAACCTTGAGTTTGTTGTGATTCATGGTGGTGCAGATCGAGACGCTGCTTCGTGGAGGGTACAGGGAGAAGTCGAGGCCGGCGCCAAAGCCGTACATGAAGAGGCGGAAGGAAGAGGCTGCAGCTGCTCGACCCGAAGATGCTGACGTTGAGCGACACGAACTGGTGGAGGGGGAGGTGTGTGCTATCTGCCAGGAAGACATGGACGACAACCAGCCACTCACGTTCTGTCGCAAAGGGTGCGTCCGCTGTGTGGTTTAGCATGCTCTCCGTGTGGGGTATTTCTTGCTAACAGAGTCCGCTGCAGTTGTGGCAACAACTTCCACGTTGAATGTATGAAGGTCTTTGGCGAGAGTCGGCGACAGTCGAAAGAGAACATTATCTGCCCGCTGTGCCGTCAAGACTGGGGGGACACGGCCTTGTCGTCACTCCGGAAAGAGATTGATGCAGCCAACAGAGCCCCGAATGTTCACAAAGGAGCATCGTGCAGGAAATGCAAGACGAAACCAATTCGATGCGAGCGATATCGCTGCGTCCAGTGCAAGAACGTGGACTTGTGTGCGCGCTGCTTCAAGTCGAACGCCCACTCGAGCCATGTTTTCGTGATGAAGCACAGTGTACCAGACCCCTGGGTACCTGCGTCGCGTGAAAATCAGCCCCGCACAGCTATCAGCTCGGATCTAATACGGGACTTGGAAACCCGAGAGCTCTCAACGAATGACTATGACGTGTTACTGCAGCTTGATCAAGGAGACAAGCGCCCCATTCAAGACTACCTTGTGAAAGTAGTGTCGGGAACCAAGGTGAACGCTGAGGAAGCCAAGACGTTTGGAGAACCTGGAGCATCGTGCTCGTTGTGTGCTCAAAGTCTCCGGATAAAAGCCTCATTGCACTCGGCTTTGTGCGGGGTTCGTAGATCAAGCTCGATCTCTTTTGAACTCTTGTGTTGAAGCTTTCTAACGCCACTACCATCACTGCTATCACTGCACAGCACGTTTTCCACGAGGGCTGCCTCGCAAGATCGATTCTGTCCCAGGTGTACGCATGCCCCTATCCTGGATGCGATCAAGCGCTGCTGCCTGGATTGTTGTACCTTCAGCAAAAGCTCAAGACTGCTAAAACAGAGCAGCCAAGCGGGGAGAAACAAGAGCTACCCAATCCAATTCCCGTGCTGGCCCCTACCTTCACCGTGTTAGGGCTTCAGCAGGATCACTCTCTGAGTAACGTCACTGGAAAGGCTATCATAACGACGCCGGGTTCTCGCACAGCACGGAGAGGAGCTACGTCACGAGCTCATCGAGAAGACGTCGAGCTCCCTTTATTACCCGGATTGGTTTCGGTCGGCATTGTGCCGCACAAACGCTCGAGTATCAATGAACGTAGATCAGCGTTGGCGCTCAATCAGTTGGATCATGAAAGCACTGCACCCCAACATCTCGACAAACGCTCCGTACGTGTGAAGGGAAAGTTGTCCAAAGTGACGCGAGCCCAGCATGCCCTCCCTCCACTCAACCAGCGTCAGCCGGTTCCAAGCGACGAAAATGTGACCGAGAACCGTCTCAATCATGCTGAGAAGATCCGTGCCGAATTGAACGCGATCGAAAGAGAGCGTCTCCAAAAGCAACGGCTACTACGGGAGCAGCGTCGGCAACGCCACCAAGAGAGCAACGGCAGTCCAGCATTCGGTGGTGTATTTCTTGGAGTAGATCATTCAGAACCTGCCCTCCAAACGAAAAAGGTTCGAGCGCAGCAGGTGAAATTGAAGTCACAAGAGCGCCACCAGCAATCACGCAAACCAAGCCAGCTTCCAACTACTCTTCCGGATTTATATGTTGGTAACGAGAGATGATTTACTTTGTGCGACGTGTTGCGCTGGCAGTGACAGTAGATAACGAACTCGGTTTGTCATAAAACTTTTTCACTGTTTTTATTGTGAAGCACTTCACATCTTACATTTTAACTCCCTGCTGCAAAAACTAGGTCGTCTGCGACTTAGCTGGGAACACTTATGAGAAGAAGTGCTGTATTTGGCAGTGGTAGATGTTGCAGTGCCAAGTTGAAGTGCTTATCCGTCTTAAGGCCTTTCGCGATTAAGATTAAGTCCAAAGCACTATATTGTAATTGATATAGCGATTGATTCCTCTAGAGCAGCCAGCCTTTCCACTTGCGTCTGCGATTGATCGATCAATTTCAATATTTTCTTCTCGAAAGTGGCTGTGTGTTTCTTTCAAAACCGAAAGCCATTGGAAAATACGTGCACTCGGTAGTTCGTACAGTCTACGAAAAAGGTGTTTTTGTGCCCTCCACTCTTCTGATGGCCCTATGAAAGTTACACGCGGCTTCCGGTCAATATCCGTGACAGGGAGCACTTTAGCACACGCTGAAGGAAAGCAGATAGCGTGACCACTACTGTGCTTGCCAGATAGAGAAAATTCAACTCCAAAGCACCGAGCAGGGGCAATACAGTTTTCCCGACTGCACTCAGTTCTGGAAGGTCTGCGTATCGTGGTCATTCGCAAGACTAAACTTCGACTCCCGGGGATTGTGAGCGCACTTTGAACATAAGTGAATTCGTTCTTTGTCTCTAACGAGGTCCGGATTCAGGTAAAATTTACGCCCATCCGGCATGGCAAGCACTTGCGCATACTTTTTCACCCTTGTCGTCAGAAAGATGACTACTTAAGTATATCGCTTCTTATATATCACTTGATACTTACGATGTTTCTGGTATTGCCGCGTTGCCGCGACTGTTTTTCTGCAAATAATACAACAACCAATCCATCAGAAACTAGAATATAGCATCGTATCGAAACAATACCATGATATTTTTTCTTTTCTTCTCCGTAGCCCGGGATGCTTTTTTTGCTTTGTAGCCATCTCTGCAGGTGCCATATCGTTAGAGCCACGTCTATCTGCTACACCCTCTCGGCTACTGGCGAGTGCCTGCTTGCGCTTCGCGCGGTAATTGCACATGTAAAGAGCCTGCTTGCGCTTTTTATCTGGCGCCGCCATTCCAGCTGATGTTTCAGCGCTCTTCGTTTAGTAGCTTCTTCTGTTGATACGTTGCCGTCAATATCGCACTCGCGCCGCTCGCAGCTACTTGCCGTGACTCGAGAGGATCCCTGGTCGCTGCTACCCATGGTCGTTTCTGCCAAACCACCACCCGAACGCGTTGCAATCTTTATTCGCTTGTGTCTGGCACGGTAATCCCGCATGTAGAGGGGCCGCTTCTGCTTCCTTGTGTTAAGCAGCTCTTCAGCAGCTGATTGCTTAGCGTTACCACGCTCGCGTTTCCGACGCCACGACTTTGCCGGAATCAATACTGCTCGCAGTTGAAAGCGCTTCGATAGTATTCGGCACTCGCCTGCCTTCGCCAGGGACGGCGCAGCTAGCATCCTTAGACATTATTCCGCCTTGAGATCAATAGGCAAACTGTCAGGAGTCTATCATCTATTCAATTCAATCATATCTTGTCATTGCCGTTGAAGTCGTTGAAGTTGCATTCACTATTCGAACTGTGCCGCGAAGGTTGCGCCAAGTTACGCTTACGCGTCCAATTAATCCGTTGGGAGCTGTCCACTCCCTCATTCTTCGGGTGTTCCCAGTATAAACCTTCCGATAAACGACTGGAAGTACAAGTGACAAAAGACCGCCCTCAGCGCATTAGATGAAAACCCGACGCAGTGGGTGTTGTCCATCCCGAAGAGCTGGCGGGAGGTGGTTTGGTTGATGTCGCTGTGCTTTCGATTCGACAAGATAGTGCGTCTCGACGAGATGCTTTTCGACGTCGTTAGCCACCGGTAGCGCCAGTTGCGCGGCATCCTGTAGGAAAACACTACTCTGCAGGGAACCCATCATCGCGCAAATTCCGCCGAACTGGCCGGTTGTATTCGGCGCCAGCATCACGTGTCCACAGCGGCCTTTTGCCAGCGGCTCTAGTACGGCGATCACGTCGTCGGTAAAAGAGCTGCAGGTCATCAGCGGTGGTCGAGTCCGCAGCCACTGAGGCGCTTGAGCCGGGTCCAAGCTATTCGCGGCAGCCACAAACGCGGTCACGTTGTCCACTTGCCAGTCGACCTGGATCGTCGACAGGTACTCATTTAGCTGCCGCAATTCGAGCAACATGAAATGTTATGAGCCTGGCTGTGCAGTCAGTGTTACATCCCAAAGGACGAGTTCCTTACCACTGGGATTGCTGAGCGAAGGGAGAAGACGTCACGCAGTCTTTGGTCGAAGGGATTGTTGCTTGGCATTGTTTTATCACTGCTAATTCTTTTTTACTGTGTGGAAGATCGAGTGGAATGCAGTCTAGTTCTGTCACTACCGATGGACGAGATTGACGACAAACGGCTTCAAAGCATTGTTGGAGTAAGCTCACATCGCCCTGCAACCTCTATCAGCCGATTGACGGTGAACAACACCCGATGCGCCATGATGCGCTGCCGCTCGTTAGACCTGCTACTCACAAGACTGCTGCGAGCGAACGCGTGGTCTTGTTGCTGGCTATTTTGTATAGAACGGAATGTATAGAACGGGAGGTCTGAACGCCGCGCTTCGAGTTAGCGATATGAGTCACCCGAAGTTGCTCTCAACCTGCAACAGCTCGGAAAAACTGAAGCAAGTCGAGCGTTGCACATGTTGAAGAAGAGTCGCACCGATTGAGTCAGGCTGCTTCGACCGCATTGTCCTCGGCTATCTGCCAGCGTCCAGCAGAGGCCCGTGCCGATGGCTTCCTTCCAGCAGCGCCTTCAAGGTCGCCCGAGCCCACAATCTGCGGTACTGTAGTGTTTACCCTACTAGCAAAATGCTCTAGCGTGACGCTCCTCCAGCGCGCTCGTGATGACATTTCATGGATACATCTATCGCCCTCTTCATTGGTAGAAATCCGTCATGGGAAGTCCCCATTGGTCGAGATCCAATATTGGTGTGCGACACACAACGTCTCGGTGCCCCAAACGGCGCGTTGCTCCCATCACCCGCTAATCAATCGCCACAGGCTCATTTATCTGCGCGTTTGCTGGCAGAGAGAAGAGAAGCATCGAGGACCTGTCTCCTTCTCTCTCTCTCTCTCTCTCTTTGAGAAGCTCCGCTCTCACATCCGCTTCAGCAGCCAACTGGCCACATGGCCCCGTCCAACGACACTTGCAAGGCCTCTACGAGCAGCTCACGCCGCCGTCCGCCGCCTTCGTCGCTCCCTGAGCCGGAGCCTCCTGCGTGCTTCGCGTGGGAGCAGGCGGCCGGCCGACACTTCACAACGCCCAAGCCCTCCCCCAAGAACAAGAAGAGCAAGAGCAGCAAGAGCAAGAGCAACAGCAACATGAAGCGACGTGGGCCATCGTCTTTGTCGTCAACGTCTTCGCCGCGCCGCAGCAAGCTCGAGGCCTTCCGCGCGACGCAGCTGGTGCTGTGGCGCCGCCGCTACTTCGAGGGTATTCTGCGCTGGGAGGCGGCGCTGCGGCTGCTGTTCGTGGCGCTCCCCAAGCTCGTGTTCAAGCGCTTCGAGGGCGCGCGCACGCTCGTGGCCTTCTTCTTCGTCTACGTGATGCTGCAGGCGCTGGCCATCCTCTGGGGGTTCCTCTTCAACGTGGGCGCCGTGCTGGGCGAGAACATGAGCACCATCGTCACCATGCCCTTCGCGCAGGCGCTGTGCGTGCTCGTGGTCTACGTGTCGGTCATGGGCATCGTGCTGTCCTTCGGCCGCGCGACGTGGATCCTCACGTGGCAGTCGCTGCAGAACTTCCCGCTCATCCGCCGCATCATCGCGTGCGAGTGCCGCCCGCAGGCCGTCATCCTCACGGTGGCCATGCCCATGCTCATCATCCTGCCGAGCCTCATCGTCGTGCCGTCGCACTGCAACAGCGCGGCGCTGCAGGAGTCGTCCTCGCTGGTGCAGGTCATGTGCGAGGAGTCGTACCTCAAGCTGCTGACCGACAGACACCCCGTGTTCCAGCGCGCGTTGCGCATCTCGACTGCGATCGCCATCTGCCAGTTCATCCAGCTCTGTCTCGAGATCCTGCCGCGGTGGCGCTCGGCGCTGGCTGGACTCAGCACGTTCAAGACGTTCCTGCTGGGCGGCTGGCTGCTCGGCATGAACTTCGTGGGCGGACTCTGGACGGTCGAGTGGAGCGCGAGACACTTCAGCCTCAAGATCACGCCGCTGAGCGACCTGACCGACTACCAGTGGGAGGTCTTCGGCATGACGCTGCTCGTGGGGTGGATCCTGTGGTTCCTGGCCATCTCGTGCTTCACGCTGCCCAATGTCAGCGAGTGCGACTCGAACAAAAAGGCGCTATCCGGCTTCTTCGAGCGGCTCAAGTTCACGTTCGTCATCGGCCAGGGCATTGTTTTCTTCCGCGCGTGTGTGCATCCGAGCATGGGATTCGTGCACGCTCAGCTGGAGCTTACGATTATCAACTTGCTGCTGCCGTCGATCTACGTGGTGTCGCTCATTTGTCTGCGCATGGTGAGCCTCTTGAGCGTGCGCGCAGTGCTCATCGACGGCCCGTTAGCACTTGGCTTGGCTGGTGTCATCTTCGTCGGCTCCAAGATGACGGAGAAACCGCACGTCTTCGTCGTGGTGGGTCTGTTCTTGTTCGACCGCTTTTTGAGGTCGGAGGCTGCTTCGTCCTTGAGCGAAATGGGCCAAACTCTCCAGCAAATGCTCCAGGAAACCTCGACGGACAAAAAACACCCGCTTCTGGGGCACCGTACGGCGAAGAAGTTCGTCTACCTCGCAGTTGCCATCTTGCTGTTATTCGTCGGAGCTCTGTCGGGGTTCAGCATCCTTTCGGTGGTTCAGAAGAGCGCCAAGTGGTTCCCGGACGCGACGTCGGTGGAGTACGAAGACAACTCGATCCACATTCACCACACGGGCGTTGTCAAGCTGCACCTCGGACTCGCGAACGAGACCAACCCTGCGATAACGGTGGACGACCCCCTCTACGCGAGCTGCTCGAACCGCTGGAATGGACTCAGCCTCATCGACTTGGCTTTCTTCGCTGAGGCTGCCTACTTTGACCCGTTGTCGAACGACACGGCTGAGTTCATTTCGACCATTTTCGACAACGAGCTCGGCGACATCCACGTCCACTTGCCCGCGTTGAACACCAAGACCGGATCCAAGCTCGACTTCTTCGAGGCGCACATCCCGAAGCTCAACACCAGCGTCATTTCAGTGCGCGGCACGGATATCTGGCGGTTCACGGACTTTGTGGAGGACGTAAAGATGTTCTTCGAGCCTGTGGTGTTCTCGGTGCTGTCGTCCATCTTCCCGACGATCCGCATTTGGCCAGACGTCACGTTCTCCACTCTGATCGAGCTGTACAGCGAGATGATTGGGCTGTTTGGCTTGCAGCACGAGTCGTGGTACTACCACGAGTTGCTGGACTACGTCACGTCGCTCAATGACCGGAAAGTGGTGCTCACAGGTCACTCAATGGGCGGCGGCATTGCGCGACTGGTGGGATCCATCGTCGGCACAACGTCGGTGACCTTCTCGCCGCCGGGATTCGTACAGAGCTACAGCAAGTTGGTGCATCACATTGGAGGAACGTCGATGAAGGTCGACCGAGCAAGTCTGCACCACCGAAGCTTCGCGGTTGTACCCGAGTACGACCCGATTACGATGATTGACGCCCAGGCTGGAATGACTCAGAAGATCTCGTGTGATACCCCGCACCTGTCGATGCAGTTGTCCTGCCACATGCTCGAAGGAACGCTCTGCAACTTGGTGGAGCACTGCGGCTCTGCCCGCCGCCGAATCTCGTCATGCCTGTTCGAGCACAACATCGCCGGAGCCACCGAAGACATGCTCCCCAGAGTGCTTGCCACCATCTCCAAGCCCGAGATTTACGTTTCGTTCTTGGTAACTGTCTCGATCGCGCTGTCCATGCTGCTCCGTCGGCGCCACCGCAAGATGCGCACGCCGTTGCCGTCGCCATCTCATCGCAGCAGAAAGAAAAGCCGATCGCCTGGACGTTTCCCACACAGCTCCAGCGGAAACCTTCGGCCGCCTCATCCGTCACTGTACGTTCGACGCAACTCCATTATTTAGTTTAGGTTAGATTAGATTCGCACCATTGTTTGCTAACACATTAATCAATCCGGTAGGGAAGAAGACGTCACGCAGTCTTTGGTCGAAGGGATTATTGTTCCACCACTCTGCAATTTCCATACTGAGTGAAACAAAAGTGGCATGCAAGTCTAGTTGACTGCGAGCTCGTTTGTCAACGTCGTCTCTGAGCTCCAGCCGCTGGCGGGAGGACGTCGTGGCCCAGTGGACCTCGTCTCGTGGGAACGTGTTGCTGGCTCCGCGCAGCATTCCTTGTGGCTCTTCCTTGTGGTAAGACACTTGTCCTTTGGGATGTACCACTGACTGCACAGCCAGGCTCATAACATTTCATGTTGCTCGAATTGCGGCAGCTAAATAAGTACCTGCCGACGATCCAGGTCGACGAGGAGCACCCAGGCTTCCTTTTCGACTGGCAAGTGGACAACGTGACCGCGTTTGTGGCTGCCGCGAATAGCTTGGACCCGGCTCAAGCGCCTCAGTGGCTGCGGACTCGACCACCGCTAATGACCTGCAGCTCGTTTATCAACGATCTGGTCGCTGTACTCGAGCCTCTGGCAGGAGGTCGCTGTGGACACGTGATGCTGGCGCCGAATACAACCGGTCAGTACGGGAGAATTTGCGCGATGATGGGTTCCCTGTAGAGTAGTGTTTTCCTACAGGATGCCGCGCAACTGGCGCTACCGGTGGCTAACGACGTCGAAAAGCATCTCGTCGAGGCGCATTATCTCGTCGAGACAAGAGCGCAGCGATATCAAGCAAATCACCTCCCGCCAGATCACGTGGATGGACAACACCCACTGCGTCGGATTTTCATCTGATGCGCTGCTGAGGCGGTCATTATTCGCTTGGTTTTCAGTCGTTTAGGTGAGAGCTAGAGCCGCGGAGAGGTGTAGGATGTGATGAGCTCTACAATACGCAGGGAAAACTTGATTTAAAAAACATTTGTTGGTGCATACAACCTATCCCAGCCAAGATTTACGTTTCTGAATCCATCTTGTTGTTGCTATTCGAATCTGTCCACGCCATTTGCCTTCAGTCCACTACTGTACTGCACTGTTTCAAGACACCTGTCCGAGTACTCGTGCAATACAGCGCCGCCAATTTCTAGTGTTGGAATGCTGGTAAGAAAACCGCTTACGAAAGGACCACGAAAAGCCGTAAAAGCCTTGGTGATATCACGCCAACTGGCAAGACACACAGACGCAGTGCTCCTGAGAGCAGATATTCCGCAACACTTTACCACCAGGTTAGGGAACGAAATGAAGACCAGTAGTAGCGAAAAGGGGTTGCAGGATCATTATTCGATTCGGAACACCCTACAGCGATTCCAGGACTCAATAGTTTCTCGTTAAACGTAAATAGATGACCTCTTACCCCCACTGTACTGCACTGTCGATCCGAAGAGCCAGAAACTCAACGATGACAACCGTGAAATCCACACGTGAATTCTCGCCCAATGTCATTTTGCAATTTGCACTCGGCTTACTCCACCTCCTTCGAATTTCCACTCAAGAAACTATCAAGAAACTATGCGCAACCATTCCGTTAAACTAGTCCGTTAAACTAGTCTTGGTCGTCATATTCCTGGCTAAGCTTAGCACTGATGCACTCTCGGGCGATGCCAACAACCCAAATTCCGATCATGCGTCTTACACCACGGAAATATTGCTAGCGCACCGCATGCTGCTGATGGGATCGCCACTGGGTCTACCAAAGTTCGCTGAGCTAGTGCAGAAAGAAGCCCAGCAACTTGCCAACGGGTGCTAACAAAATGGCGTTTGGTAGTATGTTTTCAGTCAGCTTCGCCTCGGAGAGACTGCGGTCATACGAGCAAAGAAGCTCAGCTCACAGTTCAAGCCCGGAAATGAACTCGCTTTGTATAGTGGTTGCGCAATGCCGGTGTACAGTGTATGACTCAGCGGTCTCGACAATCCTGCGCGATGGTACCTCACCGATCTTTACGCGCTGCCACTGACGTGGCCGGCCGATGTACTTTGGCAAAGAATTGTTGTTTTTCTGATAGTTATGACTGACCTTCGGTTAGGGAGGAGAACACGCAAAGCAAACCACTAACGAGTACAGGCTCGCGTCACGAGTCGTTGTCACCTTAGGCCTTGTACGCCAGGTAGGCCTCCAGCATGCTGGTGGTGGCGCTGTTGAAGCCCTTGACGGGGGCGTTCTCCGTGCGCGAGACGTTGAGCTGCGCGCGCACCTGCTTGGCGAGCACCTTGCCGAGCTCGACGCCCCACTGGTCGAAGCTGTTGATGCCCCAGATCGAGCCCTGCACGACCGTGCGGTGCTCGTACAGCGCCAGCAGCTGGCCGGTCGAGTACGCGTCCAGCTTCTTGAACAGCAGCGAGACCGACGGGCGGTTGCCTGGGAAGAGCTTGTGGTTGCGCAGGTTCTCGGGCACGCCCTCGGCCTTGAGGTCCTCGAGGGACTTGCCGCGGGCCAGCGCGTCGGGCTGCGCGAAGAAGTTGGACATGAGCTCGTCGTGGTTGGACACGGGCTCGCCCGCGAGCTGCACGGGGTTCTGCGACTCGCAGAACCCCAGGAAGTCGCACGGCACCACGCGGCCCTGGTGGATGAGCTGGTAGAAGCTGTGCTGGCCGTTCGTGCCGGGCTCGCCGAAGTTGATCTCGCCGGCCTGGAACGGGAGGTCCACGCCCTCCACGGTCACGCGCTTGCCGTTGCTCTCCATGTCCACCTGCTGGATGTGGGCGGCGAAGCGCAGCAGCGCCTGCGAGTACGGCAGCAGCGCGCGCGAGCTGTGGCCCAGGAACGACGAGTTCCACACGCCGAGCAGGCCCATGATCACCGGCAGGTTGCTGCGCAGCGGGGCCTCGAGCAGGTGCTTGTCCATGGCGTGCGCGCCCGCGAGGAACTTCTCGGTGATGTCGAAGCCGTACTGCAGAGCCAGGGGCAGGATGCCCACGGCGCTCGTGACGCTGTAGCGGCCGCCGACCCAGTCCCAGAAGCCGAAGATGTTGGCGCGGTCGATGCCGAACTCCTGCACGAGCGGCACGGCCGAGCTGGCCGCCACCATGTGCTTGGCCACGGCGTCTGCCTCGCTGGCGCCCTTCTGCTTGAGGTCGTCCACGAGCCACTTGCGCAGCGTGCGGGCGTTCAGCATGGTCTCGGCCGTCGTGAACGTCTTGGACACGACCACCACGAGGGTCTCCTCGGGGTTTAGGCCGGCGGTGGCGCGGGCCACGTCCACGGGGTCCACGTTGGCCAGGAAGCGGAGGCTGCGGCCCTCGGCGGCGGCCTTGGCCACGGGCTCCTGGCGCAGCGCCTCGAACACGAACTCGGGGCCGAGGTAGCTGCCGCCGATGCCGATGGAGATGACGTTCTTGATCTGCTTGCCCGTGGCGCCCACGAACTGGCCGCCGCGCACCTTGTCGGAGAAGGCGCGGATGGCGTCCAGCACCGCGTGCACGTCGGGGACCACGTCGCGGCCGTCTACGAGGATCTTCTCCGTCTTGGGGGCGCGCAGGGCCATGTGCATCACGGCGCGGTCCTCCGTGGCGTTCACGTGCTCGCCCGAGGCGATGGCCTGCAGCTTCTTCTTGAGATCGGCCGTCTCGGCCAGCTCGAAGAGCAGGTCCAGCGTCTTGGAGGTGGCGTTCTGGCGCGAGAAGTCGAGGTAGATGCCCTGCTGCTCCGTGCGCATGGCGGCGTTGCGCGCGTCGTCGGCGAGCAGCTCGCGCAGGTGCGTGGCCTTGATTTCGGCCGCGTGCTCGGCCAGGGCCTTCCAGGCGGGCGTGTCGCTGATCATGGCGGTGGTGATGAAGGTGGTGGGGATGGAGTGGAGGAAGCGGCGAGACGTGCGCGCTAGAGGGACAATTGCGGAATGATCCGAAGGGAAGGATCCGAAGCTGCTGACGTTGAGACCGTATCAGGTGGATACAGGGAGCGCGTCACGTGGGGATGGTTGAAGTGGGGAGGGGTGTTGACTGGAGATTTGTATGTGGTGAGCAGGATGGACGTAGGAGCCGTAGTAAATAGATAATAATATTTGCAGCGAGAATGACAGGGTATCGAATCATGACAGGAAATTGGCCAAGTTTGCTGCGATGGCTGACACTGGATCGCCGTTGTGTCGTGGCACATAAACTGCCGGCGCGACATTCGTCCGATGACGAGGTTGACGGGACCCACGCGCCATCGAGCGCTGTCGCTTGATGGCGTATCTGTTGAGTTTTACGTATTATTTCTCCAAGGGGCAAAAGTGGTGGTGGCCAACAGTCCTCGCTGCAATCGGTCCGCCGTGGACGCACTTTGTCGAGCCATCGCCAGCGCCTCTATGCAGCCAGGCAAAGACGTCTCGACGCCACGCACGCGGCTACGGCCACGTTGCCGACGTCAGGACATCCGACCCAAATTCGCGGTGCGAGTTCTGTTTTCGCGTCGGAAGCTCCGGTGCGCGCGGCAAAGAGCATTGCGGCATCATCGCGGCAAGAACGTAGCTGGCCACGGTTCGAATAACTTGGCAATTTATTGAGACCGCCGGCAGCGGCGAGGCCTGCTGTGGATCGACTTGCTGGGGTATTGACATAGCACGGTCGAGGGCTGGCACTCCTCTTTTGTTGGTCCATGCCCACTGTCTATAATGCATGTTGCTTGCAGCGCAGGTGGAATACTCACGGCCGCCTGCGACAGTTGGCTCAAGTCTGCTCGCCTTCGAGAGACTCGAGCATTTCCCATTTTTGCCGGTGCGGTGCATACGTGGCAGGTGAGTTCGGCGGTGATGCTTGTCATGACTCTGGTACACGAAGGTGGACGTAGGCTGTTGACAGGCAGCACCCAGTTTATTGAGCCTAACAAATGCTTGAGTTTTACAAACTTCGATTGAAGACGACGAGCTCGGATGGTAAGGCCCCAACACTCGTGCGTTTGCTTCAACACGCCCCGGAGCTGACGATGTTTGCCAAAATGGTTCACTACTAGCAGATTGATTCTGGATGAAGAGAGAATGAAGCTGGCGAAGTTTAAGGTGCGCTAGGGATTACAAGACTGGCCCTGATGTTACTTGCTATGCCTTTCAGAAGAATCCAAGCGAAGCAGGGGGGGGTCCATCGCTTGGACACATGAAGGTCGGCACGTTCATATATTGCATAGCACTGTGCTTGCGATGGAAGACAAAGCGCGAACAAAAGGCTCCTGGATCAACGTAGTGGACTTGCTTGTTGTAGATGAAGCTGTAACCTGGCCCAAATATCGGCAATCAGCTACGGACAGGTTTTCGTCTGTACCTCGCAAGTAGTTGTTTGTACCGAGAACCCAACGTCTCAAGTTAAAAATGGACCCGTGCTGCTCCTGTAGCCCGCTCTAGCGTAAGCTTAGTCGCAGCAACTACAGCAACCGGTCTTCCTGCATCGCGACAGTATTAGCTGCTGCTGTTGAAGTAGTGACAGTTCATAAAGCCCTTGTGATTACGAGCCGAGTCGACACTTTGCAACGCCACTCACAGAATCTGATATCATCATGGCGGACTGCGCCGACACTTCCAGCCCGGAGTTCGTGTCCGTCAGCACCCCCGGCGGTTCCAAGCAGATGACGCTCGCCCCGTTCAACGACAAGGCCACGCACACACCCAAGAAGCGGAAGGCAGACCACGTGGACAAGCCCAGCTCCAGCCCCGAGCCCAGCGGATCTTCTTCTTCTTCTCCTCCTTCTGACAGTTGGCTCCGCAACTTAACCAGCGGCGGCGGCTTCTGGGGCAACGCCTACTGGTACGACCTGCAGCTAGAGAGGCGCCTGCCACAGGCCAAGCCCATGCTCTCGCAGCTGGTGCTGGCGCTGCCGCCCTGCGACGACAAGCTCGTGCTGGACCTGTGCGCAGGCAGCGGCCGAGCCTCCGCCGCAGTGCTGGAGGCCTACCCGACGGCGCACTTGGCGCTGCTGGACTCGTCTAAGCAGCGGCTGGAGATGGCGGCGGATCGACTGGAGAAACTGCAGCCGGGAGCTAGGTACAGAGCGCAGTTTGCGACGCGAGAGGTGACGCCAACGCAGTCGACGGAGCTCTGGACCCAGCCTGTGGACGTGGTCGTGGGCTGTCTGGCCTTCCACGTGGTCGTGGAGAGGCCCGCGCACTACGCGCAGCCAGGAGAGGAAGACACGGAGGGGGAAATGTCGATGGAGGACAAGTACGAGCAGCTCTTCCGTGTGGTGTGGCGCTCGTTGCGTCCGGGAGGGCACATCGTGTTTGCAGACCACGTGGGTCAGCTGTCGCTGTTCAAGCAGCTAAACGCTCTGGAACGCGCAGGGTTCGAAGATGTCGACTGTGCGTGGTGCGTGGATGGTTCGTTCGTGGGTGGAGGACGTAAACCTCTGGATTAGTAGAGTTTGAGCTCGAGGCAGTTGAGATATATAAATGCGCGGTGGGTTTGGAGAGAAAACGTTTTGGACGCTCGAGCATATAAAAATCACTTTGCTGAAAACAAGCAAAAAAAAACTCGGGGCACGGCAATCATACACCAAGTGCCTTCTACTGTACGGTGTCGACAACCTTTCACGGCGACGACCGGCACGAATCGCGCGATCAATCGATACATGTACATGAGGAAATAAAATACACCGAAGAGAAGGCAAATCAGGGACTTGGTGATGAGAGGAGGGGAGCAACAGAGAGGTTGCTGCTCTGTTTTCGACGTTCAACGAGGCTTTTTAGCGAAGTAAACACCGAGTAGCATTGAGCTTTAGGAAACTTTTACTACTAGTAGAAAACTCACCAAGTTTGTGCACCTGATCTAACGAGATATATAAAGCTAAACGTCAATGAATTTGACGTATGACAGCCCTGATAATAACCCCCGTTTGCTTTGGACGTAGGCAGCGTGCTGCCCAGCACACTGACTGGTAGACGGATTTGAAAGTAAACCCCGGCAAAAATGACTGGTAGGTTTTGCGTTGAACCCCCCTGTAAACAAGTATAATGACAATGATTCTAGTAAGACTGCTTGGTGTCGGCGCCTACATTAGTGGCACAAGGGGCAGACGCTGCGGCTGCGAAGCAGACTACCTTCGAACTGCCTCCCCCCCCAGGTCCCCAATGTAGGATTCTGAAAATTGCCAATAAAAATGAAGAAAATATGTATTATTCTGGTATAGCAGTAACCCCGGAGGGAGTGTGGCCAGCCCAACACAGATTAATTAGGCGGCACCTCGGTAACTGAAGCCGGTAATGCTGAAGCCGGAAAACTGGTCCCGGTAACTAGCGTCTCCTTGACCGTGAGCGTCGGATAGTGAACGTCGTGTTGCCCCACGTACGACACAAACTGCGGTAGTTTCTTCCTCAGCTCGTGCTGTTCCGTACCATTGAGCGCCACATTCCCGTCCACCGTGATGTTGCCGGTTATCGGGAAACGTCCCCTCAGAACCTTCATCAACGACGACTTGCCGGATCCCGGCTGACATTACGGAGGAGCGGCTTCTTGGCCACGTGCTTTTTGGCGATCACTCGCAGCAGCGTGCTCTTGGCGACGGTGAAGATCGTGGGGAGCTCCGTCTCGAGCTGCGTTTCGTCTTTCACGACGATATCGGCCGTGACGGATAAGTTTTCGAAGGTCACCTCCATTCGAGGGAGTGGCTTGCCAAGAGCGCGCTCCGTTGCAGTCGCAATGTGGTCGTGGAGAGCCTGGTACCCCTTGGTCATCATTGCTTCACTGGCAGCACTGCGATCCCCGATCGACTGTGACGGCTCGACAGTCGACGGATACTTTTTTTTCAACGTTGTGGAGCGACTTGGGTCTTGAATCGAGGAGATCCGGCAGAATGTCTGGAAATTCGTGAATGCGAGTGCATGAAGTGGAGGTAGCGGGCAGCAACACTGCAACGAACGTCTTGTGCTGGTTTGCTTGGTCGATCGTACATAAGAGGAGGCTCCATTCTTGGGGTTAGCAAATCCTATAAAGATGCATGATTATTCAGATGAAGTTATGTAGGTATTTGCCTACGTACTACTAAGTACTACTACGTAGTATGCAGCCCCTTTGCATACATGTAGTACATTGGTGACCCGGGTGGTGAACCCGGGGGGTTTCGCAGTTCGAAGCTAAATGAAGCATTATAGCTAATGAAGGGTAATGTACGCCGAAATAGTTTTAGATGAGGTTCGCCCAGTAGACAGCCTGTATTCACAAAAAAATAAAACCAAATCAACCTGTACTAGATAAAAAGAAATTAAAATTGCGACGCTTGCTTACATCGTCAGATATCTCGTAGCCAAGTAAGTACTTAAAAGTAAAACAAGCAGCAGACTCCGCGCGCGCAATTTCCCGTTAACATTATCAAAAACCTTGTGCTATTCACAGGCATCTCCTGCACCCGCTTCGCAGCCGCAGCAACTGCCGGGTAAGCTGATGTGTAGGCAGTAGATATTGGAAGTCTTCTTTAGTTTTGTACCTGTACTAGACCGCTATTGTGGATGCATGTCGCTCAGACTAGCTGCCATCGTGACGAGCATCAATAAATCGACGAATTTATAGCGCTGGTCCCGCCGGTAGTACATTTTACAGCTTGAACACGCTGCATCTGCTTCAACCTCACAAGTCGGGGAGTACATACCTGGTAAAGTGCTTTCGGTTCGTCTGTTGCAAGCTCAAACAAAGATTTTTGTTTGATGGGGTAGTTCGGACCGATAAAATGCTACAAAATGAAACCAAACTCGATGGGCTCTTGTCGAGATCAATCATTCAAAAATTAATCATTCAAAAACAAAACATGCCTTAAAAAAGCAAAAGCGGCTCGAGGATCTAAACGAAGCGCAGTTGACTAAGAGGTCGTAACTTTTGCCAGCGTATCGGCTAGCAGCAATAAATCGGTGTAATTAGTTTTCACTTGATACATGCATATGCCAAAGCTCTACTTGCCGCTATAAGGCGTTTTCAGAAGGAATCATCATAAATACGGATACACCGTATTCAGTGACAACATGGTATCCTGTCAATCTCAAGATAGTTTTGCTTTTGCCTAAAAGGGGTTCGGCAAATACGAATAAAAACAGTAGCAAGCAAGCTACCTTGGCTCGCACAACTTTAATATTTTTCGTGGAAGTCGTGCCTAATCCACAAAGACTCGTTCCAATGAATGTGCAGGAATTCCCTCTTCCAGGATAAATTTACATGACCAATTAATCGGTTTCAGTCTCGTAGTCGACCGGCTCATAGAACTATGCATGTGGAATACGTTTGCAATATCATCTTCTAGTGTGTCTGAAAGAGGAGGTCATAGAATACGACCGGGTCGATAGTATCAAAGCCAATGGGGTCAGTAAAGTACTACTTCGAAGTACAATTTTAAGTGCTCTGAACATATTACATAATATGTAATATTATACAAGTACGACGTAGTGCTGTGATAATGCCCGTATAGTTATTGGACGCTGTGGTTGGGCTCACGATCAGCATCATCAGGACGTATGCCCAACATTGAGCTCAACATTGTAGAATATAGTTGTCAGTAGCTAGCTATACGATGCATGCTACTACGACAAACAAGGTAGCACGGGCTGCATTCTCGCATTCTTTCGACAAAAAACGTTAATTTCGACTTTCTCGGGTTGCATACGATCTTGCCCTTCAGCGCGGCTCGACACCTGGCGATTCTAACGTATATGTAAAAGTTGAGAATACTGTGACACGACATAAAATACGCGTCAACTGTCACAAAACTATGAAGTACAAAACAGCACATCATATTGGCTGGCGAATTTCTTGTTGTTCGTTGCACGACCTTGTCTACCGGACTTCATCTTGCCAGATATTTTCGTCGTAGTCTGTAGAACCCGTGTGTTCATGTCTAAGCTGGAAAACCTGGTTTACATCAAAAACAAACTACGGCTAAGCCGATCAGGCAAGTGCCCAACGAACAGGCCCAGTTTTTAATTAAAGTTTCATTTCTGCGAGCAAGCCCAGAAATGGAATGAATTAAGTAATCGTCGATTCGGGCCACTTAAGAATTTTTGGGTCGAGAACTGGTTCAAACCATCTTCGAGGCCTAGCATAAATTGGAGATGCTTTTTGTTTTACAAATAATACCAGTAAGGCGATCAATTACGCATAATTTCATAATTTTCTTGAGCAAGTGTGTATGATAATGGTCACCAAGCCAAGCGTGGCTTTCTACGTGCGTGGCTACTCCGTTTGAACTTCTGAAAGTCTTTCACCCCCAGCTTGGCGGAACGGCACACTGCACGAGCTCCGCGACTACGATGTGACTTCAGGCGCAACTTTTACAGAGCTAACAGGCTACGATTTCAACTTATCCTGGGAGACCAGCTTGCTGGTTTACCAGCCTCACAAACTTTTATTCGTCACGAATGTATTCCCAGTTACAGGTAACGTTCAGGAGACATCGAAATCGCAATAAGCGATGGTACAAAAGCTTCTCAAAAACAAAACAGGTCTTTGGAAGTTTTTCGCTCTTCACAAGTTTTAAGAAAGTAGGCAGACATTTGTTCGTTTCAATTTGACTAGAACATCGTTTCGTACTTCTCCAGCTGCACATTACCGGCGAGATGCTGCGGCTGCGAAGCAGCCGCAGTAGATGGCCGTAGTTATCATCAACTAACCGTGCTTCTTGACTCAAATTTTGTCCTAGGTTAGATTTTGTGCTACAAAACCGCCATCCACAGGCGTCTCCTGCGCCTGTTTCGCAGCCGCAGCATCTGCCTGCCTCCGACTGCTAGGGTTCTCGAAAGCTGCAGTATGCGTAGTTCCACAGGCAGTTTACCAACTACTGCATCGACCTCTAAAGAATATACAACAGGTTCGATACAAACGCGAATTAGAAGTAAACGCGTCGACTTTCAAAGAGTTTTAGATTGCGGAGGGCTGCATCTGAACATCTTTAGTGTAAACTATCTGTCTGTGAACAACCATGCAGATCTTTCACTTCCACGATAAAAATACTAAGTAGAAAATTGGTCTCCCAGCCAAAGCGCAGCAACCTTGAAGTTCTCAATCAGTTGTCTGTCTGTCTATCTATCTGTCAATCCGAGCGCTGAATTGATTGAGGAAGATCCAAGGTTTCATGTGGCTTGAATGTCGTTCGATGTCATCCGCTAGGCGGGGAAGCTACGACTGTAGCGTGAATGTCGTTCGATGTCATCCAAAAACCTTTCCCAATCGACAGTTCTTCGAACTGCGAATAGGGACATACCTCCAGGCTGGAGGTATTTCCCTATGAGGCTCCAGCTGAACCATACAGAACTACAAGCTAAGATGGTCGAGTCCATCTTAGCTCGTAGATCTGTATGGTTCAGCTGGTTCTAACAGGTAAATTCGTTCAGAATATTCGTTTACTAATGCTTGCCATTATCTGAGTGAGTGCATATGCTATTTCTTCAGATACATAGCTCAAGATACTTTTATGATTTTCATACAAAGTGGTACATTGTAGGCCATGTTTACGTCAATCCCTAAACTTTTTGCCGCGGTAACCACAACATCCACCGCAGCCTTCGATTGTCGTTTTTCAACAACGTTTTGAGCTCTCTCACTCTTCGAACACGGACGATTATGAACTGAGAGCCCGTAAGCAGTCAGTCTGAATCACCGATCATTAGAAAAGTATCATGCAATTCAAGATCTATCGCGGAAAATGAGGAGTTCATTAGGAATGGCCAACGATAGAGCCTACCGAGTGGGTGAAGGTCTAGCATTCGGTAGAGTGGGTATCATAGCTCCGCAGCGGGTATGTTCTACTCCGCAGCTGCGTTCTCTCTCACTCGAGCAGCATACTTGGCATAGTTTTCCCATATATTCTCCCCGCGTTCGGGATCTTGCCTTTGATTCTCCACGAGTCAAACTGCGCCTTCTGTAGGTCTTCCGCGAGTTTCTTCAAGCCCGGGATCTTCTTGAGTGAGGCAAACAGCACAGCCACCTCTTCTTCCGTCCTCTTTGATGCCAAGAGCGTGTAGAAGATATCGCTGGCCGTGAAGCGGTGGACGCCTTGATCCGCCTGGTACAGCTTGACGTACTTGATCCACTGAATGAACTTCGGGTTGTTCTCCAGCTTCACGCCCGCCTCGCCAAGAAGCAAAAACTTGAAAACTTTCCTCGGGTCAGCTTGCGTCCTCAGCCACAGCCAATTCTCGAGATTGTGAAATCGGTTTTGCTTCAACGTCATCTCCGCCAACTTCGACAGTCGCGGAATGGGACCCCTCTCTTCGTCCTCCTCGTTGTTGGAGGTGCGGGCCTCTTTCGAGTCTTCGGACTCGTACGATCTTAAGGTCCTCTTCGCCGATGCCACACTCTCCTCGTGGACAGCGATGGAGGGGAAAATTGTCGGGTTGGGAGCGATCGCCTTCGAGTCGATGGATCAGTTGAGTGTTCGAGCAGCATCGCCGACTGCAAATAAGGCAGCGAGGATCAGCAGAATGGTGTGGCGCATACTCATGCGTTGCTGTCTTGGAGCTTGGCCGCTTTGGAGCTGGAGGGCGAATTGAAAAGTGAGGAGGTAGCCTGCATTTCATATGTGCCCCCCCCCCATTTGCAGCATCATAATCCCCAAAATCGTGTAAACAGGTCCTACGTAAAACCCGAAAAAGTGTAATCGTCCTCTGTTTGATGGTCCCTATCTATAGCCGGCGCAGGCCGTTCTCAACCGGAATTCCTCGCCGCATGCGGCCGCATGAGCCGAAATAAGGACTTGTGATTGGTTAGTGGGGTAGGTTGGCGAAGTCGCCGCACGAGAGTGAGTAGGGGTTGCACGCCGCAGCACCAATCAGAGCGCTCTTATTGACTCACCTGCTGGTACAGTATCAGACAATAGCCGAGCCACGGACAAGGCGTCAATTTGACTCCTTGACTGCCAAAGAAGGCAACCTTGTATTTTAGCTTCTACTCGAGGTGTTCGGGCCGCTGGTGCTAGCGGACGCCAACACAAAGGGGGCCCGCTACTCTATCCGGCCTACATGTATACGATTTCGTGTTATTATTGAGTGCATCGTACAGAACGTGTAATGTTACATCTATTTCGAAGTAGATACATGTTGCAGGTAGTGGAAACTACCTTTAGATGTAGAACCCCCACCGCCGGGAAGCGTGTACTACGTCTGCCTGCTCTTTAGCAGGCGTAGATCAGCATGCACTATTTAACCCCTCCAGCCCGAAGCATTTTCAATTTTTTTAAGCTGCATATGCAACTTTATTTACTTGAGGTTTGTATATAAAGGGATGTGGGAGTCTAAACATACACTAAGCTGCATATCCGAACTTGAATATTCAGGCTAAACCTGCATAATGCAGCGTAGTCCGACGTGAGAAAAACAGACCCCGGTACAGATACGAGACAAGGGCGGCTCTCACTAAAGCCCCATCCTCACAAAAAAAAACTCTCATCCAAAAATCTATAGAGTAAGTAGGGGTGTCACCCCCAGTTACTATCGCAATTAATTGAATTGGCTCCCTCGTCGTAGCTACTTACGGTCTACCTGTATGTTTTACGCCTCTTGCTGCTGCTAGCCGGTCCGATAGGTGTTAGCGGCGTAACAGGCGTCCCTGGTGTTGATGGTTTAGCCACTGCGTCGGCGGGTCGGCGCATCCGGATGCTTCTCCCTGTGTCTACGGGAATGAGCTTGCCATGCATCCACTCACGGAGCCAAACATCCCAGCAAGTCATCGCGACACCGCGCATCGTGCGGCGCGGCTTCATGCACAGGAATATGGGCCCCTGTTGACTGCACTCGCCGCAAAAGTATGCCGTAGTAACCACGTATGCATTAGTATGTTTATCGATAACTTGCAACCTAAATGATACCGCATAAGATGCAGCGTACTATGCAGCATAAGATGCAACATAAGATGCAGCACAAGATGTGTTAGAAAGGGTGACTTGGGTTGCAGGTCGAACTGCAAGCTGCCAGCGAGCTACAAGTTGCAGCAGACGGGAGCTGGAAGGTGATATGCGGAGGAATTACCATGATCCAGTAGAAAAGTACTGGATCGCCCCCCAGGCCGACCGAAAAACAAACTACTGTCACAGTATTTGCTAAGTTCGTGATGCGTATTTATCAAGACGTATCTACCTACTCTCTGCGAGACTGGATCCTTGCGCTGCGTCGTGTCGGTCGTCGATGGCGAGTCCGACGTCTCCCTCTTGTCGATTGGTAGACCCAGATGAAGTCGATCGATTCGCGTTCGAACCGTAGCTTCAGGCGCATGGGAACGTGGCTTCCCGGTTCCCATGTAAGCTCCCGGTACCCAACCCATTGGATGAGATAATATACTCTTTCGTTGATCCACCTTTTCGCGTATATTCGCTCTACCTCATGTAGCTGCCCATCCACGCCTCTCTGGGCCCTTCGATTGCTTGCGAAGAGGCCACCACCCCTACGTCGTTCTTCTCGGAGTACACCCCCGACTGATGATTCTTCCTCTTCCTGCTCGTCGGTGTCTTCGTCGCTGACGTCATGAGCGGAATTACCGGGATTCAGTCGGAGACGGTAAAACGAGCCGTCCAGGCGGCGCTGGATGTTCTGGGCGTGGCACTGTCGTGGGTTAAGGCGTGGCATTGAGCACAAAGCAGAATGGGGCTTGCCTAAGCGCTGAAAATGTAGTTCGCAGTCTATTTCTATTCTAAGTGTTGCCTTAAAATAAATACAGTAGACTTCAGCCCGGAGGTCAGGTTGTGATTTGGCTAAATTTAACGTAGTTAAATTGCAAAATTCAGATTGCAGATCAACGTAGCATATTGCACCATTGCGGCTTAAATTATACAAAAAGGGTGTACCATGGAGTGGTACATTCGTAGAGTTCCTACTCCTTCTAGAGTTTAAGAGATTTTTACGAGTATTTTACTCGCGTGTTCTTAGGGCACAACACTAGAGATCTATCGGTTTAGATTTTTAATATACCTTACCCAAATATGACTCAGCAACACTTGCATATTTGGTTAGAATTGTCGGAAAGCACAATATCTATTAATTATGAAGTGTTGTTTGTCAAAAATACAGATCGATAAAGTATAAATTGGCTTTGCCCGACGAAGCTTATTCTTGTCCCTACAGCGCGTTTATCACAATCTTTCGCTTGTGTTGTGGCCTCTTCCCCGGCTTCAACCCTCTTTTACCAATCCGTTCAGGAGTGGGTTCAAGTTGTGGAGGAAGAATTGTGTCGTCCCGCTGTAAGGTTGCTGTTGTCGGCCAAGGGAGAAATTTGAATGTGTACGTATCGCGGAAGTGCTCGATCGACATACGCTTGGCGTCATACAAGTCTTCGATTCGTCGGCCATCCTTTGAAGCAGCGCAAATTGCGTGGACACAAGGGAACATTTGGTCTTGCCAATTGCCGCACGTGCACTCCAGCGCTGGCAAATCCACTACCCGGTCTGGGTGCACATATCCTGGTATGGCAACAGGGCCCTTGAACAAGACGCTGTACGCACCCTCGAGAAGGGGTGTAAACTCGCACATATCAGCTGCAGCTTGGCGGTCTGTACGTCGCTCTAACAACTTGGGGACTAAATCCGAGAGTGCGCCAGATTTTGTCCACGTTACAATCAATTGTCGCCTTTTGGACATCAGTTGACTCAGCTTCAAGAAGTACAAGTGGAATCCGTCCAAGGGTTTGGCGGTCCGAAGCTCTTTACCCATCCAGTTGTTCGCTTGCTCTGACAAATTTGAGGTTATTTCGTCGAAAGTCGGGAGATTAAACTTTTCTTGGAAACTGTACTTCACCCAGTGAGCACGTTCGATTCCGTCCAGAAAATTCGCAGCGGCAGGGTTGTTCACGGCGAGTTCACTTCGATACAGCTTATAGTCATTTTCACAGTCGCTGCGTGCCATTCGGCATACCCACGCACGGTCTTCCTGGGACAACCTGGAACATTTCCTGTTAATGTTGTCCGTGATATGCCGCAGGCAGTATCGATGGCCAGCGTTTGGGAAAATTGTCGCGACAGCTGGAAGCAGACCTTTTTGTCTATCCGACAATATCGTGAACTTTTCCCAGTCAACTGCCTCCTTGAATGCTCCCAGGAACCAAATCCGATTGACCTTGTCCTCTTGTGAAACCAGCGCGAGTCCAACTGGAACGATGTGGTTGTTGTAGTCTTTCACGGTAGCTACCAGATAAATGCCCTGTTCGTGCATTTCCTCTTTAAGGTGGACCCCGTCAAAGCCGACCATCATTTTGCAGTTCTGGGCAATGTGAATACCAGCGTTAGGGATGAAGCACGCTCGACCAAATGACGATCCGTCCGCAGCAGTTTCCACTCTCCAAACCGATCCGGGGTTCTTGTTCGCCATCAACTCGAAGTACGCCCGCAGTTTTTGGTAACTTTCTACCAAGTCGCCGTGAATTTTGTCGTCAATTTTCTGCTTCATTCTGGACACCGATGTAGCGCTTACGTCCGCTCCTTTCGATTTCAGAAAATTCCTGATAGCGGCGCCTGACATAGAAGCCGTAGATCCATCGTGGGCGGGAAGCATTTCGGTCTCGACAATCGCTGCCAGCTTGCTTATCTGCTGCGTGCAATTCCGCATGGGCTTGGACGGCAACGGGATGGACCCTTCAACACAAGGGGCCTTGGCACTACCAACGAACTTGAGGTGATTCTGCGCAAAATTTGCCTGGGTTATCTTCCACTTCCCCGATTTCCCGTGAACATTCACGAAAAACGGACACGTGAGTTGGGCAGCTGGTGTAGTCCGGTCGAAATATTGCGTTGCATTGAGCGCCTTGCACGCAAATTTCGCATTACCGGAGTTGTCGGCCTTCACACTGGTCTGCTTCACAAAAATCTGGAAGCCGCACCTCACAGCCAAATCTTTGCACTTGCTGTGGACTGCTTTTTGTGAAGAAAAGACTGAATTGGCAATATTCTCTCGGAGCTGGTAGGCCAAGCCATACGTTGAGCTTGTCGTGTTCGTCGACTCGACTGCAACATCGTCCCTGAGTAGTCCCAACTCCTTGGCACCTTCGAGATCAGACACGTCGAGTGAAAAGCGAGCAGAGCCGTAGTTTGGGGGGTTTCTTGCTCTTGACTTGGACGTTTGCACAATGCAGCAGAATATAGCTGTGAATCACCCTTTAGAGAATTATTTATTATTTAAGTCTACTTGGTTTTTATTTAGCACTAGCCTTCGAAATCTTACCTCCCACGTATCTATTTCAGGTGTCCCGCAAATAAACCGAGAGCTCGAAGTTAGTCCGACACAGGCACATGGCGAACACCAGCACCCGGTGCTTGCGCATGAGCCGACCGAGGAGGCCGAGGAGGTCGACTCAGGTGCGCATCAGAGTCCACATCAACAACGTCACAGTCTTCCTCTGATGCAGACGCCTGCTGAACTCCCGCCCCCACCACCAGAACAAGTTCCACAGCATGCGGTTGGCAACGATGCGCGCCAAGAACGACGAGACGATCCAGCACAAGAGCATCCGCGCGGAGAGCGAGCTGCACCCGAAGCACAACCGGACCCTCCGATCGTGCACGTTGTCCCTGTCGAAGAACGTGTGGGGCCACGAGAGACCATCCAACGGCACCCATATATTCGTGTGGTAAATTGGATCTCCAACGTAGACAGGGAAATCGACGCCGAGGTGCAATGGGCGAATATTATTGAGCCTGCGAGCTCTCAGCCACGCAGATCGCGTGGAAGCCCAACGCGTTCAGGAATACTTTCGCGCCAACGAGCGCCGCAGAGCGCACCGTGAAGACCAACGCGTTCAGCAAAATGTTCGAGCCAACAGGCGCCACGGAGTACGCGTTGACGCCGAACGGGTCCATTGAGATCAGCGAGCCATCGAGCGCCGCAGAGCGCGCGAGGTAAGGTTTGGCCTGTACAGTATTGTATTGCTACCGAGCAAAACATGTACTGATGTTCGTATACGATGCTTGCCATATGCAGGTGTGAATTGGCTAAAGCGCTGCAGCGTTACGTATGGTATGGGCAAACAGCAGGCACCCTATTGCAGCCCAATCGCTACTACAGTTCAACTCTCATGTGTTTGGTTTATAATTGCGGTTGGTTGTTTTAGATATAAAGTTTTCTCATCGCGGTGCTTGAAAAAATATATTATAATAAATACTATTGATCTTTTCTATCGCATGTATTTACAATTGTTAGTTGGTTACCCAATTATTAATGATATTCATCTACATTTATTGTCAGAATATACCTTAAAGAAATTGTACCGTAAACTCAAACAATTAGATTATATGTCTACAAAAAATCGTACGTAATGCTGTTTTTTGTAGTGTGTATTCACTTAAATGAGAAAATAATACCATTGAGCATCAATATGAAATCAGTTGAAGGGCTTCGCATGTGAATTCCCCAATTTTAACCTAAACTATACCCATCAAAACTTTCCAGATGGGGATAAAAATACAATATATATGTATCCATTATTTATTGTTGTTGGTTTCTCAATGCATTTATTTATTATTGCCCAATGAAATCAATAATATAATACTTCATTGTAATGTCCGAGCACTGCTTGATCGCCCATACGACCGCCACACATTCCAACTCCGTAATGTCATACTTACTCTCAGCTGTGTTATTCACCTTGCTGGCATAGGCTACAGGTTGCCAGCCGGCACCGTGATCTTGTATTAGTCAAGCACCCAGGCCCACCGTACTCGCATCCGTCGCAACTCGAAAAGGCAGGTTAAAGTTAGGGTAGATTAGTAGCGGTTTCGTCGTCAGGATCATCTTGACTCGCTCGAACGCCGCCTCTTAAGCAGGTGTCCACTCCCGCTCGACATCATTCCTCAGCAACTTCGTAACCGGAGCCATGGTCGACCCAAAACCCTCAACAAAACATCTGTAGTAGCCCGCTGGACGCGCAAATCGCTTGGCCTCCACTGCATCTGCTGGTCTCGGAAATTCTTGCACAGCCGTCACCAGCCGCTGCAAAGGTCGCACACCGTCACTGCTCAACTCATGCCCTAAGTACTCCATAGATGTAGCTGCAAACATGCATTTCTTCAACTTGAGAGTCAGCCCGGCCTGAACCAATCTCTCTAACACATTGGCCAGTTCGACCACATGCCGCTCAATTCCACCTGGTGAAGACCACAATGTCATCTAGGTGAACTAGACAAGTCACCCAAGTCAGACCTCGTAGCACTCCCTTCATCATCCTCTGAAACGTAGAGGGGGCATTCGTTAAGCCAAAGGGCATGCGAACAAAGCGATAAAGCCCTCTCTTCGTCGAAAAGGCGGTCTTGTCTTGATCATCGGGTGCAACACGAACTTGCCAATAGCCTGCACGCAGATCTAGTGTAGTGAAGAGCAATGCCCCCCCCCCCCCAGAGCCTCAAGGGTTTCATCGGTGCGGGGAAGAGGGTACACGTCCTTCTTCGTCACCTTGTTTAGAGCACGGTAGTCTACGTACTTCACCATCTTTCTTGCGTACAAGGACCACTGGAAAACCCCATGCACCGTTCCCTTCTTCTATGACACCAGCACTCAGCATCTTGTCGACATTCTCATCTATAATTTGATCCTCTGCATGCGCTTGTCGCTGTCGCTTAAACATGATCGGTGCTGAGTCGCCCGTGTCAATATGGTGGTGGATGAGAACGCGTGAAAAACACACAGCAAATCAGGGACCTTCTAATAAAAGCATTCTGGGGGTTGCACCCCCAGACCCCCGCAGTAGAAAAACTAACTCCGAGTTGCGACAATGGGTCCGCTCGCTGGAATGCTCGTCGCTGGACCCGCCTCCGCAAATACCGCGCGGGTTTGCTACGGCTACGCTCCTCCCAACCGCTCACTACCGTCTTCTAATATGGTGGACCTACCCCTAAGGCTGTGTGTGTTTTCAGACTTTTTGTGTGCTTCTACTATTTACTCGTGGTGGATGTCCAAGGCCGTCGCAGGAGGACAATCCCCAGTACTCGCAGTCAACTTACGATGTACACGTAACAATTTAGTAACTAATACACGTGAATTTGGGTCATCAACGCCAATGTGTACTTCGTCTTCGTCATCCAGAGGTGTCGTGCTGTCACCCATCGACAGGATCTGCATGTCATCATCCACCGGTACCCATGTGCCCAGCTCCTTCTTGTTGGGTAATCGTGCTGACTCATCACTCGTGTTAATTGCTGGTACCCAGGCCCTTCCGTTCCGAGCCGTCGTCACCGTCGCTGCCAACAACACTGATCCCGTGCCTCGTCTGCACGAACAATCCGCGTTCGCCATCTTCAGCTGCTACGGAGACTTCAACAGGCATCACGGCATTGCCCGTGAGTCGGGCCCTGCTTACCATTTGTACAGCTGCGACTCGTGCTCCGCCAGCGCCATCATGCGTCCGGAACGGGATTACGACCGCTCGCTCACCGTCCACGTACCGAACTTCGTTGCGATCGAAGTCCATGGTCGCTCCACGCGCCCTCATGAAGTCCACTCCCAGCAGAAACTCGTCGGAACAGCCTGACATCAACTTCGATAACTTCATTGAATACAGTACGCCGTTTGAACCTCCATACTCCCAGTACGTCAAGTAGAAAGCCACCAATGCCTTCAACGTAGTCAACAGGAGCGTTCATGGTCTGCTTGTCACCATGGACCATCCACTCAGTGCCCGCGATGGTATAGCGAGCGCAGCTGCCGAGTTTCACACGCCACGAGACGCCGCCCACTTCCATCGTTGCCGTCGGAAGCCCGTCGTCGGCGCCCACGTATTCTACGTCATCGCCCTTCACCGCTTGTTGCGCGTTCGTCACCTCACGCCTGTGCGTGCCAAGTCGCATGGCCGCACTGAGCGTTCGTCATCTCCGTCATCTCCGTCATGCTGTCGGCGCTGTCTTCGTTCGTCAAGTGCCGCCACAGCTTCGGCCGCTGCTCGGCGCCGTTCGTCATCGGATTCTCGCTCAGCTCGCCGACGCTTCGCCAGCAGCGCCTTCACTCGCAGTCGCTTCGCGGCTTTGCGAGCCTTCTTCCGTGTGAGCCGTGCTTGCTCCACGTCACTACCAGCACGCTCATTACTGTCAGACGAGCTCTCGCCCGCGCTCGAGCTTCCGCCGTCCCCCGGGTGCACGTCCTCGTCATTGGTGAGGGCCGTGTTCGTCACCGGCCCCATCTCCGTTGGATCTGTCACCGTACTATTAACCTCGCCATCGTCTACGATCACCGTCTGCGTAGCTGCTGTCACCGTCAGCGCGCTCACCGTGGACTTGTCGTTCCCCGCCAGCGTGTCGGTCATTACCGACGCTTTGTTCACTGCAGACTCATCGTCCGTCATCGACTCGTTGCTCACCGCAAGCTCGGGCGTCTGGTTGCCCTTGCGCTCGCCATTCGTCACGCCGGCTGTCGCCTGCACTACCTCGGTTGTCGTCGACTCTTCCTTCGTCGGCGACTCGTCGTTTGTCATTGACTCGGGCGTTGCGTTGCCCTCGTCCTCATTGTTCGTCGTGGTGGTGGCCGTCGCCTCCATCTCCGCCTCCTAGTTCGCAATCGCTGCTGTACCCGTCGAAACGCGGCTGTCAACGTGCACGTACCCACAGCTGCCGCTGAGTCAGCCACCGGCGCGCCTTCTCCAGCTTCACCTCGTTCGTCATCATCGTCATCACAGGGTTGTGTCTCGCCTTCTCCAGCTCGACGTCGCCCTATGTCGTCATCAGCAGAGCTTCGCAGCTCTTCCTCCCGTTCGGCGCACACGTAGCGCACGCTGCCATGGCGGGCCGCACGGTCGCCACGTACTGCGCTGCTCGGTCGCTGTCCTTCGACTCTGCCTCCGTCCTCATCAACTGCATTATTTCATTCATCAGGTTGCCGGCCGACCACGACGCGCAGCACGCCGTCCGCCCCCTCTCGCTCATCTCGTCCTCGTTGTCTTCGACGCCGGAGGACTCCTCCTTCGTCTCCTCATCATCGTTCGCATCATCATCGTTCACCTCGTCATCGGTTACCTCATCATTTTTTACCTCATCATCTTTTGTGAGCGGCATTGTCGCCGTCAGCACACGGACTCGTCCTCGGATCTGGCCCTCGACCCCTCGTGACGCCGCCATCTGCGCACCACCACCAGCAGTTTGATCCAGCGCCTTCGTCACCATCAGACTTTTCTCTTCATCATTATTCGTCCTCGTTATCAGTCGCTGGGGATGCTCGGGGTTCCGCGGACGCCGTAACCCCTCTACGCCGCCCTCTTGCTGTTTTCCGACACCGTCTTCGTGTCACGCGTCTGCAAGTACGCGTCGTTCTTAGCTTTCGCCTCCTCATTCGTACAGTTTCGTGCGTAGTGCCCGTTCTGGTTGCACGCGTAATACTTCGGACCCGTGGGGCAGCGGCTTTCCGCCCAGGTAGCAAGTGGTGCCACTTGCCTGGCCACCGCTGCTTGCACCATTACCGCTAACAACACGTCGTCGCTCGTCAGCTGGGCGACCGTTGTCACGTACTTCCCTCGCGCCGGCCTGCTTTACCGCGACCTTATACCTTCTTACGTCGCGGCTCCGTCTCCTCGCCACTTGACACCGTCGCCTTCGCCCTACCAGCTGACTTATGCGACTCCGTGTGGCTGCCTACCACGGCTCGTACCAATACCGCATAATCGTAGTCCTAAGCGTCGCTTAGTTCTAAGGGGCACTAACTATTTGACCAATGACACTAGTTGAAAACAACATATGATTTTTATAGCCAGCTCCTATTTTAAGTTATGGGTACAGTCAAACCTGTTTATATGAGGCCCTGTTGGTGACCATCAACTACAATGACTCATATAAAATGGACTCAGCTAAAACAATTATGTGGTGCACGTAAAGAAATCGTGCATAGTTCGCTGCCGCTTTGCCTTCACCGTAGTCTCTCGAACCAAAGCGGTCACGGTCTGTAAAGCTCTTCGTTCTCTGTCAGTCTGCTCTCCGCATTGCAGCAGAAATGCAGCCAGCTCCATGCAGTGTCTCAGAGCAATGGCAGGTTGAACTGCGGGTTCCTGTTCCTCCTCTTCCTCCTAAGCGCTCCACCAGCACATGCGCCTTCAGCAGGAGCACGTCGTCCGCCATCGCCGTTTTAGCTTCGTTCTGAAAGAAAAATTCCCTCAGTTCCCGCTCGAACTGAGGGAATTTCACTCGGCGCCGCTTGGTCGCACTCATGTCGACGTGGCTGAAGTAGGAAGAAAGGCAGGTTGCGCAGTCGGGCGAGTGTGGCACGGCTGACCCGGGCCTTGAAAGTTGCGTAGATCCACTCGGCGAGCATGGGGTTGTTCCTGCCAGGATTCTGCTTGAGCTTTAGGTGCACTTGGAGCTTTTGTTCTAGCGTCAGACAGGTGCGAGGAGACATGGCGAGCGAAGAAGGCTTGCGGTAGGCGTGTTGGTTGAGCAGTGGTGCTTTGAAGAGTGTGTGGCCGTGAGCAGTGTGAATCAAATAAACAGGTGAGACCTAATTTGGTCCCCAAAAATGTGACTCATATACCTTGTATGCATATAAACAGAGATCATACAAAAACTAAGTGAAATATTTGGTAGCGACAAAGCCTGCATCAAATAAACGGCATGGCTCAAATAGAGAGGATCATATAAACAGGTTTGACTGTATGCTAAATCACTCTGGGATGATTTTGGTGGCCATTGGACGGCCGATGTCCTGGAGTATGCAGCCTCTCTGAACGTCATCTTGCTGAAAGTGCCACCGAAGTACACATACGTCTGCCGGTTGGCAGACGTATTCTGGAACAAACCGTTTAAAACGGCTTTGCGAAAGCGTTGGGTCGACAGACTTCGAAACGAACTCGTCCAATATCGCGCAGATGAGAAGCGAAGGGAGCAAAAACGAGAAGAGCTGGGGCAAAAGATCATGGCGGCTCGCAAGGAGCTCATTCAGGTGGAGGTGGATGAAGAAGTAGCCCGACTGAGAGACGAGTATCAAGAGGAGCCGTTTAAAGTCACGGCTCCCAACCGAGTGGACATCACACAGTGGGTTGTGTCGTGCTGGAATGACCTGACTACCGAAACGATCATCGGTGGCTTCGCCCGAGTTGGCATCTTAAACGATACTCGCTCTTGCACCGATGGGCTTCAAAGTGATGAAATCGAGAACGGCATTGTCGAGGAGTTAGAGAAATGCCGTCTAGCCGGTGATGAAGTTTGCTCGGACGACGACATTTCAGATGGTAGTAGTAGAGACAGCGAAGTAGACGAGTAGGTAGGTAGTAGCTAAACTCGATCTGAAATTCATGATATTGCATCTAAACCCGATGATATTGCATCTAAAACCGATGATCTTACATCTAAAACCGATGATATTACATCCAAAAACGATGCTATCTTATCCGAAAACGATGATAATGAACTATAAACGACCAGATAAATTAATACTAAAAGCACGGAATAAAATTTAGTCTTCGGATTACTAAAATTGGATTCGAACATGTGTGATTATTGGAAGGATGTGCAACCAGTGCAGGTCGGGTGACCCTTAGGACTACGATTATACGGTACTTCCCGTTCCACACGTGTCCGGGTGGCGGATCCCAGGTGCCTGAGTACGCGTTGTTCACGCCCTGAGGGTTCGTGAACAAGGCCACCTACTCGACCTCCGACCGCAGCATCGCGTCACTGCCGCTACCAACCATCTCCGTGGGCAATCCGGTCCCGCTGATGCCCGGAATCATGTTCGTGTCGCCCATCGCACCGCTCATTGGGGTCACGTATCGGCTCAGCGTTGTCGCCCATGCCTGGCCGATATTGATCATTCCCTTGCGCGGCGTTATCCATTGGATCGTCGAACTCCGTGACACGATGCGACTCCAGATTTCAGCCCGAGCCCCACGTTGACAGCCTGATTCTAGCTGGATCCAGAATCCAAGTGGTGGGAACAGCCTGGATATGCACTCAGCGCCCTGAATCAGGATGATCAAGGTGCATCCAGGCTGGACCAAGTCCGAAGATCCTGAAGCCTACCAGTCTGGAAGCCCCCCCAGCCAAGATCGAGCCAGTCATGCCGCAAGAGCCGAAGAGATGCCGGACCAAGCTCGTCGACGCCCAAGCTGCCTGACCGAAGCCCGTGTATCCTGAATCGACAACGTGTATCCCGAATGGACGACTCTCCAAGCTCCAAGATCTGACCATACAAACCCAAGACATTAACGACCGACCAAGCCGACCGCCCAAGATCTGCTCGACACATGGAACCATGAACTCCCTCCCAGCTGTGCTGCCGATCCCCGCTGGATCTTTGCGACTCAACCGACGACAACCCATACTGAAACCAAGATGAAACCTCCAAGACTGCATGTTACGATTAGTGATAGCCTACAAAGATAAGACCAAACAGAGTTCGTTTTTCCTGCTACAGCGCAAATGTCTTCGGTTGGGGGCCAGGCTATTTAGAGCTGGTTCAGACTCAAAGGAGCCTTGTGTCTATGGTTCTCCCCCTGCAGTCAGGGCACCTCGGCTAAGAACATAAGGGTCGTGTGTGGGGCTCTCATAGTAAGTATCAAATCAAGTTAAGGCGAGTACCTGAGCTGTCGTGCGGCCAGGGTTGATAAGCTTTATTTCATATTCTTGGGGTGTTTGTCCTGGTCAGCACTGCCATTTCGTATTAAGCTACTCCTAGGGCGGTTGAGGTAGCCACCACCTAGTGATTTGTCGATATGCTACTGAGTGATAGGAAGGACTGTGTTTTGTATTGATTCGGCTTTTTCCCTCTTGATTGAGGGTGGTGCGCGATTGATTGAGGGTCTTGGACTTGCCAGTGCCCTGGATCTACCCTCTTTGTTGACTGGTGTGTAGGGCCCACCGTCCAAGGGCCAAACAAAGAATAAGTGACGGTTGTGTGTATTGCATATTTGTGTATAACTCTGTATTGTTAAGGTTATCTCTCCGGATCCAGGCTGTGAAAGCTGCGTTCTGAAGTGTGCGTTGGTTCCGCTTCCTGGTCCTAGCGATATTATCCTGTTTCCCGCAACTCACGCAGTGCAAGTCTCACGTTCGAAGACAAACGACACCCAAAGGGATTCCACAAGAAACACACGCCACCCGGGACGACCAAGTGCTCGTCCAGGGTTGTTTCGAGGGGACAAGTCTAGATCCTTTTCGGGCCACTGTACACCTGGGCGGCAAAAGGCGTTCACCCGCCTCGCCTCATCCGTCGCCTTGTCGACCGCTTCATCCAGCGTCCTCGGTTTCGGGCGCTGCTTGACCAACTTCTTGGTCGGCTTATCCAGACATCTGTAGAATTGCGCCAACAACACTCTCTCGCTGACCTTATTCCTGCCCACCACGTCTCGTAGACTAGCCGTAAAGTATGCATGCGTCTCACCAGGCATCATGCGCCGCATACTGACTCGCCACTCCGCCGCAGACTTATCCAGCTTCTCGCCGTAGCGCCTCAACAGGGCCTTCTTCAAGTTGGTCCACGTTCTCTTCCGTTCTGGCGTCCGATGATCCATATCGGCCCACCATTTGACCGCATCTCCATCATCTTGTTTCCTACGATGAAATACGACGCCTTGTCGGACCACTTGCTGCGTCCAGACCCTTCAGTGCAAGATCAAATCGCGCTTGAAGTTGGCCGATCAATTTTCAGACATAACCGGACATCAAACATTTGAAAGTAAAAATCACTCGTATAAAGCGTAAAACCACTCTCTTTCGATTGTTTTTAGCACGAGCTTTCCGATAATATACAGTGAGCCAAAATCGAAGAAATATTGAGCTCACATGCCCCAAATAAAATAGGGAATTTTGGGGGTCCGAAAATGGAGATAATTTTTTCAGACCGAAGTTACTCCACGAGTTCTTAACCGGCGTGGACTGTAACCGTGTACACTCCAATGGCGAAATGGATAAATTCGTTTTCGCTTCTAGGTAGCTGTTGCGAAACTCGGTAAGGTTGTGTCTCAACATCTAATAAGGGTAATTAATGAGTGTCGGCATGAGAGCACCACCCGTTCCCCCGTGGCGAGGCTACCGATGATCGTACCATACTCATCTCTACAGCCCAGCTTTATGGTAGAGTTTTCTTAGCAAGGGTCTGAAAGGTGACCTTTCAAAGGTCACACTGAAATTGATCCGTGTCACGAGATTCTGTCCCGGATTGAGCTATGCCGGCGGGTAGCCGCCAGGCACGTGCTTGTGCCAACAAGCGGAAGAATCGCTGTGGCAAGCCTCCTGATAGTTACGAGGAGGTATGCGACGGTGATGATCACGATAAGCGGCTACAAACTGTATAGTAATGTTCCTCTTTCATATATTCCCCAGCCCACAGTAGATTAATAACATGTACTGATGCAGGAATCGCATGTAGGCGTTGGTGTGTCTCGAGTACGCTCTGAACGAGAAGCGATTATGGCTAACGGAATATCTGGCAGCCGAATAGCACATGCCAAATACCTCGAGATGAAACAAGCGATGGATGCAGCTTCGGCGAAACGCGCCCGCCGCGCGCTACGATCTTTGGACTTGGGTGCTCTCGCCACACATGTAGCAGCACGAGAAGGTGCACAACACGAGCAAGTGGGGTCGCCCGTGAGCTGTACATCGAACGAGAAAGATATACGCCGGCTAGAGATAGCTTCTGGTGGTAAATCTATCGAAGATCATGGTGCATTGAATGGTAAGAAGGATGGCGTCAATCAGAAAGCTGCTGCGGGCATAGGCACCAGGTTGAGAGGTCAAGTAAATAGTGAAGGTCGGGAACTGGTATCACCAGTCACTCTTGCTCACGGCTTGAACTCCCTGGATGGCGGCAAACGTGGAGAACTGCATTTTCAGACTGAACGCTCTGGATTGGATGGCCGAAACTTTGGAGTACCTTTGATTGGAGCTGATATGGTCGCGACTCCACCGAGGACGCCCAGGCAGCGACGTTCTTGTACAAAAAGCACTACAAGTATGTATGTGAGTCCACCGCAATTATCGCCATCGCCCGTGCTGCCAGTTGTGCCAACCGTTCGAGGAATGCTACGATTTTTTCTGTCCACGCAGTTTGACCCGACGTCTGCAGCAATGCAGACGTGGTCATCGACCCAGTGATAGTTGAAAAACCCGTCTGGGTAATACGCGTTTGAGGTTGTGCCGTGGATGTGGGCGATCGCATCGCCGATGACTCCGCAGAATCCCGGTGATCCTGTCCAGCTGAAACAGGCCGAGAGGTCGTGACGAGGACGTCGTCTTCGGGGATCGTCCCGGCAAAGAGGTGAGCTGAATGGCTGTACGTGCCAAGGTTACGGAAGGCGGTTGCCACATCCCCTAGTAGAATGTTGATGCTGCGCCCGGGAAAGCGTTCTTTCTGGGCGAGAATCTCCCGAGCGATGGCTGTGCAGTGCTTGTACTCGGCGGTTGGCACTGACTCGACATCGGTGTGATCGTTGACGGACGCCCCCTCTGGGAAGGATAGGTCGTGGATGACCCGGCCGGCTACGTCGGGTTCACCGTTGCCCTTGTCGACCTCCCCGAAGGGACTCAAGAACAGCCCGGGCCAGAATTGGGCGACGGCACGGTCGACGACGATGCAGCGGCCGAGGTCCTGCTCCTTCCGGATGTTCTTGCGGAGGACATTAAGTCTCTCGGTGGCGGACGGGTGGTTTCGTGGAGGGCTGGTTTGGCGGGGCATTGGTGGTGTTAGAGTCACAGTAATCCCTTCCTGCACAGTGGGCAGCAGGATATGTAGTTTGGGGTACGTTCTGCAGCTTTGCTGTATGACGGCAGGAACGATATCCTTATTGGGACGGTAGTCGGACGTCGTCTGCCCGCGTAGCAGCTCGACTAGGGTGGGAAGTGAGCACTGGGTGCGGCGCACGTATTCAGATACCGCACTCTGTAGTGGCTTGTGTAGCTGGAACTGCTGGCGGCCGCCGGCCCATTCCGCCGTTGGGAAGTCCCTGTTCGGTAGTGATAGGTGGACTGCGCTGAACGCCGTCGCCACGGCCTTGTGCCGTATACTTGCCCATATATTGGCCCTCCTCCGTCCCCGGGACAGGAGTTGCTGCACTTGGGGTGCGCTAGGTGGGGCACGGAGCGGTTGAGATATACTAGAAAACGGGCGACCCGCAGACTGTGCTGTTGCTGTAGCTGCGCTAGTAGGTAGCCTAGTGGATGTGGATGCGGGAATGCGCGCGCCACGATGGGGTGCGTGTGTGACCTGATGATTGCGCGGTTCGAGTGAGGCCGCATCGGACGTTGGATTGGGCGCGGGGTATCGGGATAGCGGATCTGCCGTTATGTGTTGTTGACCGGGGTTGGCGGTGAGGTTGGATACGATCTGAGGCATCGCGGTTTATGGTGCGTTCTAGAAGGTGAGGTATCTTTGGTTTGACTACCGGTATGGTGAGTCGGCGTATGTAGGCGCACGGTGGTGCCACTATGTGGTGGGTTTAGTACGTTACGTGGGTGCGTAAGCAGATCCACCAACTCAGAAGTAGAGGGGATAAACAATGCGGCGTTTGTATTAGCGGCAGTGGTATCAAGTGTTGGGGTCCGAAGCGCCTGTGAGCCGGTAGCGCCTCGGCAGCCTCAGGGGCGGCGAGGGCCGTGATGACCGCGGCGGGTGGTGCCGTACTGCCTGGTAATGCACGATACTAGGTCTCTGGGTAGTGGGCCATCCCACGTGTGCGTGCGGAATGAGTACGCGCAGCGGTCTCCTCCGGTGCACATGCCGCCGCCGAAGAAGCGCAGGCATGGCTCCGTACCGTCTGAACGACTAGGCACCAGGGCTTGGATGTTGTCCGGCATAGCCTGGGGGCGGCTGTTTTGCGCGCGCCGTGGTTGATCGGTCTGTGGAGGCGCGCGCAGTGGAGCAGGTTGAGATTGGGCTGTGGCTGTGAGAGTCTGCAGCGCGAGCAGCCATTCGATCGACCTGTACTCGATTGCCTCGGTGTCGGCGCAGAAATCCCTCCACCACGTTGGCGAGTCTTCCGACATGTGAGCGACAGCGCGACCGAGATAGACGTTCGCATACTGCAGCGTGCGTGTCACGAGTTCCGAGGTGTTAGCCGGGTCGGCCCTCTGATTGTCGAAGACAAATCGACGAAGTTGATCCAGCAGGCGATTCATGTGCGGGTACCAGTGAGTTCACCGAAGGAGCTGAGCCCGCTGAGTGCGAGTAGAATATCGTCGTAAGGTGTGCACTCGGCGGGCTGGGGCGGTTGAGCTGCTGAGCTAAAGTCCAGCGAGAAGTTGGTGTTGTTCGAACTGCGCTTGAGCCTCTCGTCGTCCGACAGAGGGCGGAAGTAGGAAAGGGACAGACCTTGAGAACCAATGCGCACGCCTTAGAGACCAGCCACGGTAGCGATACTCGAGTCGAAAGGGATGCTGGCGAGGCGGCGAATCCACAGGAGCGTGTCGGTAGGGGTGGTGAACGCACCGTCGGAGCGAGACAGGTTTGCGATACTTCTGTAGGCGGCAAGGATGTGCGTGACGTGCGGTACAAACTCGCTGCGGCTCCGCTGATTGAGCGACGGGAAGCTAGTCGATCGCAGCTCGCGTAACTGCGCCGGTGGTAATTCATTCGTGTGGAGCGCAGGTACAGTCCAAGAGACGGTGCGAGTCCCGTCAACCATGCTTGGCTGTAGTTCTGGGCGGTCCGGCGGCGCCAGAGTCATAGTCGGGTTGGCTTCGGCAGCGTCCAGACGCCTGCTCATGTCAATGACCAGGGCGCTGAGAGAGCCTACTTGAGCTGCAAGACGTTCAATGGCGTTGTCACCCGTGGCTCCGCCTGGGAATCTACTGGGGGCGGCCCCGCTGGCTGCCTGTGGGCCCGAAAGAAATGAGGCTAAGTCAAAGTTGTCGCTGGTGTTGATCTCGCGAGACCCCGAGAGAGCTGTCTGTGCACTGGCCCGTCCTTCCGGCGGCGGCGCAGACGACCCAAATGGCGACGGCCCAGCTGATGGTGACCGCGCAGCATGGTCGCCGGCATCGCCCGGTGAAGGTGGACTGTCGAGGTAGATGATTGAGTGTCTTTTGTGTTGGTGCTTCGAGGAGGTACCGGGCTGTGCCGCTGGGGCAGCGCCGGCCGCGCCAGAGTCCGCGGCGCGCTTCGAGCCCCCGCACTGGACTGCCTGCACATCTCGGGCAAGCTTCGCTGCTCGAGCGGCGGTGCCCAGGTTTTGCTTGCCAACCGCTTTCGCCCGTGGCGCGGTAGCTGATGTAGGCGAAGGTGATGGCGACGCCAGCAGATCGTCGAGACCGAAAGGCGCCGGTCGCGCGAGTTTCTTCTTCCGCTCCGCCGAGCGTGCGGCACCCTCTGCTTTCCGCTTCTGAATTCTGCGGCTCGCGCGAGGAGTGGTCGAAGTCGAGGACGGGGTCGGCCGAGTGCCATCCGCCTCAGCGGGCTCCGATCCCGGTGGTGGTGAAGCTGGAGCCGGTGTTTCCGTCACGACCGTAGCCGGGCCGGTGCTCGTGGCCCGGGATGGGGATGGATGAGCGGACGATGTTGCCAGCAGGTGCGTGGGTGGGCTGGGGGGCGACATCGGCACTAGGTCGAGGCTGGAGCTGGGAGGGGGCAGAGGTGAGGAAGAAGGACTACTTGCGAGGCTTGAGGCGAAAGGCCGAATGAGCAGTAGCGTCCGGCAGCTCCACAGCGTCTCGTTCTCGGCCGGCCGCCCACCGTCCTCAGACGCCGAGCACTGTTCTGAGTGGGGGTTTCTTAACCGCTGCGCCTCCCCCCACCAGGAAACACTTTTTCGTACCTGCGTCACGAAACCACCTTTCATCGAAGTCAATGAGCACTTCAATGGTTCTTAGAATCAATGCATACCCGGCCGACATGATGATGGATATACACGCTTACTAAGTGGATTATGAAGACACAACGATAACGGTGGCCGTGCCACCGGCGAGAAAAAAAATAACGGAGTGGGAGGCCGATAACATCGCTAGAATCAAAGCGTTGATGATAACTCGGATCTCATCCACGAAAGAAATTCATTACTGCAACGGACATTGACTTAACGGGTTTTACCGAATAATACCCGGACTACTATTTATTAGAGACCCCGAAAAATTGATCGGCTTTAACGAGGGGGGGTCTATTTGGGTAAGGGCTTCTATTTTATGGAATGCAGATCGACTAACCGATAAACGACATCATAGGTGTGCAAAGGTATTTGGCACGCTTGTTTTAATACAGGCGGCAGTTAAATTCATCAATAAATTAGACGGAGTGTATTTTGTTGCTGGTTTTAGTTTAAGGTCTTCTGCCAGTTTCGTGCCGTCCTTCGAACTTGCGGACTTGCTGTGGCATAACTTTTCATTGAATTGTCCATTCTGAAATCTGATTGCACCCGCTAAATCTGCGCGATTGGGCTGATTTTATGTACTTCACGCTGGTCCGTGTAAATTTTGCAGAACTTCTTGTTATTATTTTGAAAAGCTTGTTGATTTTGGAGTGAGCTGCCAGTTTCCTGCCTCTTTTTGATAGCATTTTTGTATGCTATGCAAATCCTAGGAGGCTCATCACCGGAAATTGCATGTGACGCTGGAAAAATCTACCAATAGACTACGAGAGATCAACAAGGAGAAGATGCTAATTGGCTAAAACAAGTAGGCACGGAACTGGTTGTAGGCACGCAGCTGGCACCTTACCTTAGTAGAACGGTGCAAGTAATTGTTCCTCTCCTCTACCACTAAAATGAGCATTGTTTTGCATTGCTAGTATTAGTCTGATTGTCAGGACTAGGTCCATCCCAATATCCGTAAAAACAAAGGTTGAAATAAATACTAACTATCCAACCTTTGCGCTTCTTGACTCTAAATCACAGGTGCATGGAATTTAATTTATGTGTTGGTAAGCGTAAAATAGCTGCTAGGTTGCCGAGGTGAACAACCCACCTGAGTCCGTTGAATTTGTTTTAGTCGCATTTTTGCTCAATCCAGTAGCTTTAGTGGTGGCTGCATAGTGAATGGAGATAAGAAAATAAAACCGTTGCAATTGGGGAATATTGTTTTACTTACTAGCGTTGAGCAAAATCTTTTTTTGTTGTTCTCAAGGGACTATCTTTATGAACTTCGCGAGTATTTTCACACATTTTTAGTACAAGAGGTATTGTCTTCGTAAGTTTTTGTTAGCGTTTCTCTATTTAGTAGCCCGGGTTTGTATTAAATTATTTAATAATCCGGGCTTCTATTTGATAGAGGGCTTGTATTTCTAGACTGCAAAGTATTGCCTTGAATGCATCATCCGGATCTTTACTCAGCGCCATCTTGAACTTGTCCACCAGGCGTTTAGAAGTTGAGGAGGCCTTGTCCGAAATGGTCGATAGCCCGGGGACATTAACCCGGTCTTTGTCGTTAGTCGGGTCAGACCGCAAGAGCCTCGTCGCCGTAGTGATGGCCTTGTCATCGGTGGGAGAACGGGGAGCTACTCACGTTTCCAGGGGATCAGCCAGGTCAGACTCCACACGCGCCTCAGGAGAACGACGGCAAAGAACGCAGAAAACGACGCGTTCATGCTCGACGTCGACTCGATTCCTTGATTTCGACAGCTTTCCCGTCGAATAGAGTTGGCCGACATGTTTATGTCGATATTCACTTACGGGGTTGATCGTGCAGTGTGGTGATCGCAAGCTCCCAGCGTAGTCAATAGTTTATCACTGCAAGCTTTAAGCTCGCCTTTGGCCTTTAAACTGCCTACCGACAGTTACTAAACTGGTGCAACGGTAGTCGTCCTAGAGGTCATCGCGGTTGACACTGCACACAATTCCCTACCGCAAAATACGCACTTGTCCATGTCATGAGAGTGTCAATGTGTTGGGGGGTTGCGTGAATTTCAACCAAAACGTTGCATAATTCGTCGGGGATCACAAGAATCGAGACCCACTGGTACTACTGCTCTCAGTTCGACCAGTAATGTCCAAATCGAATCACGACAATAAAAAACCGGAAAATGTAGCGCCCATGTTTCGTTTCGTTTCGCATTGAGGTACATTGTTGTCTGTTAACTTCTTTGGCTAATGACATCCTACGACCTTGTCGACGATCGTCTCATTCCGGTCGTCCTGTAGCTAGGCGCCGTAGTGGCGATCCCGGCACCCCTAAAGTGTGACGGCCACGAGCTCCGAAGAACTTTCATCAGTGGTGCGTTCGAACCAGTGCCCGATGTCACTGGCCGCGTGCTGGGACGCATGTTGCCATTTGTCGGCGGAAATCACATCTCGGGTTATGGTCATCTGGACGCTGTCCATTGCCATGTTCGCTAATGTATCAGCCATCGTATTGTATGCCCGCAGGTGGTGTTGCCACGTCAGGACACAGAGCTTGTCCGCCAGTCTGCGAGTCAATATAGCGCCCATGTTTTCGGCCAGAGGGGGTGAAATCGACTCAAATCTATCGGGAGCGTCTGACCAAAATCGACACCAGCAGCATTTGAGAGGCACGAAGAGCCTGCAAACTTCACCCCAGTGCCGTGGCTGGCCATGGTATTCCCTGCTCAATGCGTGGATCGGTCTTCAGAGGGTTTGAAGCGCCCGCAGAGCGACGTTTGGCAGCTTTAGGCCACCTTAGCCCATGGCTTTGCAGTGTATTTGGCGGCCATGACACCCGTCCCACAAGACGAGCATGTTTAGCCATGTTTCAACATGTTTGGTTTGAGATTTCTTACTTGATTTCAGAATGCTTGCTATCCTAACCCATTTAGAAAACATGGGCTGTTTCAACGACCTAAAAACATGGTTTGAATCGCCCGAACTCGTGAGTTAGTGAAGTGACGAGTACTTGTTGGGGACGAAGTCCCCCCTTACATTGATACGTCCACTTTTACTTAGCTTTTTCAAGGGTCCATACCCGCATTTACTTACCTGATATCAGTTCAGAAGGAACAGGTTAGGGCTGACATTCTGATTGAGTCGCCCAGGGCCATTTTTGACAAAAAAACTGTGTTTACTGACACTTCCAGAATTGTGACATGGATAGGATTTGAGATCTCACTGCATAAATATGTGGAATTTAGTGACCATATGTCATTAAATCCGAGGTACACGAGAGGGCACTATCCAAACAGAGAAATGCTAATTTGGCTCATCAACAGGACGACCGGTGCAGCTTTAGCTAAAATGCTACAGTTTACCGGCTGTGATGATGTGACTAAATGCCTCGTCGCATACGTTCGTACCCTGATTTAGAGCGGAGGGAACACGGTCAGCAAGCTTTTATACGGGAGCGTCAGACTCAGTCTCCTACAGTTTATGTAAGAAAATAAGATTGGACAGACTCTTGCTTCAAGTTCCAACCAGGGCATCATTGACCTGCTCGAGTGCAGTCACCACTAGAAGCGGTAGTGAGCGGTTGCGAGGCGGGCCCAGCGACGAGCATTCCAGCGAACGGACCCGTTGCCCCAACTCGGAGTTAGTTTTCTATTGCGGGGTCTGGGGGTACAACCCCCAGCATGTAAAGCTCGCAATGCACTTTTTACATGCAATGACGAGTTCTTCATGCAGCTAGTTCTATGATAATAGTGTTCCTAATCGAAGATGTGATGTCGGATCGGAAGCTGCACTGATCTGCACGTGATGGCTTAGACCCAATTAATCAACAGCTTCATCAGATCCATTGGGAGAGCGAGGACGTCGGCCTGCAGTGGAGATTCCACTGCAGGGCGTCGGCCCCCTAAGCAACTCAACGGAGTAACGTGACTGAGATGCTCCACTAGTATTTGCACTTCCAAGTATACGTATACCATCCATATACCTGGTTACTGACCCACAAATGTAGCCATTTAATTTACACCGCGAAACATGATGGCTTCACCTATCCCGTGGGTCTTAAACCCGCGGGACGCCTGCATACAAAATCCAAGCTAACTTTCCCGCGACGACAATTGACTCCATTCGCCGCAGAAGCCAAGATGGCCAGCGCCACCAAGAAGCGCGTGTCGTACTTCTACCACCGTAGGGCGGCCTCCCTTGACTCTCGCTGCGGTTTCCCCCTTGCTCTAACCTTGTTCTACCTGCTCTACCCACAGCCGAGGAGGGCCACTTCTACTATGGCCCGGGCCACCCCATGAAGCCGCACCGCATGAAGCTGGCGCACCACTTAGTGGTCAACTACGACCTGTACCGCAAGATGGACATCTTCGTACGTCCGATACAAACTCCAAGTCAAACTACTTTCAGAAGAGTAGAATGATAGGCTAATTCTACCTCGTTCTACCCTGTGTTCTGCCTCACACAGGAGCCGCACATCGCGTCGGCCGAGGAGATCAAGAACTTCCACGCGCCCGACTACATCGACTTCCTCCAGAGGATCAGCCCTAGCAACCAGAAGGACCTCGCAACCGAGCTGCAGAAGTGTACGTGGATCTCAGAATATTGTTTTCTGGTAGAATTATCTGGGATGAGAAGCTCATTAAAAAGTTTTTGCTGGTTGACGCAGACAACCTGGGCGAGCTGACGGACTGCCCCGTGTTCGACGGCATCTTCGACTTCTGCCAGATTTACTCAGGCGGCACACTGGACGCTGTGAGTCGACTGAACCACGGACAGTGCGACATCGCCATCAACTGGGCGGGAGGCCTGCACCACGCCAAGAAGTCGGAGGGATCGGGCTTCTGCTATGTGAACGACATTGTGCTCGGCATCCTGGAGCTGCTCAAGTACCACCCACGCGTGCTGTACATTGACATTGACGTGCACCACGGCGACGGTGTGGAGGAGGCCTTCTACGTTACGGACCGAGTCATGACCGTGTCCTTCCACAAGTACGGCGACTTCTTCCCCGGCACAGGCGACATCAAGGTACGCGCTGTTATTTTTTTCCTAGGATATGTGTGGATAAATGATCATTTGACGCTGCTGAGTAGGATATCGGCACCAAGAACGGCAAGTACTACGCCGTCAACTTCCCGTTGCTGAGCGGCATGAATGACGAAAGTTACGAGAGTGTGTTCAAGCCTGTGATCCAGAAGGTCATGGAGACTTTTGCACCCTCTGCTGTGGTGCTGCAGTGTGGCGCTGACTCGCTGACTGGAGACCGTCTTGGCTGTTTCAACGTCACTACACGAGGTAAGCACAGCCAAATGATGTTTTGTGAGACTGGCGCCTAACCTGCGTGTGCGTACCTCTCAGGACACGGTGAATGTGTGAAGTTCGTGAAGAGCTTTGGCCTGCCGATGCTGGTGCTCGGCGGAGGTGGCTACACGATCCGCAACGTCTCGAGGGCATGGGCCTACGAGACATCCATTCTGCTTGACGAGGAGGTGTCCAACAACATTCCGTACAACGACTACTTCGAGTTCTACGCCCCGAATTTCAAGCTGCACCTCGAGCCGGACCCGGATCTTGAGAACGCGAATTCTAGGGAGTACTTGGACGAGTGCAAGTACGTGAACGGCCCCGCTTCGTCTCACATTGTGCGTAGTAATTGTATCGCTAACTCGCCCGTTGTTTTATGTCCCTTCAGGACCAAAATCTTTGAGAACCTTCGCGCGTTAACTGGAGCTCCGAGCGTTCAAATGAGCCAAGCGCCTCCGACGCACATGCTTCGCGAAGAGGATGAATACGCGGCGGATCCGGACTCACGAACCGATAATGACGGAAAGCGGCAGCATGAGGCCGAGTTTTATAGAGACGGCAAGGACCAGCGAGGAAACGACGATGACGCCGATGCCAGCGCTACTGCAGCCAACGGTTCAGCCCAGGAAGGAGGGGACAACACGGCACCGGATGTCATCCCCATGGATGTTGATTAGACAGCAAAGACGAGAAGAGGCCTGGACTGGGCTGGGCTGGACTCTTTTCTTCTTGGCCAGCCATGCTCGCTTCCTCGCGCTTGTGCATTTTTCTCTCTTTAATACGATGATGACCCGACGAGCCGAAGTCTCTATTTATGCTGCATCTGCTGCAGTTTGCGCTGCTTGTCGCGCTCCGCCTTCTCGATCTCGAAGCGTTTGAGGTCCAGCCGCTGTAAGAACTCCTGCTTCTCAATGTATCTACAACCAAGCCACAACGTCAGCAGCGGATACAAGCCAACAGTCCATAAGAACCAGAACGCACCCGTCCTTGGTGTACTGCGTGAGCTCCTCCTCGATGTCCTCCTTCTCCTTGAACTTGTCCCAGTCCAGCGACGTCTTCTCCATGGTCGAAACCTTCTTGGGCTCGTCCAGCGACTCCAGCACCTTGTCCAGCCCCTTCTTGCCCTTGGGCTTGGCCGTCTGAGCAGCTGCGGCACTTGCACTGGTCGAGACGCTGTACTCTTTGCCTGCGAACTTGACCACGCGGTCCACCTTCAGCTCCTTATTTGTGGCATTGGCCATTTCCTTCCTCGACCTCTTGACGTCCACACTGAGGATGGGCATGGAGAACTCGTGCAGCTTGCGCTTCTTCTTCCTCCTCATGCTCTCCTCCTTCTTGCCGTTGCGCATCGTGGTCTTCTTGATCAGTCCACTGAGCAGCTTGGCCGTCTTGTCCGCCGCCTTCTTGGAGACGGCCGTGGACGCGTTGATGTCGTCCCAGAGTTGATCGACGTGCGAGTCGCTCGTGACGCTGCGCTGCTTGTCTGTCGCGACGTCGGCGTCATCCAGAGTGTCCTCGTCTTCCTCTTCTTCAGCTGCGATGGAGACAATTCAGGCGGGAATTAGCGCATTGTATTTGCAGGACGAAGACGGAGCTGTTGAGCTATGTAGACGCACCTTCGGGGACGTAGTCGCCGTCGTCTTCGTCCGAGGAGCTCCCCATGACTGTTGATGTGTATTTTCGATTATGGGTTTAGATTTGGCACGCGCCAACGGTTTTGTATGGGGTTTTGTATGTGGGTAGTTTGTGGCTTTTTACGCTGCGTTTTGCTTGCTGTCGAAGCAAATGGCTACACCGGTGAGGATCAGCGTCATGCCCGTGTACGTGGCTGCAGTGAGTGAAAAAAATGGAATAGTGAGTGTTACTGTGGTTTGAGTGCGAGGGAGGCTGAGGCCACGTACAGATCGGGCGCTGGGGCTGCTCGCCCAGCAGGCGGCTCGTGATGGCCGTGAAGACGAACGCCAGCGAGTTGCAAATGGGCACGGCGTTCGAGACGTCTGCAGTAAGGAATGTAGCCATCTTTTCGTCAGTGGCAAGCAGGAAGTGACGTTGACGGAGAGCGAGGACGCACCTGTCGAGCCCAGCAGGAACACGTAGGCGACCGACCCGCTCTGGTTCAGCGCAAAAGGCAGCAGAAACTGCAGCACACAAACAACAGGGATCAGCGTCTGAGCGTGCCACAAGTACAAAGCTGGAAGACTCGGTGTGCAAAGCTGTACCTGCCAGTTCTTCATCAGGTCCAGCAGCTGCTTCTTCATCTCCTCGAGGCTGTTGTCCTTCCGCGTGTACATGACGTCGGCATCGCTGCCTGAACGCCACAACGACCCATTCCGTCAGTCAGTCTCAGGGCGTGTCCACGCCGCAGCATGAACCGTTACCTCGCTTGATGAGGGGGTTGGTGCAGCCCCAGAGAGCGCCCACGAACAGGAAGGATAGCAGCGTCGTCAGTGCCGAGCTCATGCAGCACGATGTGGCGCTTGTGATAATGTAGCCGTGACCATAAATAATTTCGAGGTGCCACAAATAAGTATCACAAATTACTATGACACGGTGGCTGGAAATAACGCGTTGGGGAGAGGATGGAGATGCAGGGCAAGTGGCTCGTGCAGTCGGACGACTATGGCAACCTCTACTTCTACAACACGATCACGGGCGAGTCGGTGTGGGAATTGCCCGAGGAGGAGGAAAATGAGGACCAACAAGATAAAGCAGTTGAAGTTGAAGTGGCCAAGACGACCAACAACCAACACAACGCTAAAATCCCAGAGCTCGAGAGACCCCAAGCGCACTACAGTGTCTACGCTATCGCCGTTGGAGTTGCTGATACCATGGTCAATATTGTGGAGACCATTGAGAACAGCGCTGAAAAGCTCAAAAACTCCAAAATCCGACGCAAATTCGTATCGCCAGCAGCCGAGAAGAGGTTTCTCAAGAATAAAGAGAACGAGGAGAAGAAGAAGAGGCATCTCCGCGACCGCACAATCACAGCTTATATTAGCGTTTTAGTCCCGAAAATTGAGCCTGGAGGAGCTGGAGAAGGCGGCGAGAAGCGACGACAAGTGCGTACTTTATTCACGGCGGAGGAGTCGAGAAGATGGCAGCGCGAGCGTGAACTGGAGCGAGAAGCCAAGCGACGTGCAACACGACGAGCTAGAAGACAGCACCAAGCAAAGGTCGAAGCGCTGCACAAGCATCAGCAAATGTTGATCAACTTTCGGTCGGACCTGATGAAGTATCTGCTGGGCAAAATTCTGTGCAGCACCGAGCTGCAGAGACAACGCATCCTGCTGCTCACGACGCCACAAATGCTCGCAGAAATGATGGAGCGGAAGAAAGAACTGCAAATGAAGATGGAGCCTGAGGTTGCTGAGAAGATGGCTGAGGAGGAGAGACTGGTCAAGCAAAAGTACGAGAAGAACCTTCTGAAAGTGTTTACTACAATCGATGAGGCTGGGGCGGGCAAGCTACATTTGCTTCAAATTTTGTTTGGAGTCTTCTCGAAAGAGTAAGCAAATCCCATACTCGTGGGGTATAGTGGGTTTCTGTATCGCTAACACGGATTCTGTTGTGGTGGTTTGACTTAGGAAGCCTCAGAAGTACGCAGCCAAAGTGCGAGGACTCGCTGAGTTACTCAACTCTACAGAGTTGCAGCGATTCCTAATTGATTTTGTATCGCAGTCGGCCAGAAAGGATGTTGGAGAGCCTCGATTGGTTACCGCAGCCGAATTTCGCGAGTTTGTAGCCATATTCGAAGAAGTGCTGGATCACTACTCAGGCGTGAAAGCCGCTGTGGACGACGCTGAAAACGATATCGAAGCCACGTTGGCTGCAGCTGCGGACTCTTCGTCTGGAGGAGCAAGTCTTGCGCGTGCACGGATGGGGGCGATGTCAGCGAAGAAGATCCAGCACGAGCTCGCTGCGTTGAAAGAGCATGAACAGCAGCTTCAAAAGATCCGAGAGCGGGAGAAGTGGCAGGGTTATGGCCCCAAAGGAGACAGTCTCGTGGAGTTTAAAGAGGAATGGGAGAAGAACCACCACCATCGATTCATTCGCTTGGACGAGAGTCTGCCTGTGTTTTGCTGTCTCTGTCGAAGAAGAAAGTGGGAGCTATGGAGACGAGAACAAGAAGAAATCGAAAGCGAGTTTCGCAGTCACTGGCCAACGATGCACGCGTTACGAGTCAAAGATGAAGAGCTGCGCTTTGTCCAAGAGAGAGACCGAAAGAACGGCATACCAGTTGAAGAAACAGAGCCAAAGCAAGAGCTGGATATACCAACTAACGAGGTCCAACCGGAAAAATACGAGTTGACTGCGTTCCAAGACCGTGGTGATGACATTTCTATCGCTGTACGGGAGACAGTGATAGCTTTGGTCACGTTGGTGGAAGCTACAGCGAAGGAGGACTTAACAACAAGGAATAAACCTCAACGAAGAGTTCACAAGAAGCACGCTCCGAGGTCACCCGGGAAACGAGCCAAGGCACCTCCGACGAATGAGGTGGTGGAGCGCGTCAAGGTGTTTGAAGCTGAAGAGAACGAGCGCAAGTTGATGTACACGGAAGAGATCAACATGCTGATCATGCTCGAGCGCAATCGACGCAGCGTTGAGCGACCGCTTCTACGTATTCAAGACGGCGCACACGACGCTTTCGTGCGTTTGATGGAGCATTGCGTGAATCCATCAGGTTTTCTCTCGCGTCTGGAGTTCGAACGGTGTTTAGCGTTCTTCCCGCCCCAAAGAATGGTTCTAGCCATGACTGACAAGGCTGTGGTGTCATTTGAGACATCAAATCGTCTCGTCCTTCAGACTATTCTCTGCCGAAGCGAGTCAATGGGGGACTACATCTTCGAGCAAGTCACAAACATGCAGAAATCATTGCGAAGTCCCTTCGTAGCGAAGGTTTCTTCCGCGCACAAGCACATGTTCCAGCTGTTCTCCGAGCTGGGGCTGCTTGTCGAGTGCTGGCCCGTTGTGTTTGTCGTCTCCGAGTATTTCACCGAAGGTAGCTGGCTCAACTACTACCGCACCAACTTCATCGATGTACCAAAAGAAGCCGTAAAATACGCCGCCGTAGAGCACCACCTCCGAAATGTGTTTCGCGAGGTAGCATCGGGTCTAGCAGCCATGCACAGCCTCGGTCTACTGCATCTCAACATCAATTTGGGCAGCATCTACGTCTCAAACGACACACAAGACGGCGGTGTCCACGTGAAGATCAGCGGATTATTATCCTGGAAGCACGACTACGACGCTGACAACCTCAAAGCTTCCGACATGCACGACTGCTTCAACTACAGCTACGCGCCGCCCGAAGTGGTCAAGGAGCTGCCAATCACTGCGAAGTCCGACGCGTGGATGCTTGGGTGTGCACTCTGTGAGGCTCTCTTCATGTGGCAACGTCAGCAGTTGATGCTCTCAACGGCGAGCCAACCAGCACAAGCTGTTCAGCCCCTCATCTTCCACTCTAAGAGTATCGGGGAACTACTGCAGCAACTCCCTATCGCCACGAGTGCGTCCATGAGGTCCATCATCCGAATGCTGCTGCAACCAAACCCAGCCCAAAGACCAAATATGGGTCAAGTTGTCGACCTGCTATGCCGGAACAACGCGTTGTAGTGATAGTACTAGGCAACCACGAACTGAAGCGATCAAATCATACTGACAAGACAGGCTATGCTCGACTTCGCGTTGAGTGAAAAATAGTCTCCGTCCTTCTGTCCGTCGGTTCCCCTGCGCGTGCGTCCGTTGCAACGAGTCGGCACCAAGATATCGCTCGACCGTCACTTCCGAGGAGGCACACGAGCCTCTGCGTCTTGTCATGTCCAAGACGCCGGCGCAGATGGCCACGCTCAAGGAGTTGTTCCTGGCGGCCCAGCAGGACGACTTCGACGCCGTGCGCGACTACCTCCAGGTCGTTCTACACGACGAGGCAGAGGCCAACACCGACAGCAGTAAGGCTATTGAGTCCATCGTCGAGGCCAAGACCAAAAACTCGCTGCTGCACTATGCGTGCGACAACGGCAACCTGGAGGCGTGCAAGTACCTGCTCATGTGCGAGGGCATGGCCACCGCCTTCCTGAACGAGATCAACGCGTTCGGCCACACGCCGCTGTTCTACGCCGCGAGTAGTGGCAAGCTTCCGCTGGTCAAGTGGCTCATCTCGAACGGGGCCGACATCGACACGGACTACAGCGACCGCAGCGACGTCGTCCCGCGGGACGGAGATCTCGGCATCTTCACGCCGCTGCAGATCGCCTGCTACAGGGGCCACGAAGGGGTCGCCAACTTCCTCGTAGAGTGCAACGCCGAGCTGTCCGGGACACGAAGGAACGGCAAGACGCCGCTGCATTTCGCCAGCGCGGAGAACCACCCGGCCATCGTCAAGCTGCTGATCGAAGCGGGGGCGGATGTCCACGCGTGTGACGGAGAAGGGAAGACGCCGGTGGATGTGGCGAATAGCGCCGTGCTTTCGCTGCTGCTACCGGAAGAGTATGGGGCGCAGAATGAAGACGGGAGTGCGTTAGAGGGGGCGGCTGGAGATATTGGAGACGATGACGACGAGTTTGAAGGAGATGAGGAGACTAAAGGGGCGATGGAGGGGGTGAAGGGCGCGTTTGGGGCGGAGATCGCGCGGTCTTTTAGAAGCAAGACGTGGAAGACGCGCGTGGTTGCGATCACGGACGCCAGTATGTGCTTCCAGAACGTCTTCAAGGGGAAGAACCTCGTCAAGTTGTTCGACGGCGCGTGTGTGATGATGGAGATGGCGCTGCAGGACGCGGTTACGCAGGTGGCGTCGAGCTGCTGTACGTCGCTGCTGAAGGTGGCGTTCAATGCCGCCATGAGCGAGAAAGACTTCCACACGAAGCAGTTCCACGATGAACGGCCGGTCATTGATCGAATTGCGAGCGCGCTGCTGGTACGCGGTGCTGGATCCAACGAGAAAGACGCGAGTGAGGCAGTGACGTCGCTGCTGTTCTTGATCTGCAAGAGCGTCGACATCACGCGGTACCTGACGGCGCAGATTTCGCAGATGATGGTCTCGTCCTCTTCAGCTCAGCCGGTGTTGTCTCCTAGCAAGGAAGGCAGCAGCGCTGGTCTGTCGGCATTAAGCGCGAATGTATCGTGGCGACACCAACTTGTGGCGATCAAAATCCTCAACGCCATCGCGAACCAGTACCGAATGGACGAGAAATCTAGCGGCTTGAGCTTCGCCAATGCGATGAAGATCAGTATGTTGGCTCTAGAGAACTCGAGCGTCCACGTGCGAACTGCATCGATCGACTTGCTGGTTCAGTGCCTCGTGATCCGGTGCGAGGAGTCCGGTACGTTTGTTTTCATATAGTTTTCGGTAAGTATCCAGTGTCTTTAACTAAGTATCCATCCACTCTCAATGTCGTAGATATGAAGGGAACACCTGAAGCAATCTACGAACATACTAAAAGCTGGTGCGAGTCTCTCTTCAAGCAGCAGAACCAGCACCTGAAGCCATCGATTCAAGCGAAAATCAACACTGGACTCAAGAACGCCCTTCAGAAGAGCAAGCGCTTATCCATCCGAAGTGACGAGTCTTCGGATCGAGGAGACGATAACAGGAATGGTGTTGGTGGCGCCAACGCCGCTGCGTTTGACGTGCCCACAGCTGCGTTATCCCCTCGAAGTAAAGCCTCGCAACGAGAAGACGATCTCCCCTACGCAGAACCCATTCAAGGTCAGAACAAGGACATCGCAGTCGATATGCTCGAATGTTTCGGTGAGAAGGCGACAAGGTGCCTCTTCTCCAACGCCTGGGCGCCCCGCGTCGAGGCGCTGAGCTACGTGCAGTATTTGGTGGAGACTCGCCAGCTCTCGTTCGCAGCTCAAAGTACCAACTCTTCTATTTCCCAACGCACTCTGGTCAGTGCCATGCAGACGACGCTCATGCAGGCGCTCCAGGACCGCGTCAACTCTGTGTTTGAGGCTGGCGTCTCGCTGCTGATGGAGGTCAGCATCGCCTTCGACAGCGTCGTGGCCTCCCCTACCGATGTGACGGTGATGCACGACCTTGTCCGCCCACTCATCCCTCGATTGCTCGTTAAACTCGGCGACTCCAAGAACCGGCTGCACGTGACGACGGAGGACGCGCTATTGCTGCTTTCAAGACAGGCCTCCTGTATCGGCCCGGTGTTTTTACTCGAAGAAATGATCGCGTGCGACCGCAATTCGTCGCCGCAAACGCTCTCCGCTACCTATCTGACCAACAAGATGGCTCTCGTGTCCAAGCTGATGCTGGAGTTCGGTATCGTAGAAAGCTCGGGGGAGAAAGGATTGCTGCCAATCCGGAATGTGCTGCAGCTCGCCCTGCAGGTGTGCGAACACAAGGACCAAAACGTGCGCCTGATGTCGCTGCAGATTGTGGCGGACACGCTGCAGGTGGCTCGCTCCACTGCGATGCCCTTTATTGACGCTTTAGCTCGCTCCTCTCGACAGAAACTCATCTCGAAACTCGTTGAGAGGGGCGTCATGGAGTCCGATATGCTCATGGACGAGGTGGACGACTTCGACATCCCAACAGAAACCGCTCGACCTGGAACGTCTGGAGGCATTCGACCGCCTACCGCCTCTGGATCCTCAACGAAGCACCGACCAGCACTCGCCAACCCGTCGCTGTCAGCCAACGCGCCTTCCTCTAGCAGCCAATCGAGCAGTGCGTCCCAGTCCCAACCAGTCCAGCTCCCGTACGGCACGGCGCTTACGACCGAGCAGAAGGAGCTTTTCGCCAACATTATCCAAGGCTTCGGCGAGGAATTGGTGCGCTGTTTACTGGATAAAGCGTGGGCTCAGCGGGAGGCTGCGGTCCGTGAAGTGGAGCGACAGGTTGTGTGTTGTGTCAGTGGGAGAGTTGCAACCGACACGGCATTGCCTAAAACTCTGGAAGCTCTTGGCATGCTCGCTCAAGTGCTTGAAATCGGACTGAACGACACCGTGGCGCGAGTTTTCCAGTGTGCGCTGCGGCTTTTTCAGGTTATCGCGACGGATTTCTTGCCGTTAGTGGCGTCGGAGCACCAGTACGTGGACGAAATATTGGAAAATGTTGTCGGCCTCGTGCTGCAGAAGCTGGGGGACACGAAGCAGCGGCTGCGTCAAGACTGCTACACGTTGTTGCACTCGATGGCGTCCTTGGGTCACATGGGCCACGCGCGGATGTGCAAGATGCTGGCGGAAAAGTACCAGCAGCTCTCGTCGTCGTCTAACGCAGTGGCAGCTTCGCCGCTGGTAATTGGAGAGCTACTGCGTTTATTCACTACGTTAGTGAGAGAAGCCCCCGCAGGCGACAACCACAAGCAGCCAGACTTAACCCTCATTCTGGGCATTGTCCGGCCGGCACTGGAAAACAAGCACGTGGACGTCCGTAACGCCGCCATCACCACGTACACGACCATCTACGAAGCTACCAATGGCGGGACGAGTGATTCTTACGGGGTTGTGGACCCCAACAGCTTTTTAGCGGACTTGAAGCCTTCAATGAGGGAAACGATCACTCGCAGCGTGGTGCAGATCACCAAGGCGCTACCTACGAGCTCACTCGCCAGAGAGAACGACGATAGCAGTCGACCGGAGATTGATAGCGGCCGGAAGCTGCAGCGACCGCTTGGTGTGGACGCTCATAAACTTGGACAGATCTGCTCAGCTGAGATCACGGAGCTGCTTACGTCTCCTTCGGGGACCGCAGCTCAACGGTGTCTTGGAGTGGACAAACTCGTGGACTACCTCACATCTTCTACGCCAGACCCGAAGTTTAAAGGCGCGTGGGAGACGTGTTGTCTGCTGGTGAAGCAGTTGATGCTGGAGACGACGCCAACGGTTTGTCTGGCTGCGTTTGAGCTCCTTCAGCTACTTATCGACCCCCCAGCGCAGAATTACGGACGCGACGGACAGGATTACGCCATTCCGTGGGGCGAATGGGGCGTGCATCTCGTGCTTGGATCCACAATTCGGAGCGTCGTGCAGCTCAGCGCCAGTGAAAGTGTCCGCGTACGTTCAAAAGTGAGCGATATCCTCCGGTTAGTGGCAGGGAAGAGTGCGGTAGGCAAGAACGCCGTATGCAACGCCATCCTTAGTGCGCCGGAGCAGAGCGACATGAGCGGAAGCGCCGGGGAATCCATCTCTGCTCGGAAAATCGCCTTTACCAAGCTGCGATGGCAGCTTTCACTGAGATTGGAGCTGCTCTACGAGTTTCTAGTGGTGACGGACAGCAGCAACGGTGGGGCGCCCTCCCCACCGGCAATGGGGAGGCGGAAATCCACCAGTAGAACGGCAAAGTCGTCCTCTACGTCATCAGAGCCACTAGGTTTGGTCAACGTCGTGCCATTCCTCGGTTCATGCGTGACACATCCGAGCCCTCTCATCCGCACTGCGTCGGCCAAGTTCATGCGCTTCCTGCGTTCTACCAGCGAGGAAGAACTCACGACTTTTTTGCAGTCGAGTTGCTCTCCAGCTCTGCAGAGGCGACTGCAGACGCTCATGGCGCATGCTGCCAGGGATGAAGACGAGGAAGGGAATAATGCCGACCACTTCGATGCGGACAGAACCACGTGTGTGCGTGGAAGTAGAGCGTCACACGTACGACGAGTTGCTGCTCTACGTCCTCCCCGGTCGGTGCCTGTGGAGGAGAAGCAGATGATGGTGGACGTGTTCCCCCCACCGAATTCCGCTCCGGGTAAGAGTCGACGAAGTGGGGGCGATGCAGACGATGAGGATGACTCGATGAACGATGGACGCAGCCAGAAGCAGCCCATTTGGCTCGACCAGCAGCTCGGATCAAGCAGGAAAGCGCCGTCAGCTAGCGACATGTTCGGAGCGCTATCCTTCGATGACGGTGAGCCTGAAGGCCCCATTATGGTCGGCGGCGGTGCGGCTGGACTCATGAAAGCTCGTCGAAAGAGCACGCATCGAGGGACCAGCAGCAACAACGACGAGATAAATGAACGGACTCGCTACGGAGTCTACTAAAGGTGGATAGGTAGCCTTTGGAGGGCGGGTGGGGAGATCTACTAACACAATTCTACGACTTTTGACAGCACCTACCAGGTTTTGATTTTGTGTTGGGCTGACATTATGCTGATCCCAGCAGATTGAAGTTGCCTCATGGGGGCCACGCGAAGACACAGACCTAAATTTTACCAAACATGGTGATGCTGGTGTATGTCTTTGCCGTCGACCTGAACCGCCTGTTTGTGATCGATCTACCCGAGACCAGCATACTCGACGACCTCAGGCTGGCAGTCACCAAGTGCAATCCGGACGTGATCAAGTGTCCGCTGCGGAAGCTGCAGCTGTTCTGCACCAAGCGTGACGGGAGTGGCTAACCACCGCGGAGACGAGGAAGCTGGACCCCAAATGCGCTGGGCTTGAAGCGCCTGGTGAACCCATCGCTCACTCTCACGAGAGCTGGGTTAGGCGGTAGTGATGTATCGGCACGAGACCCCAATGCCTGCGTCGTTCACGTGGTTCTACGAGTCTCAGCAGATTATGAGCCGTGTCTAAGGTTATGATGACACTGACTGAGGCGGATGAATACGTTCGAAGCTCAATGGAGAAGGCCTTTGACAGCTACGACCGGGAGCACGTGTACAGCTTTTCCGACTGGACGATGTTGGCGGACGGGCTTATTCAGAGGCTTGGGCAGGTGATAAAGCTGATAAAGGTCGAAGAAGCGCTGGACTTCTCCGTGGAGGGCTTTAACTGTTCAACATCAAGGGAAGCGCCGACTGCATGATCATGGACCGAGAGGCGGAAAGGGACAATAATGTATTCGGTGGGCTTCGCCTTGTTTTTGAGGTTATCGACGACGACTTCGACAGCTCGTATATAGTGAATTGGTACCGGCAGAACCTGCTGTCAAAAGTGGAGAGGGCCAAGCTTCGTGACGGACCTAGAGAACGTCTGGTACTTCTTATGGTTCACTGAAGAGAAGAAGATCGCGACGCTTTTGTTGAAGTGTCCAGCCAACGGGCTCCAGTTCATCAGGGAGGTCTTGTCCGAGAATTCAGGATCTTCAGACCAAGACGATGCTGGTACTTTTCTGATAAAGAGCCGCTTCGTCCAAGAGGAATGGGCTGCGAAACGACGAAGTCTAGCCAGCCTAATTTCTCTGTAATTCTCGCTTGAAGGGTGTTTGTGTGGTACTCTTGGAGTTTATGTAGGCGCTGTGTTGATGAAGGTCGCACTTCGTACCACTTCTCAGTATCTCCATAATCAGCAAGTTGACAACGATGCCGTCTCCACAATCAAAAAGGATTATGGCTACAGAGCCAACTCGGGCTTTCGTCCGTCTCATTCCACAAATTGCTGGGCTTCAAGTTCTTGGCTCTACCTCGACTGCTTCAAGGCTTCATTTAAGATGGTCTCCTCAACCCCCAGCACTGGAAGCGAACAACAAGAAATCCTGTACGACAATGGCGCGACTCTCATGGCGTCGGGGGCCTTGGCACTGCACGATCACGTGGCTTCACGGATGCAAGCAGCGCTTGGGCGACGTCTCCCTCAAGTGGAGGTCCGGTATAAGGACGTGTCCATCTCGGCCAACATCGTCGTGAAGGACGCGGCCCAAGTGGAAGCGGAGCTGCCTACAATCGCCAACGTGATCAAGCAAAGCGCGCGCAGTGTCGGAGGCAAGCGGCACGTGGTCCAGAAGAGCATCCTGCGCAATGTGAGCGGCGTGTTCAAGCCTGGAACTATGACGCTGGTGCTCGGCCAGCCTGGGTCCGGCAAGTCTTCGCTCATGAAGCTCCTTAGTGGGAGGTTCCCCACCTCCAGGAACGTTTCCATCGAGGGTGACGTGGCGTTCAATGGTTCATCCCGTGAGACTTTGATGAAGAAACCCCCTCAACTGGTGACGTACGTGCCTCAAAACGACAAGCATCTACCGACTTTGACGGTCAAGAGACGCTCGAGTTCGCGCACGGCTGCAACGGCGGAGGGTTGTCCAAGCGCGACCAGCAGCGTCTTGTCCACGGCAGTCCTGAGGAGAACCAAGCCGCCCTGGAGGCAGCCCGAGCGCTGTACAAGCACCACCCTGACGTTATCATCCGTCTATTGGGCCTCGAGAACTGCCAGAACACTATCGTGGGGGACGCGATGCTGCGCGGCGTGTCGGGCGGCGAGCGCAAGCGCGTGACGACGGGCGAGATGGCGTTCGGCAACAAGTTTGTATTGTTGATGAACGAGATCAGCACGGGACTCGACAGCGCCGCAACGTTCGACATCATCTCGACGCAGCGCAGCCTGGCTAAAGCCTTCGGTAAGACCGTGGTGATCTCACTGCTGCAGCCGTCGCCCGAGGTCTTTGAGCTCTTCGACGACGTGCTGCTCTTGAACGATGGCTACGTCATGTACCATGGACCTCGCTCGGAGGCACAGAATTACTTTGAAGACGTGGGCTTCAAGTGTCCTCCGAGCCGCGACGTAGCCGACTTCTTGCTGGATCTAGGCACCGACAAGCAGCGTCAGTATGAAGTGGGCCCTATCCCGAGGACGGCGGCCCAGTTCGCGGATGAGTTCGAGACGTCGGACACCCACAAGCGTATGATGAACCATCTCCACTCTCCAGTAGACCAAGAGCTCCTGGAAGACGGCAAGACCTACATCGATTCCACTCCGCAGTTCCAGCAGGGTTTCTTCACCGGCACTGCTACAATCGTAGCTCGGGAGCTGAAGGTGCTCGCCCAAGACTCGGCAGCAGTCAAGAGCCGGGCATTCATGGCTTTGGTCCTCGGGCTGCTGTACGGCACGGCGTTCTACCAGTTCGACGAGGTGAATTCCCAGGTGGTCATGGGCCTGGCGTACTCGGCCGTTGACACGCTGTCAGTGGCCAAGTCGGCCATGATCCCGACCATCCTCGCAACGCGCGACGTCATCTACAAGCAACGCGGCGCCAACTTCTACCGGACTTCGTCTTTTGTGATCGCGAGCTCGGCCAAGCAGATCCCCGTGGTGCTGATGGAGACGCTGCTCTTCGGGTCGATCGTCTACTGGATGTGCGGGTTCGTGGCCAGTGCTCAGAGCTTCGTCCTGTACCAAGTCGTGCTGTTCCTCGTCAACATGGCGTACGCCGCGTGGTTCTTCTTCATCGCGTCCGTGTGTCCCAACATCAACGTGGCGAACCCGATCTCGCTGCTGTCGTTGCTCTTCCTCGCGACCTTCTCCGGGTTTCTCATCACTAAGGAGTCGATCCCCGTGTATTTGTCGTGGATCTACTACATCAGTCCGCACGCATGGGGGATCCACGCCGTCGCGGTGAACCAATACCGGGACTCGCGCTTCGACACGTGCGTGTACGTTGGAGTGGACTACTGCGCGGAGTACGGCATGCAGATGGGCGAGTACATGCTCAGCGTCTACGGCGTGCCCAGCGAGAAGTACTGGCTGTGGTAAGGATTTGGCTTCCTAGCTGCTGCCTACGTCGTGTTCATGGCACTCTCGTGCTTGGTGCTGGAGTACTGGCGCTTCGAGACGCCGGAGAATATCTCCCTCGACGCGGAAGGGGATAAGGAGGACAAGCACAGGGTGTCTCTGAGAGATAACTACGCTCTCGTAACTACGCCCAAGGCTGCGACTAATGCGCTGAACAACGAGCAAGATGTGATCCTGTCCGTGACGCGCTCTACCGAGAAGAACTTCGTTCCTGTGACGCTGGCCTTCAACGACTTGTGGTACTCCGTGCCGGATCCGACGAACGCCAAGTCTAGCATTGATCTGCTCAATGGTGTGAGTGGGTTTGCCCTACCAGGCACGATCACTGCGCTGATGGGGTCTTCCGGCGCTGGAAAGATGACGCTCATGGAAGTCATCGCTGGACGGAAGACTGGGGGGACAATCCGAGGCGACATCATGCTGAATGGGTATCCTGCCACGGATCTCGCTATTCGTCGAGCCACGGGCTACTGCGAGCAGATGGACATCCACTCCGACGCGTCAACGTTCCGTGAGGCGCTGATGTTTAGTGCCTTCCTGCGCCAAGGTGCCGACGTTCCTGACAGCCAGAAGTACGACTCGGTGAACGAGTGCCTCGAGCTGCTGGACTTGCACCCGATCGCCGACCAGATCATCCGCGGCAGCTCCACGGAGCAGATGAAGCGCCTGACCATCGGCGTGGAGCTGGCGGCGCAGCCCAGCGTGCTGTTCCTGGACGAGCCCACGAGCGGCTTAGACGCTCGATCGGCCAAGCTCATCATGGACGGCGTGCGCAAGGTGGCGGACACGGGGCGCACCGTTGTGTGCACGATCCACCAGCCGTCGGCTGTGATGTTCGAAGTGTTTGATAGTCTGTTGCTGCTAAAGCGCGGTGGAGAGATGGTCTTCTTTGGGGATCTCGGTGCGAAGGCGACCAAGCTGGTCGAGTACTTCGAGTCCATCGACGGTGTGGCGAAGCTGGAGAAAGACTACAACCCAGCGACGTGGATGTTGGAGGTCATCGGCGCAGGAGTAGGCAACGACAACGGCAACAAGACCGACTTCGTACACATTTTCAAGTCAAGTGTCCAAGCTCAGCAACTCGAAGCGAACTTGAAGCGTGAGGGAGTGACTCGACCTTCGCCGAATGTACCAGCACTCGTATTTGGCAAGAAACGCGCAGCCGGCAACCTGACGCAGGCCAAGTTCCTGATCAAGCGCTTCTTCGACCTGTACTGAAGGTCTGCGTCGTACAATTTGACGCGGTTCCTCGTCTCAATCGTGTTGGGGCTGGTGTTTGGAATTGCCTACGTGGGGGCGGAGTATTCGTCGTACCAGGGCATCAACTCGGGTCTGGGCATGGTGTTCATGACGCAGTCGTACATGACCTTCATCGTCTTCAGCAGCGTCGTGCCCATATCCATCCAAGAACGCGCCTCATTCTACCGCGAGCGGTCGTGCGAATCATACAATGCGTTCTGGTACTTCGTCGGCGCCACACTCGTCGAGATCCCGTACTGCTTCTTCGAGTCGCTGCTCTTCATGGTCATCTACTACCCGATGGTCGGCTTCACCGGTGACACGCAGTTCTTCGCGTACTGGTTGAATCTGACGGGGCTTGTGGTGCTGCAAGCGTACTTCGGCCAATTGCTGGCCTACTTGGCGCCCAACCTGGAGGTGGCGTCGGTGTTCGTCATCCTCGTCAACTACGTCTGGATCACGTTCACGGGCTTCAACCCCCCGGTTGCCTCCATCCCCCAGGACTATCGATGACTCTACCACCTCACGCCACACAAGTACACGTTCGCGAGTCTCATTGCCATCGTGTTTCGAGACTGCCCCAGTGGAGGTGATCAGGGTGAACTTGGCTGTCAACAGATGACTGGCGCTCCCCCTACGCTCGGAAACGACATCACGGTGGCCGAATACCTCGATGAGATTTTCTCTGCGAGACGCGACGAGATCTGGTCCAACTTTGGCATTGTTATGCTGTGGATCGCGTGTCTGCGAGTTGTATCGCTTCTCGCACTGAGGTTCGTCAACCACCAAACGAGATAAAACTTACTAAGTATCTGAGAGGTTGAATTTCGTGAAATTTCGATGAAATCGTCGTGAAGACACTTACTACATTACTTTTGATTCTAGTGTTTGGAAGTCTTCTACGAGAACCTTGAACAAAAGAGAAGGGTGGCCAAAAACCACCATCTGCAGCCTCTCCGCCTACTACTTCGGCTTGTTTAGTGCAACCATAAGCCCAACAATTCCGAATATGGAGCCGAATACAAGGAGCAGGGTTAAAAAGATGCCCAAGTTGCTCTTAGGGTAGGGATCGAAAACGCGGACACCGTACGTAGCTCAAAAGGTCGTGATGTAGTCTGGGTTGCTCTTCATCAGATTCCGGGATTGTTTGACCTCAAGGTTCTCTTTCTCGATGGTCTTCAATTTTTCCATGGTAGATTTCTTGACGAATGACAGGCTTGGGCCTTGAGATCTCGACAGAGGACTTGATGCTGCTGAAGGACGGATTCTTCTTGATCCCTTCGAACTGCTTCACCGCACTTGGGTTGGTCTTCACCAACTCGAGCTGCTTGCTGTTAACGCGGCCCTTCTTCATAAAATCCCGCAGCTTGGTGATGATGGAACGAACCCCTCTCTTCTTCTTCAGACTCTGACACCGACTTGCCACCCTTCCAAAATCGACGGTTGCCCCAATTCTTCTCCGCCACCACAGGATCCAGGTTGACACTGACTCGCTTGGCACTAGCGCAGCCCGAATCGCTGGTATCGCACAGCGAAAATACGACCATCGCCATCAAAAGAGTGAGGTATGAGCGCATGATTCCGTCGTCAGTTGTTGATAGTGTTCTGCTTTATTGATTGCGGGCTAGAAGTCGATTGTCAGATTGCGGTTTGTGAGCTGAAACTACGAATTCTGTCGCGGACATGCGTTTGTACCATACTTACAGCCAGGATTATACTTGCTCTGTATGATTTTCGATTACAGGGCAAACGATTACCCGTGGGACTTGTAGATCCTACTGTTGTTGTAATCATTTGGCTGCACATTTCTAACAATCAACTTCGTGGGGAAAACTGTGTCGTGATGGACCACCTCGGTTTAGCTAGAACGAAAATATAAGACTAGGGCTCCGCAAAGGCTGGCATAGGAGTAGTGTACTCCGCAAACATGTTAGTGAATTTCAGAATACACTAACTCACTGTAAGTGCTGTTTGCAAACGCGTTTGTAAGTTTGCGTTCTATTACCCGCGTTCAAATTAGTGGCTCCTCAAGAGAATTGGTACCGGTTGTCGAATCCATAGTCTGCGTATACGCACCGCGATGTTGCCAGAGTAATTCGTATAAGAATGTCTTTATTGGTGTAAGAGAAGAAAAACTTCTTGTACCAGTCAGCTTTCGGCAGCTAAACGAGCCTCAAAATGCATGACTAAATCTCAGCTAACTTCGCAGCCATATTAGCCAGATTCACAGCTCACTAACAAACAGTTTGCAAACGCTACTGCTAGCAATAGTGGGTCTCTGTTCTGGCAGCAGCAAGATAGCGCTCTCAGAAAACCCTCCAAATTTCTCCCAATCAGAGACGGAAAGAACTGAGACCCCCTTTGTAGTTCGACAGCAGTAACATGCCTCATGCGTGGTCGTCTTGCTAATTTAGCTTATTGCTCAACTGCATAGTGTGCCCATGCATATATAAATGTTATAGGTGCCCAGCAGCGTCCTGCGGCAAGTTGTCACATGCTTTCGATGCGAGGGCTCACTGCTACGGGGTCGGTGGGGGTCAGATGAGACAACGGCAACAAAAATGTTACCTATCCACCATTTAGAGTTATCGAGATAATCGCCTTAAAAGAGGCCAGGTTCAAAATCGTAACTAAACGAAGTCGTGAGAAAACGAGGAGTTTTGATTTTCAAAAATTTGAAGGGGGTGTATCGGCACGGATACCATTTCGAAAAGCCACTCGGACCACTACCTACAGCCATGCAGACACCACCCACGACGCCGACAGCACCGACCTCGCGCGCTGCAGCGCCAACTGCACAGCCTGCGCAACCTCCAGCGTTGCCTCTCTCAGCCTCGCCACCGGCCACCTCGGCGCCAAGCCCGCCAGCCACGGCTCCGAGTCCGCCAGCCGCGACGTCGGGTCCGCCAGCCGCGACGTCGGGTCCGCCAGCCACGACATCGCCCTCCCAGGCGCTGACTCCGCCGGCCACAACGTCCCCCTCCACGGCGCTGACTCTGTCGGCCACGGCACCCCTTGCTGCTCGGCGTCGCGAAGCAGACGAAGAGCCTGATTCTGCCGACGATTCTGTCTGTGGTGTCGATCCCACTGCTACCAGTGAGAGTGAGGTGAACGAGGACAGCAGCGACGACGAGGAACCGCTCACAGCAGAGAGCGCGAGCAGTGAAGCCGAAGATGAAGAGGATATTAGTATCTTTTTGAATGACGCGAGTCCTCGAGCCCGTGTGACTGAGGTGATTCATGCGGACGCGTGTGAGAACGAGTGCGTCAAGGGCAAGGCTCGTGAGTTGGAGTTCTTGCTGTGTTCGCTGGACCAGATGACGAAGCAAGAGCGCACCACGAGCTTGTACACGCTCCTGGCTGTGTTGATGCAGACCCCCACGGTTGAGCGTAAGAGAGGACGGGGTGACCGTGAGAAGTTTCCGTACATCCTCCCCTACGTAGGTCATGTGTGCCGACCCACTTTCGCGCTCTGCTATGGAGTAGTCCCCATTACCTTGCAGCGCTACAAGATGCGCATCCGAGACGGTAACATGTCGATCAAGACGCATGGTAACCGGCTCAACACGCATGCAGCTCAAGTGAACGTTGTTTGGCTGGTGAAATGGTTCCAGACGTTTGCCGAGGAGGTCGGCGAGGTTGTGCCGGTTCGAGTGCGGATGCAGAAGAAGAAAGACGGAACTACGCAGAAATACTACAGCAGCGAGATGTACACGTTACTACCAGCGCACTTCACCTGGGATACCATCTACGACGAAATGCACAAGTTTGTTGAGGCGGGCTTGCGCGTCCGTGAACCGCTCGGTCGACAATGAGGAAGCTTTTGACGCTTCACTGTCCAACCATTCGAATTCGGTCGCCACGTAGTAACGTGTGCGACGTCTGCTCCATTTACCACGCTGGAATGCGCGGCGGCGTAACCAGTGACAAGACGGAGGCGCTGGGGCGGCACACAGAATCTGCGCGTCGAATGCGGTAAGTTTTGTATACGGACATAAGAAACATTTTGATTTACTCGGCAGATTTACCTGGATGTTAGTAACATTTTGTTTGATGGCTGACAGGCGGGAGTACAAGACGGACAAGACTTCTACCGATGTCAACCACGCTGTCATCGTGATGGATTTTCCCCAGAACTTGACACTTCCGAGCGTGTCCAACACCCTCTCACAGTGGTACTTTTGTTCGCTGGTCTCTGTGAGCGGCTTCGGTATCTTTTACGAGAACGAAGGAATCCAAACCAACTATCTGTACAACGAGACTTCGAACGGTAAAGGGAGCGACCAGATTAACTCCATGCTGGCTCATTTCATCAGCACCAAGATCATACCGGCGGGGAAGACTCGGCTGACCGTGTACGCCGACAACTGCTCAGGGCAGAACAAAAACAGCTACGTGATCAAGTTTCTATTGGCGCAAGTACACATGGGAGCTCTACAGTACGTGGACTACAAGTTCTTCGTCAAAGGGCACACGAAGAACTCCTGTGACCGTGGTTTCGGCCACATCCGCAAGCACGTGGCCAAAGTGGATTGTTGGACGATGGACCATCTCGTAGAGGGTGTTAGTTCGGCGTCCAAGAGCTCAATCACGGTGCATCTGCCTCGCGGAAGCTCAGCGTTCAAGTCCTACAAACCTATTCTCACCTAATTGTACAAACGACTTGACGGCATCCAGAAGTTCCAGATTTTCACGATGGACGCATCGCAGCCGGGCGTCGTTGTCTGCAAGAAAGGCCCCGAGAGCGAACCTGTAGAGATTAGTTTGAGCCGTCAAATTGACGGGATCTTCACCACGAAGGGGAAGGTGCAGCGGATGATGACGGACCATATCGAGACGCTGTCCCCTCCTGTCCGCAACACCGAGAAAATTGCGCAGATGTACCACAACATCAGGCCCTACGTTCCTGCTGAATTTCAGAGCGATCCCCTCTACGCCAAGCCTAGCGAGCAGGAAGGAGAAGATGCCAAGTCACGGAAACAAGCACGACGTGAGCATCGCGCGGCAATGGCCGTAGCGGCTAAGGCTAACCAAGACCAGCGTGGTATCACGGAGGCTGTTGCGACGAAAAAGAACCCAGCAAAGAAGAGGGCTACTGCAGCAAAGAAGACGCAAAAGAACAGAAGCACAAAGCTACTGCGGATCTGCCTGCTGAGCAAGAATAGGCAGCCCAAGGTTGTAGTCGATCATTATGATACTTATGTCCACAGTTCATTCAAAATGTTACTTACATCCAGGTATCAAATTTTCTAAAAAAAATCAAAAATATACCCCTGGTGATTTAAAGTGACGGCACAAAAGTGAGATTCTAACACTGTTAGGCTTCGAATTAGCTAAAACGGACAACATTGTCGGATTCGCTGACTAATTTTACACCAGTTCATCAAAATACAATTTCCCTTTCGGGGTTGAAGTCGGACATATATTTTTTGACGGTCTCGTTCTCGGTCGTTTCTTCATACCAGAAGCTCGGGAGGGGCTCAAACGAAAGAGAAGACATCCCGCTTACCAATTATGCGCCTAAATCGCGATTCGTACTTAGGTTGATAAGTAACATTTTGTTTGCCGTCGTCTCAGATTGACCCTGGGGTGGTCGATCCACTCGACCCCAGCAGCCCCATGCTATCTGATCTAACGAAAACACCTGTGGAGAACTCATATACGTCGGGGGAACGTCGGCTTCCGCTGCCGTCGCTCCTGGGGCGGTCCGGCAATAGGTGGGATGCATCTTGCTGCTGCCGGCGCTAGACTGCACCAAAATCGTGGCAAGAGAGAGATTTCGCTTCAAACGGAGCAGGCGATCCCTCGCAATTGCTAAAAATATGGAGGTGTTACAATTTCCGGGCCCTTCAATTCTGGCCGGGACAATAGTGTTTGTGCGAACACTGCCGGTAGATATTGGGTCGCTCCCGAAACCTCAATTCCTCAAATCTGGTCCAGCTCTGAAGAAAAAAAAACGGCCGTACATGGCCCTTTTTTGGGGTACCTCGACCCAAATGACTATATTTGTCCGAGGTTCATCAACGTGCGAGCTTGAAGTGTATTTGGTACGGCCCGCCTCAGAACAGGAGGCACGTTGAGCTAAAGATATATTGTTGCTGCCGCTGCGCTAGAAGATGCTTTATTCTACAATTTCGCTCTAGCTCTTAACTACGATGCAGCAACAACTCGAGACTTCTCTCACCCAGCTCAGCCAAGCAGCCGATGTAGAACCACAGCGCCAGCAACGGGCAAGAGGTGCTGGTTTCTCGGATGCCGAAACGGCCAATCTGTTAGACTTGCTTGAGATGCATCTACCTCTGTCACGTGATGAATGGGATTACGTTGCATCTTTCCATAACGCTGCTTACGTGGGCGACGATAGGACCACCGACTCGCTCAAGCGGAAGTTCGCCAAACTCCACCGCAAGCGCATCCCGACGGGCGACCCGAGGATTCCTGCGAACGTCTTGCAGGTGAAGCGCATTCGCCTGGAGATGACTCGTCGAGCAGATTTGGGCGACGGGGAAGATGCTGCGACAGAGGCAGCAATAGATTTCGTAGCCACCACCCCTATTCCAGCGGACCTACTTCCATCTCCACACAGTCAAGGCAACCGTCAACTCCCCCACCACGGTGGACGGCAATGATGACAACGCTATCACTAGTGCGGACACGATGTGGCAGCTGCTTAGCGAGATGGAAACGCTGAGGGCTCAGCTGAACGCTCAGAAGGGTCCACAGGCGTGGGCAAAGGGCACGCAGTGACGATGACGCGGACGCTCGCTTCATGTCGATGATGCGACTTTCACTTGAACAAGAGCGGCAGCGCGCAGACGAACAGCGCCTACGTTGGGAGCAGGAACGCCACGAAGAACGCGCTCGCCGAGAAGAAGAACGAGCGCGACGTGAGGAAGACCGAGAAGCGGAGCGTCCTCAGCGTCAGGAAGATCGAGAAGAGGACCGCCGACGCCACCAAGAACTACTGAGTCTGCTGCTCATCGGAAGCAACAGAAACTCGTTGTCGGACACGAGCACTCCGAACGCTCCAAACGCTCATTAGTCAAGTTGAATGAGCGATCGCACAGCAGCACTTTACATTTACCGAACACTTAATTCACTTTTTCATAAAGCAATTGTTTTAATGAAAACCAAAGCTTTCTTCTTTTACTTTTAGCAAATGAAGTGCACAATTCTAATCAAGTAAGTGGTTTGCTTCCGGTCCTAGATGCGGCATGAACGTATTTAGGATCTGATTAATCCCAACGAGGCGAGATCGTAAATTGTACAACAGTACGAGGCTTGAGATGATCTTCTTCCGCTCATCGTCCTGCTCGAAACGCATTTGGTCCTTAATTCTTGGAAACGAGCTTTGGAATGCTCGCATTCCCCATTCCGAAGATTGCCGGAGCGATGTTGCTTGCTAGAGACGTCGAAGCTCCGCTGGGGATGGATTGTTAGCAAGATGATCTTGTGCAGACTAAATCAGAAACGGGTAATCTCCTTTCGAAAACCCCGAATCAACCACACAACGAGCTCCTGTTGCTTCGAAAACGTCCTCAAGTTTAGCGTATACACCACCCCACTCTGCAATTTCGGAATCGTGCATGGCCCCTGGAGCATTGATAGCACACATGACGATGACTCCATTTGGTGCGAACACTAGCACGTTGCTGACATAATGCCCATGTGTCCAACCGTTATAAAATGCATTTTGCGGCACAGAATCGCTGGATTCTTCCAGATTCAGCTTGAGACCGTCGGCTACGGCAAAAACGTCGGGAAGTGCAGGGTACTTGGTGGATATAACACTTTGAAAGCTGATTACTTCACTCCTCGTTGGAACCCGCACACCAGCATACTCGTCGTTGGCTAGTACTTTTAGGAGAATTCTTCTTCTACTGAATCGTAGGAAAAGAGAGCAAACCGTGTTTGTGATGCCGAAAAGCATACACAAAACGTATTCAGAGTGTCCGGGTCCAGGCCAATGCCAAAGCTAGACTCATCGCTGCGGTCATGCTGCGTGGTCTCCCGCCAACGTTGACTTCGCGCTGAAGTTGACGGATGCAACCGTCAGTTGAATATGGGGAGTATGAGTCGTAGAGAGGAGCATATCGGATGAGCAGGTAGGCAAAAGTTGCATGGTCGAACCCCGTTAACGTGATCAAGGATTAGTTGCTGCCGGAGTTGAACAAGACAACGAACGGGGACATCGTTGGCGAGACGAGCTTGTCGAGTTACGCGTCGGTCGTGCCGACGACGCGCTTCGGCATCGAGTCGAAGTTGGAATGCTGTGCGTGGCTTACGGTCACGGCGTCGGCGTTGCTTGCGACGGTACCAGAAGGCGAGTAGAGCTGCGTGGTGCATGGCGAGGGGCGATAAAAGTGCAATGACATGGCACAGCTAGACGTGTGAAGCTTACAGGCTGCGGTGTAGACGAACTCTGCGGGTAAAGTCCACTTGAAGTTGATTTGACCCTCTGTTTTGTTTGGTCCATGGGTTTCTGGATACAAAGGTACATATGTACCAAAAGCTCAACCCCCTGGCTCTGGTGATATGATACTTTGGTATTTTGGTGTTTCAGGAGCGACCCATTATAGCAAGATAAGGAGTATCGGCCCTGCATCCGACCAAATACACAGCTTTTGTGCACGACGTGAAGGATTGCGAAGTGAGTTGAAACTCCCGGACACACAATTTTGGCAAGCAGGTTTCGCGTTATGAGAGTTGTCCGGCCCATTCTTCTCTCGTGCCGCATATCCGTGGGAAGCATAAAACGAGCCACCGCATACCTACCATATTTAGTTATATAGTAATGGGGGTGGTACAAAATGGGAATGAGTACTTTCCTACCTCGATCATCAATCACTCCACACAAACTTCTTCATAAAGACTTCGCCCGTCTCCAAAATGGCTCCTTTTTTGGCAACCCCATTATAACTAACCCCCCACAATAACTAAATAAATACGGTATAACTAAACCCCACAACAACTAAATACATACGGTAAAGCGAGCCACCCGTTCAATACAAAAACCAAGATGTCCTCCCCGAAAGAGGTATTTGCGCGCGCATTTTTTAGTGCGTGTCACATCGGAACCAGCGCTAAGCTCACGTATGCTGTGAGCCAAGATCACGGCCTCTTCGCCCCCACTTTCAGATTTCATTTTTTTCACTAGAAGCGGAGCTATGAGCTCTCAATTATGGCCCAAATTGGCCCGCCTAATCTGAGCCAAACGACGAGTGATGTGTGACACATAACGAATGCCTCAATACATGATGTGTCACACACCACGACTACATTCAAAACGTGAGTTATAGTGGGAGTGGCTCGCTTTGTGCTCACGAGCGTGGCGTCGATATCAGGTCTGCATACAATTATCAGGATAATTGAAAAGCGGCCCTTCATACGCTCCCACGGATACTGTATCTACAATAAGGCATTGCATTGAGATTGAACTTCGCAGTGTGACTGACAGACACACCCTGCGAAGCTGAAATTTAGCATTTCTTACATACCATATGGTATGGTAAGGTTTTCCTTAGATCGGCTCATAACGCAAAAATGGGTGACACCACACATCGAGCAGTTATACAGTAGACCATGTGCTCGTGGTCTTACCATCGTCCATTCCTTTTTGAAACCGCCTGCAAATTCAAACCTTTTGAGGGCTTCCTGCGTTTATAGGATTAATAACATACGCATTCGTTTTTGCTTATTTGTAGGCTCCTACAGTATATGTCTGCTGAAAAATCGCAGAAAGGCAAGCGAGGCAGCCCAGGATTTACTAAGGTCCCCCTAGGGGCCCTAACTACATGTGGCCAGTACCATAGCCAGGCATCAACAAGCTAGGCACTTGGTACATAAACAATCCAAAGTACCTAAATGGAGTTTTCAAAATGTCCTTGTTTAAGAGAATGGCTTCAGGCTCGGTTCTATAGTAAATAGTGGTCCATTGATGGTTATGTCGTTGGTAGATGTATTTCTCGGTGCTTTTATCTTATCTAGCGCAGTAGCAACTGGGCTAGAACTACTAGAACCACTCATTCCGTCGTCGCTATAATAACCACTGCCACCACCCTCCTCCCGTTACTTTCGTCACTATGCCTTCAAGCTTCGCGCCAATATAATTCGTATTAGCTCGATCTCCCTCTGCTCTGTGCATTTGGCACGCCAATGAAGCTTTCATACATGACAGCGCATTCCGCGGCAACCGTACCTGCCAAATTATGAGATGGGGCTGGGTCGACCAGGAAACCAATATACCAAAGTAAGTTTTTTTAAATAATAAACTAACTACATGTAACCTGGCAATCGACTTATTATCAAATCTTCGTTACCTTACATTGGCTTGAGGATACCACAGAACGAGCAAGGATCAGCTACACTGTACCTGCGCTCTGTTGCGCATCATGGAATTTATCAGATATTATGAGCTCTCTAGCTTGGTGGACCTGGCATCACCACCACACAGACTGAAATTCTTGATCGACGCAGTGTCGGGACTACCCGTGAATTAGTCCCGGTGTGAGAACGATTCACACTCGGCCCCATGAATATATCTCTTGCCAGGAACACAAACACTGTTGATAGCGACTTGTAGAACACATTCGCTAAATCATATGCTTCACTTGCCATATTAATATATAGATCTTTGTATGGTGCCTAATTCAAGATTTCCAAAGTGCCGATTTTAAGTCCAAATGGGCATTAGGCACAATATCCTAGTTTGTTGATGCCTGACCATAGCCGATTTACACTGTTAGCTGAATCACACCGTACCTAAGTTAGGTTGTGTCCTAGCGATGAGCTATCTTGTGATGGGGTCGCCGGGCCTCTGGCCCTTGTTCAGGCCCTGGTTCAAGTGCTGGCACATGTGCTAAGCTCCAATTACTGAGGCATTTGATTGGCTAACAAAAACCGGTACAATGTACCGTTTTGTTCCCAGAACACCACTTTTCAGAACACTAAAATCTGGTGTTCCAGCGCTGGCACATTTGTGCTAGGAATCAATGAGCAAGGACGAGGCGATTTCCTTCTGCCCTGGCCAATCAATGCTTGGCAGGATACGTGTGCTGCGGGAGCGGTGGATTGCCATCTCCAAGGCGCCCGAATCTCGCTATTGCGGCGTTAGTCCAGGAGACGACAGGTATCTAGGATAGCGCTTTAAACTAATCATATCATTGAGGTCATTGCGCACTTATTCGCATGCTACCATCTCATCAATAGCATAGGGAAATTATGTGACATTGCGGCAACGCTGTGCCTTCATCTCGTGCGAAAACAAAATGAACGGGTGGTCCGCAAACTAATCACTACAGAACCCACTTGGACAAGCCGTAGCACACGTTCTGAAAATACTTGGTCCAAATATGGGTCCTACTCTCACATCTGATATTCTAATAGCGGGAGTCGAACATCTCAAAAACGCCAAAAATAATGAGCAAAACCGAGCCAGAATTCTGAGCAGTAAAGTGTCGAAAAGATGAGCCATTTTCGAGGGGGGGAGTGGCTCGATCCCTCCATTTTTCGGACTTAGTCGAGTGGAGGGAACTTTTCCGCCATCTGTCCCACTACAGATCCCGACCAGTATCTTCAACAAATGATGGTGTGAAACTTTCTAGGGAATTCTGATTATTCAAGAGACATGCGATACCAAAGTTGATACTGAGAACAAGGTAATTTGATGTAGCCCTTTCTAACAGCATTGAATAGCTAGAACGTGTATCACAGGATATTGTACAATAGGATAATTTAGAGGTATTTGTAGAGGAGGGAACAAAGAAAGGAATTGCTTGTCTCTGAAATGAGCAGCTCATTTCAGAGATAAGCCACCTCCGGAGGTGGCTTGTTTCAGAGTTAAGCAAAACGCTGTCGAGATTGTGAGCACGGCCAAACTCAAAACTTGAGCACGTTTTTGGCAATGTTCGACTCCCCATAATAGTTTTTGGTCACGATTTGTGTTACTTTGAACTTTTGGCGGTACGGTACACACAGTGATGCAGACTTCTGTGACACGGAAGCTTGTCGTGCAGTACATGTACACAGCGGACCGAGTCACGCTCAGCAGACAATGCAGTGATCATTCTGACCGGATTCGTCCATCCCAAGATAGGGTTTCGTCGAGCGCGTTCTCCGCATCTTCATTTAGCCAGGACACGTGTAAGAAGTTCCGTTCAGTAAGTGTTTCACGAACCCGTCGTCCACCAGTTCAGCTCTCAGTTTTCAAGCTGCGCACAAGTACTGACGCCAATACATCCACCGGAAACAGCTATGGCTGCCCAACGATTTGTGCTGCTACTGGCTGCTGCCATCCTCCTCGTGGGTAATGCTGCTGCCACACTCAACGGAGTCAGCCAAGCCGTCAGCATCCCTGCAGACGAGAAGCAGTCGGCGCATCGACTGTTGAGGTCTCACAAGTCTGGGAACGTAGCCGACGAAGAAGAAGAAAGATCTTTCGGCAGCGCGAAGGATCCAGACGCGGTGTCCACGAAGCTGGGATTGGCGAGCGTTCGAGGACTGGCTGACAACTTGGACGTCGGACAAAAGTGGTTCAAGGCGATTTTGAAGTTCAGGGCCCCGAAGAAGGCAAGCATGTACTTCCCGGACGAGTACATTTGAGACGACGGCAAACAAAATGTTACTTATCAACCTAAGTACGAATCGCGATTTAGGTGCATAATTGGTAAGCGGGATGTCTTCTCTTTCGTTTGAGCCCCTCCCGAGCTTCTGGTATGAAGAAACGACCGAGAACGAGACCGTCAAAAAATATATGTCCGACTTCAACCCCGAAAGGGAAATTGTATTTTGATGAACTGGTGTAAAATTAGTCAGCGAATCCGACAATGTTGTCCGTTTTAGCTAATTCGAAGCCTAACAGTGTTAGAATCTCACTTTTGTGCCGTCACTTTAAATCACCAGGGGTATATTTTTGATTTTTTTTAGAAAATTTGATACCTGGATGTAAGTAACATTTTCAATGAACTGTGGACATAAGTATCATAATGATCGACTACAACCTTGGGCTGCCTATTCTTGCTCAGCAGGCAGATCCGCAGTAGCTTTGTGCTTCTGTTCTTTTGCGTCTTCTTTGCTGCAGTAGCCCTCTTCTTTGCTGGGTTCTTTTTCGTCGCAACAGCCTCCGTGATACCACGCTGGTCTTGGTTAGCCTTAGCCGCTACGGCCATTGCCGCGCGATGCTCACGTCGTGCTTGTTTCCGTGACTTGGCATCTTCTCCTTCCTGCTCGCTAGGCTTGGCGTAGAGGGGATCGCTCTGAAATTCAGCAGGAACGTAGGGCCTGATGTTGTGGTACATCTGCGCAATTTTCTCGGTGTTGCGGACAGGAGGGGACAGCGTCTCGATATGGTCCGTCATCATCCGCTGCACCTTCCCCTTCGTGGTGAAGATCCCGTCAATTTGACGGCTCAAACTAATCTCTACAGGTTCGCTCTCGGGGCCTTTCTTGCAGACAACGACGCCCGGCTGCGATGCGTCCATCGTGAAAATCTGGAACTTCTGGATGCCGTCAAGTCGTTTGTACAATTAGGTGAGAATAGGTTTGTAGGACTTGAACGCTGAGCTTCCGCGAGGCAGATGCACCGTGATTGAGCTCTTGGACGCCGAACTAACACCCTCTACGAGATGGTCCATCGTCCAACAATCCACTTTGGCCACGTGCTTGCGGATGTGGCCGAAACCACGGTCACAGGAGTTCTTCGTGTGCCCTTTGACGAAGAACTTGTAGTCCACGTACTGTAGAGCTCCCATGTGTACTTGCGCCAATAGAAACTTGATCACGTAGCTGTTTTTGTTCTGCCCTGAGCAGTTGTCGGCGTACACGGTCAGCCGAGTCTTCCCCGCCGGTATGATCTTGGTGCTGATGAAATGAGCCAGCATGGAGTTAATCTGGTCGCTCCCTTTACCGTTCGAAGTCTCGTTGTACAGATAGTTGGTTTGGATTCCTTCGTTCTCGTAAAAGATACCGAAGCCGCTCACAGAGACCAGCGAACAAAAGTACCACTGTGAGAGGGTGTTGGACACGCTCGGAAGTGTCAAGTTCTGGGGAAAATCCATCACGATGACAGCGTGGTTGACATCGGTAGAAGTCTTGTCCGTCTTGTACTCCCGCCTGTCAGCCATCAAACAAAATGTTACTAACATCCAGGTAAATCTGCCGAGTAAATCAAAATGTTTCTTATGTCCGTATACAAAACTTACCGCATTCGACGCGCAGATTCTGTGTGCCGCCCCAGCGCCTCCGTCTTGTCACTGGTTACGCCGCCGCGCATTCCAGCGTGGTAAATGGAGCAGACGTCGCACACGTTACTACGTGGCGACCGAATTCGAATGGTTGGACAGTGAAGCGTCAAAAGCTTCCTCATTGTCGACCGAGCGGTTCACGGACGCGCAAGCCCGCCTCAACAAACTTGTGCATTTCGTCGTAGATGGTATCCCAGGTGAAGTGCGCTGGTAGTAACGTGTACATCTCGCTGCTGTAGTATTTCTGCGTAGTTCCGTCTTTCTTCTTCTGCATCCGCACTCGAACCGGCACAACCTCGCCGACCTCCTCGGCAAACGTCTGGAACCATTTCACCAGCCAAACAACGTTCACTTGAGCTGCATGCGTGTTGAGCCGGTTACCATGCGTCTTGATCGACATGTTACCGTCTCGGATGCGCATCTTGTAGCGCTGCAAGGTAATGGGGACTACTCCATAGCAGAGCGCGAAAGTGGGTCGGCACACATGACCTACGTAGGGGAGGATGTACGGAAACTTCTCACGGTCACCCCGTCCTCTCTTACGCTCAACCGTGGGGGTCTGCATCAACACAGCCAGGAGCGTGTACAAGCTCGTGGTGCGCTCTTGCTTCGTCATCTGGTCCAGCGAACACAGCAAGAACTCCAACTCACGAGCCTTGCCCTTGACGCACTCGTTCTCACACGCGTCCGCATGAATCACCTCAGTCACACGGGCTCGAGGACTCGCGTCATTCAAAAAGATACTAATATCCTCTTCATCTTCGGCTTCACTGCTCGCGCTCTCTGCTGTGAGCGGTTCCTCGTCGTCGCTGCTGTCCTCGTTCACCTCACTCTCACTGGTAGCAGTGGGATCGACACCACAGACAGAATCGTCGGCAGAATCAGGCTCTTCGTCTGCTTCGCGACGCCGAGCAGCAAGGGGTGCCGTGGCCGACAGAGTCAGCGCCGTGGAGGGGGACGTTGTGGCCGGCGGAGTCAGCGCCTGGGAGGGCGATGTCGTGGCTGGCGGACCCGACGTCGCGGCTGGCGGACCCGACGTCGCGGCTGGCGGACTCGGAGCCGTGGCTGGCGGGCTTGGCGCCGAGGTGGCCGGTGGCGAGGCTGAGAGAGGCAACGCTGGAGGTTGCGCAGGCTGTGCAGTTGGCGCTGCAGCGCGCGAGGTCGGTGCTGTCGGCGTCGTGGGTGGTGTCTGCATGGCTGTAGGTAGTGGTCCGAGTGGCTTTTCGAAATGGTATCCGTGCCGATACACCCCCTTCAAATTTTTGAAAATCAAAACTCCTCGTTTTCTCACGACTTCGTTTAGTTACGATTTTGAACCTGGCCTCTTTTAAGGCGATTATCTCGATAACTCTAAATGGTGGATAAGTAACATTTTTGTTGCCGTTGTCTCATTTACAGTACACTGCTAAAGACTCACCCGGAGGGAGACATTGCGCTGTTTTTCCAGTCCCTCAAACAACGCGCGAACGTGAAGCCTCTAGCAAAGTCGCTGCAGAAGTATCAGTTCCAGTTATGGTCGAACAGTAGGTACGATCAGGCTCGCGTTGAATCACTGCTGGGTGTCTCGTTGGCGTCATTGTCGACTTCTGACCCGCGAGCGAAGATCGTGATGAAGTACGTTCTGTACAATGTCGGCGGATACATGCGCCACATTTATTGAGACACCTACAGGTAGGTGATCATTTACTGATCTCAATATACAAAATTTTTGTAATCCTGTCTTTTGATGGGAACCACAAATTTAGGACCACCAGGTTTTTTTGTATGAAAATTAGTCCCAAATACTCCTCCGTATTAACATTTGATCCCCACCACTTATAACAAAAATGCTCCGTCGCGCTCGAGTGGCTCGGAGTCTCCAGCCGCGGCGCCGCCTCGCTGCCGCATCAATCTCCACGAGCGCGCGCCCGGGCTCGCTACTCGCCTACGGCGCGCGCATCCTGCGCTGCACTGACCCGCTCGAGAAGGTCTCTCTAACCTTCGAGTGCCAAAACCGGTGGAACTCGGACCATTTACCAGTATTTTGCGAAGCGCAATGGGGCTCCCACTTCCCTCCAGACCTCCCAGCGCGAGGCCCCAAACCGGAACTTTTACCGCCCAAGCAGATGCCGAGTATGAAGCAACTGCAGACTCAAGCCAGTATACCGGTAATTATGCTCCACGCCCTGGCGCACATCGAGTTGGGCGCCATCGACAATTACTGGGACACAATTGTGCGCTTCGACCCGGTGCAGCACCAGCTACCGAAAGAGTTTTACGACGATTTCCTCAAAGTGGCGGCGGACGAGGCGAGACATTTCAAAATGGTCGACGACAGATTAAGGGAATTGGGCTCCGAATACGGGGCATTGCCCGCTACGAGGGCTTTATTGGAACACGCCGCCAACACTGCGGCAGATTTGGCCGCGAGGATCGCAGTGGTGCCGTTGGTGCAAGAGGCGAGGGGCTTGGACTCCGGCGACCGACTCATCCATCGGATCAAGTCCATGGGGGACAAGGCCTCGGCCAAAGTGGTGGAGCAGATTGTCTGGGAGGAGCGGCAGCACGTGCGGTGCGGCATCAAGTGGTTCAAGCATATTGCAAAAGTGCAGAACAGGGAGAAGGACCAAGTTGCGTATTTTCAGGAACTTGTGCTGCAGTTTTTCCCCGACGGATTACCGGGACCATTCGATGTTGAAGCGAGACTTGCATCAGATATGAGCACGGAATGGTACCAACCGCTGGAGAGTAAGGTGGCGCACTCGTATCCACCTCGGAATTCCAGCAGTGAATCAGAAGAGATGAAGAAGAGCGACGTTGAAGAGCAGAGTGCGAGTGTGGCAGCGTTTGCAGCCAGCAAGAAGAAGGTGATCTTGGCGGGGTCGGTGTGGCCCGAACGCACCAGTTCGGCGGCTGGAGTTCGTAGCGCGGATATTATCAGTGTGCTGCAAGAACGGGGATTTCAAGTGCTCTGTGTGTCTCCGAGCCGGCTGAATGATCACACGGCTCGACTGGAAGAGGAGCAGGGGGTGCGCAGCATGCAGGCGGACGCCAATACGGATGCGTTCCAGAATCTGCTGCTTGAAACGATGCCCCAGCTCGTGGTCTTTGATCGATTCATTGCCGAAGAGATGTACGGATGGCAAGCGAAGAAGTACGCGCCAGAAGCACTACGCGTGCTCGATCTGCAGGACGTGCACTTTGTACGTAAAGCTCGGGAGTTTGCGGTCAAGAAGCAAGGCGTGGGGTTTGAGGATACGCTGGATGGTCAGCGATTGGACATCGCTCCGGTCGAAAAGATTGCCATTCGCGAACTTGCGTCCATCCACCGCTCAGACCTTACGCTGTACGTGTCAGACTTCGAGCGCGACCTGCTGATCTCGCGCTTCCAGGTTCCTGATTCGGGTTTGGAGCGCTGCGACTTTTTCTATCCAGAAATTGGTTCGACGACTTTAAAGTCGTTTGATGAACGAAAGGATATTGCTTTCATTGGTAGCTTCAAGCACGCACCCAACGTCGACGCCGTCGAGTGGACCAAGAAAACTCTCCTACCGCTGTTTCGCAACATTGGCGGGGAAGCTGAGGTGCATATTTACGGCTCCTACGGCGAGTCCAAGCGCTTTGCAATGCTGGACGACCCGACACAAGGCTTCCGGATGAAGGGCTTTGCGCCAGATGCACACGACACGCTGAGTCAGTACCGCCTGAGCATTGCGCCGCTTAGATTTGGTGCTGGTATCAAGGGTAAGATCGCGGACAGTTGGTTTGTTGGTACGCCCTGCGTGAGCACTTCGATCGGCTCCGAGGGTATGACTCTGGAGAATATGCCGTGGGGTGGAGCTGTAGCCGACGACCCGCAGGCGTTCGTTACCGATATGCAGCGACTGTACAACGATGAGCCCCACTGGAATACTGCGAGAGATGCGGGTGTTGTAGCATGCTCGGAACGATACGATCGCTCGCGCAATGCTGATAGACTGATGGAGCGTGTGGAACGTGCTATGAGTGAGAAGCACGCGCTTCGTGAGAATAACTGGATGGGGCGCATTCTCTGGTCCGAGAAGTTCCGTGCGACTGAGTACATGTCGAGGTACATTCGCGCGAAAAACGGGGCTGAATAGATGCTTCGCTTTTGTTGTACACAAAGTCTGTTCGTGTGAATTAGTTTTTTTTTTGGAGGGGGGGGGGGGCAAAGTAATCCAGAGATGAAAAAAATGAAGACCCCCTCAAGCGGTGCGAGGGCAACGTCTGTGAGAAGACTGCTGCAGTCTTACACGCCAGAAGCAGGATAGGAAGCTTTTCCTTACGGGGATCCAAAAACAACGAACAACAAAGCTGAATTGGGGGTGCAATTACTGCCAAGTAACGTAGAAACCAATAGGGCGATGGAGTTGGCTATCGTCGGGGATAGGAATCTCATCCTGACGTTCACAAGGAAAAAATCGCCGCGAAAACCAGCCCTACAACTGATCTACTGTACACCCAGTGTAGACGACCGGCGGGCAAGCTCAAAGTCAAGGACTGGAGTCATCTCTACCGCGCATTCAATAAGACAGCAGAGCGATAAGCCATCCGAAGAACGATCAGCCATCGCAGCGCTTAACAGAACTAATTCGAGGGATATGGCACATCGGATCGAGAACCACCAGAAAATACAACAACGTCCTTCAAACTGGGTCCGGAGACGAACATCGCTCTCATGCATATTACAGTGGTCATGGTATTCTATCACCAAGGTTTACATACTTAATGCAGTGGTATTAATACGTCTCCTTCTAGCTCATCTCCCATGCACCAATAACTTCTACAGCTACTTAAATACAGCGATACACGGCGAGTTACAACAAGTACTAGTAGTTCTACAGTGGTAGTACTGCTAGTAGTATTTTAATTGCAAGATTACCTCCTGACGGAGATCCCTCCATTTGTTGTCTTCTGCGGCCCCGACCTGACAGGTCAAGCCTGGTGACCCCTCAAACGACGCCCACCCTCGTCCCTGCGGTACCTGCCTCCGTGCGCCAGTTGCAACTTCGGGTTGTCGATCTGGCCCACGTGGAGGTAGCACAAATTCCCGTAGGTTACACCGTCACTTCGCGGAAGGTTTGAGTTCACGCAAGTAATGTAGGCGGACGTGTCGGCGATCAGGAACGAGGCGAGTACGGACGCAATGGCGAACTTCATGGCTTCGGACTTTAGGCGTGTGGTGGGAGGCTTTCGATGCGGCGAGGCTCTCGGCAGGTTTGCTGCAGTGGGTTGCTGGTAAAACGCAAAGTGAATAGGAGTGTCGGTTGGTGAATCTAGCTTTGACTAGAGAAAAGGTAACACAACAGTTGTTGCAGCCAATCTCAAGCACAATCACGGGAATCTTCACAACAGCCTCTTGCTCCACAAGCTCACATGGATTACGGTGATGCCCACTTCCGTCACCACGAGTTGTAATCAGGCACAGTCTTCTTCGTAAAATACATGTACTGGCGTTCATCATGCAAGTTGCACGATGAGTGCAAGTGATGAAGCGCAACTTGTTCACAGTGCATCACAAAAAAGAGCAAAAGCGTGTAATCTGGGCTCCCACGATGAGACCCCCCGGACACTTCAGCCACTGGGGCCTAGCGCCACCGCTCTGCTTTTCCCGTCTGCGCTGCGCGAAGCTCCTAAAGCTGCAGGGGTGTTGGGCTGCTACTCCTCCCAACATCGGCAATGAGAGGCTCTTTCAGGTCTGAGCTGGAGTTACGGAAGGGCTCGTACATGTAGCTGGAGCACCAACGACACCAATTGCGAAGCACGAGCGGGAGGAATTATCACGATGGTAAGGCGATGATAATACGCATGGATCTCTTTTTCAGATAGCTTCGCCTTCAAGACCCTACAATTATTTCGTGAAGGCTTACCGCTTCTGGTGGTTGATAAAGCGCAACGCTGCTAGCGCTAGAAGTCGAAGGGCGACGACCCAGACTACAACAATGGCAAAGTTTGACCAGATCTCGCTGTGCTTTACCTCGAAAACGCTCTCCAGATATTCCTTCACAGTGAAGTCTTCGGGTAAACTTGGTGGCGAGTTCGACATGCGCTGGCAACCAAGCTGACTACCGTCGCCATCGCTAGGGCAGCCACCGAAGACAATTGCAGACAAGCTGGCAAACGTTCGCTTGTGCGGGACGAGGTGGTGTAGCCACTGGTAACCCTTAGGGATTGCTCCGGCTGGAGGATTGAAGCCCGTGAACAATGTGCATGTGGAGCCGATAATAACCGTGAAGACTGACGCCACTTCGATGCTGGGGAGCGCGTAGGCCAGGAGCTGTCCGAAGTACGCTTGGACCAACACAAGTGCCGATAGGTTGAGCCAGTACGCGAAAAACTCGTAGACCCCAGTGAAGCCGACCATGGGGAAGTAAAGGGCCAAAAAGACCAAGCTCGCTCCAAAGCAGTACGGAATCTCGACCAGCGTTGACACCACGAAGTACCAAAAGGTGCTATAGCTTTCACACGATCGCTCGCGGTAGTATGAAGCCCTCTCTCGGTATGTGATCGGTAACACGGCATTAAAGGTGATGTACGTGATGAAGGAGGTTGTCATGTACGTCGTGCCCAGCCCCGAGTTGACGCCCTGGTACGAGGAAAATTCTTCGCCGATGAAGGTAATGCCGAAAATCAAGCCTAGCACCACCGCCACGATGAAGCGCGTCAAATTGTACGACGCAGTCCTCCAGTACAGGTCGAAGAAGCGCTTGATCAAGAACTTGGCCTGCGTCAGGTTGCCGGCTGCGCGCTTCTTGCCAAATACGAGTGCTGGTACATTCGGCGAAGGTCGAGTCACTCCCTCACGCTCCAAGTTCGCTTCGAGTTGCTGAGCTTGGACACTTGACTTGAAAATGTGTACGAAGTCGGTCTTGTTGCCGTTGTCGTTGCCCACTCCTGCGCCGATGACCCCCAGCATCCACGTCGCTGGGTTGTAGTCTTTCTCCAGCTTCGCCACACCGTCGATGAACTCGAAGTACTCGACCAGCTTGGTCGCCTTCTCGCCTAGATCCCCAAAGAAGACCATCTCTCCACCGCGCTTTAGCAGCAACAGACTATCAAACATTTCGAACACCACAGCCGACGGTCGGCTGGTGGATCGTGCACACAACGGTGCGCCCCGTGTCCGCCACCTTGCGCACGCCGTCCATGATGAGCTTGGCCGATCGAGCGTCTAAGCCGCTCGTGGGCTCGTCCAGGAACAGCACGCTGGGCTGCGCCGCCAGCTCCACGCCGATGGTCAGGCGCTTCATCTGCTCCGTGGAGCTGCCGCGGATGATCTGGTCGGCGATCGGGTGCAAGTCCAGCAGCTCGAGGCACTCGTTCACCGAGTCGTACTTCTGGCTGTCAGGCACGTCGGCACCTTGGCGCAGGAAGGCACTAAACATCAGCGCCTCACGGAACGTTGACGCGTCGGAGTGGATGTCCATCTGCTCGCAGTAGCCCGTGGCTCGACGAATAGCGAGATCCGTGGCAGGATACCCATTCAGCATGATGTCGCCTCGGATTGTCCCCCCAGTCTTCCGTCCAGCGATGACGTCCATGAGCGTCGTCTTACCAGCGCCGGAAGACCCCATCAGCGCAGTGATCGTGCCTGGTAGGGCAAACCCACTCACACCCTTGAGCAGATCAATGCTGGACTTGGCGTTCGTCGGATCTGGCACGGAGTACCACAAGTCTTTGAAGGCCAGCGTCACAGGAACGAAGTTATGCTTGTGTGCTTGATCATCTTTAACCCCAACCCATCACGTCCGAGCCAAAGTGTGAAGAATCAGTCTTCGGAGTGTGCGCCAGAACGTAGTTTTCCTTGACCGCGTTGTCCTTTGAGCTCAGTGTCAAGGTTGGAGGGCTTTCTACGCACCAGTATTCCAGCACGAACAACGCCATAACCATGAAAACCACATACGCAGCGACCAGATACACGAGGCCAAGCCACAGCCAGTACTTCTCCGTCTGAACATCAAACAAGCTCAGCGAGTACTCGCCCATCGTTATCCCGTACCTCTCACAATAGTTCACATCCCGGTAAGTGCACACATCGAACGCCGTATCCGTGTACTGATTGACAGCAATCGCGCGAATGCCCCACGTCAGCGGACTGATCCAATAGATCCAGGAGAGGTACACTGGAATCTCGCCCTTGGTGATCACGAAGCCTGAGTAGATGGAGAACAGCAGATCCGAGAGCAACGAGATAGCGTTGGCCACGTTCAAATCGGGGCAAATCACCGCTAAGAAGAAGAACCAGGCGCCAAAGACCATATTCGTGAGAAAGAGCAGCAACTCGAACAGCAAGAAGCCTTGAGCCGAGGCGACGAAGCCGCACATCCAGTACATGATGGAGCCAAAGATCAACGTCTCGACCACGGCCAGCGGGATTTGACTCGTCGAGGTTGCCAGGACAAACGACGAAGTGCGGAAGAAGTTTGCGCGGCGCTGCTTCTTGAACACGTCTCGAATGGCGACAAACGCCGGCACTTGGGCGGACTGGCCGATCATCACAAAGCCAGTGACGACGTATCCGATGCCCATAACGAGCTGCGAGTCGACTTCGTCGAACTGGAAAAATGTGCTTGCGTTCAGCAGCCCCAGTGCGAGTGACATCACGATCCGACTGACGATAAGCACTCGATCGCGCGAAAGGAGCGTTAGCTGGCGTCGAGCGAGCGTCCCAGCACTGCTCCAGAAACTCTGGTTGAACTCCGGCATCGCTTCAATACGCTCCGAAGTGTGCACCTCTCGGGACGCACTCAACGCGTCGTGGATTCCGGTAAGCATCCATCCATGGATCTCCGAGTTCTCGAACGCCTTCGCAAACTCATCCGCTGTTCTCGGAGCGACCTTCACCTCATATTGGTGCTGCTTGCTGGTCCCAAGATCCACTAAAAAGTCGGCGACGTCGCGCTGCGGAGGGCAGTTGAAGCCGAGAGCCTCAAAGTAGCCCAAAACCGCACTCCGCGGTCCATGGTGCATGACATACCCGTCGTTCAGTAACATCACGTCGTCAAACAGAGCAAACACTTCGGGTGGCGGTTGCAACAGAGAGATCACCACGGTTTTACCGAACGATTTGGCCAGACTGCGCTGTGTCGAAATGATGTCGAACGTCGTGGCGCTGTCCAGTCCCGTGCTGATCTCGTCCATCATGAGCACGAGCTTGTTGCCGAACGCCATCTCGCCCGTCGTCACGCGCTTGCGCTCGCCACCGGAAACTCCACGCAACATTTCGTCGCCCAGGACGGTGTTCTGGCAGTTCTCCAGACCTAATTGGTGAATGACAATGTCCGAGTGGTGCTCGTTCAGGGCTCGAACCGCGTCCAGCGCAGTCTGGTTCTCTTCAGATGACCCGTGAACGCTCTGCTCCTCATCAAACTTGGACAGAACTCCACCGCTGCAGGCGTGCGCAAACTCAAGCGTCTCCTTGACCGTGAGCGTCGGATAGTGAACGTCGTGTTGACCCACGTACGACACAAACTCCGGTAGTTTCTTCCTCAGCTCATGTTGCTCCTTACCGCTGTACGTCACATTCCCGTCCACCGTGATGTTGCTGGTTATCGGGAAACGTCCGCTCAGAACCTTCATCAACGCCGACTTGCCCGATCCAGGCTGCCCCAGTACGAGCGTCATGGTACCGGGCTTGAACGTGCCAGTCACATTGCGGAGGATCGGCTTCTTGACCACGTGCTTCTTGGCGGTCGCTCGTAGCAGCGCGCTCTTGACGACGTTGGAGATCGTGGGGAGCTCCGTCTCGAGTTGCGTTGCGTCTTTCACGACGATATCAGCCGAGAGGGATAAATTTTCGAAGGTGACTTCTATCCGAGGGAGTGGATTGCCAAGAGTGCGTTGTGTTGAAGCCGCAACGTGATCGTGGAGAGCTTGGGACCCCTTGGCCAGCATCGCTTCACTGGCAGCACTGCGATCCCCTATCGTCGACGATTGTGACGTCTGCATCAGTCGACGGAATATTTTTTACGTTGTGGAGCGACTTGGGGTCTTGAATCAAGGAGATCCGGGAGAACGGCTGGAAATTCGTGAATGCGTACGCATGAAGTGGGGGTAGCAGGCAGCAATACCGCAAGACACGCCTGGTGCGGTTATACGACCTCATCTCATCCAGCGATTGGAAGTGCTGGGTTAGCTAAAATGGTTACTCCTCCTATGTACGATGTTTAGGAAGGCAACAGTTCGGGACAATTTTTACAATTCAAAACAATTTTCAATTATTATACTAAGTAATAACTAAATTCAGTAGTGGAGTTTACTACGTACACAGCAGACGAGGATTTGCTATCTTTTATAATTAGTGGTTGAATAGTAGTAGCCACATTATACGTTGTGTAAGTGCCCCGAAACATCACTATTTCCAGTGGACCGGTTGGCGTTGATCTGTCGCGGCCATGTTGTATAGATTTCGTACAGATTTCCATAAAACGGCCACATCTGGACAAGTTGTCGCCAAGATCAACTCAACAGATTTTCGCGAGCCCGTCCTCAAGCACCTACATCACCGGCAGAGGCAGGCAATGAGGGGAGATATGTACCGAACCCGAGGTACGGCATCGAGCTGCATTTGTGCTGCAGGAATGACGCTGTATTCAGGGTTAGCATCGCGGCCACTCTTGCTGGTGCTATCGCAATCTTGCGATAAGTGCCCAACCGCTTCAACTTCAAAGTGTGCAAGTAGCAAATTAATCCATCTACTGTAGAGACCAGTTGGGCGGCTCAACCTGAGATTTGTACAAGAACTTTTACAAGACATGAAATATGTCGGAATCTAGTAAATTACCTTATTTTAAACTATCAGCAGTCAACAGCTACTGAGATGCAAACGCAGCTGCAAATGTAGCAACAACCACGATATATTATCGAGACTCGACAATCGAGTTATTGCAGCTACACGGAGTGCGTCCGTCTCATCACGCGACTTTCGCCACAGCTTCCTTAAGCGCGTCTTGCGGTTTGTTACTCTCAAACAAGGCCTTCACTTTCTTCAAGTCAGCACCCTTAGCTTCCGCATACTGCAGCGTATACGTCTTCAAGCTGTGGTAGTATGGAGCCTCCTTGAAATACTTCATCGTCTTGGCGAGTGAGAGGCGGATAGCCTCGTTCTCCAAAATGGTATGTCCGTTGTGCAGCTTGTTCAAGTCGCTTGGCTTCACGTTGCGCGCCATCATCCTGTCGAACAGTTCAGTCTGCAGATTCTTAGCCACGGGTTCCAGCTCAGGGCGCTTGAGCGATTGAAAGACTGTTGCCAGCTTGAGATCGGACGGTTCTTTCTCTTTCAGCAAAGAGAGCGCTTGGCGGTAGTAAGCCGAGTCGTCCAGCTTCTGGATATACGCGAGCCACTGACGGAGTGGCCCGTGAGTTGATTCAATCGTGTCAACGCCTAAAAGCTTGTAGATTTTCTCTGGCTTGACACGGGATTCCGCCCACGCCTTGATCAACGGTGCATGACTCGATGAAAAGCGCCCGGACAGCCAAGCCTGCATGCTTTCCGCGAAGGCCTTCTCGTCGGGGACGCTATGGAGCCGAATCGACATGTCCGTCAACTTCTCAACGGAAATTTTGCGCTCCCGAATTAACGTCTCAACGGCGTTGAGGGCTAGCCGATCGGGGGCGATCCCGTTCTTAACACCCAGGTCCTTCACCCACCGTAGGAAGTCGTCGGTATTCTCAAGCATCTTGTTGTTCTCAAGCGTCTTGGCAATCTCGAGTTTCTTGGCGTTCTCGAGATTCTTGTAATTCTCGAGCTTCTTGATAGTCGCAAGCCTCTTGTTCTTCTCAAGCATCTTGATGTTCTCGAGCTTCTTGGTTTGCTTCGTCTTTTTACCCAAAGCGAGTACCTTGTTTTTCAGCTTCTTCAAAGATGCACTAGTCTTCTCGGCAACAGCCGACAGCCCCGTTCTCTCTTCTTGGACGCCATACACCTCTGCGTCCTTGAGCGATCTCAACAGCCTTGCCGTTAACAGCTTCCCGGGTGCACGGTTCCTGGCAGACGCAACAACGCCAGTAGTGGCAATGAAGGCAATGCTGAGGACCAGCAGCGCGACGAATGGACCGCGCATACTGGGGGCCGACGGCTTTTCTTCTTGATGTTGTTCTTGTGGGTCTGCGAGAGAATTGCGGAATGCCAAACCAAGCGCACTCAAAAGTCTGATTACTGTCATCCTCCCGTAAACCGAACTTGGCTATTTTTTTGGATGTGCAGTCTGCATTATCTCCCAAATGGTTTTTCAGCCAGTAAAACCGCAAGTGCCGGTCCGGTATCCGGATACGCTTAGTAAATATGAATGCAGCCACTAGCCTTACTCATTAGCCGAGCAAGGCGGGCTCTAGTCACAGCAATTGCAGAGTATTCATATCGGCTTGGAGAGAATGTACGTAGGTAGCTTTATTTTTTAACTTAAAAGTTGCCTTCCGAACCTTGAGATTTTATTGTGAATTCAAGTACCGGATATAAAGCCGACTTTATATATGCAAGTTCAAAAACACAAAGTTTATCATCCAACTGGTTTTGGTTCAGCAAGACCGCAAGTAGCGTGGCGGTCTGGAGAGAGGCGCCTTATTGGTAGAGGAAGCCGGCTCTGATCACAACGACCTCACTCAGAAAGATTCGGCGAGAATGCCTTATTGCATGTTAGGCTTTATCTACGTTTCAGTTGGTGTTGCCCTCCACATTTTCTCACTAAAATTCAAAAACCAATTGGTAAATCCTGCAGCGGCATCAACCGCAGCCTTTAGATCGTTGTTTTTCAACAGCATTTTGACCTGTTTCAGCGCCGCATCTCCACCCTTAGCCGCCGCAAAGTACAAGGTAAAAGTCTCCACCGCCCGGTATCTGATGTCTTCCTTTTTGAGCAGCGATAGGGGAGTGTCGATCATCATCTCGAAGCGTGCCGGCGTGGCGTTCATGTCGATCAGTCGCTGGAACGCGTTGCACTGGAGGTTCTCCGCAAGCATCGTCACAATCAAATTTGAGTCTTGCTTGAGCAATTGCTCTTTGACCGACTGGAAGAGGGTCACTTGATCCAGGTAGGGAACTTTCTTGTTCAACATGGTGCCAATTTGAAGATCGGTGATTGCATCGTCCCCCATTTTGACCCTGTACTTCTCAATGTACCACAGCCACTGACGGAACGAGGTGCTTGTAGCCATAGCCTCCTCTCCTGGCTGTCCAATTCGTAAGATTCGGTAAACCTCTTCCGGTTTGACTCCAGATTTTGCCCACGCACTGTTCATCGCAGTACGACTGGCTGGCGAAAATATCGAAAGCGACTTCTCCATTTCTTCCGCGAATTTCCTTCTCTCTGGAATGCGTCGAAGTCACTCGAAGAGACTCGCGATCTCTTTATCGGACTTGGTGTTTTTCAGCATGTTCATAATGTAGAAATCCGGGAACGAGGAGCCCCCTTCCCACTTCGCTCTGTAGTCATCCACGTACTTGAGCCACTCGAGGAACATGGGGTTGTTCTCGAGCTGCGCGCCCCGGAGCTTGTACGTCTCGAACATTTTTTTTTTCGGACTAATATCAAGCTTGATCGACGTTTTGACCGCCCACTTTGCAGCCGCTTACTTCACAGCCTCCAGTGGCTGTCCGAGGGCGATTCTCTCTTCCTCGCCACTCTTCACTGGTGCTGCAGCGATTGAGCTCATCGCTCTTGCGGCAGTATCGGCCTTAGGAAAGTCGGCTTGGTCATACTTCAGAAAAGAGTACGAAGAAACAGCACCGGCGCACAGTAGGAGCACATGGCTGGCGGCCAGTAGCGCGACGAAAGCCTTCTGCATGCTGGCGTTGGGGTACTTTTCGTGTTGGACGGTCTTCTTGCGAACAAGCGGGGAAACTCCGAAGTGTGCTAATGTAATAATGCAAGCCTAGTAAGAAAACGGATTGGTGTCCTCAGACCCGTAAACAGTGTTTTGGATTGCTGGACAGCACAGCGTTAGGATTATCTTGCAGATACAGCAGGCCATAGACGATTATGGGCTTAGAGCTCGTAAGCAGTCAGCCTGAAATCACTGCTTATTAGCAGACTAGTGTACACACGAGCATTCGGCAATAATGCAGCGTCTTTAGCGGGAAATGAGGAGTACATTCGGAATTGCCAACCACTCTGTGTAGTACTTATATGCGACGGTCGAGGATGATCTAGCATTCGGTAGAGTGTTAAGCTCCGCAGCGGGCATGTTCTACTCTGCAACTGCGTTCTCTCCTCTCACTCGAGCGGTATACTTGGCATAGTCCTCACAGATACTCCTCCCTCGACTGTTCGAAACACCACCCGGGGCGTTTGGAATCGTGCCTTAGATCTTCCAAGCGAGGCAAACAGCGTAGCCACCTCTTCTTCCGTCCTCTTCGATGCCAAAAAGGCGTAGACATCCTTGGCCGTGAAGTGGTATGCGCCTAGTGCATCCTGGCAAAGCTTGACGTACTTGAACCACTGGAATCGGCAGCTTCACGTCCGCCGCGCCTAGCAGTGAAAGTCTGAAAACTTCCCTCAGGTTGATTTGAGCCGTCAGCCAAATCTTGTTAGCGAGAGTGAGCTGATGGGTTAAGCTCCAACGCCATCATCGCGAGCCTCGATGGTACCGGAATGGAGCTCCTCTCTTTCGTCCCTCTCGTTGTTTTAGGCACCGATCTCTTCAGAATCTTCAGCCTCGTACGATCTCAAGAACCTCTGCGCCGATGTTTCGTGGACAGCGATGGAGGGGGAAATTGTTGGGTCGGAGCGATCGGCTTCGAGTCGATGGATCGGTGGGGTGCTAACACTGCATCGATGACCGCGAAGAGGGCAGCGAGGGTCAACAGTGTGGTGTGGCGCATACTCATGCGCTGCTGTCCTGGAGCTTGGTGGGGATTGGAGCTGGAGGGCGAATTGAAAAGTGAGGAGGTGCCGGGGAGAGCAGCCTCCACTCTTCCACTTGCACCGTCATAATCTCCAAACAGGTTCAACGTAAACCTCGAACAAGTGTAGTCATTCTCTCGAGTGGTTCTCCCTAGCCGGAGTTCTGTTACTATAGACTAAGGGATACCCGGAGGTTGGAGCCGTGATTCGCGAAAAATATAGATTTAGTGAAGTCACTTGGATTTCTGTCCAATAGTATTGAAAAGGAGCAACAAAACCCTGCGTATCCATCCACACACGGCAGCATTTTCTTACAATAACTATGTCTGAAAATGAGACTCAATGGCTCGCGTTGGCCTAGACATATCTCTGGCCACAGGATAACTTTTTATTATTATTATACAAGGCTTACAGTTAAAGGACATCAAGATCGCCCTTGAAGGCCACTACACTGAAGATCGTCTCATGGAAATGTAGCCATGTTGGTGCATAGTGTCGTCGGCGCCACCTGTTCCGGCAAGTGACAGGCCGCCAGCTCAATTCAACATTTGGTGATCCAGTAGTCGGGGAACGGACTCGTTGGCCGTAACGCACCAGCGGCAAGGCAAGGCAAGGGCGAGAGCTGCATGGATGGAGGTGGCCAAGTTGCGCCAAGACCTGACCCAATGCTGGCTGGCTGAGGCGCTGGTGCAAGTGCTGGAGCGAGGGGCCACACACCCCATTGGACTGGACAACGTCGCGTTGATCTCGTTGGGCGACGCAGCCGTTGCGGGGCAAGGAGTGGTGCTGTCCAAGTTACTGAGTGGCTTCTTGCGGCAGAACGGGACGCTGGCAACTTCCACCGCTGTGTGCTACAGCCATGTGAAGGATGTCCATGAGCTGCAAGTTTGGACCACCAATGGACGTATCAACCGCGCGAGTGGGACGTTGGTCGTCATTTATGCGCCGTGTGAGGAGGACCAAGTTGCAGCGGATATTGTGAGGGGGTTAAATTGTTTGGAGAGAGGAGCGGTGCTGGTACTGCACAACCCGGTGGGGCTTTTGGGGTTGGAGGCAAGCAGCAGGGCGACGAGTTCTACTTCCTCGAACTATTACCACCTCGAACCTGCTGCATCTGAGGATTGGGGGAGGATGCTCAAGTTTGTCGCTCAGCCGTTGGATTGCCTGCGGGATCAATGTGGTTGGCACTTTGTGATGGAGATCGTTCAATCTACACAAACGGCGGGATGTGGGGGTGGGGCTTCTTTTGGAGAAGCGCGAGCGACCATGTTTTCGGCGATAAACCAGTTGCCATTCCAGCTTCTGCTGCTTGTTTTGCGATGGAGCCACTTCCACCCGGAGATCGTGCGCGCTTGTGCTAAGAAGCTTCGAAGACAAACGCGACTTATCCCTCAAGCACGCGTGTGGCAGGAACTTGCGGAGCTACGAGAGCGAGAAAGTAAATTGTGGACTGGACTGTACCCGAACACCGACCAGCAAAGGCAGACGGAATCACCGGAGTACTCAAAGCAAGAACAAACACCGTCCCTCTTGTGCACGATGTCTCAGCCTCAAGCAGAGTCATCAAAGCTCACTCGGCTATCTGAGTGCTGTCTGTGGGATACACAAAAGCAATTTTACAAGGATCAAGGGATTCGGGCGTGGAGTTCTGGCGCTATCCCCTTTGGTGTGTCGAGTAGCTCCTTCCTGGCTGCATCTTACGCGCGTGTTGTGGTCGACTTTCTGCTAAGCAACGCTGATCACGTTAAACCTTCAGTTAAAAACAATGGTCGGCCGAACTGCTTCGTGTGGGAGGCAGCCAGCGGCTCATGCAAGTTCCTGCACTCGTTCATGTCGCACTTTACGGATCTCGTGGAGGATAACGATGAGTTTAGAAGACGAGGGTTGGTACCGCTCGTCGTGGCCACGGACTTGAGCAAACAAGTGCTGAGTTCTCGTCGGCAGATGGCTTGCTTTCGCCCGTTCATTGAGCGCGGTCAGCTGGACTTTGCCATCTTTGACACGCACGAGTTTATCAGTGGAAGTTCTTCGAAAAAGACGCTGGAGTTGGTACATGCAGGGCGACAGTGGCGTGTCGGCAGTGACGGTCCCGTTGCGTTGATAGGCAACTACTTCCTGGATTCGCTCCGTGCTGACGTATTTGCCGTAGCCATTCAACAAGATAGTCCAGCGAGCATTGGCTCAAGTTCCAACGGCGGTAGTTCAAGTGAGCGCGTCGTGATTCAGGCAGCTCTACTGGATAGCGACACATCAAGTATCGCTGACATGGACATTTGCCTTCAGCCTATTGAAGATCCAAGCACACGAGCAGTTTATGAAGACAGTCGACTGAATGCCACGCTCGTCCAAGTACTAAACCAATTCCGATCTCGTGCTGGTACTGAACCGGTCTCATCAACCGGACTGGTCCTGTTTCCTGTTGAAGCGTTTGAGTTTTTCCTCACGCTATTTGATCGTGGGAGCGAGTCGGAAGCCTTTCCCATTGCCGTGTTGGCTGGAGACGCGCGCTTTTCGTTCCGAGACGCCATCTCAAGCGCGTTCATCACAACAAAACCCGCTGAAGATGGCTCAACTGAACAGATCAGTCTCGAGCTACCGCAGCTTTCTCCTCACCCAGACTGTTTCTGCCTTCCTGTAGACTTTGAGATCTTCAAGCTCTTCATTGAGCACCTCGGCCGAAGTAATTCCGACATTACTGCGAGCTCGGAGCTTGTTTCCGCACCGGCAAGTGATACCTTTGACGTGTTTTTCGCCACGATCGAGCCACAGAAAACTGCAGACAGGTCGATCACAAACCCGTTGGTCGCCAGCTTTAAGCACCAGTTTTCGCGCTTCACTCCGGGAGACTGCGACTTATTGTGGGGCATGATGAGCTTCGACGACGGCGCGCGGTGCTTTTCTACCGATACACTACTAGCACTGCTCGCCCAAACGGGCTGGGACTTCGATTTGTTCGTTGTGTTAAAGTGGGAGCTGCTGAACCGGTTGAGGCGACAAGAGGGCAATAGCTCAACAGAGAAGAAGCACTATCAGCAACTCGTGGTCGAAGCAGGCACAAAATCCTGGAGGACATTTTACCACATGGAGCAACAAAGTGAAACGGACATCACCACACGAGGGATACGACTGCAACTAGCACGCTGGTTCTATGGTAAGACCCCGCATCGTATTGAATGAGTTCGAATACTTAGTTCTGACACTTTGAATGCCCATGCTCAACAGAGCTGGAGGCTTTCGACAGCGTACAAGAAGTTCTGAAGCCCTGGCGAAACGAGGCCCACGAAGACTTCAGCACGGAAGATACAGCTGTCGTCTACCTTCTTGGGGTAAGTTCACTGAGAAGCTGCTGGAGTCCTATCAACTCGTATGTTCTGACATGTTTGTGTGTTGTCTGTAGCTGACAAGTTTGCGGATGGAGGAGTACTGGGCTGCGCTCGCTTTCTTCCGAAATTGTGCTCGTCTGGCACCGACAAAACTCAAGTATCAGCGCCAAGTTGCACACACGTTAGTCGCCCTGCAGACTTTGAGATCTGCGTCTAACAGCTCCAACGAATCCGACGGAGCACCTTCCTCCTAATAAATACACAAAGTCACAACGAACTATGGCGAAGAAACAACGATGAAGTTGGTCGGAGAATTGTCTATGAATTGTTTAAAAACTAGTTTAGTATTTTCCCGTACATGATCTCTACGACATTGACATGTATACACACACACGCGCGCGCTCCAGCTGCAGCCAAGAACAGCTTGACATTTTACAGCATCTTCATTCTTCTGGCCTCCACGGTTGAATCTATTCCTCGAGGCTCGAAGTATTCGCGTGGTACTCCTGAACAACCTGTGCGCAGACCTTGGCTCCATCGACCTTGACAATCAACTGGTCGCTATGTGGGGTGTCGTCGGTGGAGTCGGGCGTGGTCGCGTCTTCCTACAACAAACACAACAACTAGGTTAGTTCCTTTGTATTCGAGAATGGGTACCATATCCAGGGAGCACGCACGTTGAAGTGGAAGACGAGCGAGTTGTCCAGGTCGTCCCGTTCGGCCACCTTGATCAGCGAGGTCAAAGGACGCCACTCTTCCACTAACGCGAAGCCTTCGCGAGTAGCCGCCATCACGTTGAGCACGACGAGAAGTGAAGGGGTGACGACAAGCTCCCGCTCCCCAAGCCGAGTCAACTGTTTGTGCGAATCTTCGTCCTGCTCTTCAAACTTGGTCGCGCGGTAGAATCTAAAGCTTTTATGCGCCTCGCTGGACGAGGACTTCCAGCTCGCCAAATTTACTTGTCTTGATGACGGTAGTTCCAGCTCGCATATCTTGTCTTCTTCGTGTTGTTGGCTTTCTCCCTCATCCTTGGTATCCACCGGCGCTTCGTCAGGTTGCGCTTCGACTTGGGGATTATTCGTGGAATGCGAGCGACGCCTCAAGCGAGAAGTCAGAGCGACCGCTTTGTCCAGAATCGTGCTTCCGGTCCGCATCGACGAGACTTGAGGTGCTGAGGTCGGTACCGAGACTGATGACCGCTTGCTTCCGCTGCTGCTTTCAGGTCGAGAGGCCGAGGGATCCCCATCGTCGTCGCTGGAGGAGCTGTTCACCAAAACTTTACCGGTAGCAAGAGTGCGACAGCTCTCGCTGGACTCGCTGTAGGGGCTCCACTTGTTGTCCTCCGTGCCGCTACGAATGCGGAACAGGTACGATGTGTTCGCCTGCAGTCCCGTGACAGTGTACTTGAGAGTATCCGCGTCGATGTCGGGCTTCAGCGTCCACCACATCGCAGCCAGACGGTCTTTGACGTACTGGATCTGGTACTTGGTCACGCCGATGTCGTTTACCGGATCCCATGTAACGATGACTTCAGAGCTGGATGCGGGGAACACCTGTAAGATACGGGGCGCGACTGGTGCGTGCGATGATAGCGCCGCGCTAATGCCGCTGCTACTGCTAGGTGCAGTAGACACCATGGAGCTGATCGAAGCGGCACTGTTGGAGTTTGCGTTGTCTTCCAGGCTCCCGCTGTCGGTCGTACTGGGAGGAGTAGTAATACCATGCGAGCTGAGGAACGATTGAACCAGGGATTTGGCTTGTTCTTGCAGCGAAGGCCCAATCTCCTCAACCTCAGACTGGGGGAGACGCTCCAGAACCACGTCACCATCGGGCGTGTTTTCAAATGCCCACACGCCGTCAGCATCGGCGTCTGCTTCTCTCTGGCCATTACGGAGCAGGACCAGTTCGCCTGCATTGCCTTCGTATTCTCTGCCATCCTCTACGGCTTCGTCACTACCACCAAATTCGAGACGAACGAAGATCTGGTTCGTACCTGGGCACACAAGTCGCTCCGAGCCACGGATCACCATACCCTTGTCCAGTACGATGCCCAGCTTCTCGGCATTAAAATCGGGTCGACGACGTGCGCGTAATGCGATAAGCACGCGATAAAAGAACTGACCACGCTCGACGTATTCAGGACACACACCGGGGAGGAAGATCGCACTCGTGAGCTCATCTCGACTTACCCCTTTCGGCGTCACGGTTCCTGACATGGGTACTAATGGCCCTGCTGTCCGATCGTCCAGTGTCTTCATGGAACTACTCGATAAACTGTAGGGTCCCCACCGCTGGCCGTCTCCACAACGCACACGAAACACCAGCGACTCGCCCGGGTCAAGACCAAGCATGGTCCCATTCGTTTGGTCCGTGATACCTGTCGAGTTCATCTCAGCAGTCGTTCCCTCTTGCTTCATTGCTGCAAAGAGCCAAGGATTGAACTCATCGCCCGATTGCTTGGCAAACTGGAGCTGATAACGCGCCATCGATGGCGGAGCAACTGACGCTGGCAGTTTGTCCCACGTGATACAAACCGAGTGCCGCGTTGCACTCACCAGTGTCGGTGCCAAAGGTGGGATACTGATTGCGTCCGATGCGTTACCTTCCTTGTCCTTGTCCTTACTCACAGGCGTGAGAAAGCGCAACACCACGGGCCGAGAAGCTTCAATCACGAGTTCGATGACGCTGAGGAACGCGACGTCCTCTAAGCTTTCTCCATTGATCGCAACGAGTAAATCTCCGGCGTTGATGAGCCCAGTCGCGGATGCCTGGCTGTCCGGAACCACACTATCCACGACGGCTTGGTACTTCTTCGACGTTCGAGACTTCTGGAACAGAATCCCAATGGGGCCTGGTTGTATCTCCACATCAATTGTAGTGCCGCTGCTCTTTTCCGCCACTTCATCAGTGTTCACACGCACTTCCACCCACCCGTCCTCGTTTGAACCACTCTTCTCTTCAGCGGCATCTTTTGTCTCTACAGACGCGTTGCTGCTAGTCCGCGCGATAGAGCTTGAGGTCGACGTTACCACATCTTTTGCCGCAGCTTTGAGGAAACTAAGGCGCTGGGAGAACGTCGATACCGCAGAACTCGTCGTGAGCTTGGTTTTCGTCTTCTTCACCTCCTTCACCTCCTTTACTTCCTTGATTTCCTTGATTTCGTTAGAGGTACTGCTGCTCGGAGCTGATGAAATCGGCGTGACTGTAGTTGTCGTGGTCGTCGTAGTGCTGCGGGTGCTACTCGTTTCGGAAGTTTCGGTGCGTGTGCTGCTAGGCGCTTCGGCCACAAAGTCATCATGGGATGGTGCTCGGGAACGATTCAGACCGATCTTGGCGAGCAGATTGAACCCTCCTGAAGACGTGCTGCCATTCGAATCTGGTGCGGTCGGTACCTGCTCAGTAGTCGGCAATGGTAGCGGTGACGACACAAGAAGCTGCTCCTGCGCGAAGGCGTCCATGCTTCGGATATTCTTCTCCAGCGCGTCAAACCCTCCGTCGAGTCGGCTCACAAACTTGAAGCCCTTTTGCAGAAACATTAGCACCAGACGAGTCACGGACTCGTGCTCCGCGTGCACCTTTGATGCCCCACTACTGCCAATCTCGCTGGCTAAGGCGCCAGGCTCCCCAGGACTCTGCTTGCGAGATAAGGTCACGGGTCCTGTAGAAGCCGACGATGAAGGTGACGTCTCTCCAGCAACTTCCCCTGCAACGCCAACATCAATTGATATCTGAATCGGGTCTGGTGCCGGCGCATGCTGTGACTTGTCGCTTGAAATGACTCGGGCCAAGCGCGCGATAGGATTCAGGATCCCATTGTTAGAGGACGTTCTTGGCAGAATCGAGGGTGAATCAACCGAGGGCCCAACAAAGCAGAAGTGGCAGCCTTTCATGTGCGAGAAGCCCTTCATAAGTCCATCGAGAGCATCCGGCCTTGACATGATGCTGGGGTCGATGTGGTGCGAAAGGCTCAAGTGCGACTTGTGGTACTCTTCCGCTGGTCGGCAATCCAACACGATGAACTTGAGTGCAGTCGATTCCTCTCCGTCGTCAGTCCCAGGTGCATACAACTGGGGGGGTTGATCTTCGATTGGCGACAGCAACGGGTTAAGCGACCCGTTCTCACTTACGCACTCTTCTTGCAGCACCGGCGCAGCTGGGGCGAGCACCGGCTCCGGCATGCACTTCTGCTTGGCTTTCGTCGCCAGTCGATCCAGTAAGTTGCGCACGAGTTCCTCCGGGTACACCTGCAGGCTGGAGCACGCGTACAGTTGCTCGAAAAAGGGGATCATTGCATCCGTGAATCCGCCGTAGCACACCGAGTACAAGTCGCGCTTGAACGAGCGCGGCGTGGACTCGTAGATCGCCAGCGCGCTCGCGCACACCTGCTCCAGCTCTTCGCGCGTGGAAAACGTCAGCGAGCTCAGCACTTGGGGCAGCATGGGGATCTCCGCTTCAAAGATCCTCTCCCTGTTGTTCGCCACGAGCGCGTACGCCACAAAGTGCAGCAAGTACGGGTCTTCCTCCAATAAAAAGAAATCCCACAAGTAGAAAACAAATTCAGGCGGCAGCGAGCGCGCGAAGAGCGTCATGAACCACGGCGTCACGTAGAGCTCGGGCGTCATGTCGTGCTGGTCCAGATAGTGACACAGCTCCGGGTCGTGGTACAGCATCAGCAGCTTGTACAGCTGGAAGGAGCACTGCAGCGACCTGAACTCCTTATCCACGAACACATGAGGCAGGAACTTGTCAATGAGTGCGTAGAAGCACTGGAACACGACCCCCTCGGCCAATGGCACGGGCTCGTCGCTCCCGTCACGCCGCTCCGTGAGCAGCAGGAAGGGCGCGAGCACCTCGTTCATGCCCTGCTTGTACCGGATACTGCGGCACTTGCAGTAGTACGTGAGCAGCTTGACCACGAGCTCCACGGTCTCGGGCTGCTGAAAGCGCGGCTCGTTGCCGCGCGTGCGGGCCGCGTCCGCCGCGATCACGCGCTGGTTGTCCAGGTCCTCTTCCACCTTCAGGATGCTGCGGTCCAGGCACAGCCGCTGCTGCTCGCTGCGCGCGACGCCCAGCAGCTCCTTCCACACACGCGCGCGCAGCTGCGCGGGCACGCCGCCCAGCGCGCGGCACGTGACGCCAAGCACGAAGTGGTCGGGCCGACGCTTGAGCATCTCGCGCTGCAGCTGCTCCTCCAGCGCGCTGCGCGTGGCCTCCGGAGTGGATGTAGCCATGGGGTTTTGAGTGGGTTTTTGACAGGGCGATTGCGCGGCTTCTACGGGGAGTTCGGAGGCCGCAGAAGCGTCGTTAGGTGGGGAAGCGTCTTGGCTTGCTGTGTGCGGGGGCGCGTGCGCTGCGGAGGCGCAGAAGGCGTCCATGACGGAGACGCCGCGTGCCCCTCGGGTCGGTGCCGACGGTTTTGCGTTGCGCTCTTCCGCCGACTGACGATCACGATCAGATAGTTCTGATCTGATGCGAGGGGCGCTTAGATTCGGACAGAGGCGACAAAATGGAAGAGGAATGAGATGGGTACACGTCCGAACAAGTGACGCACTTGGAAACTGCAAGAACGGTACAGTGTACCAGTTGAAGTCTATAAAAGCCGCTTTTACATTTTTACCACGTTACCGCTGAGCTCGTCGTAAGCGCGGCTTTGGCATCCGCACCGGGGCCCCCCTCGTAGCGCTTCATGAGGCTATTGCACCTCCAGTCGAATACTCGGTCAAATGCATGCGACACCGAATAGTGGGCGTCATACCGTTCAAAAATCACTCTCGCGTCCTTGGTATCCCCCAGCAGCCGCTTCGCGGTCGCGGGCTTCATCCCGTCTTTCCTTGGACTTCAACTTCGACCTTAGCGTGAGTGGGGCAAATGCTACTCGATTAGTTAGCGATGCTTGGTAGCCTGATCCCCCGCTGTGTCATGCTGAATGAAGTCAGGACACTCCCAAGTAGAAGCTCGTATCATGTGCTCAGCGATGTCCCGTAGCATGCCGCGTAGAAGGCGAGTATTCACGGTGAAGCACCAACTTGCCCACCTTCCCATTAGACTATCACCAGTTCACTTTTGCCAGCGGCAAGTAGGGCACAGGCCCCGCCGATGCGAAGAGAGTGAGTCGCGTTGTCATCAGGATTCAACTGTAGGCACTTGGCCGCTTCCTTGAGGAGGTTTGACACCTCCGGTTTCCGAATTGTAGTCGCGGAGCTGACGGAGGAGAGGTAAGGGCCGAGTCGTTTCCCAGCCGCTTGCCATTGGCGATGAACTCGTAGGCAGGTTTCGGCTGCCTCAACGGGACAGAGCAGGCGCTGGCCGGAGCGATAGTGTCGGATGGTTGTTCCTTGGCGTCTCTGGTCGCCTTTGTGAGATCGGTAGATAATCTCTACTGAGACCGCTGAGCCTCGACGATTGTTCAAAACATTCCCACGATGGTCTCGCAACACGACGTCCGCTGCCCTTACACAACGGGTAGGAGCTGTCCCAAGGTCATCACGATTTGTTGGTTCCCACATCTCGGAGCTTCGGCTCAGAAAGAAGAAGGCTAGGACGACCGAGGCCCACACCAACTCGTTGTACTCTCGGTTCTCGGGTGTTCTGCGGTCTTGTAGCACCCGGTGCAACTCAAGCAGCAAGGACGCGGTGACGGGCTGCTTTCGAGTGACGCTGCTGTTGGATCGCTTATAGCCCTGAGCAATGAGCTCAAATTCCGGATTCTTGTAATTGAGTTTTGCGTTTCTGACGCTTCGGTGAGCAAAGGCCACTGTCGCCATCTTCCCTTCGAAGGTTTGGTACTTGTTTCCCCGTCCACGTATGTTGTGCCCCTCCGTGGAGCACAGTCCTGCGAACAAGCCAACGATTCGGGCTTGTCTGTGCTGGGGTAGTTCGTCGATCCACACCGGGAAACCGAATTCGTCGCAGAACTTGACCCAGTGGCGGAACTTCTTTGTATATGTCCGCAGGGACGAGGAGTTGATGGCGGATAGTTTGAGCTGGGCTGTGGCCTCGGCAATTCGCTGGGTTCTTTCTGCAAGCATACATCATCACAGACATGAGTTTGACAATGTACATTGCACCGACGCGTTTCGGTTCTCCGTCCAAAACACTTTGGTGACTGAAAGGCTCGTCTTCCGAGAGGCCTGCACCAGGGCCAGTGCCCTCAGATTTTGCTGGCCCTCTGGGGTCTGACAGTACATCGACCGGAAGAGCTTTGCCTCCCGCTCATTCTGTACGTGCAACCGGATGTGACTCCACTTGTCTTGCATGGAATCCACTGTGATCCACTTGATGATGGTTTGATGTACGGCGTCTGCAATCTGCGTTGGACCCACAGGGTTCTCGTACTCGTAACGTTCCGAACGTGATGGTGTCAAACCATGAATGCAGATTTCATGGTCGGTGTGAGCTATTACTCAGCCATCTACTTCAGGTAGTTCTCTGTCGAATAGTGTCATCGGCACCCCGGCAAATTCGTTCTGAAAGATAAGTTGATCCCACCATTTCAGGTCCAGTTGAAGAGACTCGGTCATTGGAGTTCCGGTACGACCGGACGTTTTGGTTGCCAACTGGAAAGCTATCAGTCTTTGCATGAACGGCTTGGCTATAGGGATGAACGTCACAATGTGCCGCAGTACACCCACGAGACTGTCGAGTCTTTGCTGCGTTATGAACGACATTCCAGTGTCTCTCCGACGACACGCTTGGTTTTGGCAATCTTTCGCTGGGGAATAGTGATGTTGCTCTCCGGAAAGTTCCAGTCGATCCCCACAGCATGGAAGCATTGAGACCAGGCCCGAAACTTTCCTTCATGCCAACCTTCCGAACCGAACACGAGATTGATTGCGTCTCTTGAGACGGCGCTCTGCGCGCAGGAGTCTTTCCCCGATATCAACCTCGATGATGACTATGTCGTCAACCCACTGAAATATCCAGAACGGTTCTGGGAATCCAAGCACGTAAGAGGCGCATGTGCGCTGATAGTGGCGGGCAGCTTTACCGGCAACCGTGAAGTAGCGTGGTGAGGCCGTCCATCCGAAAACTGCGATGCCCGACACGATGCCTACCTGCGATCGTGGGATGGTGCCCCCAAATGCGGAGGCGTGGCGAGAGTGGACCGGGATATGGAGAAATGCCTCCGCAATGTCCGCCCCAAGCGCGTAAATGGCGTACCCTGGGTAGCGTCTTCGTAACTCCAGTACACGGGAGGAGATACTGACGTACGGATCCCATCGAGCATCAGGTGTAAACGATGCGTCGGTGATGTCGTTGACTGAAAACCCAACAGGAGCTGACAAATCATGAATGGTACGGCCATCTTCCGAGATCGGCTTATCCTGCTTAGGAACGAGGGCGAACGCACTGGAATGAAATGAGGGGTCCGATGACAGCGCTGCCATTGTGGCCAGGATGCATCTTCCTTTGTAGTAATCATTGAAGCCCCTTCGATTGCGCTGGGGTAGTTGGGAGGAAGAGGACGAACACCAACACGAAGGGAAGAACTTGTCCAATGAGGAATCACTCTGTCCGCAGCAATGTTGCAGAGGCGATCGAGATCCGGGTACGACGCAAGATGTAGTCGATAAAGCTCCGGTCGAAGGTCTTTATTGGGGCGCTGGTCCCTTGAGGTCTGACCTCTGAAAATGCGCAGAGTCCCGTCGATGCCGATGTCCGGCAACTGAACGAACGCGGACAGTAAGGCGACGTCGACGGCCGGGATGGAGAGATTGTCCCCGGTCGGCTGGAGAAACGCAGTGTCCACCGGGAAGGGAATGTCATTAACCGCCGCCAAGGCTTAAAAGGTTCGAAAGACGCCCAACGGAACACAGCGGGATACCCCATTGACGGTACAGTGTCTGGAGAGGCTGGTCGCAAACGGAGAGGGATCCCAACGAGCCGTTGTATCAACGACGGCTGGAGCAAAAGGCTGTGAGCGCTCCCGTCGCAAAGCATGGTCTCCATTAACCGGCTCCAGAAATCGGTGGGTAGATGAGCGATGCGATTGTAATCCGTCATCACCATTGCCCAACAAGCCCGCCAACGGCGGTAAGCGAACTCGCTCGACGAGGGGATGGGTACGACCCGCGCACCGAGGAGAATGGGATGCTGGGTGAGTATATGAGGCATGGGCCACGAAGTGAAGTCTCTCGAAGTTGTCTGTGCAGATCCCCCGGCAATATCCATGGTCCAGTTACACAGTGCGTCAGCCGCTTTGTTGACGCCACCTGGCTCCGAAACAAGTACGACTCGATCAAGGCCGAAAAGTAAACGTCAAATTTCGCGAAGCGCAGGAACCAGATTGGGCGATCGTACGCGTTGCGTTCCGAGCGCAAGTTGAATGATAACCTCAGAGTCGCCGATGACCCGTATGAGTGAAGTCTTGTGATGCTGGTAGAGCCAAGGTAAGCCGGTGAGGAGTCCTTGCGCTTCCATTTCATTGTTAGTACCACCTGGCAGAACCGAACGGGCCGCCCACGACATCAAGGTGTTGTCGTCAGACCACACGCAGCAAGCATAGGCGTTGATGTCCGAGTGGCCGCGTGCACCACCGTCAAAAGACATAATGAGCGGTTGCAGTGTTGAAAAGGACGTGGGCATAGCTGGCCCTGTCGACACTGGTCGACCGAAATCAGATGGAGGCGAACGAGCGACGAAAGGAGGTGATACATTGAATATACAAACCGATCGCAGATGCAGTGCGCCTCCGCACCGTCAGGCAGTGGTGTTGGGGTGATTCTCCTTGAAGACTCCGTGCTTTGTCGTCACGTAGTGAAAAACCTCCACTGGGAGGAGCGTGAGCTCGTGAACGTTTTTACCGTTTGGGAAATCACAGCCTTTCTGGGTCTGGAAACGAAGGCAAATCGATATCGAGCCCTTCTTGGGCACCTTGGCCAAGATGTCAGAAGGCACCGTCGTTCGGCTCTGGTGCTGCTGCGTCCCTCGCTGTGGCGGGCTTCAAACGGCGAGACGCCGAAGACCCGTATTCAATCTGCCGCGCCCAGGTATCCATCAAAGCTGTGTCGATGATTTGGCGGACGAGTCGAATGTAATCGGGCGACGAATGCGAGAGTGTAGCTCGAGCCTCGTCCGCCAGTACGGATGCATGGTGGTCATCCTGGATGGATTGAAACAGCCGCGTGAACACAAGTGTGTACAAATTGATCATAGCATAGACCAAATCCCGCGGGGCATTGTCCCATGTATCATTGGCCGCATCGGCGTGGACGATGGAGAACACCTAAGCCACGGGTCGAGGGAACCATTCCACAGCGGCTTCATGAATGCGAGAGAGCGCTCTGCGCAAATCCGAAATCGAAATGATGTGAGCCACAGGTACCGTGTCACCAGCGCCCCAAGTGGCGGAGTCATGCGTCACCGAATGCCTTCCCCCGCTCTGCGCAGGAGGCGGCAAGAAGTGGTCGAGAGGCCTCGTGCCAAAGCTCACCGCGAATATCATTTTTGCAGTCACCTTCGTTACCCGGTAACGGTTGCGCAGTGTTTCGTGGTGCTGGATGGCCGAAACGCGGTCTAAAATGGGCAGCTGCCAGTAGCGGCGTAACTCTCCAATACTCTCCTTACATTGTGGTCTTGGTCCGACATGCGCGATCTGGTGAACAGCGAGCTCGGCCGCCGGTGGGCGGAACGAAGTCGTGCCCGACGTCAGCGCCTCGATCGTCTGCTGCGAGGTGTGCTGTCCAAAGTCGTCCTGGTCGCGTGCCATGTGGTGCGTGTCTTCGTAGTCAGCATGTCCCTTCTGAGCGAGGATCCACTCGGCTCCGGCGGGTTCCAGAGTACTGGTTCAAGTCGTAATCTCCGTCGGCGCGGTCCCGAAAGTGCGCGGCCCCGCGATCCGAGTGCCCACTGTGCTGCCCAGTGGGAGGCCCTGACTGCCAATCCACATGGTGACTCCGAGGCCGAGCTGGCTCGGGCGGCGAACTGAGGCCTTGCCCGTCCCGACCGTCGGCGTGGGGGGAATACGCATACCGACGAAGGGGCGGAGTCGGGTTCCGTTGAAGCCGGATGCTGGTGTGGCGAGACAGCGCTCGGCCCGGACTGCGGGAGCGACTCCGCCGGTCGCGGGCTCGGGCTTTGACTGCGTCGATCGCGATCGATATGCGGACGTTCCTGTGCTCGCCGAGACCGCCGATCAACCGCCGGCTCTCTTCTCTCCGCCGCCGGAGGCGAGGAAACAGGTTGAATTGGATGCGAAGGGGCAGCCGGCCCCGTCGAAGCAGGACGATCAAGTTGTTGTTGAATCTATTTTTGGGTTGACTCCACGAGCTTTTGAGTAGACTGCTCCATAGCTAACATTACCGCCATTTTCTGTGCGTTGGTCGAAGCAGCATCCGATGTGCCCAGCGAAGGAGATTGCATGCCCGCTGCTGGGCGGGCCCCAGTAGCGGGTGCCGTGGGTGACGAACTTGAAGTGGTCGGAGCAGTGACGGCGGATACCGCAGTGCCTTCATCACGGTCCTGAGCCCGTGAGATATCCGCTGCATCGTCGCCGGCCAATAGAGTTCCAGGAAGCCACTGAGCCGGAACAGGGGGCGCCAACTGTTGCGGCGATCTCATGCCAACAATCACCGGCGATTCATGAAGCAGGGGACGTCCACGCGAAAGACCCACCGCCAGCACATCTGCGGGAGCATCAGAGTCGCTATCTTCATCCTCGTCGAGGCGACGGGCATTGGAACCCGAAGGCCCGATGTATTTGCGAACATAATCCAGCGGACACACCTTTAAAATGCGCCCAAACTCCGAAATGACAGGAATGGAGGCCGAACTGAAGTCAAAGGTGGTGTCGGAGCCAGCGGGAACGAGGCCCTCTTGAAGTTGTCGTTGTAGTTCATCATTGTTCACAGATCCAATCTCCAGCTCTCTCCAACGCGAGCGAAAACGAGGCGTGCGCAGGTTTGGGCTGGAGGTCGCCGGCACACCATGCCACCAGCCCACAACAAAGTCACCACGAGAGATCTGGGTCTCCCATACCACGTTGCAAGGGATGAGGACATGAGCGGCTGGAGCTGGAGCTGGTTGCCGTACTGTGAGGACACACGCAAAGCTCGCTGGCGCGCACCAGACTGGGTGGTGAAAGTCAATCGGGAACAAGATCGGTACCCCACCACCTGACCAACGAGGTACACTTCCAACGGAGTTTCAACGAAAGCGGTGCCGCCGCGGGCACCACGGTCATTAACCGCAGCGAGAAAGCAGGTTTTGAAGCCAACAAACCGAAATAGCATTAATAACGGGCGGTCGCGCCACTCCTCTCGAAGGGTCGGGTTAGGCGGTCGAAAGGGATCACTGCACGGTCATCGGGATCTTGGTCGTCGCCGTGGCGCTCGCGCGCAGCGTCGTGATCGAAGCTGTGGTAGATGAGGTTGCATATCCACCCGGGGCGGCGCACAGAGTCGTCCTCGACAAAGGAACTGCGATGGACCGGGCTCAATTCCCTCGGCTCGATCAACTCAGCGTAGATGGGCCCGTCCCAGTCGCGCCCTGCCAGCTCGTACGGGCATTCCAAGCGGACGACGTGCCCACGTAACTCGTCTGCCTGCGAGACATTCGTGGGCGGGTTCGGCTGCCGCGCCGTGGTCCAAAGTGTGAGCCTGGCTCGTCGGTAGGTCTTGATGCTCGGCTTCTGTGCTTCTCGAGGGGAAGCCCGCAACTGCCGCGGCCTTGTCTCGAGCCGGAAAACGCCGGTTCACCTGCCCTAACCGGTTATGTAACGGGGTTACACGCACAAGTGGCTACAGTCACTTGTTACTCTAACAGATGCGATGTCTATTAGAGGTTTGAACACTTCCGCGACCTTGGTGTAAGGTACACCAGTGGCTACATACATTTACGACCACCACGACGGGTGGTCCATACACATTTAGGATTCCTATTGGCTGAAAGCAGCATCTTTTAGCCAATGAGTGACTTGCATGTTAGCAGAATCCTGCCAACCAGTCGTTGGCAGATTCCTATTTTAGAATATTACATTTAGGGGAAGTCAGAAACATAAAACAAAAATAACAGTTCTCATCTTTTACCAAAACGCGCTACTTGGAGTCTTTATCTTGTTTAAAGTGTACTCGTGGATCTCGAGTATACTTAACTCAAGTAAAAGAAACCTACGCTTCCTCATACACGTGGGCATACGTGTAAGTCGTAGTAGTGAGCCAAGGTAGGCCCACTACACCTGGTAGCACTTTGTAGTCCGTCCAACGACCGACTACCTGAACGTTCGTACGGAGCTGTACGAACGAGGAGCCGAGAACCTTTTCATGAGCGCGGAAGTGCCCATGGAAAGCTTCACTTCGCCTGCAACTCATGTTGCACGCGCTGACTACCTCCACCTGTCGGACCCAGAGTGGGAGGCACTCCAAAGACTGTCAACAGTCATTGGAAAAGCGACTGTAGCTGCAATGCTGCGCACACTATCGCCGACGGAGCAACACGGTGTTGCTCTGGGATTCATCATGAAGGAGCAGCGTGATGCTGCTTCCTCTATCACGGTGGCGTCGGGGACGACACCGCGCGAGCAATCGTTGAAGCTAAACGTGAGCAACTATGTCGGAAGAGAGGGCAAGCCTCTCCTCCGGTGGCTTGTCGAACTCGACACTGCCATTGCGGCTCGACGTATCGTCGACCCGTTGTCCAAGGTTGCGTTCGCCATGTCATGTCTTGGCGGACGAGCGAGAAGTTGGGCGTATGGACGCCGACTCTCTGATCCTACGTGCTTCAGCACGTACGAGGGTTTCAAGGAGGAGCTCAGACATGCATTTGAGCCCCCGCAAAACGAGTTCCGGTCGAGGGCAGAGTTCCTCGACCTACAGCAGGGTAAGCATGATGTTGATGCTTACGCGCAGAGAGCACGGTATTTGGTCTCGAACTGTGTGACCAACCAGATAGACGAGGCGACCAAGGTCGTCACGTTCATGAAAGGACTTAGATATGGGCCTGTGAAGACCTATCTCTTCCGTGAGTACCCGAGTACTCTCGAAGCTGCAATTACTCTTGCAATGCAGGAGGAGTTTAGCCTGCGACAGGCTAAGCTTCATGCGAATGCGCCGAGGCTGCGACCGCCTCCGGTTGCGATAGCGGGAGGTCCGGAACCAATGGACCTCTCGAATGCAACGGCTGTTGATTATCAACAGCAACAAGGAAGTACTATACGATGCTTCCGTTGCGGAAGGATCGGTCACTATGCCCGAGAGTGCACGGAACCCGTGCACCGAGATGGTGGTCGACGCGGCGATGCCGGGCATCGTCGCGGACAAACAAAAAACGCTGGGACCCAGTAGGCGCGGGGTGCCCTACTGGTGAAGCCGCCACGCGTGTCCAACTCGGACATGCGACACTGAGGACTGCATCCCCCAGTGAGGGCCCTTCTCACTGCAAAATGCATGGTGACAAACCGAACCTTGTCATCTTGACCGTGTCTTCGAAGAGAGAGAGCAACTCTCTTCGTGCTTTGGTTGATTCGGGCGCGTCGAACAACTTTGTTCGACTGCGAAGTCTATCAAGGCTTGATTTCGAGGAGGTAATTATACCTCGAAATATGTTGGAAGTTCGATTGGCAACGGGTGCCATCGTTATAACCGAGAAGCGCATGGTACACGTGCGCTTCACGTATGAAGATCAAGAGTTTGTCGAGACCTTTATCGTCCTGGATCTGGACGATAAGTTTGACATTGTATTGGGCATGCCGTGGCTTGCACGGCATGATCCGGTCATCGATTGGGAGAAGCGCACTCTCGTGTGCTTCGGTCGCGACAGCGGAACAGTGAGCGATGGCCCTGTTGCCGCTACGCACGCACGAACAGATGCGCGCGACTCCCCACTCGAGACAGCACCTAATGCCGCTGTCCCGGAGCGCCCTGGGCGCGCACGAGCACACGCACAAAAACAGCTAGCGTCGACGTTGCCACCGACAGCTAATGAAGGAAATGTGTTGACCTCGGAGGTCGACACCCGCTTTTCAGCGAATCAGGAAGAGTCTCCGGCCTCAAGAGGCACGGATGACGCAGGCGAGTCACACGCTTCAGCCGTGGAGGCTGACGCGAATCTGATTGGATCATGTCTGGCCAATAATAAGAGCCAAGGTGACGTAATGCCGTCGACTCCGGGAGTCGATGGCTTGGGTGAATTTGATTCGTCGGCTCCGGGAGCCGACGCACCCTCCGTAATGGGGGTCTCCGCCAATGGTTGGCGTCGAGGTATTGAAGTCGCATCGACTCCGGGGGTCGATAGCTTGGACGAATTTGATTCGTCGGCTCGAGGAGCCGACGCACCCTCCGTAATGGAGGGCTCCGCCAATAACAGGCGTCGAGGTAAGGATGGCATGTCGACTCCGGGAGTCGACGCTGCAAGCGGTGCGGGCGGTTGCAAACGTCCCGCACCAGCAAAACTTGCATGCTGTCGTGCAGCCGGGCTGCACGACGAAGCGCCGGGCGACCAAGCCGGGCTTGAAGTCGCTCGCCCGCGGGATGGACCCGCCGGCGGTACTGAAGAAGAACACCCGTCCACGGCTGGGCCTGGACGAGGTCAAGAACCAAGCGGAGCCGGGCTCCCCAAAACAAGAAGACGGCGCATGCGAAGGTCGCTGCGCAAGTCTCAGCCCGAGGCCGAGACGCTACAAGAAATGTCTGCCGGGCAAACGGAGGCTGAGAAGCCTGACGTCGAGACGCTGAACGTCTTGACGCGTACCTGTGCCGGGTTCCGGTACAGGGAGATGACTCTCGCTAACCCTCCGACGCAAGCGTCGGAGTTGACTTCGCTTCCAGTCACGAGCTGGAAGCGCTTCGCGCGTGACTTGCACGATGGACGCATCGAGCAAATATGCATTCTCTCGGACGCCGAGAGAACGAAGAGCGAGAATGACGAACTGAGGCAGTTCTTCATGGAGAGCACCACTGAGAGCGAGGACACTCTCAGTGCGAAGACGAAGAAGGAGCGCTTTGAAGAGCAGAGCTGGGACTCGTTGAAGACGAGTCCCTACTACGAGATCTTACTGGAGTACGCGGACGTACTTCCGGAAGAGATTCCTGCGGAGCTTCCGCAGGATAAGGGCATCCAGCACGAGATTGATCTCGTGCCGGGGACGAAGTACTGTGTCACGCGGCAGTGGCCACTGCCGCGAGAGCAGGTCAAGGCGATCGACGGCTTCTTTGAGAGTCGTCGCAAAGCTGGACAAGTGCGGGATCGAAAATCGCCGCACAGTGCTCCGACGTTCTGTGTCAAGAAGCCACAGGGCGGCTGGCGCATCGTTCATGCGTACAACAAGCTGAACGATGCGACGATACCGGCGCAAACACCGTTACCGCGAAAAGATGTCATCATCGATTCGATGGCCAGGATCACTATTTACAGTGCTCTTGACCTGCGCGATGGGTTCTATCAGATCCTCATGCGTGAGAGCGATATCCCTCTCACGGCTGTGAGCACGCCGAGCGACATGCTCTGGGAGTGGCTAGTGATGCCACAGGGTCTGATGAACGCCCCTGCGACCTTCAACAGGTGCGTGACGCACTTGTTGCGCTCGGTGCGCGACTTCGCACCGAGCTACTTCGACGATGTGCTCGTCCACATCCGGGCTGCGGACGGGATGAGCGATGTTGAGATGCACAAGGTGCATCTCCGGAAGCTGCTTGCGCATGAGCGCAAGCACAAGCTCTATGCGAACCTGAAGAAGTGCATCTTCGAGGCAAGCGAGATACCCGTGCTCGGGTGTCTCGTTGGGAAGCACGGTGTCCGCCCTGACCCTGAGAAGGTCAGAGTGATCAATGAATGGCCGACGCCGTCGAACGTCAAGGAACTGCGGCAGTTCCTTGGCTTGACCACGTACTTGTGCAAGTACGTGAAGGACTACGCGGGCATGATACGCCCGCTGTCACAGCTCCTGACGAAGGACGCCGAGTGGATTTGGACTGCTGAGCGTCAGCAGGCCTTCAATGCAGTCAAGCAGAACTTGACTGAGGCGCCGACCTTGGCGGTGGCCGACCAAGATCGCCCGTTCCACGTCGTGTGCGACGCATCCGACTTCGCAGTCGGATGTGCATCGATGCAGCACGATCACGAGGGTCGTGATCGTGTGGCCTACTACCAATCGCGTCAGCTGAAGCCAGCTGAGCGCAACTACCCGGTGCATGACAAGGAACTCCTTGCCATGAAGTACGTACTCGCGAAGTTCCGAGTGTATCTACTCGGAAGCAAACCGTTCGTGGTCTATACGGACCACGCGTAGCTGCGGACGGCTGTGAAGTCGCCGCACATCTCGCAACGGATAGCGAGATGGCTCTCATTCTTCGCAGAGTATAACTTCCGGGTTGAGTACAAACCCGGAAGACTCAATGTAGTGGCCGACGCGCTCTTGCGTCGACCTGACTACGCCACGACTGATGCCGACGTCAATGCCATTGACGCCATGCGATCGAGCACCCCAACGTCGTCACTATTGGACGACGTGAACGACGTGAACGTCGCGTACGCGCACGACGCGGACGCGAAGTTCTTGCTGGCCTATGGCTCAGCGCCTTCTGACAAAGCTCGTCAGAAGCTGCCGAAGTATCTTCGTGCTCGTGCACACCGTTATCGGGTGAACGACGGGTTATTACTCTACAGTGCAGTCGACGACAACGCGGACCGCGTTGTTGTGCCCAATGACCATGACCTGCGACTCAGGATCATGTATACGTATCACGATGCACCGACTGCGGGGCATCTGGGCCGTGAGAAGACATAACTTCTTCTCACGCAGGACTTCTACTGGGCCCACCAGTATAAATGGGTGCGCAAGTACGTCCGTGCTTGCGAGGTTTGTCAACGTGTGAAGCCTGCGCCCTTTGCGCAGGCTCCCTTGCAGTCACTGCCGACTCCGTCGGAGTGTTGGCAGTCCATGTCTTTGGACTTCGTGTTCGGTCTTCCCCCGGACAGCCAGGGGAACACGGGCATTGTGGTCTTTGTTGACCGCTTCACATCTTGCTGCGGTACCCGCTGAAGTGACTGCGAAGCAGACGGCGCGTCTGTTCGTTGACATGGTGTTCAAAGTGGGGGAGGATTAAGTGGGGGAGGGTCCACGACTACAACGCAGCAGCCGCAGAATGCCGCTGACACTTGCACAGTGTCAGCCGCAACGACACGAAGTAAAGGCAAGAACCGCGCGTCTGTGCAGGACACAGACGCCGACAAGCGCACGAAGAACGTGTCTGTGCGGGGCACAGACACCAACAAGAACAAGAAGAAGAGCGTGTCTGTGCAGGGCGCAGACACCACGAAGACCAACCCAGAGGCAGGGCCTACTGCTGGAAGCGAGCTGAACGAGTTCAGCTCGGACGCAATTCACTGCAGACAAGCCGTCATTCGGTTTGTCCAGGACGCTATCGCAGCTTCTGTCGACCGACAGAAACTGAACGCAGATAATGTTGGCAGGGGCAACACAAATGAATTCAAGAAGGGCTCATTGGTTTGTTAGCTACTCAAAACCTGCCTTAACATGCAGTTTCCGACTTCGGGGCGAGCAAGCTCGCTCCGCGCTTCATCGGTCCGTTCACTATGTTGGCACGGCACGGCAACGCCTACACACTGGACATACCGCCTAGTATGCGCCTCCATCCGACATTCTACGTCGGACGGCTGAAGCCATACCTACATAGCTCGGTTGAACCGAAACAGAAGACTCGGCGGAAGCCGTCATTCTCTCCAGCGCGAAGTCGCGCTGGAGCAGCGGGTCGAGCTAATGGTCCAGCTCGGCCGGAACGATCGAGGCGGTCTGGGAGGCCGCCGCAACCTGATGATACTTCAGAACGCCGAACCCAGCGCTCTAGAACTACTCCACGACCGGAACTCGGTCGTGGGGAGACACGAGATCAGGGTCAACACCAAGTTGACCACACACGGGGCGTGTTTCCACCACCACCGCCGCCAATTCGTGATGCACACGGCTCAACTCGATGGGTTGTTGAGCGGATTGTTGGTCACAGTATCACGAGAACGAACAGGTAACCAGTTCGTTTTCGTATTCGTTGGAGAGGATTCCCTCCCAACCAAGATACATGGGAGCCGCGGAACGTCTTGCTCGAAGACGTCCCGGACATGGTGAGGGCGTACGAAGCCCACCATGCGCTACATACTGGAACGTAATGCGAGCGCTGCTGTTAACAGCAGCGCCCGAAGACACTTCGAGGGCAGATATAGGTGCCTGCCCCCGCGGCAGCGACGCGCTTCGCACGTAGCCGCGCATGCTACTCAGCAGCAGAGAGGTTCACCGCTGCTGCGCCAGCGGTCTTCAACTTCGACGCGATCGTTCCATCACGAGCGCGCTCTCTTCAACGTCACGCATTGACCAAACGGTCAATGGTGGTCGACGTGCCGGGACCGGCACGTCTAACCTTGTCGGGGGGATGGTGTAACGAGGTTACACGCACAAGTGGCTACAGTCACTTGTTACTCTAACAGACGCGATGTCTGTTAGAGGTTTGAACACTTCCGCGACCTTGATGTAAGGTTCACCAATGGCTACATACATTTACGACCACCACGACGGGTGGTCCATACACATTTAGGATTCCTATTGGCTGAAAGCAGCATCTTTTAGCCAATGAGTGACTTGCATGTTAGCAGAATCCTGCCAACCAGTCGTTGGCAGATTCCTATTTTAGAATATTACATTTAGGGGAAGTCAGAAACATAAAACAAAAATAACAGTTCTCATCTTTTACCAAAATCCGCTACTTGGAGTCTTTATCTTGTTTAAAGTATACTCGTGGATCTCGAGTATACTTAACTCAAGTAAAAGAAACCTACGCTTCCTCATACACGTGCGCATACATGTAAGCCGTAGTAGTGAGCCTAGGTAGGCCTACTACAGGTTAAGTGAACCGTCCACGTCGATCCACTTGGCGAACTGCAGATCTTGCAGGTTAACACCGACGGTCTTGAGGTCGGGGACCTCCCTTTGTGACTGGAACAACTGCACCATACATTTTCTTCTCCAGTATCGCGAGGATTTTCTTGTCGGTGAACGGCGGCGACGTCTGCTTCTTGTACGCTTCCGTGAACCGGAGCCACTCCACCAACTTGGGGTTTGATTCGAGGTCCGTCCTCGATTTCCTGATGAGCTTGACGAAGACAGTGTCTGGAGGCTCGCGGGTCGACAGCCACATCTTCCTCGCCAGTTTTTGAGCAGCTTGGCTGTTGACCTTCGACGCGAGCTCTACGCGCTTCGAGAGGCCAAGGACTCTAACTCGCTCTTCGTTGTCCGTACTGTCGACTGAATCGATGGATCTCAGCAGTCTTCTCGCGTTTATGGAGGTGACGGGAGGCACCAGAGCTCGGAATCAGTAAATAAAATAAAAAAGTTTGGCAATAAAATAACTGAACTAATTTATTGCAGTCGACCCAAGTAATCAGTATTGCTCAGATTCTAGGACGTTTATGCAGATAAGGGTTTCTAGAAGCTTCGGGGGCATCCGAGCTATACGCGTTCAAGTAATTCTCCTCTTCTCGGTATCATTTCGAAATCTACCATGTCCCCGACACCGAAGCAACTCACCAGAACCCTCTACTCGAAGCTGCCAAACGGCCGCTACAAGTGCTGACTGTGCTTGAAGACGCGCAAGCTGTCGTCCTCTGGTGGGCCACCAGTGGTGGAAACACCATGTTCGACAACCTCCGACGTGACCACAAGACTGCCTACCTCTCAAGTACGAGATCCGAGCAGTGCGTCTGAGAACCCTCGACTCATTCGTTGCTACTGCTGTTGACGAGCCCTCTCACGATTTTGTAGAGAGCGATGCAAGTGGTGATGAAGAGGGCGAGAATCTCTGTTTTGCAGAGAGGCTACCGTTATTGGTCAAGTTTAGTCTGTGTGAAGACGAAACAAAACAAGAGTACGAAAATGCTGGAGGGGTATCCTCCGTAGACGTGTAGTGGGTCAGCTAAGGGCTTCATACAAAAGTCAAGTATATTCAATTGTCGGATGGAAAATAGCGACGCATTGCTGGTCAATCAAAAACATCTACGAGTTTGTATGGTGTTAGAACACCCACGTCTGCACTGCATCGGCTTCAACTTGGATGTTACCTGGGCGGGACGGCTCCAACTGCGCTGGGCGCTGCTGGCGAGGGCGCTTCCTCGACTTCTTGGACAAGCACTTGTCTTCTCGGGCCATCGCTTCTCCCTCTATTGATTCTTTTGGTCTCGACAGTTTTGCAGCTTCTCGGGCCAGCTTCGATGCCTGTTTTGCAGCTTCCTTTGTACGCTTTGCTTCGTCTTTGGCTTGCTTTTCTTCCAACATCTTCGTGTAGCTGAGCAGCTTCGCGCCCGACACCTTCTCGTCCACAATACCTCCCTTTGGCCGCTGCTGAGGCTGAGGCGCAAGTAGCATCTTGAGCGACAGGTGGACCACGTTCAAAGTATCCAGGTCTAGCTTTCGACGCTTCAACGCTGCTTGGGTGCGCATATCAACGGCTCCGCCGTTGAAGTGCGGGATCATCATCGAGTGGTAGCGCAGCGTCACCGTGTTAGTCTCTGGCTTGTTGCCCACCATCTTGTTCAGCATCATCTCCAGCGACTCGGCAACTGCACACTTTGCGTCGGCCGGAGCCTTTTTCAACCAGCTCACCTTTCGGCGAGCACCTCCGTAGATGTACAGAGGTGGGATGAAACCTCCTGCCGCATTGACGCAACCCACGAGCGTTGCACGTTGGCAGCCATTCCCTTAGAACAGATCACGCGCTCGTTGCAGTTGCCCTGTGCGGTGCCCCCGTCTCGTCGCAGTTTCAAATCTGCGCAGGCTTGTCCATGAGGTCCAAGTGTTGTTGTAGTAGTAGTGCACGTTCTCCGTAGTCGAGCATTCCGCGCGCTTGACGTCCAGAATGCGCCCTTTTCGGTAGGAAATCACCTTGGAGTGCTTTTTCATCCAACGCTGAACCCACTTCATGTTCGGGAAATCTTCCGGCACCTCCTTGATGCTAGTGGCCGGTGCAGCCTGCCGAACGAGATCGCGAAACATGGTGGTTCCGATAGAGAGCCCATGCGCCGCGCGATAAAATATCGCCTCAAGAAGGCCCTCCTCCGCTCCAGCGTTGATGTACAGGGGTTGGTGGCCCCGGCGACAGTCGATAGGAACGTAGCCACGCACTCTGCATCTCAGTGACTCCCTCGACAACTTGTACTGCTTGGCCGCCTTGCGAATCGACATGCCATCTTCAACAGCACATACAGCAGCCAAGTATAAATTTGCCTGGGAAATGTCGGAACCAGCTGGTTGGGCGGACGACATCTTGGAGCTTGGTTGATGAAGGGGTGACTTTGGAGGCCGATAAGTTTTGAACAGTGAGGTCGTTTCAGGCCTCCGAGCGCTCGGACGAAGCGGAAGAGCGTCCTCTATCTATCTATACCGGGGTAATTACCCGGAACGAGGTAGGTCATAGGAAGTCGTCAATAAGGTGGAGCACCCCAAATTGCAGTTTGACCTAATTTGTATACTTTGTGTTTGGCCGAACAATATGTCTTGGCCAGATATTTGCCTCTGACGGATACCAGGTAAAGAAAGCCCTTGTACTGTGCACCTAACAAATGAACATGTAGTCATTAGAAGTGTAGCCATTTCTTTATCTGATCAATTCTTTAACTGAAACAGCGTATTAGACCGAGCGAACTGGGTGTCATTTAAAGAGGTGTGACTGTAGTATTAGCTAAAACTTACCACGTGCTGAGTTTGAGCGAAGTTGTACTGACAAACGAAACTGTCCGGAAGTAACAGGAAGTACAGAACTCTGCCTGAGTACCGAACGCCTGATTGGGGCGAACCCCCCCCTATAATGAAGTCGCTCTATTTTATCGCTCTGATTTGTTTTCTTTCGATGAATTTATGGATAGGGCTAGGGAAAGGTTTAATGGTTGCCTCTCCCGGGGGCAAAAATGCAGCAATTTACCTCTGTATAAAATCCTTTCAGGCTCAATGTCCGACGGTTCCGAGTGACTATTCATAGAAGTTCAGGGACTTAGCCTCCAGCAAAGGGTGCGAAACCCATTAAACTGAGGCCCGTCTCTTAGGAGGCCTCTTCCAAATATATATGTGCTGTGAGCCTTCTAAAGTGGATTTGGCTTAAAACCGCATTATTTTAGCTAAATGGGTACTCTGCTTTGCTGAACTATTGACCCTGCTTTAGCGTCGTATTGCACGGATATCGGGGTAAGTGTGCTTGTTGAAGGTCTACTTAGAATAGCTCTGCTGCTTAGCTATTGCTATCAGACGTCGGAAAAAATAATAGCAAAACAATGATTATGGTATTGTCCAACTACAATTAATTATTATTGGAAGTTCATGAAACCAATACAATATGATATTGTCCCAATAATAGCAATACAATATCAAATTCTATGAATTCTGGGGTTGGGCGTTCATAAATAATGAAAATGCTATAATAAACTATTATAATCTCTATTTTTCGGGTCGAGGACATAGCCTTGGGTTGCGAGGCTTTTGTGGAGCAAGCGGTGTATACTCAATAGCGCTTTGTCGGACAGGAACACTTCCCAAAACCGTCCTGGAAACAGTACAGGGCTATTGCAATCGTCATCAGCCTCCACCTCTATTTTCTCACAGTATAGGTTGGCCTGACACCTCAGTAATAGTTCGATATCAGCCATGAGACGTTTGCGTAAAGTTCGCGTGAAGTTTGCGGCCTTCCTGTCACATTTTGGCAATGAATAGCTCATGTCACGAATGGTACAATATACTTAAATTGTAACAATTATTATTATTGGTTGCCCTCATATTGCCGTTATTACTATTGCAGCTTTGGCCTCGCAATACAATTTCATACTGTATTGTCCGACCCCTGATTGCTATTGCAAGGCGTAGGTTGCTTGCCGTCACTTCACGCATTCGACACGCCTCTTTCAGGACCGCCCTTGGATGCGACCAGGTCGGTTGGTACACTGGGAGGAGGACACACGAGCACAGAGTAAGAGGCACCGGCGACGGCGTGGATTTGGGCGGGCGCCTGACACGCGCTTAGGACGAGCCCGCTCACGAACGCTCTGCCTAGACCCCCCTCCCTCCCAGCCATGCGTGGCAGCCGCAACGCCTCTGGCTGCCGCGGCTCCACCTTCGGCTCAGACGCCGTGCTTTTGCAGCAAGACGCGGGCACGTGACGTGCTGCAGGAGCTGCAGGCGCCAATCCGTTCGCCACCATTACCTACGGCGGTAGCAAGGAAGCTGAGCAGAGCTCAAGCGGCGGCGTGCGCCCGCTACGAGCATGTGCATGACCTATGCGCGCTGGCTGACAAGCATGATTACGAGCTCGTGATGGTATGGACAAGAACTACGCCGGTCACGGGTCACCACGGTAGACCACCCGCACAAGCACTTCCCCACCATTATATACCTGGACTTCAGTGCCCAATAGGCTGAAGCACAACAGACGCTTCGATACGCAGCCGTTCGCCACCGTCTTCGTGCTCACAGACCCCATATACTGGGACGCAGTGCTGCCGATCGTCATGGACATCTTGTGCTCGTCCTAGGGGCTGCTGTTCCTGTACACGATAAAGAATGACAACAACGGTGAGCGTCGTTGTACTCGGCGTGATTAGGCTTCCGTTGTACTCGGCGTGTCCACTTGCCTTGCTACGCCACGGATCGTACCTCGCCATTGACCCACAAAGAACATCGTACTACTCCTCAGTCTTGGAGTGTCGATGCAAGTAACAGCGGTAGGCATACGTATTGTATTGTGGTCAGGGGTGTAACCAGAGCCTTTTTCTAGGGGGCATGGGTCTAGGGCAAAAAAATAGTATGGATTATAGCATTCAAAGCGAGGTGGAGGCAATCGGGCCTAGTTACGCCCTTGATTGTGGTTGGACGTAAAATGTATTGCTAAATAATTAATGCTACACAACAGTCGTATTGTCAATACGACTGTTGTGTAAGCACAATACGGTATTGTGCTATTGCTAAATAATTTCGTAAATTCAGTGACCAACTCTTGTTTTGGGTTTCTTCGTTTTGTTGACGATGTTGTGCGGAATCATGTCCGCGCCGACCGATGCTAAAGCTGATCGACTCGATTGAGCTCTACATGTGGATCTGCAAACTGGCTACGTGGTGTTCTAAAACATGTACTCGTATGCAAAAAGTATTGCTGTCTGCACAGTATAGACCTAGCTATGTGAGCCCCAACACGGGCATACTTGCCGTTAGCGTATGCTGTAAACAATATTTTACAATCGAGAAATATCTTGGGAGGCTTGGGAGAGAGAGAATAAAAATACGTCCCGAAGATTTAAGCACGCGCCATTATAGTGGAAACGATATGTCGCTACTGATGATATTAAGGTGGTGTGGTCCATGTTTGTAGAATTACCGTCGAGGACACATGAATTTGCATACCGCGCCCTAAATAAATGTATCATGCGACCGAAATGATTAAATCGTCCTAGAATCCATCCGAAGCAACGGAAACAAAAAGTGTTGCTGCAATCTATCACAGAGCATTTCTGCACGCTGCAAAATAAAAGCACAGTGATAAATAAGTGTCTTCATGCTGTCCTACTTATTGAAATGCCTACAGTCTGCGTGGCCGTACATCCGTACTGGACTGCTAAACTAAGAAGGACATATCAGTAGACAACCAGCTTACGAAGATGCTCATTAGTTTCTCTAATACTAAAAACTATGTATTTGTACGAAAGTCTCATATGCAGCACTAGTGAAAACCCATCCTAAGCTTTTTACTGAACTTGTTCGCATGAGCAGACCTCTACTTATGCGGGAAAAATCATATTTCCCTCTTTTTCAGCAAATATGATATTTTTTTTGAAGAGCAAAATATGGAAAACCTGGGATTCACTATTTACTATTTAGTAGTAAGTTATTGCTTAAAGTATATGAAGCTAAAGCGAAGCCAGACTGCTACTGCACGCCGTATAGATCGAATTGTTAACGACTAAATTGGTTTACGAATCATTATCTCAAGTTTCACAGCGTTATCTAAGGTCCCATTTGTGAGAAATCGGACCCAGTAACTGGATCATTAGTCAAAATTACGAAAACTATACATGTAGGAACCACACAACATCGCTAATGAAGGTAATACTAGGGATGCTTAACGAATACTCTGAAATGCATTAGTTCTATTAGACTTTGAGTTATGGAGCGACAAGGAGGCTGACGGCAATCATTCTTGCTGCGTTCACAATTATTGCAGTATGTGTCTATTGTATTCTTGACTTATTATTATCTACAGCGTTATTTCACGTTAAACACCGATTGTCGCCGACAAACCGGAATCGTGGTGTCCGGAAACTTATAAAAGTATCATCTGATACGGATTCACTAGAAAAATGAGAAGTTCCCGGCTAAAAGTGCTGATAAGTTCCCGGCAAAAATGCTGGTACATGTATTTTTGATGTATACTGCGTTGTTAGTGGTGTGGTCGACTTGAGATGAATAATATCAATACATGTTGAGGAATCATTATGTCCGAGAGAGAGGAGAATGTCACGGAAAGGTCATATTGATGTCAAACCTGACTCAAACATGATGGACAGGGAAGATGTGTTCGATTACCGGTTTATCTGACTTCTCAATTTATGTGAACTAATGTGCTACTTACTCGACAACAGTGCGGAACACCACACCAGAGCGGGATGTTAAATGTAGTTGTACATGCCGAAGCTACTCAAACCTGATGGTAAAAAATGCTCTACCGAGCTCTTTTATGAAAGTAAAGGAGAGGTATAATCTCCAGCAGAGAGATAAAGTATGCTGCCTACGTTCTCACCTACTTTGTATGTAATTCCTATGAGGCGGATTTTAAATGAGGGGCATATGGTTAGGGCTAGCCGTGAAGGGCGTCTCATGAAATAGTTTTCGAAGGGGTATCTCGTTAGGTTTCCCTAAGACATTAATAAAATAAGCACTGATCCAACCTCTTGCAAGTACAGAGCCTCAATCTTAAACAAAAAGCGGCACAAAGACTAACAGGCGCAATACACGTCAACTGGGGATACCTACTGGCCACGAAAGGATTGCTAATGCAAGTGTTGCTAAAGCGCTGAGAAATAAACATTATTCCTGTTGTCTTGTTGCTACCCAATTGCCTACCGTTATTCGTTTTCAAAAGTACAACTATTTTCAGCGTACTTTTGTGCGGAGGTAAGATTTACCGAGAGTTTCAGGGCTCGGCAACGGTGTAGTAGTGCACTAAAGGAAAATGTCAGGTTATCAAAATCGATCAGCAGAAGATTAGACAGCGGAGGACCGCAAAACCGACCAAGCAATTGATCCAGCTTGCTATACAAAGCAGCTACGTCAAAGTACACAACAGTTACAGATAAAGCAAATCGAACAGACTATCAACACTGGCGGATAGCTCCAAGAAAGCACTTCAAACGATGTAGAACCTTCAAATTTTCTCCCATATTCTGTCAGTGATCGCCAGGACATGAGGCATGCGTGTGAAGTGTTGATACACAATCTCGATACACTCGCTTACTCCTAGCACTTAAATGAAGTTTGACGACAAATTAAATGATTTATCAGCGTATCAGGCTGTTAAGTTTTCTTGTATGAAAAGGTTTCGATCGGCTCTGGGGGGGGGGCATCGCGAAATTTTGTGTACAGCACAATATTTAGTTTCGCCCCAAATTAGCAGCGAGGAAGCGCAGTGAACGAGGTGCTCAGCTAGTATATATAAGGGCTGTAGGTTTATAAAGTGATCTCAGCGTTACTACAGAAAAGGCTATACTGAATTAATTTAGTTTAGATGACGCTGGGCATTTTTGCGTGTGACCTACTCCACGGACTGCCCCAACAGCTCGGCCTTTGAGCGTACACAGTAGTCTTGGCGGGGGCGGTCGGGAGGCTGAACTCGTTCACGGCCCCGAGGGCGATGTCCTTTTAGGACATGGTGGGCGAGCGCTCTGCCTTGTTGATGATGCCGACGTTTTCGGCCCAGGTCAGGCGGAGACGCTGGGTACGGGTGGAGGTCATGGTACTTGTGGAGGACTTGGCGGGTAGTGCGCAAATGTGAAAGTGAAAAGGTAGGTACAGAGAAGATCGCACAGGGAATCAAAAGCGCGCCAACTTTCAAACTGCACAGCTTAGTACTTTTGGCCAAACAAAGGTATCCTGGATTTTTACAGCAGTACCTTTGCCCATCTCCGTTCGTCCTGTTGTTGGACCTTGAAGTATTAATTATATGAGGTTATGTATTGTATAGCCGTTCGGTATTGAGGTTGTCTTTTTCCTTCTCCATCACCTGTGTAACGACATAGGGGCAAATCTTCGGCTCTATTAGTGATGGCTGTGAGCCGGCTGCAGCTTCGTCCGAGTTGGATGTTAGCTGAGCCCCCATGTGGCGGTGAGGGGCCATCACTGCAGAGTTGTTGAAGATTTCACCCCGCTGACCATCCTTGACGCGATTGCGGAGACCGATTCCGTGCACAGGCGCGTGTAGATCTTGAACGTGTCCGACGCCCACCGACCATGGAATTGAATGGTCAACGCGTCGACGCCCGTCCGGTACATGTTGGTTGCGCCCCCGGACCGGAGGGAGTGTGTGCTGTAGGCCTTAGGATCGCCTCCCGAGAGTATCGCTGCTTCTTGGATTTTGTGGGCCACGCGACGGGCTGATACGGACTCGATCGCCCCGTTCTCCGATCTGTAGATTGCCGCCGGCAAGTCCATCGGGAGATTCTGCCGTGCCCGGAGCAGTAGGATAGCTCCCAGAACAGGACACAAGAACCGATGGCCGAACGACGGAGCATGCGGGCGGTCGTGAGGCCGCTCTGGTTTGTCTTGGATCCTCTTAGGCGGATGTACACAGAGGTTGCCGCTGCAGCATCCATGGTTGCTCGCCCATTTTGGTCCAGGGTTACCACATCCGTGGCTCTCAAGGCAAACCAGCGAAACTTGCCATCAGAGACTGCTGCGATCTCGGAGCGCCTGAGGAGGAAGAAGTAGGACAGGCACAGTACCCCCCCCCCCCCCCCCCAGAGCGCTTGGTCCGAGGGGGAGTGCATGTTGAGTGAAGTGAAGCAGGCTTCGAGGAGACGAATCGACACGGGGGCCTTGCGACCTGGGGGCCCGTCGAGGCGGCTGATACCCTTGAGGAGCATGCGGATCTGTGGAAGGTCCGATGGAAAGGAACGACCGGATGCTAGGAAGAAGTGCCGGATGCCTATCAGAGTGTTCAGGATCGACGAGCTCCGAATAGGCCTTCCGGATCCATATCCGTGTTGGAAGCCGAGTAGAACGAAGTCAGATAGGTGTTGGAGCTGGGTAGCGAGTGGCACCCCGTCCAACCAGACGTTCACCCCTTTTCTGGAGAGGAATGCTTGCCACGCGTGGAGTGCGTGTTCGTACTTGGAGTATGTTGAGTTTGCCACTGAGTGTTCGCGCAGATAGCGTGCCAGATTTGTTCCAGACGATTGGTATCCAGTTGGGGTCGCACCTGTGACCAAGAACCGGCTAGGTTAGTAAACGTTGCTAAGGCATAGGGATCCTTCGAAAGGCGAGAACGGGCATCCGCGATGACATTATCCACGCCGGCAATATGCGAAGCAGAGAATCTTAGCCCGTGCGTCATCTCCCAGTAGCCTAGCAGTCTGATGATGGTTTGTGCTCGAGTATTCTTCGAGGCCGTTTTGGTTTGCCAAGCCACGGCAGATGTGTTGTCTATCCGAAAGTGCACGTGAATTGGGGTGTTGTGAGGGCGGGACCCGCACTCGGACGACCATGTGGAGGCCCACGTGTGGACAGCAAAGGCACACGAGAGCAGTTCACGGTAATTTATGTCGAATTCGTTTCGGTGCTCGGAGTTGAAGCTAGCGATGAGAGACTGCTCACGCTCCGAAAATTCGTAGATAAGAATGCGTTGGTTGTTTTGATCTAGTGCGCACAACCCGGTGTCCGATGCATGTGATGTCTGCCGCAGGCTGGGAGCGGAAACACTCCAGCGGTACACCGTTGAGAAGTGGTGAAGTCAGGATGTGCCGCCACCAAATGAGGTCCTGACGCATTTCATCGGTCACTGTGACGGACGACCACCTGTGGAGAGATGTTTCGGCTCGTCGGAGCCGTTGGAGAAAGGGTCGGCCTGGCCTGACGCATGTGGCAACATGTCGGAGGCTCCCTAGGCGAGAACGGTACTGTGTTCTACTCAGTTTAGTCGCGTGATACGCTTTGTTGACCAGAGCTGACGCTTTGAGTATTTTGGAGGGCGGCATAGCCACGGTCAAGCTGACGGTATCAAAGATTAGGCCCAGCACCTTTTGGCGCGTATCCCAGGTGGTGAATTTGTCATCGTTGACTGCGCTGGGGCCTAGTGCCGTTGCCATAGCTGAGCGCAAGGTCTGGTTCGACATCGGAACAGCTGGTTCCTATGTCGGCCGATATGCAAACATGGTCATCCACCCAGTGGTAGTTGAAAAAGCCATGAGGATAGATGGCGTTGGTAGTTCGACCGTGAATAAAGGCGATCGCATCACCCGCTACTCCGTAGAAGCCTGAGGACCCGGTCCAGCCGAAGCAAGCGGACAAATCGATAATGAGGGCGTTGTCTTCTGGTATTGTACCTGCGAACATGTGGGCAGATTCGCTGTGAATGCCGAGGTTTCTGAAGGCGGATGCAACGTCACCCAGAAGAATTTTTGATTTCGTGTCCTGGAAATCGGGCCGATTGCGCCAGTATCTCGCGAGCAACGGCATCACAATGTTCATATTCTGCGGCTGGTACTGAGTCGCGGTCCGTATGATCGTTTACCGACGCCTGTTCGGGGAAAGATAGGTCATGTATGACGCGGCCGGAGGTAGTAGGGTCTTCCTCGCCTTTGTCAACGACCCCGAACGGACTGAGGAAGAGCTCCGGCCAGTACTGGGCAACGTCGAGGTCGACCACGATGCATCAGCCGAGTTCTTGTTCTTTTCGGATATTTTTGCGCAGGACATTGAGCCGATTGCGACCCGAGGGGTGGTTAGGAGGGGGAGAGGTTTGAGTTGGAAGTGGCTTCGTCAGAGAGACGCGGATGCCTTCGTTTGCAATAGACAGAAGGGCGGAGTAACCCTTGCACGCGCTTTAAATTTGGGGTGGGAGGATCTGCTTATTAGGGCGGTAATCCGCGGTGGACTGACCCCGATGGAGCTCGATGAGGGATCTCAACGGAACGTGTGTTCTGCGCACGTACTCGGACATGGCGGACTGGAGATGCTTGTTCAGAGTGTATTGTGGTTGATGTGGGGGGCCGAAATGGGTCGGAAAGTCTCGGTTAGGAGGTGATAGACCGACGGTCGCGAGTGCTGCCGCTAAGCCTTCGCGCCGGATGGAATCCCAGAGGTGCGCCCGTTGCCGACCGAGTTGCTGGGTCTGGCCCACTGCTGCCGCGGACGGTGGCGGTCGGCCCCGGAGGGGTGTGGATGAGGGCCGACCTGCCACCCTGGGGTTGACGCGGGTGGTTGCGGGCGAGGTGTCTGTTGGAGATGCGCTCGCTGTAGTATAGCTGGGGTGTACCACGCACTCGGTGGGGCTCGAAGATTCCCCAGTAGCAGGGCATGCAGGGCGGGTCGGATGCGTGGGGGGCAAGGTATAGGCTGGGTTCGCAACCCGGGCTGTGCGGGTATGTGTGTCTGTTTGAGACGGTACATGAATATCGTCTGACTCAGAGGACCGTGATGAGGTCGGAAGAAGAACCACCTCGGTGGATGGTGTGGAGGGACAAGCGACGGGGGTCAGCCCCGCCATGACGGTTTGTTTAGTGGAACGCGCTGTGGTCTCCTCGTATTGGAGCCGCACAGGCGGAAACACGGGCTCTGTGGGTTTGGTAGAGATTAACGCAACGGTGGTATTGTGTGCATTATTCTGGGTGAGTCCCTGGGTCCGAAGCGCTGGTGAGCCAGCCGCGCCTCGGCCACTTCAGCTGCGGCGAGGCCCGTTGTGGCCACGGCGGCTTGAGCCGTACTGCCGGTTAATGTAGGATTGTAGGTCCCGGTGCAGCGGGGCATCCCACTGGTGGGTTCGGTGCGAGTATGCGCATCGCTCACGCGAACCCCCGAAGCACATGCCTCCGCCGAAGAAACGGAGGCATGGTTCGGTTCCGTCTAAGCGCCGAGGTACCAGCTGGCGGATGTGCTCGGGCATCCCAGTGGTCCGGGCTGATGGCGGGCGGCGGTTTGGTCCGGCCGCCGCTGAGAGTTGTGCTGGTGTGCGTTCGTTGCGGGGCACTGGGAGGCTTTGCAGGGCAAGCAACCATTCGAGGGACCGGTATTCGATCGCTTCGATAGTGGCGCAGAAGTCACGCCACAACGAAGGGGAATCGTCCGCCAGGTGGCTGACCGCTCGGCCCATGTACAGGTTATCGTACTGCAACGTGCGCGTTACGCGCAGCGGATTGTTGCTAGGATCGGTGATTTGGTTATCAGACACGAACCGCCGGATTCTGTCCACCAGCCGGATCATGTGCGGGTACCAGAACATGTTGGCAAAAGCGGTGAGCCCGCTAAGTGCCAGGAATATGTCGTCGTAGCTCGCGCACGTGGCCGGGGCCTGCGGAGGTTGCGCGGTGGAGCTGAAGTCAGTTGAGAAGTTCGCGTTGTTCGAACTGCGTGTCAAACGTTCATCATCAGAGAGGGGTCGAAAGCTGGAGAGAGACAGACCTTGGGATCCAAGTCGAACGCTGTATAGTCGGGATCGTCATGTCGAACGGGATGTCGAGTGCTACGCGAAAGCTAATCATCGTGTCGGTTGGTAGAGTGAACATATCATCTGATCTGCTAAGGCTTGCGATACTGCGGTTGGCGGCAAGAATGTGAGTCGGATGGGGTGCGTAGTCGTCTCTGTTCCGGTGCACCGTCGACGGAAAACTCGATGTTTGAAGCTCCCGCAAGTGAGCGGGGGGCAGGGGGTAGTTGCCGTCGGCCGCAAGCGTCCACGGCGCCGGTGTCGTGGCGGCAGCAATGAGAGGTTGAGTTACAGGGCGCACCGGCTGGACTACCGATGTTGATGCTGGAGCCGTTGCCGCCGCCAGCTGGCTCCGCAAATCCATGACCATAGCGCTCAGGGAGCCGACCTGGGCCGCGAGGTCGGCTACCGTACCGCCAGTCGCAGGTGAGGCTTGCGGGCGGTATGCTTCAGGAAGCAATGGTGTGCTCCCGCTGGTGTTGCCTGCGGTGAACGCCGAGTTCGTCCCGAGAAAGGATGCTAGGTCGAAGGTATCATCAGTGTAGTGGTCGGATTGTTGAAGCAGTTGACTGCCCGGTGACATCGGCTGGGATGAGTTGCGCGTAGCAGGGGCAGTATGCGGAGGGCTGTCCAAGTAGATAATCGAGTGTCGAGGTGGCGCCACTGCGGGTGCATTACCACGGGTAGCCTGCGTCGACGTGGACGCGCTCGAAGCGCTGGTTGAGGACACGGCGTTCTCTGTCGCTACAGCCTGGCCGGGGGTAGCTTGGTCTTGGTCCGCCGCCAGGCGAGCGAGGCGGGCCGTACCATCTTTCCGTTTGCCTGGTGCCTTCGATGCGACGGCGGGCGCTGCCGGAAGAACAGGTGGTGCCGCAAGATAGGCCTCTAGGCTAAATGCCGAGGCCGAGGGACGGGCGAGTTTCTTTTTGCGTTCCGCTGATCGCGCTTCAACCTCGGCCTTGCGTTTCTGGATGCGTCGACTACTGCGTGGGGTTGCAACTCCCGAGGCAGGGGGCCGAGAGGCCGAGCTGACAGCCGGAGCCGCTACTCCAGTCTCCGTTGTTCCCGACGGTGCCGACGGCGCGGCCGGATCCGGGCCGGGGCTCGCTCCTTCCGGCGTAGGGGGGGCGGGGAGAGCCGTCGCCCTCGTGTTTACAGCATTGGTCGGGGTTGCCAATTGCGACGACGGCGACGAAGGAGGCGAGGCGCGAGGCGAAGTCATGGCGTGCACTTGGCGAAGGAGGTAGGTAGGTTGCTTGGTTCTTCTGGTTTGCTTGGCGCGAGGCGAGATGCCGAATGAGCTCTGCAGTCGAGCTGCAGCTCTTCCTACTAGGCGCGTCTTCTTGGCCTGTGCGGGGGTTTCATAACTGCTGCACAGGTTACCTAAAGGAAACAGCTAACCTTGTCTCCGCCACGATCTCACCAAGATTGGCAAGAGTGGATACTTCCGCGTTGCACTCGCGGAGATGTTTGAGGATTGCAAGGGTAAATCGAGAACTTTGCCCGTTTGACGTGATAGAGAATTTAATCTCGCCGATGGGTTCACGTGTACGAGTTCGACTTCGAAGACACTGTACGTTGAATAAATAAGGAAAGCTATCAAAATGTTACGCAAAACCAGGCCTCGGAAAAAATAATTATTCCATTGCAATTACTGTATTTGTGTACGGAAATATGTATTATTGGTTGCCGGTCGTATTGAAATTACTATTATTGAAGCCTAATTTTCAGTAAAATGTTTAACATTACAAAAACCAAGTTTAACGTGAATCTCCATATAAAAGTAATTGAAATAAATACATATTTTTGGTGAATGATATATTGAAATGATTATTATGGAGACCGAACTTTTGCAACTCAATATGATACTTTATTTTCCGAGGTCTGCGTATCCAGTGACTAAAAGGACACTAAGCTTTCGCGTCTAAAATGCACGAGCACCGAAGCGATGCTCGGTGCCCTCACTCGAGTTTAGAGCGTGACAATGCAAGAAGGAACGAGCAGGTGCAGACCCGGCTCCGCCTGAACAGGTTTTAGCGCCATATTTGCCAGATCTCCTAAGAATCTCCTCGATGTGAAAGAGATGGCTACATTTGTACGCGTCGCTTCGCGCTTCGAGTCAACCAAACGCCCATGAGCAAGAAGGCCAAGTCCAAGCCTAAGGCTGCCGTCGTGGACGAGAACGTCGTCACACGGCAGATCGTCGCGACCAACTACGGCAAGGCCTGCAAGTACGCACACGTCGTTAGAACAGAAGTGAGTGCAATTGTTCCGTTCAAGAAGAGTCTGACTGACAAGATACTTTTTTCTGTCATCGCTGCTAGAGCCATTGGCGTCCAGGTGAATCCTCAAGTGAACGAACTTTTCCGCGGCAAAGAAGAGGATGGAGACCTTGTGAACGTAAGTGCTGCCTCTTTGCAGCAAATACTTCAACTACCACAATCTCTCCAAATTGTTTTAAATGGCTTGATGATTCTGTGCAGTTCATCCTCGAGGGCGAGGACGTGGGAACGCTAGGCCCTGGAGGTGTCCGCGCGATCGCACTGGCGATCATGATATCCTTTCCACACCCCTCCGATCTTCATATTGGTGTCAACTTTTTATCGGAACGATTGAAGTTCTCCTTGACTGTGCATTATCTTCACGGCGTTGGACCAGGATTCAGCAATGGACCGTACACCCAGCTGCGGTACATTCGTATCTGGAAGCAGGAGGTCGGCAACGAGGGTGCCGCTGCAATCGTACGGCGTGCTGTGTGCGCATTGTATCAATGCCTTTGTTCTCAGTTCACAGCATGTGGCTGCTTCTAGGCGAGTTTGCTGCAGGCCACTTCGGGAGTGAACATTGCGTATCTGGAACTGTTGGACTGCGGCATTGGGGAGGACGGATGCAGGGCACTGGCGGATGTGCTGTCCCAGCAGAAAGCACCTGGACTACTCACACTCCACCTCGACTATAATCGGGAGGTGGGCGACGCGGGCGTAAGCGCCCTTGTCGACGGGCTCTTCAACAACACAGCGTTGAAGGTGCGGCTTGATTCGGTTCCTGGTCTCAATCCAGCAGCGACTCACAATTTGTTGGTTGTGGTAGCAACTGCACCTCAACTATTGCAGTCTCGGGCCGGACAGCTGCATCAAGCTCGCTCAGCTGATCGCCATGCCGACCTGCGCGATAGAAACCCTGTCACTTCAGGGCAACAGCGTGGAAGCTGACGGCTTGCAACACCTTTCACTGGGCCTCGCGCGCTCACACAAGCTGGTCACACTCAACTTGTCGGACAACGGCATCCGCAACGTACGTCGTGACACCTCCGATGACCACCACAGCAAAACTCGAGACTAACATGTTGGTGCTGTCCATACAGAACATCGAGGCGCTCACAGCTTTTCGTGACGGACTCCTTCGTGGCAAGGCTCTGGCGAATGTGGACTTCACCTTCAACCTCATCGAGCCCGAAGGCGCCAACGTCCTGCTACCAGCTCTTGCTCCCGTACGTTCTCGTCCGGTTCGATGCGTTTGAGGTGATCATTGCGCTAATGATCACGTCCTCTTGATGTGCAGGACAACACGAAACTTCTGTCCTTCCTGGTGGATTCTTCACTTCCCGGAGACATCTTCCAGCAGCTCAACCGCGCGCGCAAGGCTGAAGGCAAAAAGAAGGGGAAGAAAGGAGGCGGCAAGAAGAAGAAATAACTAACCGATCAGCAGCGAACACAACACGTTAGCAGCAAAAAGAGGTGATATACTGGAGCACCACACATTGTAAAACAGCAACAGACACTGGCTATGCAATTGCTGGTTGCCTCATACCTTACACCCCACAGGATGTGAGAAGTTTAAATATTGACGATGAACGGCGTCCCATTCGGAGAGGACTCGACAAACGTGTGCGGTGGCGCGCTTATAAGATCCGTGGGCTGAGATTCCTGGATAGTTCCGGTGCGGCGGCGCCACTCGGGGCGTTTCTTTTTGATCTTGGGCGTGCGCGAGCTCCCCACTGACCGACCGCTGATGGAGGAGCTCATACTGCCGTGGCGAGTGCTAACGCTGAGGGGGCTCGCGCTTGGGTCGTTGATGCTGATACCAATGCTGTCGGACGGGTGAAACCCGCTGTCGTTGACTCCCATGCTTACTGTGCTACTGGTAGAGCTCACAGAGCTCAGCCGGCTGCTTGCAGACGTGTCCATGGAGCCGTGACGCGACCTAGAGCGATGAGACTTCTTGGAGCTCTTGGAGCTACTAGCACCCGATGCTCCAAGAATGGCCGGGGAAGCCAGCGATTCCAACGTCGGGACGTACGAGAACTCCTCAGCGAAGCTCTCAGCTTCTGAGTCGGATTCACTCGCGTGGTTTTCGTCCAGTCGGCTGAAATTGCGTCGGTCGAAGCCTCCCGTGGGCCCCATGGAAGTGGGCGACTCCAGGTACGACGACGACACCGACTGCGACATCGAGGACGACATCGACATGCCCAACTGACTCACACCTGTGAACCGCGGACCTGTTGGATCCCAGACTTCTTCACGACCGATGCGCTGCAGACTGTTGATCACCTGCTGGATAGTAGGGCGCTCGCGCGGGTCCGCTTGCCAGCACGTTACAATCAGCAGCTTCCAGCGCAGTGGACACATATCCGAGCGAATGTTCGGGCGGACCCCCTTGAGCACGAAATCCTCCACTTCGTGGTTCCATCGGGTGTTCTCAAACGGCAGCTTTCCTTCAATGAGCTCCCATAGAATAAGCGCAAGACTGTAGATGTCGACCTTGCTCGTGTAGATGCGCTCCCCGCGCATGACCTCAGGCGCCATCCACCGCGTGGTACCGACCAGTCCCGTCATCTCCACCACGGGCGTCTTCGCAGAGCTCCTGGTTTTGATCTGGGACGCCTGAAGTTGCGCCGCTGACGACACAATCTCGGAGAAGCGGAGCGTACCGAAATCCGCGATCTTAGCGTGCCACGAGTCGTCCACCAGCACGTTCGGCGACTTGAGGTCTCGGTGAATCATAGGCGGGTTCGCATTATGCAAGTACTGGATACCGTGCGAGATACCGAGAGCCAGACGCAGTTTCGTCGGCCAGTTGAGGTTCTTAACATCGGGCGTCTGCTGCTTCAACACATCGCGCAGCGAGCCCCGAGCGCAGTACTCTGAAATGATACAAATGGAGCCGCGGTAGAAGCCAGCCTCCATGAACAGCACAATGTTCGGGTGGCACAAGCCGCGCATGACCTCAGCCTCCGCCTGAATCTCCGCATTGCAGGCGTGCTGGAACTCGGCCAGGTCCGCTGCGCTCTCTAGCGCAGCAAGCACTGCCTTCATCTTCACAGCCACGTTAGCTCCACGCCACTTGCCGAGGTACACGACAGCCACGCCCTCGCCGATCTTGTCTCCAATCTCCAAGCCCTTGAGCTCGTGATGCGACGGCGACATGAGGAGCTTGGGGATGGTCCCGTCGCCTGTGTTCCCCGTCCCCATGCCGTTGGCTGTGCCAGCTGATCCATTGGCGCCTCCACTCATAAATCGTCGGCTTCCGAGCCGGTTCAGTCCATTGTTGTGCTGTCCGTCCCCTGAATCGTACTGTCCACGTAAACTGCGGTTCGACTTGGCCTGGAAGATCTTGAGACAGAGCGTGGGCTTGGTGAGGTAGATGACAGCGTTCACGAAAGGCCACATGGCCAGCACCACGGAGCACGTGTCCATGACTTCGCCCGAGCTGTGCAGTCCGAGCGCAAGGTCTGTAATAACGATGGGCCCCACAAACACGAAGAACGCGAGCGTGTAAGACGCCAGCTTGGACACCACGTAGGCGCCCTTGCGGCGCTCCTGTCTTCTCCACCTCCGGGCGAAGTTGAGCCAGCAGAAGGTGATGATCAGGAAGCACATGACGGCCATGATCTTCCAGATGATCTTGGCGGCGTTGACGAAGCCCTTGGTCTCGTAGTAGCTCGAGTAGAGCTCGAGCACCCAGTAGAAGACGACGACCATCCAGATGATGGCGTGCGCGATGGCCACGTCGAAGCTCGCGCGGTTGCGGTGCTTGGCGATGTAGAGCGCGAGCGTCGCGACCCAGCAGAAGCTCGCCACCTGCGAGCACCAGTGCGGCGCCTGCGCCCAGAAGGTGAGCTGGAAGCTGCTGGCGGCTTTGGGCGCCCAGAGCTCCACGGCGGTCACCACGAGGCCCGAGAACGAGAAGATGAAGTCGGTGATGCACATGACGCGCAGGATGCGCGAGGCCACGGACACGCGCGGCCGGTCGTCGTCGCTCTCGTTGGTCGTGAGGTCGGGCCCCCCTACGGGCGCGTAGAGCGCGTTCTCCCGCTCGCGAATGAGGTACGAGGCCTGGCGGTTGCGTCGGTATTCGTCCGACGAATTCGAGTGCGTGGCGGTCGTGCGGTGGCTCGTGGGCGCGTCCTGCGAGAAGTTGAGCAGCGCCGGGGGCGTGGGCACTCCGCCGCTGCCCATGGCCTCGCAGCGGTCCGCCAGCATGGGCGTCTGCAGCTGGCGGCGCGCGCGCTCCTCCTTCTTGAGCGCCACGACCTGCATCACGTGGCGCGAGCCGACGAAGGCGCTCATGAGCGTGGACAGGAACTGCGCCACGAGCTTGGCGTACAGCAGCGACACGTTGCCATAGTCCTCGCTCGTGATGGTGGCGTCCCCCAGGCTGCCGCTGCCGCTGTCGCTGCTGGACATGGCGCGCGTCTGGCAGGGCGGCTCAGTACTGGACTGGGCTCGGGGGCTGTCGGCAGCGCCCTGCTTTTTCCTCACTGCTCTGAGCAGACCGCGGGGATGGTTTGTGTCACCCGCGCTAAGTACGAAATCGGGCCAGTTGTTGCACTTGCGCTTTGTATGCCGGGGATGCAGTGGGCCGATTTGGTGATGGGGATCACGATTCCAAGTCGGTATGGGGGCGGAAGTTGCCCTCCGAGTCTTCGAATTAGGCTGTCTCCGCTGCCTATGGCCCAGCTCAGCTCGGCTGGGAGATGCCCGTGCGTGTATATAATACTTGTGCGTGTGCACGTAAGCTTACTGCGCTGTACATGTAGTGATGGTGGCTTTAGCGTTGGCCCCTGCGTGCGGACGATGCGAGTGCAACTCGATTGACACCGGCTGCTGCGCGGGAAGCACCTGCCCCCAGCTTCGACTTTGTGTGTCGAGACCGAGGCAAGCCGCCTCGCGTAAGCCTCGGGCATGGGGGCGGCGATTTGCCGCCAACTTGGCGGCCAAGGCATCGATCGCCGTTCGTGGCGTCGACTTTGACTTGAGGCGCAGTCTCTACGCCCAAGCGCTCGCAATCGCTGCTAGCGATTCGCTGGCCCGGATTGCGAACGCAAAGAGCTCGCCCGGATGAGCTCCGGCCTTTGGGGTGTACATGTACTAGCATGCAGGGTCATTAGTTGGCAATGAAGACAGTAGCAGGTGCTCATTCGTGGCAGGGGTTCGCTTCGCGTTTCGCCTTATTATGTTACAGGCTCTGTGCAGCCAAAAGTGAACGTGTTCAAGTTGAACCGGTGACGGGCGAGACGGCTCGGTGAGCGGGCATCGAGTCCCCATCGGGGCACAATGCATCATCATCACGCGTGAGGCGGGTACCGGATGAAGACGCCCGCCTCGTTGACGCCGCTGTTGTTGCTGCTGCTGCTGTTCGCTCGCGGGTCTGTTTGGTGCAGCACGAGCGCGGTGATGTGGAAGCTTTGGAGCGGACGGCGACGGCGGCTGTCCGGGTCGTCCAGCGTGCAGTCCAGGAAGAACCTCGGGAAGCGGCGGTCCACGAGCAGCACCTTGGCGATCTCCTCCACTCCCAGGTCGCGCTGGATCGCGCCTTCCTTGCGCCGCCCGACGACGGCGATGCACACCGCCCCAGCGAGCACGAAAGCGCTGCCGACGATGGATATCAGCGCCGAAGGGAACGGGATCTGCGCTTCCAGTGTCACGCGCATGCCACTGCCGGCGAAGTCGAGCGTTCGAGATCCGTCCACGCTCTGCTTCTCCTCGCGCACGACGGCGTTCTGGAAAAGCAGGAACAGCGCGGCGGTGTACGACTCCTGCAGGCCGAAGCCCATGCACCAGCGGTTCTGCTCCACCTGCGCTGCGAACACGTCCACGCTGGTCGAGCATTGACCGTCGAGGTCTTGCCATGCGTCGTCTTGGTCGCGGCGGACGTTGCGCTTGAACAATAGGTCGCCCTGTATGTCGCTTGGCGTCGTTATCATGGCCAGCGGCGTCCATCGCGAGTAGAGACCGTCGAACTCGCCGAGCGAATCGACTGGGAGGTGGTTTTCGCCAACGATCAGGTGTCTAGCAGTCGATGAATTGGCATTGTCGAGTGGAATGCTGATCCCCGTGCAGGTGTCGGAACCGTCGGCCCCGCACGTCGCGTTGAACTCGCTGGCCAAGTCTTTCGTGTTCCAGGTCAAACGCCCCAAGGTGATTGTGTGGTAGCGTTGAAGATTTGTCACGGTGACAACGCGCGAGGAATTGGTTGAGGTCGACAGCTCGACTGTCACATCGTCCGCGACTACCCGACGAGCGAAGCTGTAGACCAGGAAGGACGTCGTGGAGCGACGAGCGCAACTGGTGCCGTGCAGATAGCCCCTCGTCATGTACTCGGTGCCGTCATCGAAGATGCAGGCCGCGAAGGCCTGGATCTGGGGCTCAACATTCCACTGCGAGTAGTCTGCGTCTCCCAGCACCGCCGTCGCCGAGAAGGAATCCGCGGGTGGCGGGATCAAACACGCCGTCGCACCGCAGTCTGTAATGGGGCTGAGCTTGTAGAGAAGAGACGAGCTCGAGCTCGATGCGGACGTTGAACCAGATGCTGTCGTTGCTGCAGTCGACCCGTTGTCGCCAATGGCGCGCTCGTCAAAAGGGATCTCGATCGTGACAGCATCGTAGTCGATGTCGGCAGAAAGCGCCATGTGCGAAACGTTGAAGGAGGCTACATCCGTGTCGAACGCCAGCCCGCTACGCAAGGACTGCTCGCCGAGCGTCTTCTGCAGCATTGTGCTGGCTGCAAGTTGGAAGTCGAGGTCGGAAATGTCTTCTTCCACTGCGCGCCATGACGCGACTTCTGTTTGAAAATCGGCCAGCGAGTTGTTCTCGAGGTAGGAGAGTCCTTCCCAAGCCAGCAAAGTCTGCGAGAAGAACATCGCGTACAGCAACAAATTACCCGACAGAGTCGCGTTGAAGCCCTCGAGAGACGAGCTCGGTACTGTTCGATTTGTGCTGCCACCACTCGAAACCTCGTCGATCTTCGTGTGCAGTGAGAACTCTGCTTCACGTCCATTCGGCAACAAGTCGATCAGCCAGTCGTTGGCAAAGAAAGCGTAGGTTGTGGCGATGTTCGGCCAGCCTCCACGCCCTTGGCAGCGGCTTTCACTCGACTTCACGTACACGGGTAGCATCGCAGTCCGCAGCAGCGTATCATCTGTGGATCGCAGCGCAAACGCCAGGTCATTACTGGTAGGTGTCGATCCGGGCAGAGCCAAAGATGACGACAGGTCGGAGGCGACGATCACGGGCACCACGAGCGGCTCCAATTGCTGCACGTTGAGCGTGCTGAACGCTCCAGTGAGTACCGCTGCAAGAGTCCCCTGGCCACAGAAAAGCAGAGCTCTCCAGGTCACCGACTCGTTCTGCAGGCTGTTCCTCGGCGAGAGCACGAGACTCAACACAGGTACGAAGAACGCGAGCGCCATCTCGAACGGCTTGGCCAGCATGGCAGCAGCCGTGCCCGTGTAGAAGTTGTATTCGTTGAGCGTGCCCACCGACGCCACCGAGTCGCGTGAGCCGACCGGAACGCCACCCGAGAAGATCCCGACCACCAGCAGTAGCACCATCACGAACGCAGCAGCTCCAGTCAACACGCGCACGCCACGGATGCGGACCAGCAGCGGCATCTTGGCCTTCTGCTCTCCTAGAACGGCCGTATGGCGCAGCGAAGACAGCACTGTCCAGTTGCTCGGTGGCTGGAGAGTTGACTCGCTCAGAGGCACCGACCGTGTCGGTGGAGGGGTGTGCATCGAGGCGTAGCAGTCTCTGCTGAGGTCGCTGCTGCAATTGAACATGTCGAAGGACCCGGCGTCCTCCTCGTCCGTCAACGCCATCTCGCTCCGCTGCCAGCAGTGCGCTGAATAACAGCAAGGCTGCAAGCACTGCAAGCAATGAGATGGCATCCGCACCTTCCTGTAGCTCCTCGACATGTTGCCTTTTTCTGGACCCAAACAATGGGTCAAGTTGAAGCACTCAAAACACAAAAACATACACTCTCACCTCCCAAAGCACAAATTACCGCAAAGTGCGCAAAATGGCGGACCCCGAAGGTGTCGGCGCTCCTCCACGCGTCGTATCTCGCCCCAGCAGCAGCCGCACCGCTCCATGGACGCCCCAAGTGCTCGCTGTAGCTGTCGTGCGCATATGTAGCGACTCTCAGGCTCTAACACCCGCCAAAAGCGACGCAAACCACGTGCGAACGGACGTCACCGACGCCGTCGAGTTCGCGCGGCCGCCTCTCGACTCGGAGACTCTGATACTGAACGAACAGCAGCTTCTAAGCTGCGGTCGTCTCTTGGCTGCGTCGATTGAGCCCTGTGTCGCCTCAAATGGCTCCGGATTGGGCTTCGCACTCGACGACGAAGAGGACGAAGCGCTGCTCGGGGACTCGAGGGACGAGGAGGAAGAGGAGGAGATCTTCAGTCGAGAGATGCAGGCGGCAGACGCAGACGCCAGGGCAGGGGGCGTGTTTTTCTGTCTGCCGAGAGATATGGACCACAAGTACCGGAGTGGGGTGGGCGTCGCCTTTGTGGACACTCGAATGTCCACGAGGAAGAGCAGGCAGAAGCGGTTCTTGATGGTGCTGCTCGCGCCTAATAAGGGCGAGTCGATGACGAGTTTTGGTGCGCTGAGAGCTCGGTTGAGAGTTGTGGCGGCAAGGTTCTTTGATGAAGGGATGGAGGACGGAGAGTTCGCAGTCGTGGACGAGTTTTACAAGGGATTGGTGAACCAACAGCCAGTTTTGGTGAGTGGACTGCTGCCGAACGCAGCGATGGTGAGGCGACTTGGTGGGGGTGATGTGGTGGCGACGTTGCATGCACTACTGCTGCAAGGGAGGGTGGTGTGCTACTCAGCCAATGCAAGCGCAGCGTCGGCGGCGGTGATTGCGTTGCTGGCGATGTTACCGTCGCAATTGGCGCACTATTTGGTGCAAGAACGTAGAGAGGTGTTTGTGGTACAGCCGTGCTGTTCACTGGAGTTTGGAGAGGATCTTTTCGGCGGTACTGGAGGGTATTTGCTCGGGACGAATAACCCGCTGTTGCTGAAAAACGAGAAAGCGCAGTTTGATCTCGTCCTGGATCTGGATGCGGGGCAGGTCACCGCACACCCGACGGCGACGAGTGAGCGTGCTTTTGCGTTTGGGACGAAGACGGCAGAGTTGGCGGACGGACTCACTCGGCGCTTTACGGATCCTGTTGCCCCCATGCACATGCGGATTGTGGGTCAGCGCACGCGTGACAATGAATGGGTTTTGGCGCAATGCCGTTTGTACTTTGAAGAGCTATTGAACGCTGAACTGACGGCCAGCATGTTTGTCGAAAGTGACGAAAATGTCAATTATTCGGAGGCGAACTCAGGGATGATTGATTTGTTTCCAGAGTCATTCCGATCGATGCTTGAGGAAATTGCGGCACCAGTGCTTGGAAGCTTAGTTGGAGTTGACGATGACGAGGAACTTCTCAACCCACGCGCGGCATTTTGCTCCGACTATGGTTGGAGCTGGACTCTTTCGTGGCAGTCTACTAGCAGTTATGCAAAGTGGCTTGAGCAAGAGCTGCGTCAGCGGAGGCTAACGCGAAGTAGCTCAACAGGGTCGTCTCGAACGCTAAAGCCTCCTCCTCACGAAGGACACGCAACGTACACATACCCAAACGGCGACGAGTATGAAGGCGATTTTGTGGAAGGCAAACGGGAGGGCTATGGTATGTACTTGGAGCGTGCGACGGGCAATCTATACGACGGCTCGTGGCTTGCAGATGAACGGCATGGAAAAGGTGTCCTTACGTCCAAAGCAAGTGGGGGCTACATTTACGATGGCGAATGGGTGCATGACATGCGGTGCGGACATGGACATAGTACCCGACGGGGAGGTGGAGGTACAAGGGGCGGAGAGAGCTATACTGGTCAATGGCAGGCGAATCGCTTTCATGGACGAGGGGTGCACGTTAACAGTGAAGGCGATGTGTACGACGGCGAGTGGCGAGATGGAGTTAGGCATGGTGCCGGCAAGTTAACCATAGTGAAGCCAGTGAAAGCAAGAGCTGGTGAAATGGGAGGTGTGGTGCGATACGTTGGCGAGTGGGCGGATGGGAAGTTCCACGGAATGGGATCGTGCCAGTATGCTGATGGGTCTGAGTACTCTGGGACTTTTCGTCAAGGTCGACGACACGGAAATGGTATCTTAGTTCTTGCGTCGGGAGATCGGTATGAAGGGCAATGGTGGCAAGGACTGCGTCACGGGCAGGGGATTGCCCATTCCAAGGGCTCAGGAACCACTCGTGAAGGTTCTTGGAAACGAGGTGTCGAGGTTAGCGATGGTGAGTGGCTCATCACTTTCGTCAATGGTGACAAGTATTCAGGTGCATGCCGTCGTGGAAGACCATGGGGCAACGGAACTTGCAAATTCGCCAACGGTGCTGTATACACTGGCGACTGGATAGATGGACTCCGCGAAGGCCGCGGCATATGTGTTAACCCTGACGGGACAATGCTCGAGGGCGAGTGGCAGCACAGCGTATTTGTTAAAGCTGTGCAATCTCGGTCTCGGTTTGTGGACGTTTCACTTTCCTCTAATTCTCCTCCATCTTCTCCGAGACGTTCGTCTATATCAGCGAAAAGTGAAGGCGAAGCGGAACACCCGATGTTTGGAGTTCATCGTCATGTTTATCCGAGCGGAGATGTGTACGAAGGAGAATTTAAGGAGGGGTACCGTGATGGTTTTGGTATCTTCACTGAGCGCTCAACGGGTACAACGTACGAAGGGCAGTGGGTCCAAGATTTGCGCCATGGGAACGGGGTGCTGACGTCCGGATCAAAGGACTTTATTTATGATGGGGCTTGGGAGAGCGACCAACGATGGGGCTACGGCCACTGCGTGATAAGTGGAGGCCGCGAAACGTACAGTGGGCAATGGAGGGAGAACGCCTTCCATGGCATCGGTAAATACACTGATGCTGAGGGAAGCGTATATGAAGGTGAATTTGTTCGAGGTAAGAAGCATGGCGTCGGTAAGCTCATCGCTCCTGTCGTGGAGATACACCCAGAGTCATCCGAAAAACATCAAACCGAACAATACTCTGGTGAGTGGCGTGATGGTTGCCGCGAAGGCGTGGGAGACGCGGTCTTTGCGGATGGATCAAGGTACTCCGGACAATGGAGAGATGATCTTCAGGAAGGCGAGGGCACATTCACGTCAGCAGAGGGTGATCGATATGTGGGCCAATGGCACCGTGGATGCCGCGAAGGTGCGGGTATACTCACGGTCGGAAGTTCAGGCGTGATAAAAGAAGGTCAGTGGTATCGCGACGAACCTGTTGACGGCGAATGGACCATTACATTTCCAGACGGCAGCAAGTTCACCGGCGAGTGTGTTGAAGGGCGACCGCACGGACGGGGCCTCTGCAAATATGCTGGTGGTGATCTGTATGACGGCATGTGGATGCATGGCAAGCGTCACGGTGCAGGCTCAGGTTTCTTCGCCAATGGTGAGAGCTTCGTGGGTCAGTGGGAAAATAATCACGTAGCGCTCAACGGGCGAGGGAAATTGACGCTGGCGGACGGCACCGTGCACGTGTACGCCAACTGACTGGGTATAATCTCGCACGCTACTGACGATATTCGTGAGACGGGTATTCACACACCATCCTCGGTGTGCGTGAATGTAAGCACTCAACTCTTGACTTCTAGCGTTCGTACAGTAACCAAGTACGAGTGTCGAAAGGCAGTATGGTATGCACTTGTAATCGCGCCATGATGGTCCTTGTGCCGGTACATGTATTCCTCACCAAAGTTGCGGCCCAACGGAGTTGTATGTCAAATTATAGGACCCCGCAGTAGGAGCTTGAAGAGAAGTTGCAGCATCGGCAGTTCAGTACATGAATTAATGATGGAGTAAAATTCGATGCTGTCAACTACGTAGTAGGAATGAATTCCGGGGTCAACGAAAATAACTAAAGCCCCCCCCTGCAAATTCGCACTGTAGAACCACACCCAAGACTTCATTGCCAACAAACACTTCGTCACAATAAACAGTGTGTCGTGCTCGCGATAACTATCTCAGAACTTGTTATACAGCGTTTCGTCGTAAGGACAGGTGAAAACCGAACTCGATCACCCTTTCCCGACCAAGATGGCGGCTGGAACTTCCAGGCAGGATGGAAGTGGTAGTTGTCGCAATTTGAGAAATCCTTGATCATTATGCACATGTGCTTTCCGAGTTCATTGGTAGCCTACGCGTACTTTTTTTGTAGAGGGGCAAGTGTAAAACTTATCCACTTGCGACGGAGAATAACCGCCCTGGCGCAAGTACAGTACAGTAGTCGCTACTCGATCGCTACTCGATCGAAGGTTTCGCTTGGTGTTGGCTGCTAGCAAAGGCCATTCATTTGAAAGGAATCACTTCAGTCAAAAGATACTGAAGCTGACGATAAAGGTACGTTAAGTACGTGAAACACGACATTGGTCGTAACACCTGAAGGGTGAATTAGACTCACCCGTTAAACCCGCCCGCACGTGCATCGTCGGCGCCGGTTCGGCACCCAAAGTGAGAGCTTGCAAGCCTTCAATAGCCCGCCAAAGCCATAGCCATAGACCCCTACCGTAAGGGCCTCTTTCATGAATCTTTTGCTCAAATATATATCAGAGTGTGGGTACAATAACAACATACACTTGAAGTTTGTATTGCAACAAACTGACCACACCGAGGTTTAGCGCACTTGGCCTTTTCCCGCCTTCCGCGCACGTTGTTCCCTCGCCCATCTCGGCCGTGCCATGAATTCCGCCCCGATCTCGACCGCGCAGGACGTCGCGGCGCTGCAGGCGCTGAGCCCGAAGCCGCACCAGTTCATGTTCACGTCGCTGCTGAAGTGGGCGCTGGCGCTGGGGCATCTGCTGCAGAGCGCGCTGCCGCCCCAAGACCCCCAGCAACAGCAACAGCATCAAAATGAACCCAAACGCGGACTCTTCCGCCGCAACAGTACGTCGTCGTCCAAGAAGAAGCCCAAGAAGGAGCGCAAGAAGCCGTCCAAGGCCAAGTCGGAGACCTTTAGGGTAGCTAGAGACTCTTTAACTTTCCCTACCGAACAGGGGGGAGCTATGGAGGCAGCCATTCTGTTATTCCACCGGGTCGTGGAGGGCTGCCAGCACTTTGTCACGACTTTCGGCAAGACGCACAAATTCGTCTTCCACTTGGCCAGTATGCGGCGAATGTACTTGGATCTGGAGGCCCTTGGAGCGAAGCTGGACAAGGTGGTGACGCTGGCGGAGCTGCAGGAGAAGGTGGAGCTGGAGAGGCAACAGGGCAAGGAGCAGGGCTGGACGTGGAGGAAGCAGCTGGACGAGGACAGGGAGAAGGAGGAGGCGGAGCTCAGTGCCCGAGCCGCCAAGAACGCGCTCCCGTTCGCGAGGAACATGCTGCCCCACGAGCCCATGGAGGCTCTGACGCTGCTGAAGTTTGAGATCGACCACTTTAAGGCGGAGAACTCGACGCGCCACGTGGCGAGCATGAAGAAGGTCTTCTTCAGTGTGGTCAGGTCCTCGAACGGACGTGTGGCCAAGATCCCCGAGTGGTACATCCCTCCGTACGCGGTGAATTATTCTCGAGAGAAAGTGATGGAGGGCTCGGTCGGGACGGCACACCGAGGCGTGTGGGTGGACAGGAAATCCGTGCAGAAGAAGACGCCTGAAAAGGACAGCGGTCACGTGGAACAGCCGAAGACGCACAAGGTGATGGTGAAGCGGTATGTTATCCATGCTGACGCGATCGAGACGTTTAAGCAAGAAGTGGAAGCCTGGTTCGCGATGGAGCATGCCAACATTATCAAGCTCTACGGCGCGTCGCACTGCAGCCGACCGGCCCTCCTTGTGCTTGAGGACGCCACCAATGGATCTCTCGTGAGCTACCTGACTCGTCAACGTCAATTCCAGGCCGGAAAGCGCAGAGAGAAGCGCACTCGTGGGGAAGGAGTGAATACGCAGTGGCCGTATCGGAACCAGAGGCATGCACTATGGAGTTTGTTTCTGGAGGCGGCGGAGGGGCTGCGATACCTGCATGAGGAGATAAAGCTGGTTCATAGCAACCTCAAGAGCGACAATATTCTGGTCACTGGTGACAGCCGTGTCAAGCTCACGGACTTTGGTCTCGGCGTGCTCGCTCTGCAGGATCAGGCGGTACAGGACAAGAAGTTCCAGGAGCTGGGATGGCGAGCCCCCAATTGCGTTCAGAAGAAGCCCTTCCGCCGTCCGTCTTTCCAGGACGACGTCTATTCGTTTGGCCTTTGCGTGCTGGATGTGCTGGTACCTGAATTCTCGTCGATCAAGCCGGACACTCGCCAAGGTGCACCAAAGCACGTCGGCGACAAAGGATTCAACCCGTTGTCGAGGGACGTGCTGGCGCTGATCGATAACGAAAGCCATAAGAAGCTTGTCCAGGACATGTGCCAGGAAAACCCCGGGAAGAGATTGTCGCTGAAGGATGTGATCTCGCGCATGGAAGAAATCCGTGATGCGGCTGCTAAGGAGCCCGCGGATTCCAGTGAGTGCTGCATTCTCTGATTCCGCCAAGTATATGAACCTGATCTCGACGAAAACGTGGAGTCCACCCACGCCTGGAAGTGCAATTGGGTCACTACAGCCCTTGAATTCCAGCGCGTCTTCTCCTCTCGTCATGGCTGTAGCAGACAGTGCCTGTTGGCTCCCTTTCGTTTATCGCTGCCCGGTTCAATCTTCGATGTGGATGCAAAGGCTGCTTTCTCCTGTCGTTGGCTTCTGCGTGGGCTCAAGCTGTTCACCGGGTCCCAAGATTTGAATAGCTGTCACGCAGTACGCACGTGGCGCCTTCCGTAGCTTAGCGGACGGGCATGCTAGCCACAGTACGCACCTCGCTCTCGTTGACGCTATGAAAGCTGAAGAACGCGGTCATCGCCGCTGGCATCTTCTACAGTAAGAGCAGCAGCGTTGTGTCTTTCGTAACTTAAATGATGCCATTCAATTTCGAGTTGATTGTCCTCGTTATTCATTGAGACGGGCCGCCTCACCAGCTTTCATCTGCTGTTGACATGTGAAGACGTTGAAGTGGTTGATCGACTCGACTGACGACATTGAGGCAATGCAGTCTTCATGACCAGCAAATCGTGACGACCACCAGCCAGCCAGCCAGCCAGCCTCCAACGCCTGGAGAAATGTTGTCGTCGACAACACCCAACAACCAAACTCTGAAAGCACCCCTCCAGTTTTCACCCCACCTTTACAAATACCCGGGGTTTCCTCTTCCCACCCCCACCCTCAGTTTCTATGTACCCCCATCAAATAACACCCACCCCACCCCCCACCCGTTAGTTGAAGCTTCGATTTCCTGAGCCACAAACGCAATTCAGACATACCCCAGACAGCCCGCGAGCCGTCGTCGCCGTTGCCAGGTCCAGCAGCTACTATACAGAGCTCCGTCATGACGCCCGACGCCGAGCTGCCCGGGGACGTGTGGACGCCCGAGACGCCCGTGATCATCGCCGCCAACCGCCTGCCCGTGCGGCTCTTCAAGGACCCCACGCCCTCCTCCTCCTCTCCGTCTCGGTGGCAGGTCGAGTGGGCGGGCGACCGCATGATCGAGTCGCAGAACACGCTGTCGCACTGCGAGATCTCGGAGCGCGCCACCATCAAGTTCGTGGGGCGCGTGGCCGACGTGGCCGTGCCCCTCGAGGAACAGCACGAGGTGGAGCTGCTGCTGCGCGAGCTCAACTGCTTCCCGGTCTTCCTGGAGCAGGAGGAGGCCAAGCTCTACTACGAGGACTACTGCAAGCAGACGCTCTGGCCCACGTTCCACAACGTCGTGGACGTCTACAGCCCCGTGGACGTGGTGCTGGACGTGGACGCGCAGCAGCAGCAGACCCCCGCGGCCCAGTTCTGGAACCCGGGCTGGCAGAAGGTGGCGTGGCAGGCCTACGCCAACGTCAACCAGTTGTTCGCGCACAAGATCTGCGAGGTCTACGAGCCCGGGGACGTCGTCTGGGTGCAGGACTATCATTTGCTGCTCACGCCCAGCTACATCGTGCGCAAGATGCGCGCGGCCAACGTGGGGCTCTTCCTGCACGTGCCCTTCCCGTCCTCCGAGGTCTTCCGGACGCTGTCCATGAGGAAGGAGCTGCTGAGGGGCATGCTCAATGCGGACCACATCGGCTTCCACCTGTTCGAGTACGCGCGCCACTTCATGTCGGCGTGTCGACGCATTCTGGGACTAAGTTATGAGCCCATTCTGAGGGGCCAGTTGGGTATTGACTATGGGGGACGGCGCGTGGCTGTCACGTGCAGCCACATGGCCATTGATGCGCAGAGGATCGAGGAGACGCTGGTGAGTGAGGACGTCCGCGAGATGGTAGTCAAGCTGCGCCAGAAGTACAGGGACAAGAAGATCTTCGCTGGATGCGACACTATTGAACGCTTGAAGGGCATTCCGTCCAAGATGCTGGCGTTCGACGGGTTTCTGTCGAGGTGCCCGGACTTCATTGGCAAGGCTGTGCTGGTGCAGAAGGGCATTCACAGACGTGGAAGGGTGACGGACTATCTGCAGAGCAAGAAGGAGATCGAGCTGGTGGTGCAGGCCATCAACAACAAGTACCGTGATGTTGCAAAGGGGGACGTGGTGGACTACGAGGAGGTGGACGAGTTCCCCTACAAAGAGCGGGTGGCGTTGTGGCGTGTTGCCGACGTGCAGATCACGACTGTACTAAGGGACGGGCTCAACACGACGCCCTTCGAGTATATTGCCACACACAAGTAAGATGTGTTTTGTATTGAATGCTGGGCTACAATAGGGCTCTAATTGTACTTGCGTGTCTGGATTTTGTGTAGGACCTCGCCTGGTGTGCTGATTATGAGCGAATTCTCCGGCAGTAGCAGATTGCTGAGTGGTGCACTAACGGTGAACCCCTGGGAGTTAGACCAAGTCATCGACGCACTCCGGGACGCTGTATACATGCCAGCCAATGAGCGCGAGCATCGGCGCAATTGCGACTTCCAGTTCGTCTCTGCCAACCCTCCTCGACGCTGGGCCAAGTGCGTGCTCACGGATATTGTGAATGCACGAAAAAAGGAGGAGTCGTTTGTCTACATGGGCACAGGCTTCGGTCTGGACTTTCGTCTGATGGAAGTTAGCGCTCACTTCCGGGTAAGATGCTGGCGTGATATGCGTAGTCACCAACTCGATCACTAACGTTATACGTCGTGGTTGCCAGAAACTAACGGAGCAAGAGATATCACCAGGGTACCGAACCAGTACGAACCGCGCAATTTTCTTGGATTATTATCGAACGCTAGCTCCCGACGTGTCGAAGGTGATGGGGGTGCGGTGGCCTGACGTACCTTTGAGTGCATTGGCTACGCTGGAGCAGTTGTGCAAGGACCCTCGCAATACTGTTTTCATCGTAAGTGGCTGCAATTGCGACCTCCTTACGCAGAAGTTTGGTGGCGTGCCAGGCTTGGGCCTTGTTGCAGAACACGGGTACTTCATCCGACGTGCGGTTCTAGGCAACGCTGCTCGCATTGGGCGTCCGTGGGAACGGCACGGTGATATTTTGCAGATAGAGGGAGGCCATCAGCAGTGGCGCGTCAAGGCCGAGAAGATCATCCAGCTCTATGTTGATCGAACGAATGGATCGACGCTGGAACTGCGAAGGAGTGCCGTACTGTTCCGCTACGGCAAATCCGATTTTGATTTTGGCGCACTACAGGCAGCTGAGCTGAAGGAGCACTTGGAGGGCGTATTTGAGGTGCGTTTGATCAGAGGGTGCAGCGATAATGCACGGCATGCCCAGAAACTTACGATTACTGGGATGTTTTGTATTGCGCTGGAATCAGGGCTGGCCGTTGAACATCATTCAAGGCAAAGACTACATCGAAGTGCGGCCCGAGGGGGTTGGCAAGGGCAAGATCGTCAGCCACTTGCTGAACAAAATGCGCGTCGACGGCAATCCAGCGGATTTTGTTCTCTGCATTGGGGACGATGTGGCCGACGAGCTGATGTTTGATGAACTCAAGAAAATGGTAGCACATGAAGAACTCCCAAAAGGTGAGCTGAAACTTGTCGAGTACACACGCTTGCGATTGCTAACGATGACGTTACTACATCCCACAGACAAAGTATTTACCTGCACTGTAGGGCAGAAACCCTCCAAGGCTGAATTCTTTGTCGACGACTATACTGACGTCATTGCGCTGCTAAAGTCCATGAAAGTAATGGCTACGAAGGTAAGCCGTACTGTGACAATAGTTTTTCGGTGATGTGGGCTAACATGTTATGATGCCTGCTTGACCAGTCCAACCGCAACTACTCGCTCTCGGATATGCAGTCTTTTGTGCGAGACACACGCCCGTTCCTCTCGTCCTCCTCGCACGGCAACGCTGGAGTATCAAGGAGTGCGACGTCAGACTCAGTGATCCGAAAGTCATCAAGCCGCCATGGACTCCACAATCATCTGTAAGTTACTTACAGGACTATTACGGATGGAATCAAACTCATGTATTGTCTTATGTGATTTAGGACGCCTGTGATCGAAGATCAAATCATCCCAACAGACGTCGGCGGGCACAGTGGGGGCCGGTATCCTTCTCCAACGCGCCGCCGCAAGAACCGGAACCAGTGGCTCAATCGTCTCCAGCAACTGGGCGTAGTCGCGATCTTGGTTGGCATTCTTCGCTGGCGCAGCGGCGTGAAGAATCCTCACGAAAAGAAGCTGCTGATGTATCTGGTGGCATCGCTGGGCATCGCGTGGTCTATCCAGCGCGTGCGGTCAAAGTCGAACAAGTAAACAGAGGACCTAAGCGCTGGGCTCCGGTCAGTGTGGTGGCAACTATATTGAAGTGAATTGAGGTAAATTGAGGTATTAACCGCTGCGAACCTACCAGTGTGTGTTTAGACGTTGATGCCGTTCTCAGCTCCCCATTTCTTCATGATGCGCACAATATACTCGACCTGTGGGTTGTTATTCGCCTTGAGAATGCTGAGTACCTCCTCGAGCTCCACGCGGGTGGCCTTACCGGCGACTGCGCGCTGGAAGACCCCGACACAGGCGCCACGCTTTCCCTCCCAGTACTCTGGATCGGGGTCGAGTCGCTCAAGGATGTCGAAGGCCTTCGCTGCGTACAGGAACTCGCCCATTTTGTAGCAGTCATGAGCGATGAGCTGCAGCAGGTTGAACGAGTCGTCCGAGTTGTCGAGCTTGAGGTACAGATCCCAGGCCGCCGACGGGTTGTGATTCAGGATGTAGCATCTTGTGAGCCAGCTCACGTAGCAGTAATCGTGGCGGTACTCCTCCTGCTGGACGCGTAGCAGCGTCTCGAGCGCTTCTTGGTGCGATCCGGTGTTGCAGAGCGAGATGCCGAAGTTCCAGTTGAAGTCGTCTTCGTTGTAGAGGTACTGTTTGATGGAGTTGAGGTAGATGTTGACGTCCTCGAACTGCTTGAGCAGGTAGAAGCATGAGGCCATGCACTGACGGCCGGGGATGGTGTCGCACTCGGTGGGGGACGATCCGACGAGCTGGAAGTACTGCTGCGCCGTCTTGATGTGCTGTCTCGACGACGTGGACTGCCCCAGTGTCGCATGCACCACGCCCTTGAGTATGTATTCCTGTGGCGTGGACGGCTCCACATCTTTGATGAGATCGTACGCTTCCTGCAGCTTGTCGTGCTTGAGGTAATACACCACGAGGTTCAGCCTCGCCTCAGGTAAGGCGTCCACGAACTGCGGTAAGACTCGGAGCGCGTTTTGTCCGTCCTCAAAGACGACCATGTTGTGGCTCACGAGGTCGTTCTGCTCGATGTTGTAGCCTCTGTCGGTCAACGTCTTGATCTCGTCTTTGGCTGCAGCTCCGTTGTAGAGCTTGAACTGGTTGCAAGCCTTGACGTTCACGGCCACGACGCTATCGGGGAACGCCTGCAGATACGCCTGCATGATCTCGAGCGACACGTCGTAGTAGTCCAGCTTGTAGTAACACATGGCGACGTACACGTTGAGTGCAATATCGTCGCGGTTTTCGAGCAGCAGCCTCTTGTAGATGTCCGTCGCCTCCTGGAAGTGGTTCCTAAAGTAATGGATCGCGGCAAGGGACAGCTGGTCCTCCTTGGAGTCCGTGAGTTGCTGGTGGTAGACTAACAGCTTGTCCTCGTCGCCCATCTTGTGGGCGCAGTGGAAGAGCAGTCGGTTCTGTAGCTGCCCCGCCGGCCCCTTCTCGGCCTCCTTGGCCGCCTCCTTGTACATCTGCAGGTAGAACAAGCAGCACGCTCGGTAGAGGTAGATCTCGGGCGTGTCGTCCACGTCTCGCAGCTGCGCGTAGGCGTCCAGCGCGCGCTGGTAGTTGCCCAGGTGGAACGAGGCGTAGGCGAGCCACAGCAGCGTCTTGCGCTTCTCCTCGGCCTTGGCGGGGCCCGTGACGGCCGACGCGTCGTCGCTCTTGAGGTTGAACTCGAGGATGGCCGACGCGCCCGTGAAGTCCCTCTTGGCCACGCATTCCTCCACGGTCGGCCCCTTCTTGGTCTTCACGCGCGCGATCTCCTGCGCCTTGGCGCGCTGCGTCTGCTTGGGCTTGGCGACGTACATGGCGACCGATGTGCCCGCAACAATCCCCAAATGGCTACATGCGTCGCTTCAAGATCGCAAAAAAGACAAAAATGTATCCAAATGTGTAAGCGTACACCAAAGTTTACGTACATGTGGTGTGACGAACTCAACCGCCCGAGCCTCCAGTTTCATTCCGATCCAGTAGTCGAGTGACGAGTATGGGGCGGCGCGAGGAAGAGCCCGAGGCGGGTCGTCGCCACGGCCGCCACAGGGGGTCCCCGAGCCCCGCGCGCGGCGAGAGCGAGGAGGAAGCCATCCGCAAGCAGCTGCGCGAGTCTGGCTGGAAGAAGCGCCGCGCCGACAGCGTCAGCACCGCGGACGGAGAGGCCTCGCGCGACAAGGACAAGCCCAAGGACCGGGCCGACAAGGGCTCCCCAAGGCCCGCGGACGAGCGCCGCAGCTCCAGGTCGTCGCGCAGCACCAGGCGCTCGCGCTCTCCGCGGCGGCGCGACCGGGAGCGCCGCAGTTCGCGCAGGAAGTCGTCGGGCAGTCGTCGCCGCTCGTACTCGCGCTCGCGTTCGCCCGCGTCGCGCTCCCGCTCCCGCTCGCGCTCGTCGGGCAGACGTCGACGGCGCCACGCGTCGTCCTCGAGGAAGCGGCGGTCGTCGCGCTCGCCGTCCCGCAGCAGGGACGCGCGCGAGTCCAAGCGCTCGCGGCGCTCGACGTCCGCGTCGAAGAGGAAGGCGTCGGTGGACGAGAAGGAGAAGAAGAAGGAGGAGAAGGAAGACAAGGTGAAGAACAAGAAGGAGGAGGATGACGAGACGGAGACGGAGAACGAGGACGCCGGAGAGGAGGACGAGAAGAAGAAGGACGACAAGGAGGAGAAGGAGGACAAGAAGGTCAAGGACAAGGACAAGGACAGAGACGACCGCCACCGGCCGTTGTCCTCCAGGAAGAGCAGTCGTCGCTCGCGCTCTTGCTCGGGATCGCCGCGCTCGCCGTCCCGATCTTCTCGTCGTCGTCGCCACCGCCGCAACTCGTCGTACTCGCGCTCGAGATCCCCGTCTCGCAGTCGACGCGCGCGACGCGGAGGATCACGCTCACGCTCGCGCTCCCCGAGGGACAGGCGCTCGCGTGGTCGGGACCGCGACCGAGACCGTGATCGCCGCAGCCGCCGTAGAGGCCGCAGCTACAGTCGCAGCCGCAGTGCCAGCTACAGCCGCCGCCGTCGTCGCAGTGAACGCTCCAGCTCGCGCGACCGCTCTCGTCGTGAAGCTAAGAGCTCTCCTGAGAAGAGCCAGCAGCCCGCGGCTGGCACCGACGCAGCTGCTGCTTCTACTGCCGCTGCTGGAGCAGCTCCAGCGGCCGATCCGAGCTCTGGCGTGAACCCGACGATCACGCAGCTGATGGCCCAGTACCCGACTATGAGTCTCCAGGACATCATTGCCAAGATGCAGGCGTCAAACGTGACGATGGCGGCTGCAGTGGCCCAGAAGCCGGCGCGCGAGCTGTACGTCGGCAACTTGCCGCCGAACGTGACGGGTCCGCAGCTCCAGGAGTTCCTGAGCACGATCATCCAGCAGGTGGGGCTCACGACACAGCCCGGCAACCCCATTATCAACACGTGGATCTCCACGGACGGCCACTTCGCCTTCTGTGAGATGCGCTCCGTCGAGGAGTGCAACTTGGCGCTACTGCTGAACCAATTGTCGCTGCTGGGTCAGCCTTTGAAGTTTGGTCGCCCGCGCAGCTTCATGGGTCCGCCCCAGCCGATGCCCCAGATCTCGGCGCGGACGCAGACCGCACTCACAAACTTGGGCTGCACTCCGAACCCGGCCTGGTTTGCGCAGCCTGCTGTGCCGAGTCTTGATGAAGCCGCCGCTGCACCAGTGGGAGACTCTTCGACCTTGGCGGGGGCCACCGCGGCTGCAGTTGCAGCGGCGCAACCCGCTGTACCTGCGGTGGCTAGTACGACGGTTGATGCCTCTTTATCCGCCCACCGCCTCATCATGTCGAACATTCCGGTTGTGTTGACGGAGGACCAAGTGAAGGAGCTGGTGGAGCCTTTTGGAGCGCTTAAAAGCTTCACGCTGGTCAAAGACACGGCAACGGGGGCGTCTATGGGCAGCGCCTTGTTCGAGTACGAGGACGACAGTGTCACCGCGCAAGCTGTGGAGGGTCTGAACGGACTGAGCATTGGCGGCATTCTGTTGTCGGTTCAATGCCAACCAGCAAGCGGCGCGGCCCTTCCAGCTGCGCCGGGTGCTACCCCCAATTTCGAGGACCAACCGAGTGCTGTTCTGAAAATGGTGCGTTATATGAGCTGGCGTATTCCACTGCTCTTCTATGCTAACGGTATTCGCTGTTGACGTTATTTGAACAGGCGAATATGGTTTCTATCGACGAACTAAGGGATGACGACGAGTATGCTGATCTTGCTGAAGATGTAGAGGAAGAGTGCAAGCGCTTCGGAAACGTGACTGGCTTGGAAATCCCGCGTCCCAAGGTTTGTTCTTTAAAGTGACTGTAGTTCGTAACGATCGTGGCGTACTCACATTTGTTGGCGTTGTGCGATACGTTTGTTCTTGCAGGATGGCGAAGAGGTCCCCGGTCTGGGCTGCATCTACGTCCGTTTTGAAGAGGAGAAGAATGCGGTTGATGCTTTGAAGGTACGTACGATACAATCCTGCCTTTTGAATGTGTTTGTCTTTGTTCTCACTTGTGTTTATGCTGCACTGTTGCAACGATTAGGCCTTGAACGGACGCAAGTTTGGCGGTAACATCGTCAAGGTGACCTACTTCCCCCTGGACAAGTTCGACAAGCAGGAGTTCTCCTGAGCGACGAATCACAAGACGCTGGATAGCGGTCAAGGTCTATTTCTTTCTTATTTTTCTGTACACGCGCTGAGAGAGTTGGCGGAGTTGGACTGCACAAAATGCGACGGATCGGTGAATTGCGCACAAGCACGACGGAAGGTTTGTGTCCGGTAACGTCCTAGGACGTTGCTCGCAAAGGCTTCGGCTAACCAAAAACGTGCTGTGGCGATGTGTAGATCGAATCCAATGAACTTGGCCTTCACTGTTGTGTGCGCATGAGCTTCCGATTGTTGGGAGTTCTGCCTAATGTGTGTTTTGTGTTCATGATGCCATACTGTGCTAATGTAGACGCTTGATTAAAGCAACGAAACAACAAACAGGAAGCTGGCCACGCTAATGTCGAGCACCAGAGGACGTTGGCGTGTCCGACGCGACCTTTCTTGATCAAACATGTGGACGACTTTGGCGGCAAAGCCTACATTGAGACCGCACTGAGCACTGCTCTTGGCTGCCTTGTGAGGAATCTGAGCTGGCTTGAAGCTTGTTGCAAGACTCGACCAGGTAGGTGGATAATGGCCTGAGAGGTGAAGCTACTACAGTAGTTGAACCTTAAATACGGAGGAGCGACGTGAGACGAAGCCGTAGCACCATATCGACGTGGCTTTAAGCATGTCTTAACCAATGAGTGTTTGAACTTGAGGGGCAAGTGCGTGTTGACGTTGTTTATTGTTGTGTCTGGCCTGGCAGTTGCGTGACAACGCGCTTCGAGATGCGGTGGTAGTACCGATACTCTCCTTGAGCGTAGTCGTAGAAGCTTTCCCAGAGACTGACCCCGCTCTCGTCGAAGGCTTTCTCGCGATAGAGCAGGTGGTGCTTAGGCCCGCTCGGTCGGCCCAAGCCATCCCTGTCAGATGGAGAAGCGGATGTGTCGTTCGGTTTGGCGTTGGTGCTCTCATTCAGCATGGTTGCGAACGCTAGAGCAACGGCGGGAGGAGTTGCAGCTTCAGCAGCTCTGGCAGCTGCCTGCTCGTCGTCCCAGTTCCCCGTAGACACCGGCACGAACCGCGAGATCTCCCAGAGCATGTCCTGGTAGTTGTCGCGTGGAACCAAGTGCTCGAAGTCGTAGCCTCTCGCTGCATCCTGGAGGATTTCCGAGGGCCAAATTGATGGGAACTCGCCGTCTCCGTAGTCGCGACGCCGCCCGTAGTAGTCGAACAGCTTCCGCTTGTTGTGCAGGCGTCGTTTTCCACCGCCGTGCACGACAACATCACACTGCTCAAAGAAGTTCGAGTTGCGTGAACAATCGGTTAGGGAGGCAAATCTCAAAACGTGAAGCAAGTGGCAGCGTACCTCATCGCAGAAGAACTCGGAGCAGGTGGCACACTCGAAGCTGGCGCTCTCAGGGGTTTCTAACACAGCGTTGAACGTATCAGTCAAGTAACAAGCGACCAAGATCTTCCAATCGATGATGAAGGACCCACCACATTGGGCGCATGTTGGGCGGACAGTGAGTGACAGCAGATCGCGCGGCAATCGCCAGCGAATTTCGCCGTTGACTTGGTTCTGGTGTTCAACAAGGCAAAAACGTGTGAGTGAGCTCGAACGACATCCTCGAGTTATCCTGTCCCCCGACTGATACTCACGTAGAAGAATGGCGCTCCGTATCCCGCTCCGTGCTGGTTGTAAGTGTCCACGAGCTGTTTCCAGCGCGTGCGTTGGATCTTCCGCTCGTCTTGAACGCGGCGATACGCTTGTCTGCGTCTCCAATACGACTGAACCAAGGTGGACGCCCAGCGCTTCATCTCTTCGGCGCGTTGTTGCACCTCCAGCATTTCGTGGACGATATTCCGAGCCCGACGACGCAGCAGGAACGTCCTGATGGCGCGCTGCAACACTGTGGCAGCTTCAGAGCGTTGCTGGTTGCGGATCCGCCGAGCCTCAGCCACCATCACTAGCGCTAGGCGATTGTGCCTCGCCCGCCAGTGGCGCTGCAGTCGTCGAGCTGCTACATCCTGTTCACGTCGCTGCTTGGTCAACGCCAGTAACCCGGCAGCTTCTCGACCGCGTCGAGCTCTGAAGATGGTCTGGAGCTTGGTAGCCGCGAACTCACGCTCCGTGATGGCATTACGCCGTCTCGCAACCTCGCGCAGCGCTGAAACGCGTCGGAATTGCGCTTGAACCCGGACTGTGCAGCGCTGTTGAAGCTCGAAGAACTGCCGTTGTTCCTCGCGGAGATCGAGCGCTTGTCGCCGGCCCAGACGCCCGCGATAGCGACGTTGGATCTGGATAGTGGCCGCACGTTCGCGTCTCGAGTGCGTGAGCTTCTGCGCCTGCAACAACCGAAGTTTGTTGCGCTGGACGCGTCGACGGAAGTGCCGCTGCACCTTAACAGCGGCTTGTGTCTCGCGCGCGAACTCGCGTCGACGCCTTGCAACGATTCTCCGCGCTTCACGCCCCGCGCGCATCGCTCGATACCGACGCTGCACTAACACCGCCGCCAGCAGGAGCTGCTTCTCATGGACATCGCGCATTTCGTTCTCGACGTGTCGAGCTTGGCGCGTGGTTCGATATCGTCGCTGGATCAACGTGGCGCAGTATTCGCGATGCGAGAACTTCATCTTGAGTACCAACGCCTCTCGCCTCGCCTGTCGTCCGCGCCAAATACTCTGCAGCTTGCGGACCACAGCGTTTCTTAATGCCACTTCACGCCGCGAGAGAGCGTGGCGTCGAGCTACGCGCGCGCGATACAGGTTCTGAAAGACAATCTTCATCAGTTCAAAGTCCAAGCAAGACATCAAGAAACTCCAAGTACCTGGATAGTAGCAGCGGCGGCCCACAGCGTGCAGAACTCGGCAACGTACCGCCGATCCTTAGCTCTCGGAGCGGGGAAGACCCCCACGTGTGTATTGCTCCCTGTTTGGGTGCCAGCGGGGGGTAAGTGGAGTTCACCGAATGGCCACGATGAGCTGAGACTTTGAAGCACGCGAGCAGATACCCGACAACCGTGAACGCTAAGGGTTAGAAGCTGCGGACACGCGAATGCAAGACGAGCAATGGGGTCTTGCGTGATGAGGGGGCAGTCTGCCAGCACTAAATGGGCGAGCTTTGGCCGCTGGAACGCGTCGCAAAGCGCGTTGATACCGGCATCTGAGATTAGTCGGCACCCCGAGAAGTCCAGGAGTTCCAGTTGATCCGCGCGAGCCCCTGCGAGATAACGGAGTCCGGCGTCGCCCACACGATCACAGCCTGCGACTACGAGCTGGGTTATGGCGACTCCGTGCTTGGCTACGGCTCGCAGCATGCGGTCATCGCATCGCCTTACACCCGAGATATCCAGCCTCGTCAACTTCTGACAGCCTTTGAGCACAGCAGTGCCGGCAGCGAGTGTGACCTCAGGACACGCCTGGAGACTCAGTCGACGCAGCGCAGGGCAACTCGCTCCGATGGCCACAAGTGCGCGCTCTTGAAGCTGGAAACACCCACTCAGATTGAGATCCTGAAGCTCCGGACACCGACTTGCGATAGCTCGAAGACCTTCAAGACCGAAGTCGCGGTTGCTACCGTCCGACACGAGGTACAAGTTGGCAGCGTGTAGCAGCTCCAGCTTCGCGCAGCCTGCAGCAAGGAGCCTCAACCCGACGTCGGAAATCCCCTTGACGCCATTTATCCGAAGAACGCGCAGCTCCGGACATCCCGCGCCCAACGCTGCACAAGTTGCGTCGGTGAGTCCAATGGCTCCAGTAAGATCAAGTCGCGCAAGTTGCGCGCAGCGGGACGCCATCCACTGCACGCCAGCGTCCGTCAGAGCGCTATTCCCCGCCAGCGACACAACACGGAGGTTGGGACAGTACTCGCCTAAAGCCGAACACGATGAATCGGTGAGTTGCTCCCCGCCTCGGACGCTGATGGGTCGGTCCAGCGCGATATACTCGAGATGGGGGCTACTGCGGGCGATACGTACCACGCCGCGGTCGGACACTTGGATACAGCCACTCAACTCAAGTTTACGCAACAGCGGACACTGCGCTGCTAGTGTTTCGATCAACGCGTCGCCCACTTGAGGGCACCGTGAAAGGTTGAGGTGTGTAAGTTTTGGCGAAGCGTACAGACATCGACGCAGCACCCAGTCACCAAGTTGTGGGCAATCTGTGAGGCTTAAGTGAGTGAGTGAAGCTCCGCAGTGATCGACGAGAGCTGCGAGTCCGGCCCCGCGCATTCCACAGAGAGCGGAGACGTCCAATCGCTCGAGATTCGGGCAGGATTCGCCTACGACACGCAATGCAGCGTCCGTGATTCTTACAGCGCCTGCGATCGCCAACTCTTTCAGGTTTGGTACCGCCAGCGCAATGGATGCCAGTCCAGCGTCTGTGATGGTCTCCGCCCCAGTGAGGAGCAAACACTCGGTTGTTTGGTTCCGTGCATCCAAGTAGGAACAAGAGAGTTCCTCCACCTCCTCCTTCCTTAAGAGGAAGCTGCTTTCACGCTGACCAGGGAGCAATCCTTGCAGCTTCTGAGCTTTGCGGTTAGACCGAGTGATGCGGTGGTTGTGGGCTGCAATTCGCCGTAACGTGCGGTCGGACACGATCACGCTCCACCTTCGCAGATCAACTCGAGCACCTTGAAGTAGTTGCAAGGGCACATCCGCCAGTGTATTTCCTGATGTGTTGTTGCTGCCTTGTTCGGGCCCATTCGGCTGCAGTAACAGCGCGATTTGGTCCAGCGAGGGCTTTCCGGATTGTTTGCGGCTTGGAGTTGAATCCTCTTGGTTTGAAGAGATATCTGCAGCTTTGGTGTCTTCTGGAGTTTCAATGGCCTGGAGCTTGACGTTGTTCGTGGCTTTAACTTTCCTGGCATTGCGTCGTCGTCCAGCGCCGCTCTTCTGGTTAAGTTGGGGTAACTTTTCATCCTGTGAAGTTTCAGGCGTTCGGCGACCACTTTCTCTGCCTGTCAAGCTACCAAACCAAAGCGATGCGTTAGTTGAAAAGCGTCAAAGCCATTGTCGCTTAATCTTACGGTGTGAGTTGGCGTGCCCGTCGACGCTGCTCTTGGTTCGAGCGAGACGCTGCTCGAGTCTGAATGGAACGGCGATAGTCGTCCAGCAGCGTCATGCTCGTGGCCAAAATCCGCGAACTTTGGCCTCACTTGAGGCAGTTTTGCATCGTAATTATAGCAGGCGAATTGGTAAGCAAAGTTATCACGAAGCTCTCGATCTTGATGGAGCTGACTTCGGGCGCGACGGTGGGAACGTTGGCGCCGTAGTTGAAGCTGTTTGCTGAGTGGTTTGGCTTTGATTCTGAAGAGTAGCCGCCAATTGCCTTTGTCCGTCACCTGCAAGTTTCGGTCTGCTACTCCGACCTCGACCAGCATTAGCAGCACTTGAAGGCCTTGGTTTGCCCGGTGGTGCACTTGGCTTTGGTCTTGGAGGTGATGGCGACGTCGATTGGATAGGAACTGTAGCGAGAGGAGCCTGCAACACTGCGAGGCGAGCTTGACGCACCATCGAGGCGCTAGAGCATCGAACGCGATGAACTGCGTCTTCTTCACCTCCCTCTCTTCCCGTATCATAGGAAGCCCTGGCAGTCTGCGGTCTCCGACGCACCGCGAGCTTCGCATCCATCGCTGCGTCTTGCTCAATGAGCGACTGAAGCCGCAGTATCTTCGTTATCGCCTCGGTCGCTGGGTCCACTGGCGGTTTGCGGCGTCTCGCAGCGGTAGCTCGCTCCAATTGTTGGCGCTTGGCACGCTCCAGCACGAAATTTCTTCTCTCGGCGTCGTCTTTGACGGAATGTTCGTAGTGCTCCACTAGCTGCGCGTACTGCGTCGGCTGCGTTCGCTCCAAAGTCTCCAAGTGCCGTTGCGCGTGACTCGTTAGCACCGCTGAGTGAGCTTCACCCGCTGCAATTTGAGTCACTCGTAGTCCGACGAGCGACGTCACGAGGTGCGGCAGTGTGTAGATTTGAGGACACGAACTCAAGCCACACTGACCCATTTCATCGCTCCCCCAGGCAAAGAGACGACCGTCAGGGGACGACGCCAACGAGTGGAGCTTACCCGCTACCACCGAAGCGATAGTCAACGCAGGCAACGCACCCCCGCGAGACCGGACTGCAGCGTCAAAGTACGTCACGCGTGTGGGGGTGTATCGGTCTCTGCAGCCGCCGACACCGAGTTGACCGCACGAGTTCCAGCCAAAGGCGTAGAGTTCGTGCGGTCTACCGATCACCAGCGTGTGGGCCGCTCCACACGCGACGTAAGTGCACTTCACGCCTCGCTGAGGGAAAATTACGGGGGCAAACCACGACGAACACTCGCCATCGTCAGAGTGAGTTACTATTCCTCTCTTGGGTGAGTCAACCCGCGGGATCTGTCGACCAAGACGTCCGTGATCCCGCTGTCCGCAAGTTAGCAGCTCCCCACTGGCCAACAACGCAGCGCTGTGCACCTCCCCACACGAAATCTGCACCACGCGACGGCCTTTTAGCGTCAAAACCTCCATGGGGGAGGACACCGAGTCGAACGTTTGTTCCACAGCGTTGAGGCCGTGACCCAACGCGCCACTTCGCCCAACTCCCCACGAGAACACGTCGCCGTCTTCAGCGAGCGCGAAGCTGTGACTGGCACCGCACGCAACCTGAACAATCCGCTTGTGCAGCAGCGAGTGGACAACTCTCGGGAGTCCTATTGCCTCGGAATCTCCAGCTAGAACTGCGCTCCTGGGGCGAAATTCACTGACGTCACCCCACGTGAGGAGATACCCCTGTTCACTCGCCCCCACAACGTGGTTGTCGCCACTCGCGACGTCCAGCAGCATGCGGCTCAGAGCTGCATCCATCCCGCTATCTCGACGCGAATTCCGACCGCTGGAGCACGAAACCTCGCTGGAGCCTAGCACCAACATCTCTCCGTCGTGATACAGCGCCAACGTTTTATCTCCGTGCCCAGTTAACCTCACCAATGTGTTGTTGTGGTCCTGCGATACCCTCGCAGCGGTCGCTGGTTCTTCTCCATTCCCCAATTTTGCACTAGCGGCCATAGCCTTCACAACCGCCGCAGCAGCTGAAAGCTTCCGACGCGACTGATGCTGCGCCGCCATTGCAGCCGCTTGGTTGGCCGCCTCCACTGCTGCGACTGCTGCTATAGCCCCTGGGGCAATTGGTACGAGGATCGAGCACCGAGCGACCAACGGACGAGTCCCCAATAGGCTGCGTCGGAGCTCCACCTCAGTGAATTCGTGCATGCTTAACGGTTGTTTCGACTTGGATTGAGGGGAGCAGCATTGTTTCTTCTGCGAGGCGAACGCTGCCGTTTTACCCGTGGCAAAGAGACAGTAGCCATCTCGAGGACTGACATGCGCTTGTACGGTACTGGGGAGATGAAGCACTCGCCGACCGTGGAAACGCGCGTCCAAACTGCTGGTTGTGTGCTCGATGACAGCAGCCGAACCTCGCAGCTCTTCAAAGACGCCGCCGTTCACTGCCGCCACTCGGAAGAATTGCGGCTCTCTCCAGTTCTCCTGAGTGAAAACTTGCATGGTCGGGAACACTCGCAGGCCGGAGGGGAGATTCACCGGCGCCACGGTCACGACTTGCTCCGGTGCGGTCGAACAGCGCAGTTCGACGGAGTAGAAGGCTGCCACCCCACCCACGGTCGCATTTACCGTAGCTGGGAAGAAAACCACGCTTGCCACGCCAGGCGTGAGACCAGCCCGGCGTATCAGAAGTCCGTGATTCCTATGCTTAGTGGAAGATGAAGCCGCGGATGGTTGACCTCCATTGCGGGCGGCAGAGTTTGGCATGGTCCTGGAAGGGTGGCGACTCCCAGACTACACATCGAACTCTTTCCAGTAATACCCACGTTTGAAACGAAAAGGTGCTTACGAACCTAAGTACGAATCGCGATTTAACCGCATCAATCGAACGATGCATGTCTTGTGCTTCTTTTAAGCTATCGAACACTCCAAAGTATAAACAGACGCGACGTACCTTAAAAATAAAATTTCTGGAGAAACCTCAAAATCGACTCCTGTCACAGACTTGCGCAGAAGCTGAGATGAATACCATTGTAAAGACTGTGCGATTCTAAACAGAACGAAGGTGCTTACGGCTTCCTATATGCCCTAGATCGTGAGAAATGACAGTGCAAAGATTGCGATCCATGCGTAATTTACTGTGACCTTTGAATGTTCTAAAGTTATTTTCGTATATCACTATCGAAATGCTGGACCCTTAACTACACGTGTACCGGGTTACCGGCCCTCTACGGCGTCTAAGGTGATTCACCCACTCGATTTGATATAGAGATCTGTACCCCCCCCCCTCCCTTCCCCCGCCCCCGTCCCCAAGTTTATATTCGTTGTGTACGCTTGGTGCTGACACATAAGGTGGCCCTACGGAATGAAAAGGTGTTCCACGACAGCAAACGGAATAAGACAACACACCAACGAATCAATTATTCATCAAACTGACGCCACCGCTCACCTATTACAGAACAACGAATCAAGTTTCCTTACATCCGGCGTTGATCATCCATTAGCAGTGGAGCCGAAGACAAACGATAACCAAACTCACTGGAAAACAATTCTGGAGCTGCAAGTGCTGGTGTCACTTTTTCCAAACCACTGCATATATGGTGTCGATAGGGTTAGAATTACGCCTGGGTGTTAGAAGTTCGATACACAATGCAAAAAGGACAAATACTTAGTACACTTTTTGTTTGCAGTCGGACGAAAGCCCGCTATCGATAAGTAAAGTCTCACTATCTCAATCTTGACCTACTAAAGATATTTGTAAACAAGAAATGTTTGTATTCAGCACCGGGGTCCCAGTCGCCTGATTCACCATATTGAGTGTCTTGAATCCGTTGGGCCGTCAGTGACTTCATGGATCCTGAAGGCTTGTATCTGGTCCAATAGCCCCGACCAAGGTGACAGTAGTCATGCATTCCCGGACGGGCTCGCTACCTTCATAAGTTCTCGCAACAACTTCGAGGGGGTGATGGTCACTCTTTGTTGCAATCTGTGATCGTGGAAGTCATAGTTCAAATAGCGCTGCAGGTTTTTTAGGCCGCCTTGCCCAGCCGCGACACATTTTTTTTCGCACGAGCACCTCACATGCACTCTTGCGCAACCGAAACAAGCTTTGCCGCTTGTCCGTAGTCTCCTCCACATTGTAATCCAATAAGGCAACACTTAGCGTAAGACCGTATATCCCTCTCGGAACAGGAAATACTGCCAGGGTTGCTTGACAAAACTCGGCGGGGGCGACGGCTTGTATACGGCCGTAGCTTGAGGTTATTATATCTGGTGAGTCAGTGGTGACACGGATTCCAGTGATAATTCCTGTGGTATGGCTCGGCCTCGAAAAATTAATCGGGCTATCAACGAAGCTCTCATTATCTCCCATAACCAGATCATCGCGCTCAGTTTCATTACCACTATCACTGTCTGAATCGCTATCAGCAGCGAAATACGGTGCCGCACCACCAATCACATCTTCAAGTCTCAAATCGGCGAGGTCTGTTACCTGTCCACCAATGTCTTCGTGGTCTTTTGCGTTGACATCTTGATAAATCTCCGTATCACCAGTCAAAACGTGACTGGAAAGGCGGTTACCTGAGTACCGTCACTTATATCTCTCCAAACATCTAAGAGAGAGATCTGTACCGCAAAAGCCTGATAGGTTTAGCACACTGAAAGATTTGGCAGGGATGACCTCGCCTGTATTAAGAGCTGACCAATCAGTGCACACCTAATGTATTAACCCACCTTGTTTTGAAACGATGTGGTTCACATACATTATGTACCTACACAACTACTTCCGTAGCAGAGACCATCACAGCCGGCGAAGAGCTTGGCGGCGGCCCGAATGGAAAGAACGGACCGGCCTCTACGAACGAGGCCCGGATGGTTGCTGCCGTGATAGTTCCAAGCGCGTGCATGGAGCGCTGGAACATGTCGTAGCGGCGTTCCCAGTTCTTGCGTGGCGGTGAGCGGTGCGTGTACAGCGCGGTGTAACGGGCTGTTAGACTGCTTATGAAAGGAGACATGACTCCCACATCTAGCGGCTGAGCCACAGAGGTACAACCGGCAGGGACGTACACAGTGTAGGTGCCCATTTCTGCAAGCCGTTGCCGCACGGCAGCACATTTGTGCACTTTACGGCAGTCCAGGATGAGGACGGTCGGTCCGCTCACCTCAAACTGCCACACCTTTTCGAACTCAAGCATGACACGCTCGTCAAACCACGCCTTCGTTTGGCACGAAAACGTAGCGACGCCCGGCTCACAGTAGGTCGACACTTCGGCGTACACGTCATTGTCGGGCTCGCCCGCAAACACGAAGCGCGGTGGCAGCATGCGGCCATCCGCGCATGCGAGCAGCGCGACGGTGCAACGGCAGCTGCCCTGGCCACCTCCAACAGCAGGGACGCGAGTAAACCCGACGAAGTCCACCGTTGTCTTCGATCCCACGTCGCAGTAGACCGCAGTCTGGTCCATATTGTAGAGCACATAGGGCGGCGGAGTCGCCGTGGCAGCATCCACAAAGTGGTCAATCAGCACCTTGGTCACCTCACCTCGCACGCGAACGCATCGCGCAGCGCTATCAGCTCCCGCAGCTTCTTGCGGCCAGAGTGCGAGATGCGCCTAATAGTGAGTCCATTTCGCCGCATGAACTTGCTGCACCACGATTTACGTGCGGTGGCTGTTTTGCTGTCGAGGAAGCCCGGCAAAATCACCATGCAGTGCGCAATGATGCAATCCATCGACACGGCCCGCTCTTCACGCCTCTCGTCCTTGATCCAGCCCCGTAGTTCTTCCTCGACACATGCAGATGGCGAGACGCGGCCACTACCACCTACAGTCAGCTTCTTAGCTCGCTTCTTGTCTTCAACAGCCGCCTTCATGGAGTCATAATGGTGCTCCCAGTAGTGTAGCGTAGGACGCGAAAAGTCTCGGCCAGTGCAAAAGGCCACTCGGGTTTCACCCGATGCAGCGAAGTCCTCGACGGTCTTGATCTTGAATTCGATGATATGGGCGAGCTTAATGCGATGCGGAGGCATTTTGCCAATGGGCCGAATGCTCTTTCCCCAGATTTATCTACCTTCTTTTGAAATGCGCTCACATCCAACCACCTCTATACGCAATTTTGATTGGCCAATGAGCGACAACCTTGACTTTCTGAAAGACTTGGCACCCGGCAAAACTGCTTTAGTGAAGGGTGCCAAATCTATTAGGCTTTTGCGGTACGTGTGTCCGTAAGTCCGTGTGAAGCCCGTGACAACATAATAAGGTGGTCCATATAATCGTACATAGGCAGCCTTGGACGCCGAAGGCGGCCCCATCACAAGCTGCCGAGCGCAGCGAAGGCGGCACCCGCGTGCGTTCTAGCGGGCCGCAGGGCCCGCCCTACAACTATGTACTAATAACACGGCGAGTAGTGCAGCGAGCCGACGAGGCGAGCGGAACGGGGGCGATTACGTCACCCCCGCCGTGACGCATGGCCTAATATAATACTTTTCGGAACACCTGCTATGAATTAAAATGGGCCCACCGCGTAGTAGCAGCGATGGCAGAGCCCGCTTAAACATATAATAGCACTGCGAGTAGTGCATAGTGGCAGCGATAGCTGGGCTTGCCCTACTACATAGTATAATTTTAATTAAGCGAACTTGGTTAAATATAAGCACATTGTAAGCCATAGCAGCGCATAGTTAGCTATAGCAGCGCGTAGTCAGCGATATGAACGTATAGTTAGTGATAGCAGCACGTAGAAAACGATTGCAACGGATACTTAGCGATAGCAGCGCATAGTAAATGATAGTAAATGATAGCAGCGTATAGTTAGCGATAGAAGCGCATAGAAGGCGATAGCACCGACGTAATAAGCGATAGCAGTGCGAGTACATGTAGCGAGACGAACAGTATCTGAAGACGATTGATTAATAGTTTCAGGTAAGTTTTTGTGTAATACTTTAGGGACGGATATATTATAGCTGCAGTGGTGCTGAGTGCTCATCTATAAAGGCATATAGCTGCATTGGCTTCAACGTGTGGCATGTATCTGTAACTTATAGTATTTAGCGGTAAGATAATGGGTTCTGGGGATAGTAGATGCCTAGACATGCATTGGAGTGGAGGTTTTATTGTAGTTCATACTGGCATTCCATTGACGCGTTTCCCCACACTCTAACAATACTGACGAGCCGTACAATACCTGTATATTAACGAATTAGCTGTATGGATTTTGAGCGCGACGGCGATACTTTCGCTACTCAACTATAGGTAGTACGCAAAAGTGTTAATGTGCATTACGTAGTATAATAATTTACTGATACGCACGTCTTGGCTCATTAAAAATGAGATTTGAAGCGGGATACGTCGAAATTAACGCAGCCCACAGCTCATTACATTCTTAGGGCCGTACAAAATGCTGAAACGATGCAACACGGTATATACACGTTTTTTTTAAAAGAAAACTAGCTCGAAACGTAATGCTGAGAGCATGAATAGGCCTGATCGCAGAATGTAAATGCTAAAGCCTACCAACCGTATAGAGAAACAAACTATAGTTATGCGATAACATGATAAATAACAGGTATACATACTTCAAAGTGAGCACACTGTAGATAGCAACACCGTATTGATCTACCCCACCACGACATGTAGCTCATGCCAAAGTTTAATTCTACTACATGTACAACACACAGATTACTTAAGGTATTTACTCCGCGGGGACTTTGTAATCGGATTAAGTAGTTGCACTTGTTTGGACCCGGTTTACAACAGGGTACCGTACGATAGATCGAATGTTTTACCTGACTACATTCATCTACTCGGACGTAGCGATATGTATTAAGCTGATTTCAGTCACGTCACACTACTGATAGTACCTCAACGTAAATAAACATTTTTTACATGCACACAAACAAAATTTAATAACCTTTAAACTAAATAAAAGCCCACCGGAGCGAAGCGGAGGTGGGCGGCCCTTAGTACTACAACTAACCACAAAACTACCGGCGCTCGGCTAGTCCTAACCATCTACTAGAGAGACCGTCCACCCGTGACAACATAATAAGGTGGTCCACATAATCGTACCTAGGCTGCCGAGCGCAGCGAAGGCGGCCCTGATTGGCTGAAAGTGTATTTAGTGAGTGCAGGGATATTATTTCTCATGGAGCCCTTTACTTGCTCGCCATGCGCGGCGCGGGCGGTACCGCCGCCTCTCACGGTGCACGGCATCGCACTGCCGCTTCAGAAGTGCACGTGCTGTAAGGCACTACTCGCCTGGGATGCATTTGTTAATCCTAAGGCCAGGGCGTGTTCGCAGCGTTGCGTTGCGTGCGCCAATGGCCCCCGAGCGTGCTCCCGCTGGCACCCCGCCACCGCCACCGCCACCGCCCCAGCGCCTGAGCCTGCGCTAGACCCGCGTGAGCAGCGTACGGCACTGGTGGCTACCACAATGGGTCCAGCACCCCAGCCGGACCCTCCAGTAATCCTGACGGGTCGCGCAGGCGTCGTAAGAAGAAGCATCGCAAGAAGAGTAAAAAGGTGCAATAAAACATTTTTCTTTTACAATAATTGTTTTCATATTTTTTATAGAATTATTTATGTGGACCACACTAGAGGCTGAATGCATTTTTGCCCCCAGTTTGAATTTGGAACGCGCGGCGCGCCACGACCCCGAAGAGGTGCGCTGCGTGTATGCATGTTAGTTAGCCACACAAGCCACCACCACCACCACGCACAGATAGTCCGAGGTTCCTGGGGCTGCTAAGGGGGATGTATCATCCTAGCGGGGGTTGCCTCGCTAGGCGGAAGCCGTAATTAGAGGTTTTTAGAAAATATTGGTCTGATTTGGGTAGGACTTTTTATAGTCCTACACCATTCGGACCTTTCCAGAGATTTTAAGCCCACCGCCCACTCTGGTGAGTAGCATAACGTAAATTATCAAAATCTGACACATTTTGGTAATTTATATTGGCACCGGTCTATTGACAACAAACCCGAACGCGAACCGGTTGAGCTGGCTGTAGTGGGTCCTTTGGCCCATGCGACCAAGCCATTCTCATGAATGAGTAAAAGGATGTCGCACGAAGACCCTCAGTACTGCCCGGGCGCTCAACCCTGACTTGCCGACTGCACGTTTGCGAGCGAATTCACTTCGGTGTTTCGTGTCGGTTACTTCGTTCCATGAGATAGTAAACTTCGATGGGAGCCGCACCCCCCGGGCAGTACGCAGATGTCCAACCAAACCAAGCTGCATGGAAGACTACTGCTATGTGCAGTGTACTTAGACTTTATGTCTAACGCGTCACGTTACTCTGTTTCGTGTTCGCAGTGAGTAAGCCATGGCCCGCCGGCCCAAACGCCAGCGCACGCGATCTGAAATCAAAGCAGCCCTGGAGCATAATGCAAGTGTGAACAAGACACCCGATGATACAGAGGAGCCAGATGAACGGAGAAAGCGTAAGCAACGGAAGTCCCGGGTAAAGCGCGGATTGGAGAAAAAACTTGCAGCTCTCAGCATTGCGGGGGACGGCAGTAGTGATCCCGAGCCTA